TATTATTCCGACGGAACAATTTTGTACGGATGCGATTACGGGTTGTCTGTGTCATTTTTTTGTCATATCGATTTATTCATTGAAATGACTCCAACTTGTAGCTGCGAAAATATTGTTCTTTGGAGAGGACATTTTAATGGGACGGGAACCGAGCAGAGCCTGAATCTCTCTATAAACGGTGGCGAAGGTGAGAGCTCAATCTCAACCGATTTCCCCGATGGCCGGACTGATACCGGCCCGGTGTAGCCTTTGCCGCAAGCGTTTGGCTCAATGATATCTTTCTGAAAACATCTTACGGAAAGTGAGATATTCAGTAAATGTATGCATGCTGCGGTACTGATGGTTTTATGTTCACTTGCCAGTTCCACCAATAACAGAAATATTCTCGAGGAGACGGATGACGTATTCACCTTCCCAGAAGGCGCTGTTTTACCGGGCGATAATGTCATCACGGTAGTCCAGGTATGCGCATATACTTCTGACGCACAATTTGCTTTCAATGTATTTCTTGGCAGGATAACATGGGCCTGAACGAGACTGCATGTGTGTGCCTGTGTTCTCAGAAGCTGTCAACGTCTAATCTTTGCCGTGATGCATACTAGACGACGTTAATGGTGTTAAAAGTCCTCGTGGCATTCGTGGATTCCAGCTCAATTCCGGCAAGTTCACACAGTGGCGGGTCCAGGGCAAAATCGGGGGATATACTGAGTGCCACCGCCAATGTGGAATATGTATACACAAAGCTAATGTTCCGTCAGCTTTCCCGACAAGATCCGTGGCGTGTTCAACGAAGGAGGTCTTTACGGCGAGCGTAAAGGCTGGCACTTGCCTGGATTCGACACGTCGTCATGGGAGTCGAGGGATCTAAATGATGGTCTACCACAATCTGCAGCAGGCGTCGGCTTCTTCGTGACGACATTCGATCTGCATATTCCAGAAGGTTTTGACGTGCCTATGTCTTTCAACTTCAATGAGCCGCTCGGTCAACCCTACCGGGCGTACCTGTTTGTTAATGGCTGGATGATGGGCAAGCGAGTCGGGAACCTAGGGTAAACTGGATGTCATGTCATTCAGTGGCCGCAGAGCTGACAATCTACGTCCAGGCCGCAAGCTAAGTTCCCGGTTCATCAAGGCATTCTCGATTACAGTGGAACCAAGTGAGCCTGCCTGATTTCTGAAAACGGAAGGCAGAATTACATCTGACAATTGTACCCGTAGCACCGTCACTGTTGCACTGTGGGCGATGGAGGCTAATACAACTATTGCCCCCGACCTGCAGCTGAGTGTGGACGGCGTGTATGAAGGTGGGCTGGACGGCATAGTTACGAACAATCCTCGGTGGTCTCCCGCAGGTCGTGTATGATTGACGGCAGTAGTTACCTCACAACTGAATTATAACCACTTGAGCTCAGATCGAATCCCGCACCGATTTATGAAAGTAAGTGTACACGCGTAGGCGGTGGTGGTATTCATTTAGTACGCAACTTCGGCGTTTTGTACAAGCGGAAAACACTCTTATAGAAGTAGCAGATCCACTCGAGACGTCCGGCATGTTTACACCAGGTTCCAGGTCGCCGTTGTCGCTATGATGGCGTGCAAAGGTTTGAACTGTTACATCTAGCGAGGATCTCTTCTGCAAATTACCCGTCGGAGTGTACTCAATGGCTGCCACTATCTGTAGTCCTTCATTGCGGTTGGTACATCGGCAATTTATAAACATGTTTTAGTGCATGGTAACAGTATTTTGGCCTTGTCTTCGATAAGCTTTGGCGTAACTCTTTCATCTTTCCTACTGCGCCAGTTCAATCTCGTCATCTTCCTCCGTGGGGTCGCCTCGTTTCGGGTCACTCCAACTCTGCAATACATCGTTGTAGGTAAACCATAAATCAACTATGACGAATCATTACATGCATGAATCGTTAACTTTAAGAGAAGCGAAAGATCCACCTGCTGTGCGCATACTCCTCCTTCTGTTGTCCATCGTGAGAAATAATCTCTTCAGAACATGGATTGAAGCCTGATCGTGTCGGGTTCTCGTTAACGTCTCCAAGACCTCGAGGTCAGGACAAGCCTCCATGCTCATGAAGAAAACAGGAGGATTTACGCCTTTTATTTCCAGCCGGCACCTTATTCCAGCGAAGGGATACCGGCTTCTCTGCTATGCCATCTGGAAGTCTTTTGTGTAATAGATATATTGGTCAGAGTCATACGAGTGTCGTGGCGAGTAGTTCAGGTATCATATATGAATATGAACTGCAGGTAGTCGTCCTTACTGAATTTCAACAAAGACGTTCTGAGCTAGACCATCAGGTACGTTTCGGTCGTCTAGTCGAAATAGCATGGTGATCTTTGAGATGTCTAAGGACAGAGTCTGCCCTTCGATACCCTCCAAGGGTTATGGTATGGCAATGAAGGGTTAGGTGATCCTCGAAGACGAGTTCCCATTTGTCTTAGTGTTGATTGCCAACATCGAGGTGGTTCCACAGTGAGATAAAGCCTAGAGGGAGAAGGTGGATACTTATTCTGGTGACACAAACTTGAAGTAGACATCCGTGAAAGAGTAAAGCCCTGAAAAAGCTACTACAAATTAGCAACCATTACCACCCAAATATATTTTCATGAGGACAAGGCGGTCATTATCAGTGAGGGGGAGCATCCACTGGCAGCCACGAGAGAGGCATAGTATCCGAGTCAGTGGCGGTGCTTCCGGAATGAACCGAAATTTGAAATTTCTTTCCCTGAACCGGCGGTTCCTTTTTGGTACCGGTACCACCACCACTATCAACATCACGACCATGACCACGACATTTCTGCTGGTCTTCGTCGTTCGGCGACGTACTGCACGAGGAAACTATCGATATATAGCTTAACGGACTTCTTTTGACAACTGGAATACCTCTCAATATTGTCGGCTCAAGGCAGAGGAATGCAAGCATTGGCTTCAAGCTGAAAGCTCGCGAGTCGCGGTCTTCATCTCTGTATCGTAGTATTAGGCTCCACAAGTAGTCTTCCAGGCTTCACTTTTTTTAATGTTGGGAACGGATCTCTTCGATACGGTGAGTGAAGCAAGGACTGGCATTTTTTCTTCCTCTAAAATTCTACAGAAGAAATTCCTTTGTGCCGTTAATGCTTTCCTTGTCTGTACTTGCCTCAAATATGAGTGTAAAATGAGACGCTGTTTCCGAAAGAATTTCACGCGAGCCTTCAGGCAGGGGTGCGTTGAATCAACGAATATTCTCACATTCCTAATGTAACGCCTCTTGCATCTAGATTTCGTCGTACGATTCATCCACCACCACCACATTCATTATCCCCAGGCCCGGGAAAGCAGATACGGAGTGGCACAGAAATATCAGCCTCATTTGCTCGAGAACGCGAGAGGATGTATGCGCTCCATTCCGCGGGAGACGTTGGGATGGGTGTTTGTTTTCGTGAGCTACACTCAATATGTCTGTCTTCTTCATTGGCCTTATCTGCGACAGTTATAAATCTGTAGGGAGACTGCGACGTCCTTGCCTACACAGAAACGGGGAGGTCTGTTCCACCAGCCGAGGAATCTACGTCAACAATATAAAAGTTACCATATGCTGAGCTTAAGGTGCAGTGATCTCCGATGTCTTCAGACGACAGACACCCAACCTCATCCGCTTTAGAACCAGAAGCCAGCGTATCTCCCCGTCTGGCTTCATTGACGACTCCATCTATTCACTGGACCAAGCTTAAATATCCTAGTCTTCCCGTACCCAAGCCTTTTTTCACCTCGCCCGTCTCGCACGAACCATGATTGCGCTTGTTCAAGTCATAAAATTGCACCCTGCAACCTGACCCGGCAGGTCCGAGCAGCATATGAGGCGGAGATAGCTATTATCTCCTGTTTCTTGAAGGAAAACACCGTCGTTCTGTTACAAGTATTTTACGATACGGTTGAAGCGGAGACATACGGACAGATTAGAATGGGCATACCTCGCTCATGGCTGGGGCTCAATCGGTCGACGGTCCTCGGAAAATGGCGACAATTTGACTCAACTCAGTGTCAGGATGGCACGGCAGCGCTCCAAGATATGACAAGCGAGCTATGCCGTGTTTCCTTGCTTCTTGGTAGATCTACGCTTCTAATGTCACCTATCTGGTAAGTTCATATTTGCTTGCATCAGGCCAAGCTGATTGTGAACGCTTAGATCAAGAAGGCCAACCATGTAGCGCGTTGGGTCTAATAGTTCCGACGCTTGAATCATACCCGCAAGATATCGTCCTCTACATTTCGGGCATTATTTCTCATAGACCGCTCATCTCTCACTACAGAGGGCACCAAATGCATCCTGACCGTCTACACGTGCGACCAAAACCAGCTGCCTAATTCAGTAGGGCACTTTCATGTCATTCTTCATCCCTGCCGTTCGGGCGTGGAGCTGCATCGTTCTCTGGTTCTCGAACAGTCTAGTACGCCGAATCCAGGGCTCATTCAAGGTCGTACGAGGCGGCGATGGACAATGCATAATGTTCTCCCAGAACGCTTCAGTCGTTCGTATTTCGTCTTCCAGGCACGGTGCCTAAAACGTTGTTGAAGCGGGGGACATGCGGGAACGTTGGAGTGGACATACTTCGCTCATGGTGATCATCGTTAGAAAGTACCGGACGAAGTCCGACTGGCCTCCGTTCTCCTGGTTAGCCAACTTTCACTCGGCATCTGCAGCAATCCTATGTCTCTGGGTATATTATTCCCAATTACATACCAACGGACGGACGGCCCTCCACGGTCAGCCTTGCCAAGACCCCAGTCGTCAACAGTGCTGTTTGTTCGATTCCCAAACCCTTGGGTCCGCAAGTACCGTGATGTACTTCTTCTCACGGTGTGATCAGGAATGAACACCCTTCGCTCACAAGATGCTCTCATCTTCGCATTAGAAGATTTAGGTCACAATTGACAGTAATACATTTAAACGCGCTCCTCAATATGCCATCATTGTTGTAGCACCCTGGAAATACGAACCAGGCTATGCTTATCTCGTCTGAGCACCGTTCTCCCAAACCGTCATCGCTCGGAACGCGGCCATCTTGAAACCGTATCCCCAAGCATTTCGCACCTGCGTTGATTCAGGCAGGTGCTTCCGAAGATACTTTTCAGGTCATGCACGTATCACCTGCGTTGACCTCTCATGCCATTTAACACTCTTCCACTTATCACGCCTCCTTTCCACTTGATTTCTGTCTCCTTCGCGATTTTCCATCAGAAACTCGCCCTCCTTCGGTGCCGACGAGGAAAACACCCCCAAAAGCGGGCTGTGTACGCGATGGTACTGATAGGACAAACCCAGCCCTCTCGGTGTCAGAATAGCGGGGGTCGTCCAAAGCACCGTGCTCATAGCATAATGTTTATCCTACCATGAGTACGCTGCGTATGCTCAGAGCAAAGAGCTGAGGGGCGCCGCTATTTGTCACCCTGCATGACCCTAACGTTATCTGGAGCTCATCAGCAACATCACCCGGAACCGACGCCAATTGTTCGTTTTTTCGAGAAGCGGATTGTACGTCGAGCTCATCGCGGCATCCATTCCTCCATATGCGCATTCTTCACCGATATGATAAGCATCGCAACAGATGACCACCGTTGGAAGGACCTCGAAACTTTGAACTGCAACACATTCTGTCCAGAAGCCGCGTTTCTCTGCATCCTTCTTATTCATTCGTAGTTAGGGTAAGCACTGTACTGTAAGGCTTAGACCTGCGGTTCCAGCCAGTTCAGTAACGACGTAAATGGGTGCACAAGGCCGCCGGGCTAGGTAGTCCCCGATCAAAGTACAAGGAAAGGTCCCGCATCCCCTACACAACATTCGCCTATATCGTACCATCCTTTCTCCCTATCTCCATTGAAATGGCCGCGAACGTGTATACCGGTCGCTGAGCCTACATGGCTTTCAGAAACGACTCAGTACCTTTTGCCTAGACTTCCGGTCCGTTTCTGGACTAGTGGTTGGCAAGGTATATACCCCTTCGCCTACCATCTCAGAAATGACGGAATATTTCCTTCCGCCTTTCACAGAACCCGGCCACGAACTCAAACTCTTCAGTTCTGTCCGTTGCGCCGCGCAGGCGCCCAATCTTGTCGCGTGGTTGTAGGGAGGGCCTCGTTTTTGTGCCTAGAAATTTTCTGAGGCCTCGCTTACCGCAACTTCACCGACTTCACTCGCCAAGCCTCCACGTTAACATTCAAAGTGTGAAACAGCTCACAGGTTTGTGATTTCACGCATTGTACATTTGGTTTCCTTTTGCTGAACCTGAACCAGGCATGGCCGACTCGTTTGCCTACTCACAAGAAGCCTTATCTGCGGCGCTATCTTTCTCCACCTGCGAAGCAAGCATGACTGCCCTTCGACGCTTAAGATGCACCGTCAAATTCCCGGCGCAGTGGCTCCTACGAGTCTTCACAAGAGGGTGACACGGCGTTTCATCCACGACGTCCCCTTCAAATCGTCGATGTTTGTCACGGCTCCAGTGCTGACTAGTATACTCCCTTCAACCTGTTTTCCTCTCCCGAAGAACTTACTCGGCAATCAAAACTTCCGGGATACATTCCCATCTTGAGCCATTTTGAGTATAGCGAACCAGCACTGGACGGGAGTAGTCCTCATGATGAGCGTCGCATCGGGACATCATGATTCTCACGTCTACTCTCCTCTGGGGACATCGGTACGCCGATGGTACCGACACAGTCGTCCTTGCACGTCGGTACATCTTTCGCGCGGGACGGGTCAGTCGTCGAAAGATCCGTTGGTGTACACAGTCCATATTGAAGCGAATGATATGCCTGGTCTCAAATTTGACTGGCAGCCATATGATACCGACGTGATTAGCTGCGTACGTCGGTGCGAACTAGCTTCATCAACTTCAGGATCATTCTCAAGTGACAGCATATGCTGCACACATGTGGTGGTTTTCTTCAGCTATGCGTACATCGTTCGATGAAGCAGTATGCTCCGCCGACATCATGTTTTAATTTTCCTGGTAGCGGCAACTTGACTCATTTCTCCGCACTTCTCATGTCTGCACAAGGACGAAGCGAATATCCTTTTTATAAGCGCCAATCCGTCCTCCAGGAGCCTACAGACGAGCCAAGATTGCTGGACAAACTTCGGGCCAGCGAAAAATACAGAGCCTGTACTCGTCGTCTCAGTCGCCAGTGCCGGTTCGTCTGCGAACGAGCTGTGCTGCAGAACGAGGACAATTTATGACCAGATTTCATTCCGAGTACAAGTGCCAAGCACCTATCGGCTCTGAACCTATCTGTACAGTGATCAATCATATTTGGCTATGTATCATATGCATTAGAAGCCTTGGACACCATCCTCACTGTGTCGAACGTCATTAGTGGTTCGTCGACTGGCCAGACCACTCTCAAAACACCACCCTAGTACTTCTTTTTCTCTCAGCTTGTCGGTGATCTTCTTCGCTTTGCACCGGCAAACACAAATCGTAGCAGCTTCCAATGACGGTCGACGTAAGATTTAATAACCACCACCGTGATCCGGGCTTCGACCGTATGCGGGTGCAATCGCCACAGCACACTGTACGCGCATTCGGAAGCGAGCTGATGATGGCAATGTGAACCAAAATCACATTTGCTTCCAGCGAAATCACGGCTTTGTGCTTAGCTTGTGTTATTGATGGCTTGACGTTTGATGCTCTTGGATGACTTGACTCGACCGGCGGCTTTCAATGTTAACGTCAAACATGGAAACGAGTGATTTCGGAGGATTGATTGTTCATGGAAAATATATGATGATGCATCTAGACCTCAGTTCTACTGGCAAATGAACCTATACGTATCAGTGGTTTTGAGTCAAACATCACGAACGTGCGGCCCTGTGGATCAGAACACGCAGCTCTCATGGTCGCGATGATATCAAGCCGTCTGGCTACGGCTCGGAAAACTTTTTGAAAGGCGGTTATGATCGTGATAATCGCGCACGATGACCTGCAATCGATGAAGCATTTCATATTGCGCGGTATCAAGAAAGATCCCAGTGTAATCGTTGCTCGTACTTGCTAAGCTGCATACCGCCCGACCTGATGATGAGCCTCGTTGCTGAGCGGCCAAGTTTGCCGTTGGTGGGAATCCAGCCAGGCACCAATACCGCCGAGCTCTATAGGCATAGAGTTTTGTGAGTATGGTTACTCCGATGACAAATTTTGGCGGCCGTAGCGAGGGCTGTGAAGGGTCAATAAGAAGCTACTACGCTTGTCGTCACCGTAGATGAAACCGTTTACCTTGGAAAGAGGGTGATCGAATGCCTCGAAATCAGACGTTCCGTGACATCATAAGAGGAAGACTAAAAACCAAGCCTGAGGCGATACGTGGATTCGACTAGATCTTAAGCCGACCAAGCGTCTCGAGGCGGCCGCCGGTGGGATAGATATCGGTAAATTAGGTGGCGATGCTAAGGGTCGGAAGCTTTTATTTAACGTTCAGAGATGGGGGCTTGAATGCCACGACGGTCTCGAGAATCATACGTACCCAGTCGTGAAGGGATATTAGAATCTTGCGAACCCGTGATTTCAGGTAAACGGCCGAAATTGGCAAAAGTTCGGTTCCGGGGTAGCTCCGTCCATTCTCTTCAAGGAACTTATTCAACAGAGATTTCCTTCTCTTCAACAGAATCTGCTTGTTTCGTTATCTTAATAGCGATAGTACGTCAACTGTTGTCTTCGGTTTCGGCGCATGATTGATGACGACGGTAATTTAGAATGGAGCTGGACCGCCCATGGTGTTTGCCTCGGACATTCTACACATCGCTATCGACTAATGCAAATGGTGGACACAACGAGGCTATTCAAGCCAACTTACACCTGGGGAAGCTCATATGCCGTCCACATAAAATGATGCATCATTAATGACACGATGTTCTTTTCTCTTTTCAACTGATAGGACCATCATGATACTGGGTTCTCCGTTCACGTGAATGTTGGGCACATATACTGAGCCCAGAACTCAATGGTTCGCATCGTAAGGTGTTCTTGATGATAATAATTCCACACGCCGGATTGAATGTACAGGCCTCATCAAGTGCTTTGCGCTCTCGGTCCTTCCGAATCCGACCTCGGTCACAGCCCAAACACGTGTGTCCTATCTATTCGTCTCTTAACGGAACAAGTCTCCCGGATCTTCTCATCGCAGGGTATTATCTTCTATCTCGATTGCCCTCGTGCCCACGATACTCAGTTCATGTGGTTCCACAAACATCCACGCCGGACCGCGGTTCACTCGTTCAGGATGGTAACTCAATCGAACCTTCTTCTAATAATCCCTAAATCCTCAAACTCCCGGACTTGCCTATTCAGGTGTTCCCTTTGCTACTTATCTATCTAGTCGATCGCCCAGTGCCGATCACACGATAATCATTTTTTTGACATCCCTTCAAAGTTCCACTTTCCCCGTCTGTCGAGTTACCCTCTTTCCCAAGGCTATGTGATAACAGGATGGGGGGACGATATATAGATGGCTCTTGGAGTACCCCAAGCCTTGGCGGGGGATGGACTTGAGCGTGGATCGCACCCCGTTCCTTGTACCTGACACCTGAACGTGAACCTCCACCTCACCCGGATCTATCTCTGGCTGAACTGGTTTGCCTATACCAAAAATGCACCCACCTCCCTAGTCTTTGACGTCCTTCCTTGAAGCAACATCTCATGTACTTGTTCGCGAGATCTGTAGTTCCTGTCGAAGCTCATCAGCTATCAAACTAACGTACTCACTCTACAGAACATAGGCGCTCAGTAATGCAGAAATGTGGCTATGCAGGAGAACATTAAACGAAGAACATGATGATCATTCTCGAAGGGAGGACCTCCTTTTTCCTTGTTGCCCGATCGTTTTATTCGATCGATTGCCCAGTATAACCTTGTGCTCCCAAACAGACATGCATGTTTGAGAGCAACAAACTAAAAAGTCCTTTTTTCCTTGGCTTCTTGTACTTGGAAACGCCTCCGGGGACCGGACGTCCTTGTGCCTCCTGACCCGCTTCTCCTTACAATGCGTTCCTCAGACCTTCTTCCCCCGGGCCTTCCTTCGGTCTCCTCTCTGCCCAACTATGTCTCTCTTCCATCTATTACATGTACACTTGGCGCATAGTTAAAACTCCTAAACGATCCTTTATCGTCGGGAGTTCCGTGTATAGCTGCCTGTGCCTGTTGGGGTCCATGTGCTTGCTTGCTAGTGCCGGCGGGAGCGTCGTTACTACGTTCTGTATCCGGCGCCCGCCCACGATATATGGATGACCGACTTTGCCTGCTGCGTACTTGGCGCGCCACTTCGTTCTCCATGACAAGTCCACCGTCGATGATGCATAAACCACCGACTCCCATGGACGAGTCTTTGACGTGTGTCGTTTTTTTTTGTTTAATACCGGACAGGATAATAATGAAGATCGACTCGGGTATTACATCCCTGCAGGTTGTGCTGCCGCTGTCAATTAATTTCTTCAGATCGCGGAGTCGTGAACTGGGTCATATCGTCATAGCCAAGCGTTATATCTTTTTTCCCCGGCTCCTCTGTAGCTACGCTTTTTTAATATGGCTGTGTTTTGTTGATATTAAGATGCTGCTGCGAGTCGGATTTGTATTCTGTTAATAATAAACATCGATATCATGTGTAAGTTGTGCCCTAGATATTTAACACAAACAAAAACACTGTGACTGTTGAAAGATTTCTCGCTAGACAGGACGGGGACGTAAATTCAACCATGACAGCGTTAAAATAAGAGCAACGGAGATTTCTAAGACGGATGACGCTCGAACATTGTTATAGGACTGCGGATGATATCGCTCAAGGGAGACGGAACAAGACCTATAATTAAAGAATTTGGGGGTGGTCGAGGCCGTAACGGAGACCCTCCTTCAGTAAATGGATCAATCATCACCTGTTCCGAAAGTTGAACGAACAAGAACAGGCCGCATGGTGCGAGGGCATGGGAGGGATCAAAGCCAAGATGATAACAAACAGGCAACTCTTCGCCCATCAAATTCAAAGTGTGAACCCGTACTAGGGGAGCAGAAGTGTGCCCCTCCCCTCCCCTCCCCGCGTTAACGGAATAGTATGTTAACCTTACCCCTCCCAAGCCAGCTTGTCTCTTTCCTTTCCCTGCCCTTTAGAGTTCCACAAACGCAATAAGTAAATTAAAAACTAGGTACAACGCACACAAATGATAGATAGATAGACAGACAACGCTTCGAATTCCTCGGTCACAAGGGCAGTCCACTCGGAAAACGGCTCCGGGGCCACCACAACCTATCTAACTGCTCTTCGTCTTGGACTTGATCCCGTGGGCGAGGTTGAGTGATGAGATCAAGTCCTTCCCCAGCCGAAGGATGATTAAAGTGGGGACGACAAGCCAAACACTGTTTGGTTAATCAGCCGAAGAAAGAGAAAAAAATTCCGGGGTGAGGGGGTGAGGTGGGTGGGTACGTACCCGTTGGGAATGATCCAGTATAGAGTCAAATCGTGGGTACTGTTGTGTCCGATATTGCACATCCCGCAATAATACTCCTGTACCCAGTACAAGAGCGTCTTTGCCAGCGTCAAGCAAGCAGATGTGAAAGCAATCAGGCCAGCCGGAGGCCATCGTGCAACGTACGCCAGGTACAAGTACGCAATATTCAAGAAATTTTCTACAATGTTGAGCAAGGCTAAAATAAATTTTCGGATCAGCGAATTGATCAAGGTGATGATGGGAAAAAAGAATAAAAAGAAATATTTTCGCACATTGGGCGTTCGGGAAGCCATCTTTTTCTACTAATGCCGGGGCGCCGTATATCTGGAAAAATGTCAAGGGAAGTGAGTGGATTGGGGGATGGGAAAAGGAATGTTCGGACTTACGTAGTCGATCTAGACGGGATGTGATGAGTAAGTTAAGGGACGCGATTGAGAGAGGGGGAGGAAGGACGATAATGGACTACGTGCGCCCGCCGTACATTTTGATAAATGGAATATGGCTGCCATATCCAGTGAAGATCGCCTCCCTAAACAAGGGTAGACTGGTTACTACTATTTCGCAAGCTACGGGTCCGCATACCTCCATAGAGCGGGGTCTATTGTGGAGGAAACAAAATGGACTCGTCAATACCAATTCCCCTACGAGGGCCTAGCCAGAGTTCTCGTTCACCTCAAGAAAAGATATCCGGCATCCCAAAATATGATCTGTAGGGTCCAACATCCATTAAAGACGTAATCGAGGAGAGATCGCAATCGCCAAGCCGTACCGGAATAGTGATGGCGAACCACGCAGTAATCCACCAGTAGGTCTGTGCAGTCATAGTTGTGTCTGTGAGTGGGTAAGAGGGAGAGTGTGTTGCGATGTGGGTGGGTCATATGATCCGAAGAGAACATACCTGTGCCGCGAAGCCGGCGGCTTTTTCCTTTTCGGCTCCCACGAGTGCCTCGACGGTGGGTCCCACCTACGACGTCGGGACACAGGTCCCGGATATCGGTATAATATTGCGCGTCGCGTCTGAGAGCCGAGTTTGATTGGGTGATTTCGTCGCGGCGGCGCAGGTGCTGTGCAGAGAAGACTGGGAAAATCATGTTGTTGACGGCGCTGCTCCGAGGGAGGATGTCGACTGAGATGGTGATAGTTGGAGGGAAAGGGAAAGGGAAATGAAGAGGCAAGGTGACAGAGAGTACACGTCCGACACGAGGCGGTGTTTCATCGTTGCAAGAGAAAGGACGGTGAATGAATCAAGTCATTGTCTGTATTGCACAAAGGGTAGAGTCGTACACGTATGTGCATCATCACCATTGTCATTGGGCTAAATATGTGCATTCAGAGTCGTATAGGCTGTTGTAGCAGTGAAAGATTCATTCGGCACCGCTACCACGGGGGCTCCATGCTGGGACAACCCACCCATGCGGTAGCCAGCCGCCCTCCCGCAATCCCACCCACCCACACCCAAAATAGCACCAAAATCTCATCTAATCTCCCATCCCCACGTCTCCCGCGACAATCAACGCCCAGAAAGGGCATGTATGTCCAAGTGTCGGCCTGATGCAAAGTTTTGATAAAAATCTGTCAGACTCTGTCAACGTCGCAGATCATATTCGGCGGCAAAAAAGAAAGCATCAGTTAATGCCAGTGTCCGGGGCGAGGTTGAATCCTGATCTGCAGTCAGTTGATTTTGAATGCGGTGGGAAGGTGAGGGGAGGTGGGGAGGGGTAGTGATTTCCACACGCGGTCTCTACCCTTCACCTTGCCAGGTTGAGCCAATAATGGAGGTTAGACTCGGTTGCTCTCGTTCGCTGATTGCAATTAAAAAAAGGCCATTCAGCGAAGTTCGGAAACCAAGAGTTTGGATCTCAAGCAAGCCTCCCTCGAATCAAGTGGGATAGTTCGGTGTCTGTCCTTTCATCCCAAGGCAGGCTAGAGCTGAGCCAGATTTAGTATGAGAGAGAAGAGGAATGGCAAGCTATCGGCAACCCGGCATCTATAAGCATCCGTAAATCAAGGCGATGGTCATTTTCGTCTGGGCTCGGCCGGTAAGGAATCTTCCGAGCCGGCATGGTTAAGCAAAGCAGCGAGGGAGGCCAAGGTGGAAGAGAAGAACGAACCGAACGTAAAAAAAATTAAGTTGCCACCGGCAAAACGATTCTTCCCAATCAGGAAGCCAAGCCAAGGCACGAACCATTCAGGAACAATGTTTGGTTCGCTTGCTTGCTTGGAGGGGGCGGTCGGCTGGAACATTGTCATATTTAAATTCGACTGGGTTCCCTGATATCGTCACTTTTCCCTTTTCCCTCCCTCTGTCCCCTTCTCTACGAAGCATACCCTTGCTATCTTTCTATACCGTGCACTATGCGATTCCATAATCTGCTCGTCGTACTGGCCTCGACGATGGCATTCGTTGGGGCGGCCCCTTCGGTGCGCAGAGCAACCCCCCAAGTCCTACTTGTCGAATTTTTTTCTGACTCTCGACTTTTAGGGAGAACAGAGTAAAGTCGAACTACGGGAAGCCGAGGTGCGTGTTTGACTTGTCCTAAACCTAATCCCATACTTACTCCGTCTCAGCCCGCGAACGGCGGAGGAGGTCAATCAGGTCAATCTTGGCGTCGTGATGCTGAGGTGAGTGCTGCGGGTTCCATTCAATTTTTATCTTCACGCGTTGACTTGTCCTTTTTATTCTAGGAAATTCACGTAGCGCGTGAGGTACGATTTCGTACATGCGACTACGGAATGTTCTCCCATTCATTCATGCTATTCATTAGCCTGCCAACCAAGCCGGAGCGGCCTGGCGTCGTGAGGTGCGTTAATCCATACTAGTGGAGTATTCATCGTAACTTATACATTCCTAGCCTGTCAACCAACCCGGCGCAGCTTGGCGTCGTGAGGTTTGTTAACCTTTACTTCAAACGAGACGGGAAATTCATTTCATATCGTCTACAGCCCTGCAAACCAACCTGGTGCTGCCTGGCGTCGAGTAGCAGAGGTACGTCAACCTTCTACGCGTCCCTTTTCCCTATCCAATCCTGACTTGTCCGCAGCCCATGAATGGTCCTGGAGCAGCTTGGCGTCGCCAACCCGAAGCGGAGGTACGCGCACCAGCCAAACCGATTATCACCGCCCCCAACCCCCACTCACGATCCTCTTTTTATAGCCCATGAACGGTGGTGCTATCGGTCAATCATGGCGTCGAGAAGCTGAGGTATCTATCACCGCAAATGTTTATCTGCTTTTGATTAACAAGTTGCCCAAAGCCTATGAACCAACCAGCTGCTGGATGGCGTAGGGAAGCTGAGGTGAGTTGGACTCTCCGTTTCCATTCAAGCTATCTTTTTTCTAATCGATTGATTGATTAGCCCATGAACGGAGGCGCTACGGGACAGTCCTGGCGTCGGGAAGCTGAGCCGGAGGCTAAGGTGAGCATTTTTTCTGTCCGCCCTTAATGTTAAGTATATCAATAAACCCTTCTAGCCCATGAACGGTCCCGGAGCATCCTGGCGTCGCGAAGCAAAGGCAGAGGTAAGCAATCGGACTTTTACCCTTCTTCTCCCTTCTTACTTAACGCATCCCGTCAGCCCTACAACCAAGCAGCCGCAGCCTGGTAAACGTACGCGCCCCGCATCCCCACATTCGGAGAATTTTTTTCTTTATCTTCATCCTCTGATTGTTGGCTTGTTGGCGGATATGAACGAACGTCGGAAGCGAGGGGCGGAGCCTGTTGTTGATCCGGACGGAAATCATATATATGCGTTGTCCTTTTACTTTCCTCTGGTGTTGTAGAGTGGGTGTGTGTGTAAGTCAGTACTGATAGTCTCTCACTGTGTCTTTGTTTTTCTCCCTATCCCATCATCATCATCCCATCATCATTTGTCTTATCCTACTTCTTCGGACTAACTATGGTCATTCGTTTGGTTCCCTTTTGTATACTTACTCAGCCGTAATGATTTGATTATTTTTGGCAGTGCGAAGGAAAGAAAGAGATCCCGCGCGTCGGGTGTCCCATGAGCCGGTTTGGCTTGTTAAGCATATGGGGGAAAAGTATCTGCGAAGTAAGGAGTCTAACTCGAGTTGGGAAGTGGTTATTAGATGAGATAGGGTGCCTTGTAACTTTCTGGAAAGAGTAAACGACCGCTCTGTCCTCGAGCGATGGCGACGATCATCTCCGGCGGTGTGGGGTACTATGCCAATCCATTCATTTGGCACATATGGCGCCCTCCTTCAATTGGGAAGCTCCTGTTCGTTCCTCACACATGTACAGTCATCCATGACATCTTTCGGCCCTTCTTCATTTAGCGGAGTATGATTGGCAGGTAGCCTACTGGCCAGTGGTACACATGCGGTTTTTTTTCCCGACTGACGCACCGGCTCGCTCGTCGTCGCACACCCTTCTTCAATTAGCGAGTTGATGACGATTGCATGCGGTGACGTTTCTCCGCGGATAGAATGAAGATCACTACTTCCTACGAACGACGTCATAGGACTCATTATTCGTGCGGGGCGTCTGTCATGGAGGATGTTCGTCAGTTGTTCTTCCATTATAGGATGACCACTTAGACACAGGCTGGAATGTTGATCTGTTTTACTAGTACCTACCAGCGTGATGATGGGTCCTCCAATTCATTGGATGGACAAAGTAAACAGCATCCCGTGGCTACTTGACGAAACAAGTTGGTAACCCGACCGAAGTCGTTCGTGGGGGTTCATCAGTCTTCCGTACCAGTTTTCGGGATGCTAGCCTGCGACCGGGATTGTTTGCTCCCGATGGATCCCGCGAGTGACTACCAAGTATGATGTCAACATACGAATGCATTCACAGTATATGCTAGCCCCGTCATACTGATATGACTCTCATAGGTTGTCTTTGAATACTAGATGATTGCATCCCGTTCCTTAGGAATGCTGTTCATTAGCTGGATTCCATTACTTCTCGACTAATCATTTTCTACTTCTACTAGTAGTATCTGGTTGATTGAGATGACCGAGCACTCACTTTGACAGTACCTGCTCGATTCGAAATCAACTAGACCGGAACCACTGTCCCGTGCACAGGTCAGCGTTCCCTCTGAAACCATTCGAATAAGTTCTAGTAGCTGCAATTCCATCACGCCAGGTCCCCTTTAGCCCAAAATAGTGTGTTCTCATCAGATTAAGCGTAAATGAAGGAAGGGCTCAAACCCCCCAGCCCTGCTTGTTCTCCCAGTCGTTGCCCAGCCCTGTGTAATAGGAATGACTCGGAAGAAGCATTGGATCCCACATGACGACCACTGGAGTAAGTAAACGGGTAACTCGCTTGGATGATCGGTAAGTACGCATTGCGTAAATTAACCTTTTAGACGTCACAACCATTCACACGAAGCGGGATATCGGTTTCGGTTACAATCAACAACCTCAGCTTGAACTCGAGAGATACTAGTCACTGCGCCGGGCATTTGGACTCCGTGTTGGAATCGTGTTCCTGTAACGAATTATCCAAGTTGCGAGATCCAAACTAGAACTCGGGGCGTACTAGATGGCTTCAGAAGGAACTCAATCATGACTGACCCAGAATAGTAGACGCCCAGGTACCAAGGGACTTATGATTTTGTTGCGGTGGAGAGAATGGTGCGGGGTAAGTGATTTCATTACCCATTCAAACCAAGGAACGAACTCGAGGACTAGAAACCTATGAACAAAATTAATAATGGCCGTGCATCTAGTTCGAGAAATGCACATCAAAGTTCAGATGCTAGCAGTCAAGGAACAGAAGCTATCACCTAAGTTCATTGAAACCACGGGCGCGTACATCACTTGGTCGAGGCAACAGGAGTACAAGGAACTGAGACGGAGAGTAGCAAGACCGGTGATATTGCAAATGTCCATTCGCGGGAGGAGTCCGTCGTTACACGCGGGAGATTTTCATCCATCCAAACCGACCCGAGAGCAAAGTGATGATGAACCTCGCGTTCGAACGGGCTGGCAACTCGTTCCGTGACGAACACAGACACGGGAGCTTTTGCTCGTAAAGAATAATGGCATCATCATGCTGGGTAGTCGTCATAGGTCACCGGTCAACAGTCTAGCCTACTGTTCATCTCAATAACGTGAGAAACGTCAACCGAGGAAATGAAGGAACTCAGTTTGACGCGAGCCTTGTATGTAGTTGAATTTCGCAGAAGAGGATCATACAGGGAACAGCTGTTCCGCCCGTGAGATGGAAGAAAGATGGACGACGTGTGGAATGCAAAGCGAACAATTGGAATAAAATCCAGCCTTGGCAAAATAAGTCAGGGTTGGCATTGACTTTAGTATGCAGAAAAGCTCACTCTCCAAGGTCTAGCCTCGCAGCCTCAAGGATGGATTCATTCCACGGCTCCAACACAGACCTCCCAATGTCCGCACTCCTAGGACATGTATCCATTCCATAGGCTCCCTTCATTTCATTTATCGGACTGGGAGGATGGTAACCGGTATCCCGTTATTTGGTTCCCGCCGGGTATGAGAGAAGGGATGTGACGTTTAAAAGTTTAATTTACGCGATGCGCCGATCGTTACCCGTTGTCATGTGAATTGCTTCCTCGTTCCTTGGAGTTGGACAAGCAGGGTTGCCAGTTCGTTGGGGGGTTCGTCACCGAGCCCTTCTTCATTAATTTGATGGTAACCCGCTATTTCGGACCTTTGCCAAGGATGGGAACCCCGACATTGGCGTGTTTTGCTGCGGTCAACTTGGAGGTCTTGTGAATGAGAAAAAGAAGCATCGGACTTTGTCTATCATAAACCAAGGTTTGGGGACTTGGAACGTACTTCCTCCGGGATCCCCGAAATAGCTTCAATCCAGTCACAAGTCCGGGAAGCTTTGTTTTATGACGCATTCTCCACTCGTGGAAAAAGAAGCATGAAGTTAGCATTGCGTCATACCAGAGCGCAGCATCTCGTTATTTTAAGCGACCTCTTCCATCTCTGTTCCTCGTATATGAGCCTGGTAAGAATGGTTCAGTGCTCCCTGGATTGTCCACTTTGGAATCCAACCCCGTAGCTAGTGTCGAGCCGACTCGTTTAACTAGAGAATTGGACTTCTCGCGTCTCACGGTTGCGCCCCCAGAGAAGACGCCAGGTCTAGTCATAGAATATGAACGGATGCAGGTAACGATAGAAAGTTCCATACAGTACGATATCAAGGATGACGGGAACTCCAAGGCCCGTGTTGAGCTGAATTGTTCTTTCATTTCCTCGTTTGACCAGAAGGGTTGACTTCTAGCGTAGTATCATGCCCAGCGCCCGCGCCCCCAGGGTAGACACCGGGTCCTATCATAGAACACAAATAGGTGCAGGTAACGATAGAAAGTTCTATACAATACTATATTAAAGACCACGGACAGCCACCCGAGTCCGACGTGATATTGAGTTGTGAGATAAGCAATCGTGCAAAGTCGACTTTGAGTTCCCGAGCACTGATTGTTTGGACATCGACTCCGCAGCAAGTATTCAGTAGAGGGGTATTCAAAAACATCTGTCTGAAGGGGAGGGAACGGGGCAAGCCGCGCCCCCCTCCCACATTTGTTGAATTCAGATACTGCGGTATTTTTCATGTTCTCTGGTATTAATTTAATCAGCCACGTTCATATCCAACTCAAATTCGTGGGAGTAGAACTCACCGGTATTAAGTGAAGTGAAGCATCAGCTCTGTGGGCTCGTGCGATACGTCAGTGAAATGCCTCGTGTAAAGTAGCCCGTGAGTGCAGAGAGATGTCAAACTACGATCACAGACTGTTCCTGTTTTAATTTGCTGCGGGGCTGGGGTTCAACTGTCGGGGCGGGGAACCTGAAACTCCCGAGGGTGAATTATTGCAGAAGAGAAAGAATTACTTATCTGAAAACGACGGAGGGTGGATAGCATTCAGCGTAGGTGACGATTAAAAATACTGTATACGACCGGGGAGTATGAGAATATCAACTTCATGTTCCTGAGAGGTATGAAACGACATCCAGAAAATAGCAGGTATTCGGCAGACGGGATATTGGTCTAACGAGAGTTACTAGAGTCGAACGGAAGGTGCGGTTCCCAGAAGAAGGCCCGGGAGCGAGGTACCTTTTTAATAGTAAGCTCCATCTCGAGTCTGCGGATGACCAACCGTTCATGTTCTACGAAGATGAACTTCTGAGCCCGGAAATGAACAATACCGGTGTATAATTTGGCGCTTGTCGTATGTTTCCGAACAGCATGTTTCTGAGACGTGCTGTCATGAGGAAATCCTTGGTTTGAAGGAGGGCGGAGGGAGGTCCCAGTACGTTCCTGTTTAATTTACTCAAAGTTCAGGGAGGGTGGCGGCGGGCTCAAATTAAGCCTGCCAGCGGGTGGCGGAAGATATGCAGGGCGGTGTTTATTTAATTCGAAGGGGGCGGGCCCGAGGAAGGTTCGGATGTATGTCAACGTAGGAGGAGACCCCGTTGCATTCCAGAAAGAGGCAGCGCGACGTGAGCGTGAGTACTACTAATAAGAGCAAACAAATATCGTCATCCCGCCCGATGCTTCCTTCAAGCGGCGCTTTCTTCTTTCATGCAATGTGCATTATGGTTCAATAGGTCGCGGGCCTCGTAGGTTCCTCCTCTGCCTAGGAAGGATTACTAATTGAGGATACAAAAACCAGCATTCTTCCCGGTGCTTATGTTTTGGTTCCCTGCTCTGAATCCAAGTCATTAGAGGTTCTTCATTCATCACTCTTCTCCAGTGCACCCTCTATTTAGAGGCGATTTCCCCCAGGTTAGCTTCATTTCGTTTTTTATATCAACTTCCCTTCCTTGACCATAGATACCGGAGTCATGTTCCGAGGTTCTTCGTTGATTCATTAACCCTTCCCCGTGGCAAGCGCGTCCTCTATTTGGAGACAATGCTCCCTAGGTTAAGGTAGATACCGCCACCATACGCCGTCGAAATTCCGTTAGCATTTGGGTACTTATGCGATAGACTTTATCCCCGGACTCCAACCGTCGCACGAATAGTTCCTGGCGGGTAGTCTCGACCCTCGTGAAATATCCCGACTTGAAGCGGAGAGTAGATATCAAAACTTTGACGCGTCGCCCTGACTGGTGTACATATGTGTATTCCTTTCTGATATTAACCCACTCCTTGCGTGCGACACTCTTTTTTCCCTGGGCCACAAGATCAAAATGCCAAAGAATGGTAAAGACGAGAAAACACGAAATAATTGCTTCATTTCGGCACTAGTTCCCCTCCTACGTGGTTCTCACTGCACTAGAGTTCACATGTCATCCCAGAGTTTAAAAGTCCGCATCTTTTTTTTTTTTTCATTTACTCATGATCCCCCTCCCCTCCGCGAGGAGAATTCCTTCATTTCGGGACCAGATACGTATCAGCCACTGTAGTTCTTGAGCTTGGAGGGGGAGGGCGAAATCCCAGTCAGGCATCGAGGAGTGACCAAGGTCTGTTTTAATTCACTTTTGGGAACTCGCATTCATATCCCGGGATCTACTTCTTCAGAGGGAGGGACAGTCGAGACCGCGAAAGAAATGAAATGATGAAGGTTGCGGCGACGGATACTGACTACACGGCAAGGTTACTCAGATCAAGTTCGTGCTCGTGCTATGGGGTCCGGTAAATATCTAATTCGAGGCCGCGAAGGAGGATAGGACGTATCTGAAAACTGTTATCAAGAGAGGACGACTCCGTTACATTCCAGGAAACGACTTCGAGCGGGACAAACGAGTGATAGGACGAGAAAACACCATTTAGTTCCTTCATTTCGGCGGTAGTTGCTCTGCCTACGCGCTACCTTCTTCATAGTAACTTGATGCAGCATAGTCATTCTAAAATTTAAAGCTCGTATCTCATGGGAATTCACAGTCAGGTGAGAAAAGAACGAGAATGAAATGATGACGGTTGTGGCGAGCGGTGCGATATGAAGTATCAGCCACAGAATAGCGTACATGGTGTATGTTCCTATTTAATTTACTCAAAGCAAGTGCGCACGTCCGGTATTATCAAAATTTGGACTCGTCGTCCTAAATGGTGTATACAGTAAACTGCCTTGTACATTTCTGATATCAACCCGCCCACTCCTCGCGTGCGACTCTCTTTTCTTCTTGGCGTACAACATCAAAACGCGAAGGAACAGTACGACGAGAAAACCCTTCATTCCGGCACCATTTCCCCTCCTACCTTGCATGTCATCCCAGAGTTTTTAAAGTCCGCGTTTGTTTTCATTTACTCATGATCCCCTTCTCCTCCGGAAGGAGGAGTATCCAGCCACCATGAGGGAAATTCCTTTTCATTTCGGTACCAGTTTATTGAGCATACGTATCAGCCACCGCATTTCTTGTTGGAGGGGGGGGATCTGTCCAAGGTCGTGTTCGTGTCTGTTTTAATGTACTCTTTGGACTCCTCACACTCCTATCCCGGGGGTCTACTCCTTCAGAGAGGAGGAGGGGGGAGACCGCGCTAGAAATGAAATGAAGTATCAGCCACAAATGCTGACTACATGGTGAGATCCCAGGCCGTTTATTCGAGACGAAATTAACCCAGTGCGCGCACGTTCGAAGAAGTATTGATATTTAATTTACGGGCCCGAAGGGGGATGGAATGTATCTGGAAACTGTCATCAGCGTAGAAGAGAGGGAGTGAGAGACCCCGTTAGTATATTCCAGAAAAGAGTTCTAGCGAGACAAGATTATCGTGATCCCGACCGTCCAAATTTGACGCGTCGCCCACACGTGCGTGTGCATTTCTTAACTCACTCTCTGCGTGTGATTTATCAACATGATAGGACGAGAAAACGCGAATTATTTTGCTTCATTTCGGCGACAGTTGCTCCTCCTACGTTCATGATATCTCGATGGGGATGTGCGAAATCCCAGCCTGAGGGTGCACTGGAGTTTTAAAGTTCGTGTCTCATGGGAACTCACAGGTTGTGGCGAGTGTGATATGAAGTATCAGCCACCTCGGGCGGCGTGCGTTCCTATTTAATTTACTCAAAGTAAAATTAACCCAGCGCCAGGATAGGGCTCGAGGGTCCAGGGAGGATTTAGTAGAAGACTCTGCCTAGAGCGGTATTTTTCGATAATTCCCAGTCTTTCATCCGGGTTGTAAATAATGATACCCTCCTTCTCACAGGGTTTTTCATCACGAGTCTGGGTGGAAAAATACGAAATTCCTGAGCGTCCTTCATTTCGGGACCAGTTCCTGCACGTACGTCTTGCGATATGGATTATCAGATACTACATCAATTAGGTAACGTTGGAAAGGGAGCGGAATTCCAGGGAGACCTGTCCGTCCAGTATTAACTATCAGCCACCGGAGGGCCTGTTCATCGTATGCCATCCTAGAGTCGAAACTCTGTCTCTGTTTTAATTTACTCAAGTAGATCCACGATGGGTAGTAAGTACTCATACTCATTATTCCGTGTATCATTTCTTCACCTCCCCTCCTCCTCCTCCTCCTCCTCATTTCGGGAACCACCATTTCTATTCCTTCTTTGAGTGAAAAGAAAACACGAGAGAAATGATGTAGGCTGTGGCGCGGTGTATCAGCCACAGATATAAAGCGGAATACCTATTTCAAGTTAATTTTACTCAAAGCAGCCAGGCTCAGACGCGTTAAATTAACCGTGCGCGCACGCCGGGTCCGGTATTTAACCATAGGATTTATCTGAAAGGGAGCGACGCGACAGGCATCTCGTTAACAACTCCGGGATCGTTTGTAAGAATTTCACCCGAGTAGTAAGGATAACCCCCGTTGACTGTTAGAAAACTAAGCTGCGTTGATCTCCCCTTCTCCAACGCGAGCTCGCCTCAATTAGTTGTTCATTTTCCCCATATTTACACCCGATGATATTAATGTACGGCATCCCATAGTCCGAGTCAGTATGCGCCATTTGAACGTGAATGTAGCGAGTGACGGCTCCGGAACGTATCTAGTGCGAGATGAAAGTTCCTGTTACTCAGAGCGGTGGCGACGGAGAAGTTTCGAAACAACTCTTCTTACCTCCCCCCGTGTTAGGCGGCTTTTGCCCTCCGTCGCGAGGGCCTTCCTATACCTGTGCAATATTAAGTATCAATCACCACTCTTTAACGGCGTCCATGTACGGCGTAGGTGGGTTTGTCGTGCTGTATACATTGTGCGCGCCATTTGAATGCGTGGCCCCGAGGTACGGTATATGGGTGTATCAGCCACGTCCGGAAAGTATCTAGTGCGAGATGAAGTATCAGCCACAGCTGCCGTGACTGACCTCGCGCGGCGCACATACAACTCGTTCCTATCACTCAGAGCGGTGGAGAGAGAAAAACTACGACGGTGAATCGGGAAGTCCATGTTCCCGTTCCAAGATATTCACGCGGCAGAATAACGCGGTAAAGGTATTATCCTCCCCCTCCTGTGTTAGGGATGATATTTTCCCATTGCTTTGGTTGTCGGTGTCAAGCGCGCGGTATTAAGTATCAGCCACCGCTCTTAAAGACTTATGCCCGGCGACCATAAGGTCTCCGGTGCAATATGAAGTATCAGCCACAAGCCATGAAACCCCCCCCCTCGTTCCTATTACTCAAAGCGGCGGAGAGAAATATAACTCTCCAGGGATCAGAAAGCTGTCTGTTTCGGTCCTAGGAAGATTTGACGCGTATTACCGGTATCCCGTTAAAAGTCGTGTCTGGTCGAGTGAGATATTAAGTATCCAAGTACGGAGCGGAGCTCGTTCCTAAGGGAAGGGAATATTAACATGTCCAATTGCCGCGCGAAACTCGAATTACCGAATCGTAATGAGGTAGTGGTCGCCGTCGTTCCCATACGCAACACAATATGCCACCGCTCGCAAGGCCAAGGAGGGGAAGGAGACATCAAGTACCATAGCTTCCCGGCCCGGTACGTATTTGTCGGTATTCTTCCTCCATATGCATCTGTTCACCGTAATGAAGTGAAGTATCAACGACCGGCGACAATTTTCCCCTTCATTGGTTACCGGGATGAAATTCCGCTATCAAGTATCAGCCACCACACCCGGCGACCTAGCCACAGAATTGCCTCGTTCCCAAGCATTTTCGCATTTAATTTTACTCAAAGCGGGGAAAGAAACACGCCACGAGGTTAGGCTCAAAGCAGTGGGGTGAAATGAAATGACGCGGGAGTCCGCAAGAAGAAGGGAAGAAGGGAAGGGAGAAGATAACAGCGGATGTAAATTAACCCGCGGCGTCATCATGATCGTTTTCTTTTAATATGACAGTAAGAGTAAAAAAGCGCGTCAGGTGTTATGATGGCCGTATTGAAAAAGAAAAACGTGGTTCCAGTAGAGTAGGAAGACCTGAGGTTGCACGCGGGAGTGAACGCTAACGCATGCTGCAAGGATTCGCCGACAGCGCCAAGGAGGAAGTCGTACCCTGACCCCAAGCGAACCCCACGTGGCAAAGGAATTAAAGTTTTAAATTTGTGTGCCGAGTTAATTATCGGGATGATGTTCGGAAATTGAAGTTGATTGGTTTCATGTTTGTTTCTTCGCTAGAGGGGGACGTTAATTGCGGATGGCGGATGAGGGGGGGGTATTTAAGGAGGGATGGGGGGAGGGAAGGTAGAGAGAGGATTTGAATTTGGATTTGGACTTGCGGTGAGTTGGCTCTTTGTGTGGGTTGTGTCGATGGCTGATAGGTTTCTCGTTAGGATCCACAACGACTTGAAATAAGATGACTAGTATTGCATTTATTCGACGACAGAGCCGCTGTTGGATGGGCGACGTAACGCCTAGCGACTACAGGGTCGCACGACGGCGGCACGCCGACAAACTACGGTCTATCTGCGATACGACGACGACGGCCGCCAGCAGACGCAGACAAACCTTCCCCACCCACATCCCCAACCACGAAGACAGAAGACTCACCTGATAACAACAACATGCCTTCGCCAGCATCGACACTCCCATACGACGTCCTCCGGGAGATCTTCACCCTGTGCGTGTCCTCCCTCCCCCCGCAAGCCGACTTCCTCTCCAACCCCGCGTGGACGCTCACGCAAGTCTGCGGACACTGGCGCACGGCGGGGGTGAGCCTCCCGGCGCTGTGGATGCGGGTGCATGTGAATTTCGATGTGGTGGCGCTGCATCCGAGGGTGGAGAGGGTGGTGTGGTGTTTGGAGAGGCATTTGGAGAGGGGGAGAGGAGGGAAGGGGGGTGAGGCTCCGGGTTAGTGGGAGGATCCCAGTTTGTGGGGGGAATCCGTTAGTGGGGTGTTTGAGGGGGAGGAGGAGGGAGGTGGAGGTTGATCTTGGGGGGGAGGAGAGTGTGCGGGCTGTGTTGGGGAGTGGGAGGGGGAGGGAGGTGGAGGGACTGGTGTTTGTGAATCCGGGTGGGGGGAGGTTCGATAGGGCGTTTGAGGAAGCGGAACCGGTGAAACTGGGGAACGTGAAGAGGATGCGGACGTGTGGGTACCCTGCAGGGGTCCTGGGTGTGCGGTGGGAGGGTCTGGAGGAGTGGGAATTCGAGAAAGGGCGTTGAAGAGGGCGGGTATTGTGTTCTGGCGGGGGGCGGGGCTGTGTCGGGGCGTGCCGACGTATGAGCAGAATCTGGAGTGGGTGGAGAGGATGAGGGCGGTGAGGGTGTTTAGGAGCTGGGTGACGCCGGCGGTGGTGGCCGGGTGGCCGGTTAGGCATGATGTCATACGCGAGTTGTGGGTTCGCGCGGGGGGGGAGGGCGTGGGAGGGTTACTTGCGTGGTTGGAACTACCAAAGTTGGAAGTGCTGGGTGTGCTTGGGGGAGGGGACGCGTTGGCGCTGAGAGGGTTAGTCCGGAGGTCGGGGTGCGTCGTCAAGGTGCTCGGCGTGTCGGTGTCGGGTGGGGAAGGAATTCGGGACGTCCTCGGAGAAGTGAGGGACGTGGAGCGGCTTGTTGTTGTGGGAGGAGGCGTACTCGAAGAGAAGGATTTGCGGAAAGTGCTCCCCAAGCTGCTTGTTGTAGAATAGAGACAGAGCTATCCAAAATAGGACATGTCTGATTGTGTAATCGGAACCAACAAATAAAAAGTTTTGGGCGGTGATCGGGTTTCCACTCCTTTATTCCTACTAATACTATCGACCGACCGACGTTTCTTGTTATCATGTCACAGTCTATGCCCACGGTGAGTGTTCCAGCTGCGATGAGGACGGCTAATGTAACGCCGGCGTAGGACGGTCTGAGTCTTCTCTCGCTTTCCGTGGCCGCAGCCAATGCCCAGCCAATCCCAGAGTCGAAGCACCGCCGTCTCTCCTCGACCGGCAAGGCGAGGAGGAGGCTCAGTGATGCTAGAGATGCTGCTTCTCGCCCTTCGTGAGTCTCCTCGCCGCCTCCATTGCCCTCACTCTCATACCCTTTCCTGCCAGGCCATCCTCCCTATCTGGCACCACCCCCGACGAGCTCGCAGGCATCTCCAGCCCGGTAGTCATACCCAAGAACGGCAAGAAACGCGGTGTGGATCATAAATGCGAGAGCTGCTCCAAGGTCCGTCCCCTCCCTCATCCCCATTCTATCCTATCCGTCTTGCTCAGACTGGCTGCGCAGATCTACCGCCACCCCTCCTGCCTCATCAAACACCGCTGGGAACACACTCCCCACTGGCGCGAGTCCAGCAAGTACGTCCTGAGCAAACACCAGCAGGTCCAGCTCCTCGAGGCTGCGGCGATTCTCTCCCACCTCAAGAGTGAGAGTTTACCGGAGGATAGGAGTTTGTGGCCGAGTTTCCTTAGTGGTGGTGTGGGGGCTGGTGGAGGGAGTAGTAGTGTGCCGGTGGGTAGGGCGGGAGGACCGAGGATGCATGATTATGATGTGCAGGAGGGGACCCCGATGGAGGTGTTGGCGCCGAGGTTTGAGTATGGGAGTGTGGGGGAGAGTGTGCCCGAGTCGGACGAGGAGGAGGAAGGGGAGAGCGAGGAGGAGGAAGAGGAAGAGGTTTGGGAGGAGAGGACTAAGCAGGAGGAAGGGGAGGAGTGGGATGGGTTCGATATGGATATGGATTAATCGGTGCGCATTGCTCTCATGATCACATCACGACTTGCATGGTTTCCTTCTCTTTCGCGCTTCGCTTTTTATCACGGACAGTCAACCAAGAATCAAACGCAAATCCTTGTATTAGTATTAGTTGTTTTTTATGTATGTACACCACTTTGGAATTTTGTCGAATCAATGGGAATGGGCTTTTATGGTGACACGTATTTTTGGGCGCTTAGTTCGGGGGGTCGGACCGGTGCCGAGGAGCCTCTACACCGAGTTGGTCGAACGTCGACTAGGCTTTTGTTATACCATCGCGCAAGACCCCTCCAGTTTTAGTCGTTCTTGTTTTGGTTCCTGTTCCACGCTTAGGAAGTCTCGCTGTTGTTTTGTTCACCGGCACCCCTCGCGCTTTATTTCTCATTCGTCCGAGTCCACGTTTTCTGCCCTCCTTCAGTGGGTCGTTCCGAGTCTTCTCTTGTATTTGTTTCCGTTCCCAAGCAAGGAGTCGTCCTCGCGTTTCGTTTCTTACTCTTTTTTTTTTTACTTATTTAACTCTCGCGCGTACTTACCTCTTTTTCCCCGAGTCATTGCTATCTTCTTCTCTTGTGCAGTACCCTGGCTGGTTTTTGGTGATAGTCTTTCGCTACTCTCTATATCGCCGGTGTTTTCTCGGTATTCAAAACCTTACCGGTTCGCGAGTTTGTCTTCCTTGGTTCTGGTTCTCCGTAGGTGTTTTCTCGGTGCCTGCGGCGCGTCCCTGTGAAGTTTGTTTTTTTCGTACCCCGGTAGTTGTAGGAGGCCTACATCCCGGTCGTGTCCACTGTCGCCTCATTATTTTTTTATCACCCTTTTGACCCTTAGCTTGAACCCTCGAAACTGGTTTTTCGGTACGAGCCTTGTCCCCCTTGGTTTTTTTTTAGTGAGGCCTTTCTTTCTTTCTTTCTTTTTGGTAGAGATGTATTCACTTCGCCTCGTTGTTTGAGCAGCCCCCCCTCCCTTGGGTGCGTACTGATTCTTTGTTTTCGCTCCAGGTCACCACGTTTCGAGGTCATCGTGTACGTTGCCCCCCCCCATTTGTCGCTATGCGGTGACTTGTTTTTTTTTGGTGCTTCGGTGCCGAATTTTGGTTACCGGCTAGGCTCTTCTTGTGCGCGCCGTTCACCATCTCTTTGCCTAGTACCACTTTGCCCCGTCTAAGCTGGGGGGAACCGTTTTCCCTTGGCATACCATCGCACCAAAACCCTTTCGTGCACGTTTCCTCATTCCCGGCTGGCGGGTTTTGGTAATAACCTCCATATGACTCCTTACCCTCGTGAAGTTGGTTTTCGTACCCCCCCCCCCCCCTCCTCCTTGTTGCCCTTGGTTCCTAGGTGTTGTGTTTTCGTGAGCCCTCCCGTCGTCTCTTGAGTTGGGGGGTTTTTGTGACTTGACCCACCCCCTTGCCTGTTCGGGATATCGGGCCGGTGCCGATTCGTTAGCACAAAAACCCTGGTCGTTCTTCTTTCGGTTTCATGCTAGGGATCGGACTAAGTGTATAAGCATGGTTCTCTTGGGGATCGCGCGTACCCCGTCCGAGTCCTCTTCTCTTATACTTTGCTTTCGTACCCTGGACCCCTGTTTTGAGCTGTGGGGTTTTTGGAATTTTTGGCTGGCTGGCTGGCTGGCTAGGTGGTGGGTTGTGTGGATTCCGTTCGTATCAATCGCTTGTTGAGGGTGGTGTATATGCATTTGTAGGTTCAGTGACTTTATCATTGCACCGCCTACCATCCAGGGTTGGGGCGATGAACACACCCCGCGGTTAACTTTGAGTTGTAATTTCTTTTGGCCGGCTGCTGGGTGTGGGTGTATACTTCCCCCAGCTGGAATATCCGTTCTTGTTCCTCATTGGTAGGTTACCCCCCGTTTCGAGGTCTTGCCAAGTGGTGCATATGATTTTTCGTTTGTTGCATTAATTATTTTTGGTGCTTGTCATCGCATTTTTATGATTGCTCCCCGTAAGATAGGTTACAGGCGATCGGTAGTTATACACCTAAGTCTTGCTCGCAATCTGTACCCTGGGTTTGCTCACCGTTCCCCCGGTTGAAGTCCGAGCTCGGTGACTTGTCTTAATCCCCTATTTGCCGGCGGGGGTGTATTAGTTCTTTTTTTTTCGTTCCAGGTCACCCCGTTTCGGGGCTCGTCGCGTTCGCTTTGAGGATGAGGCGTATATGCCTTCATTTGTCGCAGTACGAGACTTGTTTTTGGTGCTTATCATACTACTGTCTTGATGCCGGATTTTGGTTTTTTGGTTACCGGCTAGGCTCTTTCCTGCCGGTCTGTTTGGCGTCCTCTTCGTTTACGAAAATCAGAGTTGCATTACTCGAAATAGTGGGTACGGGTCTTTCCTGGCGGGCTTGGTCGGGAAGTCGGGCCGGTGCCAAGTCACCTACACCGAGTAAGTGCGTCGAACGTTGGGTTCCCACATCTCGGTCGTGTCGCCTCATTCTTTTATCACCCCCCTTGACCCTTGAAACTGAGTACATGCTTGTGTTTTCGCTCGGTGACTTGGTTTTTGGGTGCGAGCGTCTTTCCCTACGCTTTTGTTATCTCTTTTCGCGCCAACCTCCTCCCTTGGTTACCTGGTTTTGTGCTTGCACCCCGTTTCGAGGGATATGGGTGCGCCGTGCATACTTTAGTCGGTTCGGTGACTTTTTTTAAAAATTTTGGTGACTTCCGGCTACTTACTCTCATCTTCTCTCCGCGTACATATTTCTTTTGATATCCGGATTATGCGGATCTCCGTATTACAGGTTCGTCCCTAGTGTGTTGTTTTCTGCCCTTGATTAGGGAGAGAGCGTGTTCTTTCTTTTTTCCTCTCCGCGCAGTTCCATTTTGAGAATGAGGTGCGTATGTCTCCGGTACGATATACGGTGACTTGTTTTTGGTGCTTGTCTTGATGCGAGATCGGTACCGAATTTGGTTTTGTTCACCGGCTGGGCTCTTCTTTTCTGCTTTTCTGTTTCTTCTTCATTGGCGTGCACGCCATTCACAAAGCTTTATGGCATCCGCTTACTCGAAATATGGATGAGGGTCTTTACTCCTTCAAGTTCCGTGCTTGGTGGCTTGTTTCTGTCCTTCATCATTCATCTCGACGGTACCGGTTTGTTACTTCATACATATCGCGCTTAGGTGTTTCGTCTGTCGTCATTCTCTTCTCCTCTTTTAGACGGGAGATTGCGCGTTTTCCCCAATCACCCTCTGGTTTGACCAAAACGGCGTTTTGTCGGTGAGTTTGGTTTTTGTGCCCTGGTAGTTACTTGGTTGTTTTGTGGATTGGATTCGGTAACCGAGCTCTTGACAGCACCCTATTTTGACCCTCGAGCGCCTCCTTTTAAACTGGGTATGCTTTGGAGGCGCCGGTGACTTTGGTTTTTTTTTTTTTGAGCTTCCGGGACATAGGTTATTAGCTCTCGGTAACTTGTTCATTGGCGCCGGCTACCTACTCTTTCTTTCTTTTTAGGTAGAGATGAATTCGTCATGAGGTGGTGCGCACTGCATATGATTAGACATTGCGTTGGGTCGGCCTCCATAACAATTGGTACATGTACCGAGTTTTTGTTTTATTTACCGGCTGGGCTCTTTCCCGGTTTTCTTTTACTAACCATTTACTAAGCCAGGCATTGAGAGTGGGGGTCTTATTTTCTTTCCTTGTTTCCGTCCCTCATTATGGTACCACTTGGGGTGTGTTGTCATTGTTACCACTTCATCTGTCGTTTAGGTGCATTGGTCGCCTTGTCATTGCTATCTCTTTCCCTGGCTGGCTGGCTGACCGGCCTTTTCTCGGTGGTGGCTAGCGAGTTTGTTTTTGTGCCCCGGTAGTTACTACTTGGGTTTGTGGACTGTGCTTTCTGGTCGTCGCTTAGGTGTGTTTGTTCGTTTTATCGTTGCTATCTCTGGCTGACCGAAATTAGATGGGTACCGGCGTTTTCCCGGTTGTTTTTGTGCTCTCCGTTCGCCTCCCCGTTTCAACTGCATGTGTAGGTATGTTTCTCTGACTAGTTCGCCGTTTCTTCTTCTTCTTATCTTTTCTGGTGAGTGTCTTTTTGTCTTCCCTCTTGGTGCTTGCCTTTTCTGAGGGTGTACCCTGTTTCGAGGCCAACTAGATCGGTACCGGCCTTTATTCACCGGCTAGGAGGGGGTTCTGCTTTAACGCTAGGCCTAGTTTCGCGCCTCTCCTTGTTTTGGTGATGTCCCCCCGCCTTTCGAGCTTTACTCTACCGGTTAGGTTCGATTTAGGAAAGGAATGGCCGTGTTACTCGTAGGCAAGGGTTTAAATTGGTGACTACTGGTGGGTTGCAAAGTTCGGAGGATGTGCTTTGCCGTTCATCTATCACATATCGCATGTTACTGTTTCATTTCTCGAGAGCGTCGCTTGGAGAAGGGGGGGTGGGTGCGCACGTTCCTTTTGGTTTCGTAGCCCGCTTCCTTTCTGATGTCCGAGATCTAGAATGTCGTGTCGTATCGGTAACCCGGAATCATTTCTGTTGGCCGTGGAATCGGTTACTCATGTTCGATGTTCATGTTCATGTGTTTAGTCCATCCGTTCTCTTGCGGCTACTTATTTCTACCCATGTGCTGCCAGCGTGAATGATACCCTCCCTCAAAGACCGTTGTTCTCACATTCTCTTGCGGAGACCCTACTGGTATCTTCTCCTCGTGTTGTTCGCAGGTAATGTGATATGATATGGTGTTCCTGTGGCGTTTTCACATTCCGAGGGCGTCGCTGTTTTTCTTAGTATTACATGTAGATGAGGGAGCAATGTTATTTTCTTCCCTGGAGACTGGGTGTTCGGGGCGGTGATGTGGTTTCTTGTGACTGGGGGTTTTTGCCGGTGACGTCGGTTAGTGGTAGCATGTGTTTGTGCATGTGAAGGTGCTGCTGAAGTTATCGGCAAGAAGAGAGGGAGTGTGTATGTATTCGATGTTCGTTCGGCGTTTAATTAACTTCAAGTGGGGATTGGATTTGGATTTGTGTTCTATGTTCTCGGCGGGTGTTCCCCCTGAGAATTGGATTTTCTGTTCGATGCGCTGGTCTTCCCTCCGCCGGCAGATTCTCGGGGTTTGCCTTGGGATTGGTCTTGTGTAAGGTTCTTTGTGGGAATTGTTTGAGTTCTTTGGATTGATGGTACGCTTTGGGAAATGGGAACTCGTGGTTTTGTGATTCTTATGACGAGGTGAATTTAATTGATGATGCGCTCTGTGCATAGACTCGTGTTTTGGATTACGAAGGAGGGTTTTCTTATGATGACATGGCCCGAGGTCTTCTACGCGACGGATTCAAATTTTAATTCTGCTTGTATTCTGAAGGGTCCTGTCTGTGGCGCTGTTGTATATTGAACTGCCGAGGGCAGCGTGCGGGGTGCTGATGTCATTCTAATTTCTCATGACCTCTACTGACGTGGATTCGGCGTGTATACGCAAATTATCTACGAATTGTTCTCTCGTACGATTTTCCCGTCGGCGTTTAATTATAAAGTCAGGTGGGAGGTTCCTGGATATTGGGTATTGGATTTTTTTTTCGAATTGTGATGGTGGACTCGGGGTTTACCGACCGTTGCGATAAGATTTTTTGGTTTGATGTTCTATGGCTTGGGGGTGAGGAAGACGAGTTTGTATTGTGTGCCGGTACTACTACCATGGCCCGAGGTGGGTTTAGCTGTCAAGGAGAGTTCCTTCTACTGAGAAGTTGTTGAGCTCACGAGTTTTGGATTATGCCTTGGCCCGCTCAAGGATTACTTAGCTGTCACAGAGATTTCCTTCTAGTAGCAGTAGCGGTAAGTAGGCGAATTCGATTTTTAATCTTGTGTGGGTTCCTGCTGCGAGGATAAGGACTTGGACTAGCGAATTTGGATTTGAGTGAGTCATATATTATCATGAATGTAATAATCCCAAGTGGCCTCGTTCCCGGGAATAACGCTCGTGCAGGATTTATGAATGTTAGGAGTCGACCTAGGAATTTATGAATGGTTGGACCTAGAATGAGGAAGGAGGGGCTGGTTATGAAGGATTAATCACCGACTCCTTGGTCTGGGCCGCGTTTTCGATCTTTCAGCATGAGGATACCCGGTAGATTGGTGGTGGGAGGATGTGAGCGTTAGATCCTCAGGGGGAAAGAACCGGTGCGAGGATCCGATGGTGGGGGCCTGAGTTCGGCGTCTTCCTGGTGGTTCTGATACGTGCATGGGAGGATTGGATTGGAATATGAGGGTCCTTGCGTATTGTTCACGGAGGGCAGGACCGGACTGTGAGATTGGGACGTGTGCTCCTCGAGGTTACCAACTTGCGCGTTTTGTCCGTCCTTTCGTAAACATGTCAAAGATCGGCGAAGGTTAATGTGAATGCTTTACGGGCCAGGAACTGGATGTTATAAGTGTGATTATGAATGAATGCTGACGGTGAAATTTGAATGAGGTTTCAGCGCGGAAGAAGAGTTTGAGGACGACGATAGAGAGCAGATGAGAAGGGCGTCAGTTGGCATATGTTTTCATTGAAATTGTTATGTTATGACACAACGTGAGAGGTAAGTAAGCATAGGCCCGAGGAGATGTTGCTATGGCGTCCGACAAAGCGACATCGGGACCGTTGGAGTTTTTTGTGGGTGTCGGGTAAGATGTAGGGCTGCCATTTATACTTGAAAGCAGAATGACACGGCACCGACGTTTGACACATAGTAAGAATGAAGCACCCACTCTCCCCTCCTCCGGGAAGGATATATGTAAGGTAAAAAGAGCCCTTCTCCCGGTCCTAGCAACGGGCCATAACGTGACTTACGGTCAGTCATCACTCCGGAGTGGCCCAAGCAAGATCTGACCGAGGACCGATTGAAGGAAGAAAAAAAAAGTTCCACGGAGGCAATAATCATATCAGAGGAAGAAAGAGGAAATCTGAACACGAGGTGATCGTGGCGACCCTGACCGATGAAGGACCCTCACTCTCCCACTGGTTCCTCGGTCACTTGTTTTTCTTTTGCTCCGAAGGCCCCTACCCTTGCAGCACGGACTCGGAGGATGTAAATTTCGCCAGAGGATCTCGCCGAATTACGGTTACATAAGAGATGAAAAAAGGGGCCGGCGGCGGTTTTGCGAGGTTCTCTCAAAAAGCGCCAGCTATGTGAGGGCTATTTTAATTTGAACCCCCCACTGCTCCTCCCATTTCATCCCATCGAACCCCACCTTTCTTTTCCTTCCTTACGTTCTCTTCCTCCTACCACCACCATCGCCACCACCACCACCACCACCGACATTGACGACGACTACGACGACACGAACGAATCCGATGCTCTTTATTACACTAGTGACGATAGCACTATTCGTGTTCGCCTGGAAGCGTACACTACGACAACCACGCTCCTCGGTGCCGCTACCGCCAGGTCCCAAGCCTCTTTGGCTATTGGGCAACGTCTTCGATCTAACAGCGAAGGAGCTCTGGCTCGTCGTCACGAAATGGGGGAAGAAATTCGGTATGTTTTCCTCTCACCGTCTTCTCGCTTTGAGAAAGCTGATTATATGCGCCTAAGGCGACGTCGTCTACATCCACGTCTTTGGTCAGGGACTAGTGTTCCTGAACAGCCCAGAAGCAGTCAATGATTTACTGGATAAGCGGGGCTCTGTGTACTCTGATAAGCCACAACTAGTTATGATTGGAGAGTTGTGCGTGTTTTGCTTTTTTCTCCGGTTTGGACGCGTCCTTATTGATTCCGCAGATGTGGATGCAAGAATATGGTACGCCACTCCACGCGTTGTCTAGACCCTGTATCACTCATTTAGGGCGACAGGTCGCATTTACCGGCTACGGCGACAAAATGAGGAGGCAGCGTAAAATCCTGACGAGCGCTCTGGGTATCAAGGCCGTTCCGGCGTATCATCCGCTTATGGAAGAGGAGACGCAGGTGTTTTTGAGGAGGCTTTTGGCTACCCCCGATGAGCATTTGCTCCATACGCGCAGGTATGCTGGAGGACTTACCCTCTCGGTATTGTACGGCTACACGGTCGAGTCCAATGACGACCAGTTTCTCCGAATGGCCGAAGAGTGCGTGGATATCCTCTCAAACAGAATCGCATCTGGCGGAGGGATTTGGCCGGTGGATATCTTCCCTTCGTTGAAGAACTGGCCTCTCTGGGCTCCAGGCTCTGGGTTCAGGAAGAACGCGATGATCTGGAAGGCCAAGATGGAGGAATTTGTGGAAAAGCCGTTCGAGTATACTCTCAGGTCGCTGGTATGTTTTCTTTGTCGTTTAGACTTTCTTCATCGCGCCTCATTTCGCGACAGAAATACGGGACTTATGCGCCTTCATTCTGCTCAAGACTGCTCGAGGAGATGGATAACCACTCTGATCAGTTTATGTTTGATCTCAAATGGACGGCGAACTCGATGTATTCCGCCAGTGGAGATACGGTGGGTTATATTCTTCTGTCCCTGGGGCTTATCGTTCATGAGCTTTCCAGACTATCACGACCGTCATGCATTTCATCTTGGCTATGATACTCCATCCCGAGGTACTCGAAAAAGCACGTCAAGAGATTGACAGCGTCGTTGGAACCGAACGTCTCCCCACTTTTGCTGACCGCGCTTCCTTGCCTTATGGTACGTGCGCTCGTAGCTCGCGTTCGGTTCCACTAATTTACGCATATATCTGCAGTTGATGCTATTTTGAAAGAGACCTGGAGATGGGGTGTTCCAGTTCCGCTATGTACGTGTGACCATCTCGAGCGAGACAGGATGATTGATTATGCCCTCTAGGCCTCCCGCATCGGCTCATGGAAGACGATGTCTATCGGGACATGCTCATCCCCAAAGGTTCTTTGGTAAGCGCCGAGCAGAACTTAATGGTTTTTCCGGGGTTTCTTATATGCGATCTTTGTTTTTTTGTGTAGGTATTTGGGAACATCTGGTGCGGAAGACTTCTCTTCCTTTTCATTAAACAACTCTGACCCGAAAGGTCATATTTAGGTCCATTCCTACGAGACGAGTCGATATATCCGAATCCTGATGCCTTTGAGCCGGAGAGGTTTTTGAAGCCTGTGGATCCTGTGACCGAGAAGCGGAGAGATGTGCGGAATTACGTGTTTGGATTCGGGAGACGGTGAGTCTTTTCGTGGCCATGGCTCGTATTGTTTTCGGGACTCATGGTGGCTTTGTAGGACGTGTCCTGGTTCACATCTCGTCGAGTCGTCGGCATGGCTGTTGATAGCGAGTATGCTGGCCATGCTGGACATAACGAAATCTGTGGACGATGAGGGTAACGTCATCGAACCTGTGGTGGAGTTCGATAATTCGGTGTTTAGGTATGTCTTCCTTTTTCTTCTTATCTACCTTCTCCCGTCGCTCACAGCAGACGGAACAGAACACCAAACCCATACAAGTGTACCATTAAGCCTCGATCTGAACAAGCTGTAAGGGTCATCAGTCAGGCGGGTCTGTAATTGCTATAAATATTGTTGTTGTTCTCGGTTTTCTTCTTTCGTTTGTGTTATTCTTAGTCTGTACTTATCATCATCATCAGCATGGGATGTTTTATTGCATCAATTTAATAATCATCACGCACGCAGTTTTTTTATCATCTCGGGCAGCGGGGGAGTGAGCAAGTTGTGTGTGGGTTCCTGAGGGAAGACAGGAAAGAATGTTCCCATGAGATAGATACACCGGTCGGGGGCTTTACTATGCTTCAGCTTCATGTGTGGTAGGCCTACCTGCAATCCTTCCTTGAATGAAGATTGACTTGGTGATCCCTAGTAATACTCGGTCCAAACAACCAACCAACCAATTTCGCTTGAAGAAAGAAGAAGATTACACCCCCCCCCCCAAAATCTAAACATACAACCTTTCCTCTCCTTCCACACGGCAAGTATGATCATGCGTGCGGAGCCAATACGGCTCGGCTAAATCATAATGCTTCTTCTTTCCGCATGCTAGTCAGTATCCCATATCCATTTATGTTGGGACGTGCTGGTGTGCGTCTCTTCCTTGTGTTCTTCCCCTATCTATCTCATGGCAGGCTTTGATGAAACTCTTGGTGCGCTGCTGGTTGGCGGGCTGGTAGGCTATGGCGTGTGTCTTGCCTTTGTGAATCGTTCTGAGCGAGGGCTGATTGGGATTTGGGTTTAGGCTCTGGGGTATAACCTGCGTGCAGACGTATACGTTCTTCACGACGAATCAGAGAGATCGGATGGCGTTCAAGTTTCTTGTGAGTGTCGTGAGTGTTAAACGTAGTTCCGATTGTTCATCTTGGATGGTAGATTGCATTCCTTCTGTGAGGCCCTCCCTCAAGTTCATTTCTAGCTAAGGCTCAATACCGTGTTAGTATCTTGGACACGTTCGACTCGGTGTTGAACGGGCACATTCTTTATTTTTATCTCGTCAAGAATTATTTGAACCCTTTGGCTATCTATGTGCCGACTTGGTATGTTATGTTTATATACGTAGACTCAGGGGACTCGTTGATCGTTTTTCGTTTTGTAGGAGTGTTATTGTGAGTGCTGTTAGTCTGAATGGGCGCGCGCGCTGAGATGTGATGGAGCTCCATGTTGCGATCACGGTACGTGTTTTGCTGTTTTTCGTTATCTCCTTCGGTCTTAGTATGAGTTCGCTTTTCCGTAGTCGATCTCTGATTTCATAATACGGAGGTGAGTTTTTTCTGCGCGCTCGGACTTGCGGGGTTCTAGCTCATGGACTACTACTACTAGTATGTTCGCTCGCCGGGTGTATCGATGTAGGACTGTTTCGAGCTGGATTAGTTGGACCGGTGCTGATCTAAACCTCGGTTTCATAGTGAGTAGTGGGAATAAAGTGATAACACTATGGATTGTGAGAGGGTCTTCTTTCCGAGGCCGACGATTTAGTGGCTGATCATCATCATCATTCAGGCGGCGGTATCGGTTACGGACTTGGGTATGCTATTCATTCATGATTGTGGGTTATACACGAGGTAGTAATCATGCGGTGTGGTTGGTTTCGCACAGTTTGTGGTATCGGTGAGTTCGACTATCCGTTATTCAATACGAAGAGTTTTTTTATATTATATTCAAAACAGTGATCACCGCTAAAGCGTCCGTTGGCATTTGTCTTTTTTTAAATGTGTGAGACAAGGATTCTGAACTTACATACAGGTTTGGGATCTCGAGTTATCTGGAGCTGGATAAACTCTCGGTGCGTGTTGGTGTGGTGGAACGCGAGGTGATGTTTTTATTGATTTGTTTGATATTTTTAGTCATTGTTGTACTTGAACTTCGCGGCGGGTACCACGAGTGACGTGAGCGTCGCGCTCGCATTGTGTTATTATCTCTACGCCTCCCGTACAGGGTTCCAAAGGTGATGCTATGATTCCTCAAAACACCGTGTGAGGGGCACTAATATTGCCTACTAGGACCGACTCGCTGATAACTATTCTCATGGCGTATACGGTGAACACCGGATTGGTGGTCGCGTACGTGTTCAACTTCTCCCTTCATATCGCCGTTCACATGAATTGACCGCCGTACAGAGTCGACGCCGCACTTGGCATCGTTACGTATGCTGCGATGCCTCATAATCTCATATTCCTCGGTAAGTTAATTGAGTTGGCTCCAAGCTCTAGTCTTTCATTTCCTTATACCTAGGCTTCTACTTGCTTTTAAGCAAACGTGAGTACTCCGCGATCCGCAGCCTAGAACCTGGACTAATATGTGCTACCACTGGGCAGTATACCTAAACTCGTACCTCGCCAGTCTCAATGCTCGCCAAGGACTACGCGAGATGAGCAACCAACCCGTGTCCATCCAGTTCACAAACTTTGCGCAATCTTCCGGCCGGTTTACGAACACGAGCGAAGGTGAGGATACACAATCATCACGTCCTGTGTTGGGCGAGAAGGTGGGATTTATTGACGCTGTTATTGCACCCGGGCTCACTTAATCCTTCTCTTCTTAGCGATCACATCCGACGGCACTGTCACTCGAAACGGGTAATCTGCAAAAGAGATCCCAGCCAGATAGTAGCACCAGTTCAAATCCTTCTACGCCCATCACAGCAACGACGGCGACGTTGACCCCCGGTCTGGCTGTGTGAACACGCCGGACGTCTCGAGTGGATCTGCTACTTCTATACATATTCATTATTCATACTCTTAACTTGTTTTCCGCTTGTACAAAATGCCGAGATGGCGTACTAAATGAATACCACCACCGCCTACGCGTGTACACTTACTTTCATAATGGGTGCGGGATTCGATCTGAGCTCAAGTGGATATCTTCTTATACATGCATTCAGTTGTGAGGTAACTATTGCCGTCAATCATACACGACCTGCGGGAGACCACCGAGGATTGTTCGTAACTATGCCGTCCAGCCCACCTTCATACACGCCGTCCACACTCAGCTGCAGGTCGGGGGCAATAGTTGCATTAGCCTCCATCGCCCACAGTGCAACAGCGACGGTGCTACGGGTGCAGTTGTCAGATATAATTCTACTTTCCGTTTCGAGGAATTAGACAGGCTCACTTGGTTCCACTGTAATCGAGAATGCCTTGATGAACCGGGAACTTAGCTTGCGGCCTGGACGTAGATTATCAGCTCTTCGGCCACTGGATGACGTGACGTCCAGCTTACCCTAGGTTCCCGACTCGCTTGCCCATCATCCAGCCATTAACAAACAGGTACGCCCGGTAGGGTTGACCGAGCGGCTCATTGAAGTTGAAAGACATAGGCACGTCAAAACCTTCTGGAATATGCAGATCGAATGTCGTCACGAAGAAGCCGACGCCTGCTGCAGATTGGGGTAGACCATCATTTAGATCCCTCGACTCCCATGGCGACGTGTCGAATCCAGGCAAGTGCCAGCCTTTACGCTCGCCGTAAAGACCTCCTTCGTTGAACACGCCACGGGTCTTGTCGGGAAAGCTGACGGAACATTAGCTTTGCGTATACATATTTCACATTGGCGGTGGCACTCACTCAGTATATCCCCCGATTTTGCCCTGAACCCGCCACTGTGTGAACTTGCCGGAGTTGAGCTGGAATCCACGAATGCCACGAGGACTTTTAGGAGAATTGGGATTTGCTATGCATCACACAAAGGTTAGACGTTGACAGCTCCTAAGAACATGGCACGCACTTCCAGAAGTCTCGTTCAGGCCCATATTATCCTGCCAAGAAATACGTTAAAAGCAAATTGTGCGTCAGAAGTATACGCGCATACCTGGACTACTGTGATGACATTATCGCCCGGTAAAACAGCGCCTTCTGGGAATGTGAATACGTCATCCGTCTCCTCGAGAATGTTTCGGTTATTGGTGGAACTGGCAAGTGAACATAAAAAACATCAGTACCACAGCATGCATAGATTTACTGAATCTCTCACTTTCCGTAAGATGTTTTCAGAAAGACATTATTGAGCCAAACGCTTGCGGCAAAGGCTACACCGGGCCGGTATCAAGTCCGGCCATCGGGGAAATCGGTTGAGATTGAGCTCTCACCTTCGCCACCGTTTATAGAGAGATTCAGGCTCTGCTCGGTTCCCGTCCCATTAAAATGTCCTCTCCAAAGAACAATATTTTCGCAGCTACACGTTGGAGCCATTTCAATGAATAATTCAATGTAACAAGAAAATGACACGTACAACCCGTAATCGCATCCGTACAAAATTGTCCCGTCGGTATAATATGGTTTAAGAGGGATATTGGTCGTGGTATGGTTCGCAACGACAAACGAACCATCGTCAAATCTTGGTCGAATCTCCGGCAAGCTGTCTCGGAACTTCCATCCCTCCAATGTCGGACCCACTGCGATGTCCACGGATGCCGACGACACTGAGAGTTCCCCTACTAGGCCTCCGATTGCCGTCAAGGATGAGGATGCATTCACCGATAACGCAGCGCCATTCCAGGTTACAGACCTAACCACAGCAGGAGCTATGATTGTCAACGGGGTACTGGTATTGAGGTCGCCTTTCAACGCAAGTTCCGTTCCTGATATGCTTGCCGAGCGCACGAGATACGGTCCACCCACGATGACGGACTGATTGGTTCCCAGACCCCAAAAGTTGAGCAGTGAATCACTCGCGTCTCCAGCAATGACAGGTGCCCAGAAGGTGGCAACCGTGTCAGAGTCGGCGAATAACACCAACTGCGAGTCGGAGTCGTAGACCGTCACCAGGCCTTCAGTCCCCGTAGGGAAAGAGAAGATTGTAATAACGGAACTCGGCGTGAGCGTGGCGCGGAATGATGAAGCATCATAATTCTTTTGGAAGGCGCGACCTGTGAGCGATAAGGCGATCTCATGTTCCTGAGAAGTATCACCATAGATGAAGAGGATATCTCTGCCATCGATGACACCAGCGAAAAATATTGGCGCTGTGGAATACAGCAGTCGTGAGGAGCCAAACGCGTAATTGGTCACGATGACTTTCGACTGTCGTCCACCAAGAGTAACCGCTGAAGCGATAATCGGTACCTGAAGGTCACCCTCTGCTGTAGCAACGTTAATCTTGAAGTCGGTAATATCACTATCCGCAAGCGGTGAGCGAGTGTATGGGGAAATTTCAAATTTGAATGAAACACTTACGTCGAGGTGGAATCGTTATGCCTTACAATGTAGAATCCAGCTTGCGTATCAGGGTTGAGGAGGTAGGTCGCAAAGACCGCATCAGACGACAGTATTGAAAGACCCGTGGAACTGTCAGCAATCCAATCTGTCTTGTAGAATTCCGGCGAGCTTCGGACGAACAGGCCTTGCCTCTTCAGTTCGTCGTATTTTGTCGTCAATTGCCGAGCCTCGTCAATCTGAACCAGTCTGAATTGTAGTGCACCGGGTTGAAAAAATCTGACTTACGGAAGCTCCGTAGTCGTATGAGGTGTAAACCTTTGCCGAAGTTAGCAGTTTGATTTAAAAAGGCCATCAAGGATTACCCCACTGGTTTAAGAAGTCAGCAAGATAAGGTAGGAGATGCATAACATAGACGGCTTACTGGAACGGAATTGCTCCCCAAGATGTACCGCTACAGCATGGCATTAGCAATGCACAGTGAACCAATCAATACATCGACCAACCCGTAAAGCATGTAGTAACTGAGCAACTTCGCATTGCTGGCCCATAGCTGAAGGTAGAAAACAGACATGAAATCGGGACCCGTTCGGACGGCACAAGGAGCATAGCCTAATATAGCTAGTAAGAAGTCGCTAGTAGAGTGCTACTTCAACACGTTACCTGGTGCAGTTGGTCCCCAAGCATCGAACGAACCTCCCTGAAACTCTGCCCAGTTTACATTAGCTTAGAGTGCGAACACAGAGAAGCTGCGCGCACCGGGGAAATACCAGGGTTGAGATGGATTGACCGCTTCATGGTATTGATGGTAGTTCAAGGTAACCCTGTTCCAGTCCAAGGGATGAGAGCAGTCGAAGCCTTGAGGATAAGAATCCAGTCTGACAAGGTAACGATAAGAAGTAGAAGATAGTGCTTAAGAAGAAGATAAACCCGTAAAGATCGACAGCACCCTGAATAGAAGCAATTTTGTTAGCATGCACGTTTCGAAATTGACCACACAAACTCACAGTCCCATTGATGAAGTTGCGACCTTGTCCTGGGTCATTATAGGTAAGGGGTAGTACGATACTTGAATTGCGATAAACTTCTTCAAGCTCAGCAAAATACTCTCCTCCAACGCTCTGAGTGAATTCGTTATCTGAAATAGCAATTCAGCATTAGTCGTCTTCGAGTTACAAAAAGAAGCTGACCGATCTGTATAGCTGACAGAACGAGTGATCAGGATAAGGCACGTCGAAACACTGATGCACTCACCAATGACCGGCCCTCCTTCGGTGATTTGATACGGTGCTGTTTCTTTGATGATCCCGAGAATATAATCCATCCACGCATCTCTCCAATCGGGAGCACTTGTTCGCAATGTTCCAGCAACTTCTGATGTGGCCCAATGTGCTATACCGCCTGCAGAAGTCTCTGCGTTGATGTACTGAAAACGGTAAGCACTCATCCACAATTCAAATCGGCGCAACTGACTGGGCCTAATGATCTCAGTTGAGTGCCCTAGAACGGCAGAGGAGAGCTAAAACATACCAGGGCGTAGAACGATCCAAATACCCGCTTTCAAAGCGGCCTCGTACAACGGCTTCAGAGCTCGAAAGCCGTCAAAGTCCACCACGCCGCGCGATGGGTTGAGGAGACCCATGTGAACGTAGACACTGACAGCATTCAAACCTGATGCCTTGACCTTTTGCAGGATGTCGGGCCATAAGGACGGGACAGGTAACCGAAATGTGTGGAATTCCCCGGAGCTGATAATCATCATCAGTATCAGGCACTTCGACCGAATAGAGGATATTTACTGTAAGAAGATCCTCTGACCACGTAGCGACAAACTGTAGTTGTCAAACGAGACTTGGTCGGTGAAAGAGGCTTCACGACGGTACAAGGTATCGCCACTCTCATGATGAATGGTAGACTTGGCGAGCGCCCCAATATTGCTCCCGTAGAAGAGAGCGGAAATCCACGACCAAAAGAGTAGGGCAACCGTCCATCGTCGAAAGAGATCCGTTGGCATAATGCGGAAGTCGGAAGAGATGCTCATTTTGAGGGATATCTGGTATTATTTTCCACCAAATCATCATCGACACTTTTTAAGGCCAACCGTGTGCGAATGTAGGACCTTCGTTTACACTGGACGGGTCCCCATGACCCACGCCGTATCATGGGAACAGGGTCGAAGCACACAGAATAACATCCGGGCCGCTTATATCTGTCGGATAGTTCAGAGACCATCGACGCTGAGTGAACTGGCTTCTATGCGTACCGAGGATTCTCCGTATCATCACCATCTCAAAGGATTTACTTGAGCCTCCGTAGCTCAAAAGAGCGACGTATAAAACAGCTGCGAAAATGTACGGTCTTGGTCGGGCCGTGCCACACTCGCCACTGGAAGAAAATCGATGAGCTTCGACCCGACATGCGGTCGACCTGAGATGCACCTTGTGAGTAGAGCTAACGTTAGAGCTCGGTCGTTTGGACGGTGGCTGTTGCGATGAAGTTCTACAATAGAATACAATAGATTGAATCAACTATCAGGTTAAGTGTCAGCGAAGCACAAGCGGAGTATACCGAATACGGGCTCACGTGCGGAAGTGAAGTTCAGGGCGTCAGTTTTCACGAATCTCGTGGACGCTTGGCAGTACGCGGTGTAACTGAAACGTTGATCACACTGGTGATCGTTTAACGGGTTCTTGTAGCATATGTCCCAGGACTTAAAGACTGAGAAGGAAGATGGCCGAACTACATTGAGGGTTTTAGATAAGTATAACAGGCGACTTGGACGCCAAGAGTGTGAACAAGAAGCATTGAATGACATACTATCATATAGGCGAAGGTCAACATGACGAGCGGCGACTACGCTCGTCCCTGATGATCGTAGGGGGTCCCGGTCCTAACAGGCCTAAGCATGATCCAGGGTTGAAGAAGGTATACTTAGTGCGCATCCACATCCACGAAGCTCTTGCAAACCCGAAAGACATGAACCTGGACGGCAAATGCACATATCCGTCGCCGTGCTATCCCCCAGAGGAAGCAGGGCGCAATTGCAGCCCGTTTGAGCTGATTAATCGGATAAATATTGAAGAAAACCATGGTTGTCGATTTACTGTTATGAGTGCGTATTCAACACACAGGAGAAGAAATGGAAACCAATTTGACTCACCTTTGCTCCTGCTCCATAGCATTATCCGATACCTGCGGCGAAATCCGCAACTGTTGTCGCAAGCGAGGTCTCAACGACAGTGTTGGACATGATCCAGACTAAGGGGCCCGCAAACGCAATATTGGCACATCTTTTGGAAGCAGTCGATGGGTCCAGCTGGTCACTTCTATAATGGAAGATGATCGTTTAATGAAACCATGTACCACGAATGAACAGAACTCACGTCGTCGACGTCAGCGTGAAGTCGTCTTATCTTCTTAACATTGACATGCGCCTAATCATTCACCTTCTTGTAGTCGTCACCGGTGCTTCTTGCACATGCTCGACCATCAGCTCGCTTCCGAAGCGGAATATACGAGGCGCAGACACATGTGGTGGATCACGGTGAGCTGCTATTATTGTTGACTGTCACGACGAAAAACATGAACGCAGTGACGGGCGACACCTGCTAGGCGAAGAGAACAATGGGGAACGAGTTTAATGTCCTGTGTTCTGGTCTAGCCTAGCCTACGACTGATCAAAGGCGATGTTTCCCGAGGCGTAAAATGAACAGGATAGGGGAAACGAGCTGAACCAAACGACTTGCGGATCTATGCCAGCTAGCTCATAGAATAGCGAGTCATTCCGGCTCTACGTCGTAAATGATCGTTCATTAATTTGCATGATGAACCAATGGGGAATGAAAAGCCAGAGAGTATCACTTCTTGATTGGTGCAGTTCCGAGCGTCCTTTGGCATGGTTCTCGTGCGAAAACTCAAGATACGGAAGATGTCGGCGGTGATAGAGACACATTGCGAAAATATGAGCAGGAAAAAATGCTGTATGCATTGAGAGGATAGTGGACCAGCATCGCTATGGGCGTTTGATCTTACCAATAATTTATCCGTGTTGACCAAAGGTGTCCCACGAACATCGGCTCTTAAATGTCCTCTCGAAAGCCAGACGACAACTGAACGACTATAACACCACGGACACCCATCAGGAATACCACCGTCAGAAAGTCATCTTTGAAAAAGTATGCGGTCGACGACGTCCCTAATGAACAGTCCATCACGGGCATGACACTGAGGTAGTGCAAACATGCTTTGTGAAAACAACTGCGACATCATCGTCAAATGGCGACGGGTACTGAGATCCAGCATGAATGAAGTGAAGGGAGGAATGAGACTCCGCACGCGATCCGATTGAATAGGTGAGCAAGCTGGGAGAGGTGATCAACGGTGCTGCCCATCACCGTATTACCCTCTGGATAAAGCGCGAAAGAAGACTAATACACCGCGGCTGTTGCAAGACAGGCAGCCATCGTAGCACAAAACGACTGGAGATCCTTCTGCAAGCAGAAAGCGGGGAAGATGGTGTTCCATCGCAAGTTAAGGAGACGTGTCGGGGCAATTTAGATGAGCTTCGCATACTTCTGCTAGCGGGACAAGCAGGCTGGCGGGCCTGTGATGCGTGCTAAGGACGGGGTGCTACAGGGGGTGACTGACGATGATGACGTTGCCAGTCATCGCAGTACGGCAGGATCTCAGCTTTGTCCAGTCAGAGCTGGCAGCGCGCTTTGATCATCTACGCTTTGCTAAAAGCAGGGCTGAAAGAACAACATTGAGATAAAGCCTTCACGATGTAACGCTATAACTAACCTGGAGCGTGTATTGGACAGAAACCAAAGACACGGTTATATGTCAAGGTCATGTCGCTCAAAGAGCATTAAAGCGTTGTGTACCCATTCATCGCGTCGATGGCGATGACACGTACAAGGGTGCGCGTATTTTCGCCGTTTTCCTCCTATTGTGTAAAGGTTTCCCAGGTAAACGGACCGTAACGGATTCCTACGGTGAAACATCCCTGTACCCAACGACGAGGGAATGGGGGTATCTTCATAGAAACTTGGCTTCCTTGTAAAGCTCGTAGTATGAGCCACCGCTGTCACGGGGAGTACCTGAGTCTGATGGAATATTGAAGAACATTGTTCATCAGGAGATGATATGCAAGTCTTCTGTTCCTAGTGGAACATGTGGCTACGTCGTGGGTGTTGTTCTAAACGACGGTGGTCAGCGTACGCTCACCAACAGAGACAAGATACGTACCAGTCAATGTTCAGATCCGAGTGAAAACCTCCCAAGTTCTTAAATCGAGCTGTTTTAGAATCGTCGTTTTCTGAGGGCCTTTTCCATGATTGAGCGCCAACCAAAACGACTATTTTCGCCTCATATAAAGTTCGAACCGTCAATGTGTCAGATCAAAGGCCAAGGTTTGGGCAGGGGTGATGGGGATGGGAAGCGGATCAGGGTGACAAAAGACAGGTATGGGAAGGACTGGATGGTTTTCACAATAGAAGGCGCCGTTACAGTGCAGCCAGGCACGGGGATGCATCATTCTCTGAATCTTAAGCAATTGAGACCGTTGTGTCAAGTCTAGATGGACAAGAGGCACTTTACCTCTAAAAAAGAACCGGTAAATTCCGCCCGAGAACATTTGCACTAGTTTTTCCCGCTTTCTGGTTGGTAGTAGAGACCGTGTTAGCGTAGATTCTTCGACTCGCATCCAAAGGGAAACAAGGACGTCGCAGTTCTCTTGTGTCGCTATCAGCCTCACAATATAAACAAGGGAGGGTGAAAATACAGAGTGTAACTCACGGAAACAGAACGACTATCCATGTTGGAAGGTATATGGCGTCGCAAATTCGTACTACCACAGAAATTTCCAAGCCATATCGCATCCGCTGCCTGGTACCAGAAGATGACGGATCGTACAATGACACCTGGAGATAAAAGAACGTTCAGGTCAGAACCTGGGGATAGTAATTATTCAACGCACCTCTGCCAGATGAAACGAGCTAGACCCCTTGAACACTCGAACGAAGTTCCCTTGAAAGCGGGGCCAATTGTATAGCAGCATTCGATGCAGGTGCAGACAAGGCGCGCAGGGGCCATGTTTGTCCACAGCGAGTGATTCTGTACGATTTTAGAGAGAAGAAGACAGAATTTTTGCTTGGCTCAACTTATACCCTTTCCCGAAATAAATAAAAATAAGGTATAATAGATTTCTTACAGCGCCTGATGCCACGATACTACAGAGACGGTAAGCTTTGAACTGGAAGCAAAAGTTCGCATACTTGCATTCGTTGGCCACAACCTTGATCCGGCAGCTTTGGGAGCTTTCATAGTCTTTAAAATCAACTTGTTGGGTGCATATCTACTGGATCCTTGCAATGCAGCGCGCCACGGAATGGCGAAGACCAACGGGAAGGTCGTGGTAGAAGGAAGGAAAGGCAATTTGAAATATATTTCCGTGTTTGGAAGCCCCGCCGCATTAGCCCCTATCCACGCTCTCCCATGTCCGAGTCCGAGTCTCCAATCTTGCAGCAGCTTGCCAGCAGAAAGTAATCGAGCTCACCATTGGATCATCTCCTCTCACCAAACAATGATCGCCTTGAAAACGTCCCTACGCATATCTTCTCAGTAAATGTTCGACTTTTTGAGAAACGGTCACGGATATCTACTTTGTCACCTACCTTACCATTCCTTATAGATTCCCTCAGCAACCACCTCGTATCTTGACCATCAACGCGACACTTTTTTTTTCGGAGACTTACTTGGCCCATTTTTGTCGTTCGACAACCAGTGGCAGTGTGGCAGTGCTTCCGAACACAGAAATCAATTTCAATTTCTTTCTTGCAGTCCTATCATTGCTTAGCTACAACCATGAGTGCTCTGCCATTGGACTTCAGGCATCCGGAACCCACGGTCGTCAGTGCATACGAAAGGTGCCGCATAGTTGAGAAGAACATCATGCGCCAGATTGACGAGACCGCCCTCGAAAGCGAACTGAAACTCCTGAATAAGTACTTGGTGGACGTACGGATTCTAGGGTACCTATTGACCTTCGGCCCTACTATTGAAGCGATCTCCCATGTTGCTGATACGACCATTTGCTGCGAAGACGACGATGCTGTGGTGAAACAAGGCAATTTCTTCGACAGATACCTCCTCCGCACATGTAAGTGACTGCCCCATATGATGTTGCTACCATTAAAGCGGTCATTTGCAGTCAGAAAGAAGGAAGTTCGAACACCTTCTATGTCACTAGATTCCTCCAGACCTCCGTTCAACAATATCCAAGAAATGATAAAGGAGGACTTGATTGAACGTCCAATGAATCATTCGCAGGCGAAAAAAAGCGTCAGCATTTTTCATCCTAATCAATCGTCACATTATCTGATGATATCGATTTAAGGCTCTGATTCGTGACAATTTTCGATGTGTATTATCTGGAGCGGTTGACATGTTCTCCTATTTGGAAAACGAGGAGATCGAAGCCCAAGTGCACGCCCAATCGTTGATAGTTCAGGAGACACAGTGTAGCCACATCTTCTTTCAGTCCACTGACATTTCCCTCTCTGAAGACGCCAAGGTGTCTTTCAAAAACTTCTCATCGCTGTCAGACACTTACCGTATTCAAAGCTTGATTATGCAGCGAGAACTTGGACCATCATTCAGCACTTTGGTTACTCAGAAACCCAACATGAACTTTCTGGCAACAGCGTACACTCCCTGACAAACATCCTTACATTCGAGAGCGGTCTACACACATTATTTGATACTCTCAAGCTCTGGTTAGAACCTACGGTTCGTTTTCTTCCGCACCTGCGTTCCTTACACCGTCCAGGACGCCCTGATAAATGACCTCAGGAAATTCCCAATCGCTATAAAGTCGGAACATCCGTCCCCAAGCTCATTTTCGAACTCAAGAAACTCCCCGCCTTCGTCGAGTTCACGTCTACTGATAGTCGCTTGAAGCTGCCGTCGACCGAATATTTGCGCCTGCACGCCGCATGCTGCCAAGTTGCACATATGTCAGGAGCGGCGGACTACTTGGAAGAGATGGACAAAGATAAACAGGAGCTTAATTATCTGGCTCCAGGTGGAGGGTCAGCAGGTATGCTGGTCGCACTTCTCCATGATATCAGTTGTCTGCAGGTATCCATCGCAAGGACTCATTCATCCGGAGACTGGTCACTATCGTGAACGATATGGATTATTAGTCGAAAATCGAGAAGTACACTATCGGAATCGGCTCTCAAGACAAAATCAATCATTCATGATCTCGTACAGCAAGACATTTTATGTATTTTATTCAGCTAAATCGAACCCACTTGATTCCTCAATGAAGTGTGTTCAACTGGATTATCAAAAAGCTTAAAGATTTTCTCTGTAAGCTCTCCATCTATCTATATTGGAGGTTCAAGGAACTCGTCTCTTGGACATTCCTGCTACGATATGTGTGAACTCATGTATTAGCTCAAATACTCGTATTCTGAACAGCCCAGTTGCGTTCATGGCGTGAAGTACTGGTATCCGACCTGGTATAACATTGCACGTTAACCCAAAAGGGAAACGATCTGCGCTGTCACCGGCAACTTTGGCCTGCTTCCTCCTTGCTTATTTTCACCGTAACCTTCATCACTATCCTCTATGTATTCCCACATCTTTACTCAGCATTCACAGGAAGCTCATGATCCCATCGTGAACAACTCCGTCAAGCAGGACAACTGGCCGGGAAAATTAGCGTCATTCTGGCATGCCTTTGTACATGGGAGCCTATCTCAGCCACCACCGCAACGTGCCGACTATCATCATGGACTTTTCAGCGAGACGGAAGAGGAGGAACGGGTGAAGATGGACTTAAGAGCTGAGGAACTTGAGGAGAAACCGGAAAAGTTATCGGACTCGTCTTCATCGACTCTTCCAGTTGTAGCGACTGAGGAGTTGCATGCCAGTTATTCACCTATTTTACCGAAAGGCGAGATCTCAGTAAAGGCGAGTCTCTATCATTTGCTTCCCACTGCACCATTTTCCTTTGGGAGGGACTAACATAAGATCAAGATGGATGTGTTGCAAGTCATGAAACCCGTCTTGACCGTCGCCGCCAATTTTCAGAAAGGACTTGTGAAGCGCATAACAAAGGTACGATGCATGATGCATGAAGCTGAAGCATCAGGCTTATTAATTAATTATTCGCTCACTGCAGGGAAATGTCCGGAAAATCGAGTGGCTCGTACACAGGATTGACCTATATACACGTTTACTGGTGTTTCTTCTCAGCGTGCCCAAGGGAGAGACACCAGCTGGTGTTTTTGCATTTAAGATCGCGCTCTATGAAAAGCTCGAGACGATTCTCAAAGACTATGTTGTGTACGTCCGAGTTTCCGCGACGGTGCTCCCACTCATACTTTCGTAGTATGGCCGAGGCTCTCATCAAAGGACTGAAGATAGCGGTTGATCTTGGGCAATGGAACAACCGCAATGGGATACTCGCCCAGTATCATTTCGCCCAGATGGAGTGGGACTTTATTCAGGGAACAATGAAGGTGTGATAATATTCAGACCTGTTCTTTCTATCGCTAACTCTGAAATAAATAAACAGAAAGTCCTCGCCGAAGCCCGTTCAGAAGCTTCCACGGACCTCATTTTGAATAAACTTGCAAGTGTGCGAATGTACGGACGAGGATGATCATGCAGGATGTGGACGATGGTTCTTGTGGACGCTTGACATATGTGGTGTCCTTACCTTTCCTTGCTATAACTATCCTCGCCTCTCCTTTCTCTCATTCGTTATGTACATCATACGTTCGTCTATTTCTTTGGTGACTTCTTTCCTGCGCCTCTGTCCTACGAATTACCTGCAATATGATGTCGCTTTGTAATTGGTTTCAAGTATGTGTCTCCGCATGACGCCAACTGCAAGAGACTGAAAGCAAGGCAGTTTCCAAGCTCCATAGACCTGTCCCGAGGCCTTTACATTCTAGATCATCACGACATCAGGTCCTATTAGTGGCGACTGTCAGTAAGGAGACGGCGTCAGTGAGAATAGCGGGACCAGGAGATCTCAGATATCACGTACCGCGACGCGACTCCGAGCTCGGAGCGGATAAGGAGGAAAATAAATCCCATGGAAATAAATTCAAGTTGAGAAGAGAATAATTCCTCATAGGTTAGTACACACACTAAATGAGCTTGAGACGAGGGCGCTATAATTTTAAGACGGTAGACCCTTCCCAGATGAGCAACTGTAAAGTCATGAGGCCACGACGCATCAGAGACGCGGGACGAGATATTCATTGTACGCGTCGTGCCAGACAGCCACGGTATGTTCGATGTGCAAAAATGCAAGTGAATGTACGAGGTGAGAAAATCGGACAAGGACGGAGAGAGATAAAACAGATGAGGATGGGATTAGGTTCGGCGCGTGTTGGACTCATGCTACTACTACGCTCTTATTTGCGGGAAGGCTCATTATCGGCTTATGGATGATATTTTCGTATGCCGCTTGACCCGATTCCTATCAATACCTTTCACAGATCCAGGTTCTTGCCAATCTAGTCTTGTGGTGAGTCTGACTTGATGTTGGTCAGTATCTCGGCGTTGAAAAGTAAACAAGATGGCAACACACATTGAGAAAAAAAGGCATAACAACAAGAACAGAAAGAAGGAAATAATAGGTGCCAAAGGATATAGAAGGACACATGCAAATCGCGAACGAAAAGGAGGACGCGGAATAAGACATAGAAGCTATGACATCCTCGGTCATACAGCGAACCACAGGTCACGACAGCAATGCTTTACACTCCACACCTAACCTCAGCACCCTGCGAAACCAGCCCTGTCTCCAGAATGTCCTAAAATTAAACCGCCACCAACGCAGACACTGCCGGCCCCGCTCAAATATATCGCAAACTTGACTGCGAAGAGGAGGATCACTGTCCATACCACGTCAAACATGATGTTCATTTCCCATGCTATGAACACAAGCTCGAGCGTGATCCGCACAGAATCCCGACAACGACGCTATGGCCAGCTTGCGTTTCGCTCCACAAGGAACGGTAGCGGTACGCCTTGTAACATTGCTAAAAGATCAACATGATCTATGCGCAATGAGAGGAGGCAAGGTCGTCGAGGGACTAGGCGAGATGTTTGAGGACAAGAAGCAATACAGGATGGTTCATCTTGATTCAGGGCCGATTTCAGCTAGAGCGTCAAGGTCGAGGTTGACTTCCCCGCCTGAGGCACCGAGAAAAAGTTGGATTCGATTTTTGGAGACGCCGAGATCCTCAACGATATACTTCCCCATCAGTTTCGCGTCGGACAGGCAACCGTGTAGAGGATGATACAGATATCCGTCGATACCAATTAGAACAGCCCCAAACCGAGAGCTGTCGATGCGATCCTACAGTTTTCGTGGTCAGGCCTCAAGTTCGAATCACAGGTTGATGCTTACCTCTGATTGTGATTGCAGTCCGAGATTCGGGTGAAGAGATAACGGCAGAACCCCGGAAGACGAGGAAGATTTGCTTCCCTCATAATTTGCTGCCATTTCGATGTCGGTACTCACCCCTTTCTTCATCTCGTACATGTTTAGATCGCTGTTATGACCTTGTACATGTTCGTCCTGATGCTAGGAATCAGTTAGAACGATTTGAAGGGGATGATAAACAACCTACGCACAATATCCGACGGGGCCTCTCTTATAGAACCACGAGGAGACAGGGCGGTTCGGTGCGAACCATCGTGGAGCTAGGAAATGACAGTACTGGTGTAGGTCGACTGTAACGAAACTAAAATCAAGAAGATCATCTACCTTAGCTGAGCTTTCACTACTCAAACTCTCGGCGCTCCAAGAATACCTATCCTTTCTATGAGGGTTTGAGGCAGGCAGTGAAGGATCGAGTCGCTCAGTTCCCATGTGAGCATCGGACGGCAGGCAGTGGGAAGGACCAGTTTTAGAGGTTTCTGGTTCTGACGTTTCCAGCCCGTTGCCTCCATGTCTGTGGACGGTGGTGAGCTTTGAGAAAGATAAGCCCACGAAGCGATGATGGAAAAATGTCCACGTACTGTCGCGTGTTTGAGTCACTAATCGGCGGCAATGCCCGGGCCCGTTGTCGTGCAGAGTTATACGTCACAATTGTTACACAGCTATCGACTGAGCTGGTCCTTTTTTCAGTGTGTTCCCATTACCATTCATGGTCGATGACCGTTTAATGAAGCCATGTACCACGGATGACTAGTACTGGCGTCGTCGATGTCAGCGTTCAGTTGTAAGACAGGTATGGGAAGGGTTGGATGGTTGTCGCAATAGCGGTCCCTGTTATAGTGCAGCCACACACGGGGGTGCGACATCCTATGAACCTTTAGCAAATGAGACCGTCACATCAAGCCAAAATGGACTAAAGACACTTTACCTCGAGAGAAGTGTCTATCAAAACCGCCGAAAACATTTGCGCTGGTTCTGCTGGCTTTCTTGTTGACAAGTAGAGCACGTGATGTTGCCATAGATTCTTCGGCAGCCATCCAATGAAAGACGGCAACATCCTAATATTTTGTAGACAAGGATGCCGGGGCTCCCCGTATCGCCATCCCCTGGCAACGTGAATAACGGAGGAAGATAACATAGGTTGCAACTCACAAGAGAACGACTATGCATATTGGCACCCATATATCCTCGAATTTGTATCCCACGGGAGTTCCTAGCTACATCGCATTCGCTACTCGGTGCATCAAAAGATGAACCAGGTGGCCGATGAATCATACGACGACACTGGAGAACAAAGTACGTTTAGTTCCGAATTTGGGAATAGCGATTGTTCACGCACCTCTGCCAGATTAAACGAGATACATAACTCTGAGGACTCGCAAGAAGTTCCCTTGAAAATGGTGACAGTTGAATGCCAACGTTTGAGACAGGTGCAGACAAGGCACACAGCTGGGTGGCGACTATTTTGCGCGGGTCAAAATGGAATCAAAATCCTTGGCACCTCCCTAATAAGGAAATACTGGAGGATTTTGATGTCATTTTGACTCGTGCAAAATAGCCGTCACCCAGCTGTGGCACCGAAAGCTATTTTGGTACACGACAAAAGCTTCTATACAATTTTAGAGAGAAAGCGAAGGAGACAGTATTTTGCTTTACCCACATTGGAACCGTGACCAACATGAATACATGTATCGAATGACTTGGAGCGCCCAATGCCACTATGCTACGGAAACGGCGAGTTTGAGCTTGAATTTGAGGCTCGCATAATTGGATTCGTCGGCCTTCAGCTTGGTCTAGCAGCTTTGGTAGTCTTCATAGGCGACCCGTTATATGATGCTGTCACCATTCACAGCGACAAGGTGTTGGTGTTGGTATTGGTGATGATCAAAAGGCAAAGTGATCCGAATTACAAATTTTGTAATTGTCCGCGCCGCCCGGTCCGATCTTCTTTGCTTCATCCTTCCGCCTTCCGCTGGTTCGTGATGTCTACCTTTGACGAGGAGTGAAAGATACCTCATTGCGGGATACAACATGGCCCGGAAAAAATATATGCACTTGCAATGTATGGAAAGTTCGTCTGCCTCCCAATCCGGGCTCCATGATGACTGCCGGACTACTGCTGATAGATTACATACTTGGAAAAGCATTCCCTTTGGCAAGAGGCATGTGGTATTCTTATGTTCGATCTGACGAATAGATGCAAAGGCTGACCATTGATCAACCGATGATTCCAACGTGGAAAGAAATCTTAGTTGACACTGATGAACAATCAATGTATTGCAACAAGATTCATAGACGACGACCGGACATAGCCATAGCTTTGCGGATCGGACAAGTCACAACAAATGACGAAAGATTTTAGTTTGAGAGCGGTGATGACTAATTGGGAGATGACGGCATCACCACAGCCACAAATCTGAACCCTGTGTTCAACCCGCCTCCTAATATTACTACTACTACTTACTTATAGCCCCCACCGTATCTATCTCTTATAATTAAGCGCCCCCTCTTGCGTTTAAATTCTCCCCTTCCTTCGCTCCGTAATGGTTCTTTCGACACGGTTAGTCGCAGGGAACCATTTCCCTGCCATTTCCGTTCATAGTCTGAAACCGACTCGGGGCCTTTTACATTGAGGTCTTCTTTGATTCATCCTCTATACCTCGTCTCATCTGGATAGGTATGGTAAGATACTCTGTTCTACACCATCTCGTCAATTAGGGCCAAGCAAACAACTGCCCTTGATCAGGCATTAGCGAAGCTGCATAAACAGACGTCGAAGTACAAGCCAAAGCTTCCTATCCTTTTAGTAGGATACATAGTAATACTAATCGGTATACAATGTTAGGCCAACAGTACTGTGCATCCCTTTGCTTCAAGTTTCAATGCCCGATATCGTGCTGAGATGATCTGCAGAACTTCCATTTTTTCATCTTGGAAACCCCCCTTGTTCTGATAATCTATTGGATATAAACTGGCTGTTGGTCAGACCTCTCGACCTTTCTCTACTAAAAAATCACATACGGTCTGCACGAATTGCTCTCTGGTCCCTGAGAACTGGTATATATAGCACATTAACTCCGCAAATTCAACAGCACCCAGCGATGTTTCTGGCACTTGCCCCCGTTGAGAGGTTCTCATTCTCCAGTGCTGGGTTACTTAGGATCAGTGATTAATTAAGGGGATTATTGGTAGCTATAGTCTGGATTGCTTGCCCTTGGCATCTGGGAGCCTCACTTACTCCTAGACAACCTCTGAATTGTATGTCGTGCCACAGGAACTAAATGTCTGCCTGCTTCGGAATTCTGATTGTTCCATTGAGATGCGTAGAAATATTCGGTGTCCAGGCAAGAATAGGACGGCGTCCGAGATATATAATGCCTCCCAAGTTCTAACTAGGATGTCGAACTGTAGAGCAAAAGTGGCCATGAACGATCTTCCATCAGATTACACATCTCTCGTAGGTGTTTGGTGCTAGCTCTGTTCTATACGGTACGCTGTTGCCATATGTGTGTCGAGTATTCTACTAATGACCATGCTATTCTAGGCGTCAAGTAAGCACACGATTCGGAAATGCCCTCAAATCCTGCACAATATTGATTCCTCTCAGTCTGGTTCTTTATTTCAGCTGTGTCAACCTGCTCATCAGGCGCCGCTGGTGGTGCGCTTCGTTACATGAAGTCCTTTCAGTGACAAATAACAACTCTACCGTGCATTTTCTCTTATAGGTTCTTACTTGGGGGTGCGACTTTCCAGTTCATTGTATCGACAATCCATATTGCCGCAGGTCTGCGCTCTCTCATAGAAGGCTTCATCTGGTTGAAGGACCCCGAGGGTTCCATTGCGTTCTGGGACAACCAGACTCGATGGGTCAATGTCATGCAGGAGGCTGCTGCCATTACAAATGTGAGTTCGCTTTATATCAAGTGAAAAATACTAGCCTGGTAGTGACATTTGTATAGTGTATTGCGTGCGATGCAATAATGATCTGGAGATTATATGTAGTTTGGAATAAGAGCGTTAAGGTGTCCGTGTTTCCCGTACGTTTCACTAGTCCATATTTACCAGTCTCTCAGACTGATGTCAAACGTACGCTAGGTCATCATGGTTCTAGCATTCGGTGGTAAGTCCTTGTTCTCCTTTGTGTTTTTGTTCCTGTCTTACCGCTTGCATTCAAAGTCTGCGGATACATTTCTATATATCTTGATTCGAGTCTGGATCCCCAGCCAGAATCTGTTCAAGTCCTTTACCGATGGCTCCAGGCATCGTATTCGCTATCTCTAGCAACACAGCTTTCTGCCACCGCCCTAATTGCTGCTCGTATCTGGTGGGTATCGCGACGAACACGATCCTGGAGAACAAGTACAGTAGCCAAGTCCTATATGGACATCATTTGGATGATTGTCGAGTCAGGAGCAATATCTGCGATTACATCGACTCTCTTCCTTGCCTTCTTCAGTACATCGAGTAGCATTAGCATCATCATCGCTGATTCACTGGGGCAGATAAGCGTATGATATGTTCACCTTCCTTATTCAGCTGGAGGACTGCGCTAACTCTGTGTAGGCAATCGCCCCATCCCTGATCATATACCGTGCTGGATTGGATGCGCAAGTGAAGACAGATAGCAATGAGCCATCGTACAATCTTCATCCGCGCCGCGCACTTCACGACACAGTAGAGAGTTCGGTACGCTCGGACACGACTTACTTGAAGTCCGAGAATCCATCAGTGGAGAATATGGTGTGAAAATAGAGATTGGCACATGTAATCTGTTCTACAATCGGTGATATATGTATCTATGCTCTTGTTTGCGGGAAGGCTCATTATCGGCTTATGGATGAGATTTTCGTATGTTGCGCTTGACCCGATTTCTATCGATACCTTTCCCAGATTCCAGTTTCCAGCTAATCTAGTCTTGTGGTGAGTCTAACTTTATATTGATCAGTATATCGGCGTTGAAAAGTAAACAAAACGGCAACATACATCGAGAAAAAAGGCATAATAGGAGCAAAGATAAGAATATGATAGGTGGGCACCAAAATATATAGAGGGGCACATGCTAATCGCAAACGAAAAGGAGGATGCGGAATAAGACATAGAAGCTATGACAGCCCCAGTCACATACAACGAACGGCAGGTCACGACAGCAATGCTTTACACTCCACACCTAACCTCAGCACCCTGCGCAATCAGCCTTGTCTCCGGAACGTCCCGAAACTAAACCGCCACCAACAGACACCGTCACGAGCATGGCCCGCTCAAATATATCGCAAACTTGACGAGTACGACTGCGAAGAGGACCACTGTCTGTACTGCGTCACACATGATGCTCATTCCCCATGCCATGAACACAAGCTCGAGCGCGATCCGCACAGAATCCCGACAACGACACTATGGCCAGCTTGCATTTCGCTCTACAACGAACGGTAGTGGTATGCCTTGTAACATTGTTAAAAGATCAACATGATCTATGCGCAACGAGAGGAGGCAAGGTCGTCGAGGGACTAGGCGAGATGCTTGAGGACAAGAAGCAAAACAGGATGGTTCATTTTGATTCAGGGCCAATTTCAGCGAGGCCAGGATTTCCAGTTGTGGGAGTAAGAATGACAGGCGGAAGGGATGACTTCTGAGGAGACGAGATATTTCCGGTAGGAGCGTCAAATCCCACGGTCTGGCAAATCCTTTCGCGTGGCTTTCTATCTGCATAAAACGCTTGTGCAAGAAGAACTGAAAGTACATCTACACAGAGTCGTTAGCCAAGGCAAGCGATGGGCAAGGTATGACCTACACGAATGCAACACAACCGCGTTCATCCTGCCAAGCATCATTTCCTCACCGGGAGCCTGTTGTCAAAGTATCCATTCTGCCGTCAACGTCAACACGAGATGAGCCTATACTCGTCCACAATCATTCGCCAGGACTGCTGGTACTACCATCGTCAGATTCGAATTCACCTGCACGACCATAGAGTGGAACCTGCCGGGCCCACGAGAAGCACCATACCGAGCACAAAGAGGCGGCTCGGAAAACGACCCAATAGGGAGCTCTGCGCCGCTCAATGTCGTACTGCGGAAGCCGTGTCAATTGATACTCATGAAAAAGAGAGGAAAGACAAACCTCCTGTAAGCGAACCCTGCCAATGTTTACCTGTACCATGTTCCCCAGCATCGCGTCAAGCAAACCTCCTACGCTCAGACTCGGATTCTCCGCAGCCTGCTCTGTATCAACCCAGGTAGAGCAGCCATGGACACGATTCCCAGCGCCGAGAAGACAAAATGAGTTAAGACATTGCGCAGTGCAGGGTAGGGTCCAGGGATTCGAAAGAGGAGGACGCCCAAGGGTTGTAGCGCAGGGAGGAGAAGTGGGAGAGGGCGGAATCACTATCCGGATCGCATTCTCCTCGATCCTTATCTCCCAGATCCACTAGTTGATCCCCACATCTTGAACTGGCCGCTACTTCCACTGCTGGGTGGTTCGTCGTCATCCTCAGGATGTGAGAAAGGTTCTGTCATTTGTGCATTGGTCTAGGGTGGGGCCGCCGGGATGGGACAACGTCAAGATGGGGGTTTGTGGGTCCCATAGGCACTGGGTCCTTGATAACGGAAGTTTCTTGACGCGTCTCATTATCTACGAGTTCACATATTAGTTGGACTTTCAATACCTTCCAACGCACTACTGACCTGAAGCTGAAGAGCGGTAATGACCGATATTCCAGAGGAAACCGAGCCAAACAGCCAAGAAAATTGCGCCGAGTCAGGCAGGGAATCGGCATGGACGTGTTCGAAGTCCCAATACCGCCCTGGTGTGGTATAATCCGTCTTGATCCAAGGCAATGCCAAATTAGTCTGCATCCAACTTTGTGTCATAGCATCGCCGATGTGATAAAAAGACCCGCATATACCCTGAATTGACGGATGCCGCTTTTGAAACTTTTGAGTGGCTTCTAGACACATCCACATGCACGCTTTGTCGACTGCTCGCATAAAGAAACATGAGCTATATGAACGATCAAGGACGAAGGCCTCTTACTAGTCTTCGGGGACAAAGTACGAGATGAGAAGGAGCGAGGCGATTATAAACAGGCGTAGTGCCTCATATTTCCCAACGGATAGCGTTGGATAAGTTTTTCGAGCGGGCAATGGATACATTGTGCACTTGCATAATGGAAGGAAACAAAGCAGAGTTGCTGTTGAGGATCGGGAGAACCTTGTAATGCGTAGGAGTGCACTCATTCGACGAGGCAACGTCAATGTATGCACCTCCGAGATCTTAGAGTCAAAACTGGCTGGTATCTCCTAAGTACAAGGAATCAGCAATTTTAGCCTACCTGAAAGTAAAATTACTCATCCCAAATCTGACCTGCACAATCTTCCCTCCCCCAGCTGATTGCGACATCATATTCCTGTATGACCCGGACAACTGTTTATACCTGCAGCCTCTCCGCTATCCAGAGATCTAACAACACTATAAGTGGGCCGTCGGTTCCCCTTTTCTGCGCTGGATGGCGGCTCCAGTCCCTCATTTCGCATGCTTTCCACATCGTTGACGGGTATACCAGCCTACTGGAGTCCCGAGCGCTAGGAAAGACGAGACGTCGAGTTGCAGGGGCCGATCAGAGATCAAGCTGAGCACTATATGAGAGTGTGAAGCAGGTATACAGATACTGTTCGCGGGTTAGCGCAAAAGTACGGATACAAGGAGAACGAAACACACTCTTTGTGCAATCTCTTGTTTGCGAATGCTCCGGGAAGCCTTGTCCTACTCCCATAATTTCATTCGATAGCGCGCTCATCTCGCGACCACGACGAGACGACGAGTTTCGGGATGAGCAAACACTTGCAGGATGCCCAGAGCAACTAAGGAATCACGAGACTGGTGACCACGACGGAGTTCGTACGACTGTCAGTGTAATTGAAAAGCTCTTGAGTTTTCGTCTCCCCGCTGAATAAGACATCACATACTAATTTCCCAGCCTTCTACTTGTTTGTGTTCTCCAGTCGCCATCCCAGCGTTCTCTGACGCTGACTGAATTGGCAAGATGTTCGCTCTGAAGAATTAGGGTCCTTCTGAATTTCAGGCCAATGAATGACGCAGGTTCAGGAGTGTATGGAAACGAGAAGGCAAGAAAGGTCGAGTAGACGATTCAGTAGAAGACACTTGGTGCTTGGAGGAAGTGAGGAAGAAAGGCTGGGGCCATTGTAGCTCCGCTCGGACTTTCGGCCCGTCCCTTCCGCAGTTTACTTTTAAAATTCCACTTTAACTTCAGGCAGCTTTTGCGACTTCTCGCCCGCAAGCCAAATACTTACTTATGTGTTAAACGTATAATGCGGTATGGATATATCGCTATGGGCGAAACGATAAGCTTGTCGACTGTGTGTTTGGTAGTTAATTGCGTAGTACATAGCATATTTCGGTAAAAAAGACCACCTAAGATTGTTAGCGAAGTACGATCCTTGGCACATCAATGGCGATATATGTAGAATCGTGTACCAAACCTACGTAATGTCTCTAATCTTTGAACGCTGGCCTCCGAGAGCTCGAACGATGCCCGAGCATGGAGTGTCAAGCTATCCAACCTCCCAAAACCCTTATTCTCAACCTGGCGGGACTCCAGAAACTGAATGGAAGCATCTTGACAAGTGTCGATGCTTTCCACAATGTCAGACGCATCGATCTCGACAGTCCGAAGTCGAAGAAGGGCAGCCGATTCGGTGAGAATTTCAAGGACGATTTGAAGGCAGGAAACATCTCTCAGCCCTCCTATGACTCCAAGCTCCTCCAAAGTCCCAAACTCATCTGCTTCAAGAAGCTCCTCCAAATCACCCGTGGAAGCTCCTATAAGAGCCAGACGCTTTAATGCACATTGGGATCTACGCAAAAGACGCATAATGGTCTCGGATAGACCACAAGCGCCACCGAAATCAATTCGGAAATGCTCGAGAGCGGGTAGAGTAAGACTATCGAATAGAACAGTGACTGTGGAAGGATATTCGGTACTAGCGCTGGGTGTGCTGGGGAGGCGGACGTTTAATGCCAATGATTTGAGTGATCTTGAATGTACGGAATCAGGGTGAAATAGGTCGGGAGGATAATTGTCGACATGCTGGAATGCTACGGTGTCAAGGTTGGGGGCGAGCTTGAAGAGTGTGGTAGCATCTTCGCTTGTGAAAGACCCATTGACAACCACGGAGTTGATTTGCGCCCTATGGTATGATCATGCGATCAGGATGTATAGTAGGATGGACTTTATCGATGATGAGCCTGCGAAGGCTGCTAACATTACGCAGCAGCGGGATTTTCTCGTAGATCGTTGAAGAATCGCTGTATTGGAAGCTAACCAAAGCATCCAAAGGCGAGTCGACAGTTTTGACATTATACCAGTCCAAGCACAAGTGCTCCCATCGATACGATGCCGATATTAAGATGAGCAGGAATGTCTGTGGAATCTGACCGCGAAGCCTCACTCGGAGCGGATGATTGGCAGAACGGTAGATATGCATGGCGAGTAGCTGTGCAGCCCCCAAAGGTGGCTGATCATCCACTTTGGTTTTCCCTCTGCTTACGGATGGCGAAAAACTGAGGTCGATCACGGACCACATTCGTGGGTAGGTCAGCGCCGTATGTCTCCAGTTCTGAGAAACCATGCCAAGTTTCCATTGACACGGGGTGGAAATCTTCCAAGACCTTGTGTTCTTCCATGTGCATGAATAAACAGAATATGAATTCTCGAGACCAGTCATGCTCTATGCAAATATCTCGCATAGCACATCAGAAGGCAGACGACGAACGGGATTCAAGACATCGGTGCAACGCCGCATGTTCCAAACCAGTCTATCTCGCTCTTGCAATAGGACATCCAGCTTTGCCTGCACCTCCGCGATACGCGTCTCGAGCTCGGTCAAGCGCGGCTGACCCTCCCGACGTGTTTCTCTGAAGAACGCCTCCTGTGCCTCCGATGGTGGAAGATTGGTGCGAAGCAGAGCTTCGATTTCAGGATCTGGAGCTGGTTGGGCCAACGGTATACCTGCGCATGGAGCACGGCATCTTGAACAGTTATGAGGCATGTCGGCTGCGATCAACGATCAACATATTGTTAAGACGGCATGAACGGTATATATGCTTACAGCTACTGTGTTTTTCAGCTATGTGGTGTGAAATCGTCTCGTCGTCGGGAAACAAGGAGCTGGTGAGGCTTCGAAGACTCAAGCACTGGCCCACGTTGCGTCAACGAGGCAATAGAAAAGAAGACGGGCCATGTGCAGCCGGGCCCGGGCCCGGTTCCCGCAACTTAGTCACACCAATTTAGTGCCCCGGTATATATATTCGAACAAGTCGATTTACGACCCAAGAGACGTCTGTGAATAAGATGCCATAGAGCACATCCTTATTCAAAGCCAGGGTCAACATAATGATGCGTGTGGGACGATGGCCTCCACTTTGGGTGACACGGAGATGCGCGCGATTCGGAGAAAGCATATTATGAGCACCACAAGAAGAGGTCCGACATTTCTTTCCAAAGGTTTCATTGCTCACCCTGCTCTGCCGGTAAGGAATATATTTTCCAATGCTCGTGGTAAGCAGCACAAGAGACGGCAGAAGCAGCGAGAAGTCAAGGTTGTGATAAAAAAGGAGCATTGATTTCGGCGCCTTCTAAAACGCATCACGGTGACGGAGAAGTGGAAAACATGGTAGGTCGGCAATTTGGGACGGATGGCAGGTCCAAGATACGGAGCAGAAATTTCTTCTGGGTACTGAGCAGCGGGAGTCTGAGGCGTTCGTTCAACGTTCATTCTCGAGATAATGCGGGATAGACCGAACATGGATTGACCGAGAATACTGAAGACCGAAGAAGTCGAGGTTACACGTGCAATCACCATCGACTCGTTGGGCGAATTGTACCTTCGAAGGTACAATCTCAATCTTTATAATCTTCGGATTCTGATAGCAGCGGTACAACGAATAAAATGAGTTTCCCGACTTTTAGCTTTGCTTTCAACCTCAGCCGTAGTAGCGGGTGTAGCAGACGTCAGGTAATCAGTCCTTCAAGTACTGGCGAGCGACATCCGCAACTTTGGGGTCAACACCTTCCAAAATTCCCAGCATTTCATCCTACCAAAAATCCATAGAATCAGCTCCGAAGCTCATCAACAAAGTTATCTACTCACCCAAACCTTGTCCTGTACGACCTTCCCTTCCTCACTGATTACGAAGTCGCTTTCCTCCACGACCTCCGATAACGATATGTACCCTCCTCGAAGCTTGTCTTCGTCGTTTGCCCCTCCGACAGCACTAAACACAAGCTGCCGACTTCCCTCCTCCGTCGTAAAAGCAAGCTCGGCCTCCTGTTTAGCGTTGGCCTCTTGACTACTCCTCCGGTAGTTTTGAGCGAAGGTTTGAGATGCAGAACCCAGGGTTGACGGAGTTGACAGTGATAGCCGAAGGAGGAAGGCGTTGTTGGAAGGCGCGGGCGAAAAGCACGTTAAGCACTGAGCGAATTTTAGATCAGGCTGGAAAGGAGATGAGGAAATACATACATTTTGAATCAAAATATCGTCGCTTCATGATTCTGAAGTAGACTTAGTACGTAGGAGTGACGTGAATGGTGAACGGAGCTCACTCTGGTGTGCAGTATTCTTTGCTTGACAATTTTGCAAGGATGTTGGGTGATTCAACCAGCTCCTTCTCGAACGTCGTCCAGTAGTGTACATCGCTGGCGACAACGACAATCCTCGGATAGACCCCAAACCTTCTAGCAGTATTGATCATCTTTGGGACCAGGCGAATGGCCAGTAATCCATGGTCCGAGGTTGTTGGTGTGCAGACAAGTCTCCCAGCCCTCGAACGACGTCGTACCTGCCGAAAGGCTGCCATCCCGGCATTCTCAACCAATATATCAAGCCGGTCGAGTTCACGCTCGCACTTGTCAGCGAACGCCGTCACACTTCCGAAATTTGCGAGGTCGATGATCCAGAGCTCCGCCTTCAGGTATCCTGTATCCTTTTGAAGGCCTACGACTGCCGTTTCAGTGTGTGTTATCCCTAAGACAAAAGACTCACGAGAGACCGCCTCCTTTCCCTTCTCCTCATTTCTACATGCTAGAATCAATCGCTCGGGATTCATCCTCGCGAAATGCTTCGACGCTTCGAATCCTAAGCCGATGTTTGCCCCAATAACGGCGACCGTTTTCCCTGTCAAGTTGACGGTAACAACTGAGGGCATAATTCTGTGTTGGTCGGCGACGTATTGTTCATGAGTTTTTGGTGCCATGGTGAGGGTAGACGATGATCTTCTTCGAAGGCGGCATTTATAACAAAGCTAGCCGAACGTACGCGTCTCCTCGCCGTCTCACCGTAGGATGACTCAGTTCTATGATCCAATGCCTGCCGTAACACAGCCGATCATTTGACTACGATAATGACGATTTTGGAAGGTATTTCACATCACTTTGGCAGCACTAACGACAGTCATATATCAGCACCAGTAATGCTTCTGAACGGACGAGAAGGAAATGGTATCATACCTTGTGAATGAAGAAAACGCCTTCGCGCCACGTCTCTTTCTTGGCATTGGGGTGAAGCTCTCCCTAATGTCTGAAATGTCTAATAGGTCACGCTGTTAGCACAAGACATTGGGATGGAGCGGGCTTTGCCATGTCAGGGCTGTGGACCCGGGACCTTGTGCAGGTACTTACCAACACAACACAGCAACCAGGACAAAACGGCCCGTTCGCTTTCATAATGATACGCCGGGGAATGTATCTTCGCTGAACCTCGCTGAACTCGTATCTTAACGGCGAGTTGACGTAAAGGGACCGTTGTTGGGCTGAAATCTTGCAGCTGCAGGGACGGCAATGGGTATCCAAAAAAAAAAAAAAGAGCAGGTGGACTGGAAAATAAAATACCTTGAGTGCTTCCTCCTGCCCCAGTGGTGTGCCAGGTTCATGCATGACGATGAATGAGTACCTCAGGGTAGGAGCAACCTCATGATTCGGCGATCCAGTAATGCACCTCCCTGCGGGAGAGGCTATGACGGGGAATGAGAATGCCAGTAGCGGTGGTGTCGAAGGACTGGTTGCTATGCGTCCAAAATTTAGTTTAGTTCTCTAAATTCTGCGGGAGGCCACTCAGTATTAGAAGACACAATAAGATAGCCTAAAAACCATCCCCGTGTGACGTATCCACTGCCACATTGCTCCTGCTGCGACCCCGTTGTTTAATTGAATGAGTGAATCGCCAATGTGCCAGCTTGTGCAAGTGTGTTACAAGAGGGAATTCAAGTTCCGAACAAGAGAAAGGGACGTGGTGCAGTGCAGCAAAGATAAGATCGTTATCCGGAGTGATAAGACCTGATATCACAGTCTTCAGCCTGACGATACATAGATTCGGTGCATAAAGGCCAAGGCACACGATCGATTATGGACCCTGATGGAGTGACCTGTCCAGATCTGTTCAATCTACCAGAATCTGTCGTCCTATGCAATATACCTCGCAGGGGACAGGGAGATGACCCTAGGTGACCACGCAATATCAGCGCCACAGCCAACCCTCGTGTCACCAGAATAAAAACATCCAGTTCGCGATCGATAGGACTGCGGATAGGAGATATCAACCATCGACGAAATACAAAGTACGCATTAGGAAACGAACATACCGGCATAAAACACGTTCCCAGTGCGCAGGCAGTCTTTGCAAGCAAGGGTGGACACGATGGGGCTGATACAGTCCGAGGGTTAATATTTAACAGAACTTCAACGAGAGTACAGTTAAGCCTCCGCCACCTATACGGGGATAGACTGCCCAGGCCGTACCAGCAATCTTTGTATGGGCTCATGGAACAGCAAGCACGCCCTGCGAAGGCCATCATCTGAGTTTCAGGCACGCTCGTCTCTCTCGGAGCATTTCGAGAGAGATTTGTGGAAGATTCGGCCTTGTGGCATTGAATCGAAAAGAGCAGGTGGAAATTTGTGCCTGTCCTTATAGTCCGTGTCTATCCTCGTCTAGAAAATGGTAATGGTGGAAATATCTAGACAATAATAAGCGACCGTCGCCGACAAACGCCGACCCGTCTCGTACCGAACGGTTTATTTACTGGCTGCTGCAGCTAGCGACCGGAGTTTTAACTGAGTTTCAATTGTGCCCGCGATCTCCCATTTGCGCGTCTAAAGGCGCCGTTCGCTTGCGGTCGGCGGTCGGTAGTGGTTGCTCGAGCTCAGCATCTTCCTGCTCTGTGGACGTACCTTGCGTATCAGCTTGGTATTCATGTTCCCGACACTCAAAAATCATTTACGGAACACTAAGTGGGACTTATGTGACTGAAGCATTCTTCTTGTCCTCTTTTCTTTTTATCAGTGCTCAGCGCTCAGCAGCGAGCCCTATCCCTCATCCAACACCCAGACGCTTATTTGACCATGTTAGATATAGAGGATAGTGCCGAGTCTGTTGTCGGTTTTTTTTTCAGCAATGGCTCGCTCAGCGCTCAGCATTACAAGGTATCATCAGACTTGGAAAATCAATCTTTGATTCTTGTAACGCGTGGTAATTCAGAATTTACTCCCAATTCAGGGATCTCACCTTTTGGGTCGCACTTCACGCCAACCAACTTCGCTTGGTTCTGGATCCTCTTGCATCTGAGATGTAACAGTCGGGTATGTCATTTAATCGATGTTTCCTATATTCTAATACTGCAGTTATCTAGATCTGAAACCATTGCTCACCGAAGTGCTGGTTGAGCTTGCCTCAGGACGCGGGATAACCTTCCTTTATGGCGGCCAGAATGGTAATGCGCTTCTGAACGATGAAAATGTAGGAGCAAAGCCAACTTAACTCCTATACACTGCTCACGTTCATGAACCCCGGGCCATCCATTATGCTTGCGCCCAGCAAATGAGCCTACGTACCTACCTTGACAGGCGTTCATATTCCTGTTGCATGCAAGCTAGCCATAGTTGACGTTCCAACGTACGCGCCCATCGCACTACGTCTATACCTGGCATAGAGTCAGTTAGGTACGTTGCAATGACCATTATCTGCAATTGCCTCAACTTCCAAAAAGTTGATAGTCTCTTTTTTTGAACTCCCATATTTCTTCATACGGCCAGCAATCGAGATAGCAAAACGTTTGACAGCCGAAACTGACATAGGTGACCCTATGGAGCGGTTTTTGCTCGTAAGGTCAGAGGAAAGTCTCCTGGTCCACTGCCAGAAGGTCATCTGCTTCTTTCGCCGCAGGCAAGAGTCGTACGCCATCCGCGGCTTTGTGTAGACACCTAGGTCTTGTGATTGTACGACGCTACCGAAAGCACGCGACCCTCAGGCTCCAAGACTAAACCTTTTCCGATTACCCAGTACCGGCTTGCCATCGTTTTCTTTGGTTAGCTTCTCTTTGTACCTATTCTTTACTGGAAGGCTGATTAAATCCTTCACAGTCCACTGTCAACGCTCACGATCTTACGGTGTTAGCTAATCAACGAATATCGATCCTTCACTTCGTGGTTAACGGAGATTGAGTTTCAATTGGCGGAGCATCGTTCCTTGTCGTCCTTCAGCAAACCGCAAATGAACGAACGATTGCTAGGTGAGGTCCCCGTCCCCTACCATATTTATTTGACTCGACGCTAAACTGTCTTGAGATCAATTCCAGATATGATCTTCACTTACATGTACTGCAGCACTTTTGTCCACGCTGTAAGAGTGCGTAATAGAAATACGTGTCTGTCCTTCCTGTGGACTCAGCACCTTCGTCCCTGACGTTAGTGCGAATTTATAGACCTGTGGTTACTGATGTGCCCGGTAAGCACGCACTCTTCTCTTGCGTACCAATAAAATAACGAAGTTACGATGCAGCGCCGCCGAAATCCCCACAGAGCGGGGCCCCCTTAAAGAAGCTAGAGCTCTCAGCGAGTAAAGAGACCGGGGTAGGCTCATAAGGCACAAAACATTTGGAGGAATAAAACTTCAAATTCTTCGAAGACAAATTCCGCCAAAATGGTACTTCCGCCGCAGGACAGCGTTCCGTCCTTCTGGAATATTTATCATGATGCCGGAACTGAGACGGGCTGGTCTGCCAATAATGCGCACCGGTGGCGGGCTTGGCAATTCATTGTACGGAGGGTCCAGATACTCAAGTTTCTGGGGCTACGATTACCAGAATTCCCATCTCTAAGGACCGATTTTCTCGAACTTTGTGTATTCGCCGCCCTATGTGTCGTTGCCCGATGTAGCCGTGTGCACCGATTCCCCGACCCCGACGAAGTTGATCTTCTTCATCGCTTCATCGCTTCAAGTCTATTTTTAAAACAAATACTAACCTGTACCGTAGTTGTCTTTATGAAGTAGGTTTTATATACTGTTTCTTTGTGACCGGCCTGCAATTATCAATTTCTTTTGTAAAGGTTCTAGGGCAGATGTTTGGAGAGGAGTCCCCTTCGATATTTACACCACGTAATTTCGTCTCGAATCATCTTCAACCCGGTTTCCAGAAGAACTCACCACTCTAAAACCTTATATACCATGTGGGTGCCATAAGGATAGGTGCGTCACTCTTTCGGGGTTGTATTCGTTTGTTCCATTATTTACTTTGGGTTGGATTATAGGTACTTCGGATTGGATGCTCTTCCTTACATCTTATTATCTAGTCGCCGTGTATCTCTCCTATTAGTATACTATTCTCAGTCTAGGTGAGATTTGCCTCTCAGAGTTCTTCAGCCGAGATTCTCATCTAGGCAAGAATGCAGATACACGCGAAAGTGGATCACACTGGAGTTCTCGATATCCCCCCATCGGTATTCAAAGTTTGTCGATCAATCAATCACTGCTCACCGAGGTGGCGTGCGATTTCTTGTCTTACTTGGCTTAGTCGCTCACAGACGAGTGAAGGATTTCTTATTTGCATACTCTGAATCGTTCCCTCGGACTTTATCGAGGCCTCTTCGCGTTGTTTTGGCGATGAAGGATCCTCGGAAGTGAAGCAGAGGCCCGCGTATTTGAACTCGACGAGTTTATCTCAGGACCACGCCAAAAAAAAAAAAACGCAAGACAGAGTTCAAGATTGTTTCAGTGGCTTATCTCTTATCTCTGACGATCCGCAGAAAGACAGACAGTCCGATCGCGACAATGTATAAATCGAAAACGCGATGATAGCATCCGTGGGTTCAGTCGCGTACACGTGAGTTACTGCCTCCATTGAATTTAGGCATTATGAATAGAATGCGTAATTTTCAGGTTTCACTCACATCTTCTTTTCTCGGGTGCACGGGCACTCTTGAACGCTGTATCTCTTCGACCTCGGTGGCTCATTATTATTGGTATTTTTAATATGGTCAACGGAGACGAATTGGTGATCGCGGATGCCTCCGAATGGGTAATTCTTTATTACTAACTAGCTCAATAGCCTCCCGCGAAATCGTCAGTGTACGTACCTGATTCTACAACAATTTGGATTTACCTCACTGGGACATGTATCAGCATGGCCGGTAACTTGATTCGGAGCTCAACCTCCGAAAGGTTGAAGCTTGATACCATGCTCTCTATCTGATGGCAATGCATCAAGGGCATTTTTTTGCCACGTTGTTCTTATGCTTGAGGGCGTGGGCCTATTGAAGTTGATGACTGTATTTGGAATTCTATACGGAGAACTGGAACCGCGCAATACGTGAGACTATATTTTTTCGTTCCTTTAGATACCTCAATCTCATGTTTCAGATGCGATAGTCCTGTCCTTCTCTCATGAGGATTAACCTTTTCACTACCGTCTTCTGTCGTCTTCGCCCCTGTTCGGTCAATGGAGACAGAACAATAGGAAGGATATTAAATACCCAAATTCGTAATAATGATGGAGATCACCGTGAAATACAACTGCAGTTCTTCTCTGTAGAATTTGACCGTGACTTTTTAGCATCGAAAACACTGCTTGAATTCCTTGGTACCAATCGTTGTCGCCGAGCCGGGCCAGTGGCACAAATATGATTGGCTCGCGGATCTAGGAATCAAATTCGTATTACCCGATCTGGTATGTGCCGTCCCGAACTCGGAAAGTTTCTGTTGACCATCTAGATGAAGTGCTCTGGACTAAATTATTGTTTATTTATACGACTACCATGCTCGTTCCTTTCTACTGAACCTTGCTCAACGTTTCTACAAATTCACCTATGCACTCGTCGATACCTCGAGCCATGAACTTCAGTCATTCGCATTTAGAAGCGTGGAACACAGGATTCGAGGAATTGTCTGGGGTATACTCGAACGTCGAGGCGAGTGCTCATGTTGGTGGCAATGGCGCTCATAGTGGCGACCGTCCTGGCGACCTTTCTCACCCACAATATCAGTCCCAGCGCCCGCTCCATACGACTCAGCCTCTCCAGACATCCGCGTATCAGTCTTCGTCCCAACCGAACAGCTGGGCGCCTCGTTACGATTCGTACGACTCCCCTCTGACAACCCAGAATTATACGCTTGATGGTGGTTATTCTCCATTCGCTCATAACGTGCCCAACTACCCTACCCAGCCCGGTGCTTACCCTACACAATCGTCATATCCACCACCACGACTCACGCCCCCCTCACATCATGGGAATCAGACGCAATCCAATACCGATAATCGTCTTTCATTTGCAGGGTCCCTCGATCCCTCGACTGGAATTTTTTATCGCACGCCAGAACACCCCCGCTTACGCACCGCACAGGCATGCGAAAAGTGCCGGACTCGAAAGGCCAAGGTATTTTAATGTCATGGTTTCTGTCTTGTCACTGACCCACCTTCAACTCTATAGTGCAGTGGCGAGCATCCATCCTGCAAACGATGTCTTACCAGAGGTCTCATCTGCCGCTACGCCCCAGAGGGTCGCGTACGCGGTCCTAACAAGCCCAAGAAGCCAGCCGCTTCATCTGAAGGCGCGTCACCGTCATCGTCCCAAAATCAAAACTCCCGACAACGTCGCCCCGAGTCTTCTGGTTCACTGTCGACGTCTCACGCGGCCGCGGAAAAGTCCTCTGGGCAGTCTACCAGCACAATCACAACAGAACTTCTCCCCGTCACCGTTTCTAATCCCCCGTACCGCACACGTAACCGTCGGCCGTCTCTATCCCTAACCACGAACCCTTCATCAAGGCCACGGCCACCGAACTTGGAGTTGGATACGATGTCCAGCCCAGTCGGGATGCCGACTGATGGAAATGAGATGCCCTTGAGCTCTGTTTCCGCGCCCTCTCAAACGTTTTCTTCTTCTCAACCGATAGGCGATTACACTCGTGTGCGACCAATGTTATCCCTGTCAGATGACGAGCGGCCACAGACAAGTTTCATCCACCCGCGCGGCATGGCAGGCTTGTCTAGGAACTCGCCCGATTCAAAGTAAGTATGACCACATCTCACTTATCCCTCGTACATTCGTCTGATGAACGTCTTTCGTCGTATAGCCCAACCTCCGCTGTTTCCCTTACGTTCAACAGGATCGGAACTACACCTCCGCACGCGTATCAATCAACCCCTCCTCATTCTACTAATTACCATTACGATCTTACGCCTCCACCGACGAATACGCAAACCTACCATTTCGGTAACACGACTCCACCGCCATCGCAAGCCTATAACCAAGCTTCCTATCATATGACTGACGATGATCCCATGAGTTTGACGTATCCATCGCAAATGGGAGTATAGTCTAGTATTAGGATTGAACTTTATTTTACTTACTTATCTTCTTGAGCTACTCACGTATAATAAGACACGTACTATCTTCATAGTCTATTAATTCTCTGTCTTTCTGCACACTGCACGCGCGCCTTCCACTCCTTTAACGATACTAGAAACTTCTCGTTTGTTACCTTGACCTTCATAGGAATACTAACGCTATTGCCATAGAGCGTCCTACCCTTGTCCTACCGAAGTACTAGCTAGATCAGTACCGCATGCATCAATCAACACATTTTGTGATGCTAGGTTCAATGACAATGATGTGGTCCTTTCAAATCGCCTTTTCTTCTTCAAGGAAAAATCATACCTTTCCATACTCATTTAAATTTGCACTCAGCAATTTCTCTGATCGGTTGGCCTGAACCGATCAGGAGGGAAACTGACGACGCCTGCTTACGATGTACTCTAGATACCTACAAGTAAATGCTATTGCCTTGATTTCGTGCTCGTTTGCAATTAACGATCCTCAATCAGAGGTGTATTTTCTACTCCGCTATTTCCAAATCTCTTCCATCCATTGTCTCTTCCCGATCATTAGCACATGTCGTTCAGACCCTGAAAAAGATATGCGCCAAACCCAGATAATTTTTCTTAGTGCATTTAATTGTCGAATCAGCGTGCTTTTCGGGATTTCCAAGAGGGCAATGTGTTACAACCTGACAACGCCACGTCTACAACCGTGATTCGTGAGGATGTCCCCTCTTCGTATTTATATCTGTCGGGACCGAGACTGAAGGTCGGGGGGATTCGGATGGTGCTGTAAAGCAGCGTCGGACGTCCGCCAAGCTGATTGGTTAATACAATTTTTAGAATTCTAAAGAAATGTCAGGCACATCGACCGAAGTTTTTTTTCCCTCTTCAGTCCTAGGGGTGAGGGTGAAGGACGGACGGTCCTGATCTTTCCTGATCGCCCATGGCGGTCGATGGTAGCGAAGCTCTGAGAACAGGCGGCCAGTAGGCGGCCTGGGCCAGGGTCACGGAACAGAACGGTGGTTGTCGAGATCGACGCTGACGCCTAGCCAAAGTCAATGGTCTCGAAGTATCCCCCTAGATTCCTGACAGTCTAGCTAGATCCACGCGTCAGGAATGAAAACTTAGGCAAATTGGATTATTAAATTGCTGCCAACCAGTGGACAATTGTGTATCCATGTCCTGAACCGGAAAAGCAAGGAACGTGCGATGTGAGGTGATATGATGAGAGAAAAGTCTTGGTTAGGGGTGCAACCGAAAGATAGAATAAAATAAATAGGTATCAGGGTTCCAAGATTCGGAGGCGGAGCACTTCAGTGTTCTCTTTGCGTCGGGTTTATGATGTTCATAACGCCGGTTCCCGTACTTACCGTGGACCAAGTGGAACGGGCTCTCGTCCTCCGTGACTCCGTCCGCACAACTCTACACAGCCTTTTCTTAGTTTCTCCGGAATGATGATGATCCCGACCGTGCATAGCGGGGAGGTACAGCAAATGACCTCGGGTGAGTAGGCAAATCCTCGGGAGTTGAAAGTTTTGATCTGGTGACTGAATTGCCGGGGCGGCTAGTTAGCTCCGCTTCAATATTATACTGTTGGCTTGGTTCATGCTTCTCCTTCAGTTCTCTCAAATCCTCTAGAGCTTGCTCATAGAGCAAAGTAAGTTTCCCATGCTACCTGCACCGCCTATTATTCTGCGCTTGCTTGACGCATTTACTCGACGACGGCGATATTTTCATACCGTGGAAACTTAATTCGATGCTGAAACGTCATCTGCTTTGCCCTTGATACAACAATTTTGTTTGGCCCGATGAAATGTAATAGTAAATTACATTTAAGTATGCTGACCATTCGCCTATATAACCCTGACGTTTACGGGTGCTCGTCGCGTCTAGCTTCCTTTCGCTATGCGCTCCGTTTCACTCACGCTACTTAGTTTGGTATCTTATGCTCTCGCCTCTCCTCTAACCAAACGCGCCTCTGGAGTCACTACTGACGCTTCTCAAGCCAATGCTCACTCCTTCGACTATATTGTTGTTGGTGCTGGTCTTACTGGAACAACAGTAGCTGCGCGACTAGCCGAAGACTCTGGTGTAACAGTTCTTCTTATCGAAGCTGGAGCAGACAATCGTGACGATTCTCGCGTCTACGATATATATGCTTACTCTCAGGCCTTTGGTACCGAACTAGACTGGAGTTGGTCGACAGACGAGGGCAAGACCATCCATGGGTAGGTCTTTTGCATTCAAACTGTCAGATTATTCACTTTCGACAAGGGGGAAAACCTTGGGTGGAAGTTCTTCGATCAATGGCGGACACTATACACGCGGTTTGGATGCGCAATTTGATGCGTGGTCTTCACTCTTGGAAGAAAACGAGTCAGATATGGGCTGGAACTGGGAAGGTATGCTCAATTACATGAAAAAGGTACGCGCTCTGGGACCATTCTGCCTGCCATTGTTTGACCAATCTGCCTGTCCAGTCGGAGGCTTTCTCCGCGCCCAACGGACAACAATCTGCAAAGGGCGCACAATTTGATGGTGATTACCATGGATACGACGGTCCTGTTCAAGTGACATACCCCGACGAGATGTATGGCGGTCCTCAACAGGGCGACTTTGTCAACACAATCGTCAATCTTACAGGCATCTACCATTCCCCCGATATCAATGGCGGCGGAGCAAACGCCGTCTCGATCACACCTTTCGTGAGTAGTTGAGCTTAACGCCGTCCCATTATTTCTGCTAAAGAATATACACAGACCATCAATTGGCACGACGATGACCACCGTTCCTCATCTGTTCAGGCATACCTTAGCCCTGTCGAAGGTGTGCGAACCAACTGGCTCACCCTTGCTGAACACCAGGTACGGTTTGACAATGCATATGGAGCATATCGGCCTGTAATCGCCATGATAGGTTACTAAGATCAATTGGGCCAATGCCGGTAGCATTCCCTTAACTGCATCTGGCGTCGAATTTGCTCCCACAAGTGGAGGGTCCACGAGATATACTGCCACTGCAAACAGAGAGGATCATTGTTGCATGCGGTTCTATCCAGGTTTGCTCTCTTGTTGGTTATTCGATGATCTCTGCCATACTAAGTTTCCATTTCAGTCTCCTGCGCTACTTCAACTTTCTGGAGTCGGCGACTCTGATGTCCTGGGATCCTCTTGGAATCGATACATATATCGATCTCAAAACTGTCGGTAAAAATCTCCAGGAGCAGGTACTTACCATCATCGTGCACATATTGCCTAGACGAGACTCATTTTTCTAATCCTAGACCATGAACTCCCTAGGTGCTGACGGTAATTTTGACTACGGAGGCCGTGGTCCCTCAGATGCCATTGCTTATCCCCAACATCTACCAAGTATTTGGTGATGAAGCGGCAGGCGTCTGTTAGCAAGATCCAGTCTAGTTTGTCGTCCTGGGCTAGCAGCCAAGCAAGTTCAGCGCTGAGTGCAGATGCTTTAGAGGAGATATACAGCATCCAAGCTGATCTGATAATCAACCAGAACGGTGAGTTAGACTTTATACGAAGTCTTCGTGTTAATTAATATTGTACATCAGCACCCTATCGTTGAGCTTTTTTATGATAGTGGTTACCCAGCGTGAGCTTGGTTACTTCAGTTCGCACCGTTGGCCCTAACGTTCTTGCGAAGTCCTCTTGGTATCGATCAATGGCAGTTACTCCCATTCAGTAGAGGAACTGTCCAAATCTCCGTAAGCAAAACGGTCCAACTGCACCCGAGTCCGTTTACTCATATGTTTCATAGACCACGGATCCATTCACTCAGCCGACCATTAACGTGAACTATTTCTCCGTTGACTGGGACCTCGACGTCCAAATCGCCAGCGCCCGGCTGTCTCGCACTATTCTTACCAGTCCTCCACTCAGGTGAGCGGTGTTTTGTGGCCGGAATTGACTTCGATGTTTATGATGAATTATATAGCGACCTCTCGACCGGTGAAACTATCCCGGGGAATTCAGTTCCCGACGACAGCGACCGCGGCAGCGAAGACGATTGGAGATCGTGGATTACCAATGGCTTCGCGGCGGTGTCGCACCCAATTGGGACCCTAGCTATGATGAAACGTAGTCTTGGCGGTGCGTTGGTATTTTTCTTTTTGACTTACATTATTTGATCTTCGTGCAGGTGTTGTCGACTCTCAGCTCAAGGTTTACGATACCTCTAACGTTCGCGTTGTTGACGCTTCGATTGTGCCTTTACACATCAGCGCTCATCTTGCGGCAGGATTGTATGGTGTTGCTGAAAAGGCGGCTGATTTAATCAAGGCCTCATATTGAGTGTCTCGATACCCTTATACTTATACCCACCTGGACAGTTGCTTTTATCCGTACTAACAGGAGACGGCTTATTCTCATCGACGTTCTTTTCGAGCTGATACTACTCTACGAACTTGTCTAGTAAGTACTATTGTATCAATACAGTAACCACTGATTTGTGAGCATTCTTGTTCTCGAACGAGACTGAAACGCTAGCGTCAAGAAAGAAAATCAAAATACCAGTAGTAATGGTTACCCAGAGGCGGGCTGTACAATGAAATTGCATCTTGGACGTCCCTTGGAGCCGTCGGGCTTGCATGACCCTCGAACACGAAAAACTATCAGGTGTTTGGGATATACTATTTGCCAGGCAACCCCACCACGCGCTCGCTTCTTAAAACAAGTCACGAGTAGGGCTGCTAGAAGGCTTCATCATGCATGTGCTTGTTCGGCATAGGTGGAGTGGCGCAGAGTTAATATCAAGCTTTAATCTCAACCACGTCGGCCTCTTCTTTCCGTAGTAGGAACCATCTCGCGAATTGGGGCTGCCTAGAACGCTGGATACAACTATATAAACCACGGTAGGTTGACTGAAGTCTCCCCATCGAACGGATTCGCCCTCTCTTTCGATAACATCCACCACCATGCACTTCTCTCTCGCTTTTCTCCTTTCTGGCTTCGCCCTCATCAGCCCTGTGTTGTCAGGTATGTGTTCTTCATGGACATTGCCGTTGTGTGGTTGACTGATGCCTCCCGTAGAGGTCTGCGAAGGGCAGGTCACGCTCAGCGAGACCTATATTGGCGTGGACAAGAACGTCAAGGTCGAGACTGTATCATGCCCCGAGGCGGCTCTCGCTAGGCGTGGCGACTTGTTTTCCCGCCAAGCGTCGAATGTCACGAATGTCTGTGGAGCACAGTGTAAGAGTATTTACCTATTTTCTGTGGGAATTTTGATTGATGTAAACGATCAGGCGACACGTTCTGCTTCACTCCCAGTGGGGGTGGCCCAGATCCTAATGAGTGTCATGTAATTGCTGATGCGCTTCGCTACGACAGTCAAAACACTGGTGCGTGTCTGTTTGATTTAGGAATTTCTCCGAGCTTACAATCGAATAGGGAGCACTTTCGACATTGCTAACGGCGTACGTTTGCGTTCAATTTTAGATCATATAGATCCCTAATATATTCCCAGACTACCGGCAACATTGTCGTCATGACTTATAACACCTGCGAATCCTTCTTTGTCAATCAATTCAATAGTACTCTGCAGTACTGTCGTACTGACTGGGTATGAGGAATAGTCTTTGTCTGCCGTGATCAATTAGCTCAGTGCTTTCTTTCTTCGCTATAGGCATCTGTCCTTGACTGGGTAGCTCCGAACTGCCAGTCCACCCAGAATGCGCATGGTGGAGACTGCATTGCTAGCGACCAAAGGTGGTTTATCCAGTGAGTTTTTCCGTGGTTGCTATAATAGGTGTCCTCTTTAACCCAGTACGAAATCCGCTCTAGGGTCCAGCATTCATGAAACAGTCAGTCAGCTATTTGACTAATTGACATCAAAGTAACAAAACAAGAACAGCGAAATTTATTTGTTACTAAATAACCATTTGCATGTACTTGGACAAACATATACCCTTTATCTTTCTCGTTATCAATTGAAAATTTGTTTATAAATCTTATCTTTGTCTTGCTCTCCAACTGCCAGCAGTAGCTTTGCGCACTCTAGGCTATCGTCCCAATCAAACCTACCGTTGAACATGATATTCATTTCGTTCGTGAATCGAGGTAGGCACTTGTTTCGTACATAACCAAAATCTCATTCAACGGTCTTCCTATTATATCTTTCCTTCTGATTTTCCACACAAGTTCACAGCTCCATTAATGTGGCGGTTATGTCGGAAATGTTACTGACAGTTCTCTCTGCTAGTCTAGGATAGACGTTAGAGCCAGATATATCTCTGTAGATGCGGCGCTCATAAATCTGAGCAAATTGAACTTGCAGTTGTAATAATGACAGGTGGTTGAATTATACAGATTTATTTTTTACGCCATAAATAATTTCACTATTTGCCACTGTCGTCTCTTGTTCCGCTGCCACCATATTCCCTCGTATCCACAGCATATTCGCGCACCTTCTCCACGCCTTTTTCTTTCCAAGCTCAAAAGATCCAATCTCGTCCAATTGACGCCCAGAACGCCACCCTTATTATGGCGTCACCCGTGGTTTACTGGTGTTGCTACCCTTAAATTTACCGTTACGGGCCTTACCATAACAGAACAACCTCAAATTCAATTACCTCTCAGTCCAACACAATGCGCTCATGGGTCCTATTTTTCCTAGCATTAACTCCTGCTGTAATCTGTGGTCTTCCTAGAACTCCGAAACAGGCCTCCTTTCAGGTGCAAGCGGAGAATAGGCTGCTTAGCCCAGATATCGACGACCTCATTGAAGCCGTATTGGCGGATTGGAAGTCACCTGGTGGATTGGGTGTAGCCGTTGTAAAGGGCGACGACGAAGGCGGGTGGCAGGTTGAGACGAAAGGATACGGGTACGCGACGCTGAATGGGAGCAAGGTGTCAGAGGACACACTCTTCTGCATTGGTTCTAACTCCAAGGTGATTTGGTCAGCAGCCTCCAGAGTAAATGACCTATAGCTTTGCAGTTATTCAATGTCCTTGCGACTGGCCTTCTTATTTCCAATAACAGCCTCGCTCCAAGGGTTTCCTGGGACAGCAAGATCGCGGATATTGTTCCTGAGTGGGAGTTGAAGGATCCTGTCGCATCTACAAGGAGTACGATTGTCGATTTGATGAGCCACCGTACGGGTCTCCCTAGGGATGATTTAATGTATGCCTGGGCGGATGATATACATTCTTTGGTACTCCCTCTTGCTTGTCCGTGTCCTTTTCACTAACGGGCCTGTAGCTTGCTAGGTTCAAGTTTCTCCGGCCATCGACAGAGTTTCGCGATAAATGGCAGTACAACAACAATATGTACACATTACTGTCATATTTGCCGACAGTGGTGCTACCGTCAAGGACCCCGTACACACAATATGTCAAGGAACATATATTTGATCCTTTGGGTCTCAGTTCGACTACTTTTTTCGGCAACATCGCTCTGGAGAGCGGGAACTTGGCAGAAGGCATATCCCGGGACAAGGTCAACAGAACGGAGGATTTATTTGGGCAAGGCACATTGCGTTCGATGCCTTATTGGATTCCGGTTGATGGAAACGACGGATCGCGTGAGTGTATGAATACTCCACTTGCGACGTCAACTAAAGTGTTCACTTCAATTACAGTGCTATCTGGTGCGGGCGGCGTGATCATGAATGCTAGAGATGCTGTACGTCAAACACCCGTCGTATCTGCCACGGCTTCATGATCTACTTGTTAGGCGACGTGGCTACAGACACTCTTACTGAATGGCAGAAATCCTCTGACTAACGAGTCCATCATTCCACCCTGAGATCATCAAGAAGGCAGCTACTGGTGTCACTGTGATAGACGGGCAAGCGTAGGTCACCTCGGTTTATCTCATTCGCCTTATTCATCTCTTTTAGGAGGCATCCAGCCTTATCTCCTGTCGTTTATGGAGGAGGCCAAGCTATTATGACATATCAAGGGCATAGTAAGCAACATGTACGTTCTATCGAGTGCCCCACTGACGTGCAGTCCCAGTGTTAATTGAAGTATGTCCTTGCATCCGTTATGCGTGAGACTTGATCGTAATAGCAACTTTGGCTAGCATGGAGGCTCTACGCCAGGTGAATTGCCCTCTTTCTTTCTTTCTTTACACGCCCTTTATAATCTGCTACAGGTTTCCGCACACAGATAGCCAGACTACCCTTCGAAAATCTTGGAGTTGCGGTATTCTCAAACGACGACATATATGGTGACCAGTTAATGGACATTGTCAAGTTCGGCATCATTGACAAGGTCCTCGGTCTCGAGAAGATTGACTGGAATAGTTTGTCAGTACTGGCTTCCCAACAGTCTTCCTTTCCTCCTTTCTGATTGCACCCTAGAATGAAAGCGGCTGCAGTAACGAACTATGAACAGGTCCTTTCTCAAATAATCCCGCGACCGGACAACCCAAAGCCTCCCACATCACGCTGGGAAGGATGGTACAAGAATGACGCGTATGGCGAGATCTTGCTCTGCCTCGTCGGTCTGGAGTCGTCGACCCTTCCTGAGTGCCTTCAGCTCACCAACGAAGTTTACACGACTCTTCCAGGCGTGATAAACCCCTCTATTCCATCCTTGGTAGCCAAGTGGAACAAAGTCTGGTCCTCTCATATCTTGTTGGAGCATTTCGATGGCGATTTATATAACGCGAGTGCTCTTGACAGTATCGTAAGTAGCATACAATTCTTTTCAGTGCCTACGCTGGACTTCTGACATTCCTGTCAGGTTACGGATGATGGGTTCTGGGTGAATCGGGAGGCGAGAGACGTACTCGTTACGGCCGAATTTGTGATTGAGGAGGATGAGATTGGGTTTGGCTTGACGGGCGGTATTTGGGGTGCTGGTCCCGGCGTCGATCCTCCGAACGGTGATACGGTGCGGGAGAGAGCTGAAGTGTGGTTCGGGAAGTTGTAATAAAGAGATTTGTATTAACTGTGTATGTTTCGTAACTACTTAAAAGTAGGAGTATGTATGTTTTACAATGTTTGATCCTGGCAGGTACCAGAGACAGATTACGCAGGGGAAATACATGACGCGTACATTAGACCTGCTTTCATACTCCATCTCGAAGTTAAAGATGTATCTTGGCTTTCTTTCCACTGTGGACTGGCGCACTCTGTTCTGGCTGGTCTTCAGAAACTATCATTATCTAGGAAAAAATCAGTTTACGAGACTAGATGACAGTAGTGAAGAAATCAAGTCTTAGGCTGATCCTTTCCCTCCGAAGACTAGTCATGAATTTGTGTGTAAAGGCGGCACCACCATATTGAACCGGCCATGAAGTGCCCCCATCGCAAGCTTGATTGAGACTCCAGAGGATATCTAGATTGACTACCTCAACCTGAGCTAGTCAATCTAGATGAACGTCAGAGTCTCAGGATCCAAAGCGTAGCTTTGCAAGTCCCGTTGCGTCGAGATTCCACCGTGCTTAAAGACACCGTGACGGGTAAAGAGATGAGATTTCGATCCGCCAGTGAACAGAGTACGCTGACCATAAGGCACTCTGCTCGCAGTCAGTATTGTACGATAAACAGGTGGGGAGTTCAGATGACGGATCCATCGAAATTTTCTTATTTAACCTCGAAAATCAGGCGGTCCGGGCTATCTGCTACTGTGTCACTTGGCTCTGAGTTTTGTAGCTCCGATGTTCTTCATTAATCATAATCATCCCGTGGCCGTAAAAACATGAGAAATCGATTAGAGCTACTTTACGAAGAGACACCGGGTATATTAGAGGGTACAGAGCCGGTCCTACAGAACACGGGAGCTATCGTTGAACGTTGATCAATGATCATCCACCTCGGCGCAGCTGACGCAAGGGAGGATGATAAGAATAGGGACTATAACGTCCGCTTCTCTGAACTATAATGGATTCAGAACGAGAACATTAAAGCACGAGTCCGAAATTAATCACCTCTCCCACTGCTGCCGCTCTGGCTCAACTTCCGCGCAGAACCCTCCCAAGACGGCTGAACTGGTACAGCGGTCTTGTTCAATAGGTTCCGTGGCGCTGTGAGAAGATTCATGATGAGTACATAAAGCCAGCATCAAGCGCTGATGGAGAACTCACAGTATTCAGGCCCAGACATACTTGTTGAGGGATCATCCGACAACGGACTTCCCAGCTCAGACTCCGATTGGGTGTTGATATTAGTAGAGGCGAGCATGTCTGAGAGTTCCTCTTCTGACACCTCGCACCCTTCCCTCGGTCTTCCTCTCACTCTGTATCTTATCCGCCTGATTTCCATCGGTGTCAACTGGGGCGGAATTATATCGGTATCTGCAGTAGCGGCGGTCAGGAACTAACGTACGTAAATTCAACAAACAAAACTGACCTGACGGGCATGGTGGACCTGGTGGAGTATACCAGATAGGGCTCAGTTCTTGTGGTCCATCAAGATTGACGAGCTCAGGCTCATTCAGAGGCTCGAGCGTGACTTCGGGTTGCCGGTTTAATCGCGGAGCAAGGAATAAGGTGACGCGTGTGCAACGGGGCATGTTGTCGACCAGCTATATCTCAAGAAGCTAGGGCGACACGCAGTTAGGCAGCGGAGATGGAGGGAAAGTGAGAAACTGAGTGGACTAGATGCGAAACGTTTTATTAGACCCTCCGCACGTGTCTTTGACCATTTCTATAGTGGCCCTGGACGCTGCATAAGGAGGCCGGTAGCTATGAATGGCATCGCGAGAGTTTCGGGAAAGCAAGGACTTTCCATCGAATTTTGATCAGTAATGGAATGTGCATCATAGGGACAGCCTCGCCGGAGTTAAGCAGGGTTTCCTGACGGATTCGGTAGGTAAGATCACTCATGAGGATCTCAACTGACATGGGCGCTCAGGAAGCTTTGGAGAGATTAAGAGATTCGTTGTTCCAAGTGCCGACCTTCGCAAGCCCATTGTCCTGATGATGCATCGAAGCATATCGATCATATGTTCGAGAACACCATCGCAAAACATCGTCCAAAGCCTCTAATAAACGAGACGGGTCCACAAGCAAGGCTTCTGATGTACAAGTAATGTCGATGGTACTCGGAAAAGGCAATAGGTTCCAAATGATCCTCCAAAGTCCCCATAAGCAAATAGGGCACACTGCGACAGCGAAAAAAAGGCAGCGTACCTCTGCACCCTATATGCGCAATTTCGCAATTTCTGTAACTAGTCAAAACATCGTGACGTCACAAGCCTGCACGCGACAAGTTGCAACGCAAGACAAGAAGGTAGGAAAGAGAAAGGCAAGAAGGGCCGCCCGCTCGGGTTCATCGTTGTCCTCGGACCAGTCGCTGATACGAGAAACGACACCTGTGGCCCAATGACCAGTCAACTGACATTGCCGCGCCAGGAGCCCATGCATGTGCTCACGAAGTAGCCTTACAAAATGCGAGCAGCAATGAGCATTAGGCAGCATTAGTCTCGGGCTTCGCGCTTTCGTGGGAGGCATTCATTTAAGGGACAGCGTGAATATGAAATTGAACTGATCGCAACAAAGGCTTGTCATGAGATGGTCCCAAGGACGCAGAATACGCAATAGCGACATTAAGTATGTCCCAGGGTGTCAAGAAAGGCATGCTGCAACTGTGTCAAGAACCGGACGATGGATGTTTTCGCAGAAACTGATGTCGTCATGAAGGATTAACTTGTTCATGTCGGTTTATTGGCTGAAGAGAGGTGGAGAATGAACTGACTTCAGAGTTCATGGGTATACGGCAAACGATGTCAATTTAGGGTGACGCTTTGCAAAGTGGAAGAAGCTGGGCAACCAGTTGTAGCAAGTCAAAAGGCCATTGGTCGATTAATTGAGTACATCAGAAGTCGCGGGAGAACCTGATGGTCATTGAGAAGATGATCGCAAGAAAATGAAAGATGGTAGTCGGTTCCACCAATCGTCTACTGGGTCGAGACTGCACTCTGTGGAAAGGAGCACTATGGGTGATGTCGGTTCGCGAACCCCACTTCTAGACTCGTGATACTGATGTCCCGAAAATATGGTAGCTCCCTTCGCTAGATCCCTCCCTTCAAGTCCGGACTCGTAAGCTTCAGTTTGCATTACACGAGATCAGTCCTCATTGCCACAAGAGAGCAGCATTAACGTCCCTCAAAACCGCGGAACACTGACATGAACGTTCGAAACAAATGTCAATTTTGACCCCTATCGACGAGAACAATTTTTGTGACAATGTTTCGGGTGCATATGCGGTCAATTTGATATCTTGTTCGACTTTCTTGCCAATCCCAACCGATAGCGAGTGTTTAGCAATGCCGCAAGAACGGTTTCGGAGATTTCTACAAGAGTGGGACAAGCTAAAGAATATGTATGAGCCTGATGGAACGTTAGATCACTGGTATCTCAAGAAAGATGACGTGACGCTTACTTTTCTCAGCTCGCTGACGACCTCATCATGTATATTGGGAGGCAAAGCGAGTGAGCCCTATTCTCTATCGTTGGTAGACATCGGGATGCCCTCAGTGTTTGCGCGACCATGAAGCCCACCACATATCTGGAGAGGAAACGAATGAGTCGGGTACAACCTTTTGCGCTGAACATAGACGACGCAAAAATGCCATCGCCAACATGAGTAGCTGAGTGAAAATGTCATAGAGGGCAGGACAGGTAAGGCCACCATAATGTTGACCACAATCAAGACATCCGAAAGGCTCGTGAGTCTTCGCCTACAGGAACTGTCAAACACGCCATAGCATGAGTAAGAGAAAATCATACAGTTTGTTTCTCAGGTGATGGATATGTCGAGATGAACTGAGCTTGAGGTACGCTGATGACTGGATCTCGTTGGGTGATAGCTCTGGAAAAGCGCCGGAATAATTCAGCACAACCGTTGTCCACCGGGAGATCACGATACTCACAGATGGTCTCAAGATATTGTTCTTCCGGTCGCAGCGGCCCCCTTCCTTTGCGCCCATCCGTGTCCACACAGCCTCGCAGCCCAACTGAGCTACTTTTTTCCTCTTTGCCTAAGATGGTGCTGACTATGATGCTTCAGGTTTGCGTCACCTGGAGAAAGTAACGTTTAGATGCTTTGAAAAACAGTAAAGGGGACTATTTCTTCACCAATTACAGTATCTTGCGTGCATCACTAGGTTTAACCACTTGCGAGGTAGATAGTAAAGTAAAACTCCAGGCCTGGTGACTGGACAAGCCTAACGTGTTCCGTTGAGGTAAAATTGACGTCCGAGGTAAGAGGTGACCCAGACATGGCAACTCGTGATGGTCATAGGGCCTAAGAGGGTAGCATAGGGCGCATATATCCAGTGTCATTAGAGCGGCCGACATTGATGAAGGGCATGGTAGTAAGGAAAAGGTGGTCTCGGCGTGTTGCGTTGCGAACTTGCCCTAAACTGCACGTGATCCTGACACGGTACAAAATTCAAATTGAAAAACCTGTATGCAGTGTACTCATTGAGGTGTAATATCAACTAAACACCGACCTCCGAAACCACGACAGATTACGCCTTACATACAAAACAGAGTAACCCTATCTAAATTTCAAAACGTACACGCATCTCTCTGCCAGACTCTGGTAATGCACACTGGCGAAGGAATGTTGGAAGTTCATTCTAGTTATTAAACAGAGTAAAACACTCGTAACTATGCGCCGCCTTCCGGCCTTTGAAACTTGTACAGTAATTGGCTAATGTATGTATGAAAATGCGTGGTCTATGGTAATATACACGATGCTATAACACACGCGCCCTGCGATGAATGACAAGAGAAATGATACTAGTAGTACAACTCTTGAGCTGAGTATTGTACAACGGAGAAGCCGGGTCATTAAATGAATGAAGGACAAATGAGGAAGAAAGAACGGAAGATTAGAAGTCGTGCCGTGCAATAAGCTCTACAGCTCGCATGGACCGAGGTGTGATGTTACATTTAAAGGGTGCGGGATGACTGTCTCGGGTATGAGCGTTGAATTGAACGACGGAGAATACACCGCGTACCTGACACTGCCGTGCGTGGGGTTGAACACGGGTTCGTCACCTTTCACTTTTGAGATGTCGAACGAGGCGAGGGCCATCGAACAAACAATGTACATAGTAGCTTGCGCCAATAGACGTCCTGATAGCAATATGTCAATATCTGGAAATAATCGTGGAGTATGCTTGAGCTTGCCTGGACATATCCTAAACGAGACGATCCCGTCAGTGGACTAAACGGCAATACTATGGCATATACAACATACCGTCTACCAAATCCGAAACTAATTTCTCTGGGATCTTGCTCGGGGTTGGGGCCAAGAAAACGTTCAGGGTTGAAGGTCATTGGGTCTTTGTACACTTCTGGATCGTGTGTCATTGCCCTAAGAGACGAGATGTCAGTGGATGAAGACGGAGATACGATCCCTGCGGCAATTACCATATATTAGCAAACACGACGGATCCTTTTGGGATGAAATGGCCCTCGAAAACATCGTCCTCAAGAGTACCGTGAGGAATACCTAGCGGAATGTAAGTCGGTCGACAACTAACACGCGAAAAAGTCACAAACCTATGGGTGCAACAGGGTGGAATCGTACAAGCTCTTTGCAGAGAGCGTTGATATACGGTAGATCTTCCTGGTCGTCGAACGACGGCAGCCGGTCGCCTCCAAGTACGGAGTCTAACTCGGCTTGAGCCTTCTTCTGGACCTCAGGGTAAAGCATCATGAGGAGGAAGAATGTGTCGAGAACTGCGACGGTCTATCAGGGAAAGAGTCAATTCATCGGTAAGCCGCCAGTTCCATGGGAAACGTACAGTATCGGCGCCCGCTGCGATAGAATGGCGTTAGTGAGGGGAATAGAATAGTTTTCAAAGTAACGAACCTGCATAGATTGCTCCAGCTGCCCACTTCAAATCATGCTCCTGCACACGTTCAGTGTCGTCTTGAAGAAGCAGGTTCGAAACGAAGGATTCTTGAGCTTCACCGTTGGCCTAGATCATTCAACCAAGTCAGACACTGTCATAATAACCGAGACGGAGCGCGTAGATACGTACGATGTTCCGCTTGACCATGTCAAAGGGCACGTTGATCATGTTACGCAAATCCTGTGCCCACTGCTTGGCTTTCGACTGAAAGCCTGCACCAGGTAGCCACTCAGGAATATGGCGCACTGTAAAAAGGTACAGTTAAAAAACAGTCAGGGCCACGGGTAGGGCAACATACGCATAGGAATAATGTCAACCAGGAATTGACCTGGCGTGGAAGCGACTGACAACTCTTCCATCGCGCAGTTTACAAGCGCCACCATTTCATCGTTATCACTTTTCACCTCGTAACCATAGGTGATACGAAGCACCAGAGCCGCCACGTCCCTGTGAACGGATCAGCATCCGCTTCGACGGGGAACGGGACGATAGCTTACTGTGCGATGTGCGAATGCAATTTTTCTGGCGAGTCGAGGAGCCGCTTCATGAGGTTCACGGCCTCTTGCTCCTCCATGGGATAGAAAGTCCGAATCGCCGACTTGCTGCCGAGAACGGAGTGAAGGAGTTTGCGGTGCGAACGGAAAGTTTCTCCGTAAGGAGCCAGGCCGATTATGTCGTTCCAGCCCATGAGCTCTCCAGCCATCACCATCTTGGGGCGCTCAGAGTAGATGACACTTCGTTTGTCAAGAAGCGCATAGGCGGCGCGATGAGAGTTAAGGACGATGAAGGATTGGCCGAACATTGAAAGTGAACATACATCACCTAACGAAGACGGAATGTGTTAGTCCTATATATAAAAACGGAATGATGGTACACATACCCCAGATGTCTGCCCACTTAGCAAAGGTCAACCAAGGGCGGTCGGAAGGCATGTCGAAGACATTGCCAATAAAAGGAAGGCCACGAGGACCAGGAGGTAGGGAGCGTCGTTTGGAAATTATACGTTGAAGGAAATAGATGCTTGCAATGAAAAGAATGCAGTCGAGAAAGAGGAAAGAATTCATGGTGAGCGGAAGGAAGGGAAAATGAAGGAGAGGAAGGGACTCGAGAGAGAGACAAGGAATTTTTTTACTCAGGCGTACCCTTTAAGTACAAGGCGAAGTAATCCGGTACCTTTTCACCATATTTTCGACGGCCACTGATTAAGGGCTTCGAAATCTGTGGCGTTCATTCGATCTTGACAATAGGAAATAGTGTTTTCACAATCGTGTCGTCACACGAAATTGGAAATGCCACATCCTCCCTCACCGCCTCTGACCGCTTCTTCATCGTTCCGGAGACGGATAACGGGCAGCAGACTCGATGATCCTATTCCAGTGTATCCTTGTTGATCGCGCCTTTGAAAGAGTGAACTGACGTCTTGCATCCATGGATCTACGAGTGTTCGCCTTTGAGCTACAAGCGAATGAGGAAAAAGTATCTCGCGCTGTTTCGATGTTCAAACTGACGCTCACGGCATCTGCCAGCAATGTCAGGGTAAGCCAGCCAGTATGTTTCATCGTTCTAATAGACTGTATACTCACCGAGTAAGCAGCTTTCAGGCCTGACCTTGTCATACGCATCTGGCAAGACAATTTGACTGGCGGCGATAGGTGGTGATGGGAAGAATCCAAGAAGAGCTAGATTTGGTCGGCGCCCTGAGGTGGCGCCTGAAATGCATCCGCCACTCACACCCCCGCTCTGACCTTTGGCTGCGCCTCTTCTACTCGCCCCGCCCCTCTCACCCGTTCCAGGGCTCGCCCGTTCTCGAGCCGCGAGGCATAAGGGTCATCGATGTCGGCGCGAGTCGGAGCGAGGCGTGGCCATCAGCTCGGCAGTTTTTTTCTCCAGGCCAGACCTTAGTCAGTTGCATTGACTCTCCAATTTACGTCCTATACTCCTCATGTTTGTGCGGTCCGTGTTCCCAGTAAACTTTGAAAGAATGTCATGCAAGACGGCGGAGGATTAATCAGTTCATCATGACGTCGCAGAGAACACCTCGAGGAAGTATTACGAAGCTAGGGCACCATCATTGGGAGGCAATGATGGTATGTAGAAAGTGCTGAGGCACTATAATTGTCCTGCACAGCTTTCCGTGATCGTAGGAGTGTAAGAACAGGGAAAAGCGGACCCACAAGGTCCTATGATGAACAGACGACTACAATCAGAAATCGTGCTTAACCATCTTTTCGACGAATAACAACCATCAATTTTGGTTCCTTGGGATTTTCGAGTCGAAGGACTATCGACCTGGATGCTGGCAATTTGGCAGATATATCGGGTTAAACACGACCCGATCAAAGCGAACCAAGATTCCAGCAAAGATTCAATAAACCATCAATTCTCCATTTGATTTAAATTTTCCTAGTCGTCGATCATTGCGAGGGCATCGAGCATTGGGTGACTCCACTAGGGATCCATGTAATCCTTTCAACTCGCCAAGAGTCGATAGATACGGGAAATGGAGATCATGTCGTGTAATATGATGATTATAAAATTACTTGATATGCCGGTGGTTCCACTCTCCAAGCTCCCTTCCAGCGGAACCAGTTGATCACCATTTTCACGAGGCTGATTCTGTCCGTTCTTTCAACAACAATACCGCGACACGCGGACCTGTACCCACGATCAAAGATGACTGGATTGACGGTGTGCCACTGCGTCTTCTCGCTGTTCTGAAGCTTGGCACATCCGCGGGACCATCCGCCCATCTCATTCCTAGGGAGTTCCGAGTCTTGGAACAATCGTTTGCGCAGTCAGTGTTGGAAAAAATCCTCATGATCAGTGGCGCACAACCAGGTCCCAGCGCGGATCGACGCTGACGATAGATGCTAAGCATGCAACATGGCGGCATGTCATACGTGCGAGAAGCGGGCCACGTCAAAGACAGGAGAATCCGCCAGTAAGACATTGAGGCGCTATGGACTGACAGCACCCCATTGTGTTGCTCTACGGACCGTACATCCAGCACCTCAATGATACGCGAGCACAACAGCGCAGACTCTACTGTGGCGGCCTCGTTGGATGCCGAACATCCGAATTTCGACATCGGCACAAAAGTTCCCCAACATTGGAACTCGCCTTGAATCGACAAGTATCTGCATGAATCACTATCTAGACGACCAGAGGTTTAGGTTGGTCGCATCGTTTATATTGTTTGATAACTCACAAATTTTTGGGCCGAACCTTGCACAGGCACTTGTGTCAACGCCGAGCAGGCGTAGAGTGCACCCGCGGTTCCGAGGAAGAGCGGAACGGACGTTCCGTTGGCAGTAGGCGTGGGGAAGAGGGCTGGTTCTAGAAGAACACGCTTCAGCGCGCCACTAAAGATTAGAGAAAAGGACCTACAAGGATCCATATCTGTCGCCAGAAAAGGAAGAAAGATGTACCGCTAGAAATCCACCTGCCTTTTTCTACCACCGCCGTATCCGTCGCTCGTCGCTCGTCGATAACCTATCCCTTCCCACTTAACTCCGGTCGGACGGAGAACAACCATTAGGGACGGTTATATCCCTCATTGAAACCTGCGTCTTTTGGGCGCAGTCACAGGAAACTCATAGCCACCTTACATCCGTATTTTCCGAGTATCTCCGTCCAACAATGTCAAAAGGCGGCTTCCATTTCTTCAATACTTAGGGATGATAAAGAATCAAGGGACGTTGTTTGATTCTGATGCGACCAGGTGATTTTGGATATTGTTCTGACTGGAAGCAGAATTGTCGACCCAAGCTTCGTTCAGAACGACGAGATGCATAGAACTACCACGCCCAACTAGGTCACGCCGATTACCACGGCGGGCCCGAGTTTCCCTGCAAGAGATTCTTAACCCAGATAGGTATATATGAACTATACATTAAGTCAGAAAAATTCATCCATCACAGCAGATAGAAAACATAAAACATACTATTGTCTGTCTGCTCAGCAAGACAACAGAGAGGACCGTATTACCAGGTCGCTCATTGATCCGACTTCTAGAAAATCCTCTGCGGATACCGTCAAGAAGAACTCAGAGAGAAGCAAGCCACGAGTACAGCAAATTCCCCTTCAAAGCATCTCTGGTGATTGATAATCTTGTCACGGAAGTTAAACATATTTCATCGGTCCGACTTCCACAACGGAGCGGGATCGTGTCCAATTTAATTAGACGGCGCGGGGAAGGGCGGGCGGAAATTCGGCAGAGTCTGTAGGTCCGCCGAATGAGACGATGAGAAACATACAGATGGGACTTGACGGATGAATGGACTTACCCCCTTCAGGTTACGCAAACCAGATGTCGTCCAATGAATCCGACGGAATCGCATGTACTTGAAGGTAATGTTACGCTATTAATGCACCCGCAAGTAGCAATGTCAGGGAGTCCAAGACTTGTGAATTTCGGTACAGTAGTTGCCTCATAGACTGCAGCGAAGTAGATCAACGTTAGTGACGAACCAGATGGATAGGACATCAAGAATCCTTTACCTCTTCCGGTCGCATTAACGTGCAGGGTGTACGTTTGCAGAATAATATTGCTACTGATGCGAGCTTGAACACTGATGGCATCCATCAACCTAGCATGCTAGCAAATAAACTGCTCAATAGGAACCGTCCAAAGAGAATGCCCTGTTCCACCATAGCGGAGGCTTAATCAACAACACTATCTTTGCGTTCCGTCAGAGGAGCAAGCACTGTTGCTGCTACTTTGGACGTTGACAGTCCCAGATTTTGCGTCTTCTGTCAAACAGAGAGGGTCCTTTCTCTCAGTCGTGAATAAAATAGACATTCGTCCTGGAGGATCCTCAAAAGGAACAACGGCAGACATGACTACAGTGTAGCGGACGGGGGGCTGGCGGAATGGAGGTCGGGAGGTATGACAACCAACAAAGCTGCAAAACTTGTTAATTGGACGATACCTTAGCTGCAGGCTTGTAGAGGGAACGCACCTTTGAACATGAACTTGTAGGCATGTGCAATGCTGAAGGGAGTCAGATTTAATTTAAGCCTGGGGGTGGCGCATTTGGGAGGTCGCAGTATTGCAGCATTGATCATCAACGAGAGAACGACCTGGTGATCCCTGTCTGATAACCTCACGACTCTCGAGAGCGCGCTTGTTTGCTAGTGAAGCAATACAGTGGTATGTTCGCGCAACCTGTACCGTAATTGGCGGCCGCCTTAGCACTAAAGGGAACTCGAGGCAAAGGTAGCCCATTATGAGCCTCGTACATTGTCAAGAAAAAGACGTTCTACAACTGTCAAGAAAAGAAGTTCAGTCCAGATAATGTAGTACCTATAGACCAAACACGCACCTGCACACCAAAAGCAACAGCCATGAAAATAAATGTCCGTGGCGGCTGACCACCTGGCTGACCAACGGCTAACTTCAACCTGAAGGAGGCCCAGGCCGCCCAGCTGAGCTTCGATCACGTAATTGCCGTCGTCGCACTATCTCGGGTTTTTCCTAGGCTTTTCCTCCACGCCTCCTGCCTGCTTTGAAACCGTCATGTTCCCCCCCAGGCAACATCTCACTTCCTGAATCCCTTTTGAACAATAAACAACGGCACCAGCCTCTCTTGTCTGACGTGTGGATGACTCTGCAAAAAAGGCTTCATTTACCGAGAAACGGGCTTTCCTCTGAGTAAGAAGCACCCTGTTTGACGAATAGACGATAAGTAGAATACTAGTCTGGTTTTCCTCCGAGTCTTCCGCTGACACATCAACGCTTTCAATAGGATATTGTCTCACCACAAGTGAGAAAGAAAGTCACCGGATCGGGTTCTTTGTTAGCCGAAAAGCAACAAACATATTTTACTTCGGCCTGATGCGGTGATCACTCCTCTGACTATTGACCACCATGGCACCGTCTGCGTGCGTCGCACCCATCGTAGATTCCACCCTTGTCTTTCGAAATGATATCTTTAACGGAAAGGTGCTCTTCTGTACGGGGGGCGGGTCTGGAATCGGTCGGGCAATGACCGAAGCTGTGGTGCGTAACACGTCTGTAGTGTTTCCATTCATGCCCTGACGAAATTATAGATGCGTCATGGAGCCAGTGCTACTATCGTTGGACGCAAGTGAGTCTTTACATGCCTGATCTGTTACTGAAAAATGACTGACAAGGTCAGACTTGACCGGCTCACGCAGGCTGCGAAAGAACTTTCAGAGGCGACGGGCCAAGTCTGTATTCCCGCGCAAGCAGATGTCAGACAACCAAGCGCTCTTAAAGATGCTGTCACGAAGACGATAGAGAAATTTGGTCGTATTGACTTCGTCATTTGTGGTGAGCTCTAACGCTGTATCGTCATTGAGCCTCGCCCTAACGTTTGATAACTGGTTAGGTGCGGCTGGCAACTTTTTGGCGCCAATATCGGGTTTGTCAGAAAATGCATTCCGAACTGTGATGGAAATCGACACAGTGCGCGATATTCTTCATATGAATTTAATCCATCCCTCATACGTGATCTTAACTTAGATTGGAACGTACAACACCATCAAAGCCACCCTTGGTCATGTCCGTGCTTCCAAGGGATCCTATATCATGATTAGCGCGACGCTCCATTATAGCGGCAGGTGTTCTTCACGTAGCCCTTGCTCCATTTGCTAAGGCTTCAGCACAGGGACTCCTTACCAGGCCCACGTATCAGCAGCGAAAGCAGGTGTAGACGCTCTTTCTAATGTCCTTGCCGTTGAAGAAGGTCCACACGGCGTACGTTCAAACGTCATATCACCTGGTGCCACAGCCAACACCGAGGGTATGGCTCGTCTGGCGCCCACAGCCGGCAAAGAGAGTCCATTTCCACTAGGGCGCCTAGCTGATGTTAAGGATATCAGTAACGCGGACTGTATTTCTATTCAGCGAAGCGGCGTCATATATAACAGGCCAAATACTGCCTGTCGATGGGGGCAGTGAGCATCTTCGGACGACGCAGCTGCCGTATCCGTCTTCCGTGTTGGACCCTTCTGCCACGCTGAAGGTTCTAAAAGCAAGGATGTAGGATATCTTGTCTGTTTTTTTATTTATATATGTGCAACAGGATCGCTTCGTTATCCACTACTGCTGTTTTTTGCCCAACACGTGGTTTCAGCTACGGAATTCAAAGATACTAGTAAAGAAGCTGAAGCTGGTACAATACCTCCGTGGACGTGCTTGTGTTCTCAACAGCGCAGAAGTTGCGCTTCCTCCCAGCCTATCGTTCGGCAGGGTCTAAAATCCATAGAAACTGGCTGGTTATTCCCTATTTTCCCGAACTCGCACCCAACAGTACCGTGATCAACGTCAAAATGGACACTGGGTCATCCTCCGTTAAATCTATAAAATTCTTATATCTTGTAGACCGAGCCTTCCTCACAACACTCGTTCCCTATGCCGTACCTGGATCACCTTACGCCGATAGTTCTGTCGTGGCCCGTCGGACAAGTATAAAGGGGTGCATCCTTCATTCCGTCTCCCCGTCGCTCCTTTCCTTCCTTTCCCTATCATCTCTCTGCTATTGAGAGAAAGTTCTCATCGGCTGGGCCCCGTGTTTCCAATTGCGGACGTGTCCATCGCATCTACGAGCGTCGACCTTCCTCTGCCTCCTTTAGTGCTTTACCTGGTAACCTTCCCCGCTTTGTTCATGGTGCCTTGTTTGAACCTCGTTCGTGTCGCTGACATTTCCATTCTCCGGACCGCGTTCTTCTAGTGACAGGACTCAGTACGCTACTGAGAATTTCGAAAACTGTGCGACAATAATGGCGATGCATTGCCACCAGGATCCGTCCTTTGCCCAAATTCACCGCATGTATGGACTTCAGGCTCCTGAAAATGTACACCTGAGTTCACCGTTGTTTTAGCTCCATGCCGGAATTACAACCTTCACGACCACCTTAGACTTGCATGAGGTGTAGTACGCGATGAATCCGGAAGTCTCAACCCCTCCGCCGGCCGTCTGTTTTACAATTTGCTTATTGACTGCAGACGATGACAAAATATGTGTCTGCATGTGTTATATGGTAACAGACCTTGACTGTCCCCGAAACCATTTCACCTGTCCGATCTTCGAAGGCCCAAACGTTTGTGCTGGCGGTCAACTCCCCGGAGGGGGGATGGGTCTACACCGAATCATACTGCGTGAGCTCGGTCATCTACAATGCATATTCGGCACGTCCTCTTTCAGCCTTAATTTGGGTATATCCTCTGCGGATCCAAGAGAGTTTTCTGGAGTGTATTTATGTGATATGCGCTGGGAATACCTTGTCAGTCATGCTTCAGCGAGTTTCGTTCGTCACGCGCGTGTATACCATCAGTTCTCATCACAGTCTTTCATACGTCATCGCAGCGTTCATATACGCCGGGACTTCAAAAGAAGCAAGAACATCAGTATTAACGTGTCGTGAATGGCAGGCTCTGATCGGTTTAAGTGTGTAACTTTCTCATGGATAGCCATTCTGCTGTTGCCTAACGAAGGCCACTCAGCGGCGTATGCTTGCCATTCATCAAGCCACCCACCACCTATGAACGGGGTTCTGGTTACTCGATAACTCACGTTTTACTCGGATTCAGTTTCATACAACATCGATGTTGGCAGCCTCATGGACTCTGCATCTGTCACTATTCTAAGTCAGTAACATCAGCCTTTCTGTGATTAGGCCTGGTGCCGGAATTCAAGCTTTTGCGGATGATCCATCGATCCATCTGTTTTGAGCAGATGGCAACAACGCAAGTGGGTAATCGCACGAAGACCGCGGGGTTTCCGAGCCTTAAGAGTAGCCGCCTCATGGGATTTAACTCCGCCACCATCCGTTTCTCCATAACACAAAGTTTCAATATGCACCGAGTCGAGGGATCCAGTGACGCCATATCAGCATTAGCGGTGGTGATCCAGTGCATACACTACCGCTCCTTCCACTGCCTATTTTGTCACGATGCTCATATTCCTGCTACAAATATAACTTACGACCTGTATATCTCTGAGACGCTTTGTAGATATTTTACAAACTCGTGCTGTATCTCTGTATGTATCCTATGTACGTGCTACAAGTATTCGCCTTGAAAAATGAAACTCTGAGAAATTAGAATCAGTGATTTTTAGGGGCTATCACGTGGTCGTCAGCTTCCGAAGGAGAAACTCTAGCCTGGCAAGCCGTCTTTATTATATACTCGCGGAACTCGTATCTGTATATAAAGCCTGGTACCCGGGGCGGGGGTCCATAGGGGAACCCCCCAATCTCAACATATTTTAAAGTCCGACAAGATTGCCGGTATAGCCGCTCACTAATGTATGATGACTCATAGCTGCAATTGACCGAAATTGGTGCTGCCTCATCTTCACCCTCGCCATGGACAATACCGGACAACTCAACGATGGTGAAAACAGCCAGGATAGTGACATGGCTATTTCCGATGATGAACGCCTGTCTGAAACGACTCAAGCAGGTCAAACATCGCATGCGATGCTTCACTGGGCTGGATTCGGCTTGTTTTTGGAGCTCCTGTAGCGCTATCATATATCCAGAGAAATATGTCGTCTTGCCACCAGTCTTGACAACAGAAATGAGATGGGTGCCATCTAAAGCCTTGCAGATGCCCTCAAGCACATAATCATGGATGTCGTGGGGTAGCCGAGGCCGAATAAGCTGTCGTACAAGTGCCTGGCCCACCGGCGAGCATAATCCGTCATTTGCGACATCTTCATCGGACATAGAAGGCAGTATAGGCGAGCGTAGAGGAAGCGTTGATCAACGCAAACGAGCCACGATCGCGCTACGCGTGGGGCACGTGCCGGCTTCATGGCGGCATCCTTTCGGAGTTCGAAAATCGCTGAGATTGGAGGGTTCCTCTGTGGACCTCCGCCCCGGGTCCCAGGCTAGAGAAACTCCGACTTGTCATATAACCTTCAAGTTCCCAAACTCTTGTTGACCTTTCTTTCTACCCGTACGAACTTTGTACCATGACTTACAGACTGCGGTCGCGCAAGAACCGTTTCTCTCAGACAGAGCGAGCTGCCCACCAAGAGCTATTATTAGCGGGAAGAGCAAACATGACTGGGCTTCCTGTTCTGCCAAACGAACTTCTTGAAATACTTTCCTACTGGCCCTCGATTCCAATTCCCGCCAAAAATCGACGCGTTTTCTCCGAAAAATATATGCCGCGCTTCGGCGCTCTGCTGGCACTTTCTCAGACTTGTCGCTCACTTCGGAACGTCTTCCTGCCACTTGTTTGGGAGCGCCTCGAAGCATGTGCGAGTCGAAAGCCACCGTCAACTTCCTTTCCACTACCGAAAGCTCATCCTGCCTTGGGAGAAAGAGGTTGCCACTGAGCTTGTTCGACAGCTTGAGGTGGTAACTATTAGGGACCCTTACCCTCGCGGTGTATGTTCGGTACGTGTATGTCGCGAATTTTCACATTCACCCTTTAATTTTCCTTGTACAGTACAATCTCTGTGACCTTTGTCGCGGTTCTCAGCAGATACCTGTGTACTTGGAACTTGGCGCGCTGCTTGGCCCTTCATGCCCAATCTTCATACACCTCCAGATTTGTGGAGTAGGATCACCTAAGGCCTTCTATGAATCTTTCGATAAATGCGTGTTCACCACTGTCAAAACGCTGGTTTTCCCTCCGAATGGTTACACTATCTTGTCGTGTTGCCCCGAAGTACGGAAAGTAGCTTGCACCACTAGAACTGAATCAATGGGTGGTATAATCAAGACGATGATCAAATCCTGTCAACAGATTGAAAGCCTCGACAGTGTGCTCTTTGGGTGACGGAAAGCTTCTGCAAAGTGAGCCGTTCGCATGATGATCTTATTTTTCCCACTGACTGCGTATAGCCATGACGCGAAAGATGAAGGGGATACGTGACTTCCGTGCAATTAACCTTTGCAGCTCGCATATGACGATGGTATGTGCTACGACCATAAGGGCCTTGCATTAGTCTAATCCATGAACAGGCCGGCCTAAAGCATCTTAGTCGTTGGAAGAACCTGCGCACCGTACGCTTGCAGATACCTAAATATCATGTTCACAAGCACCCAAAGGCCTTGCATGATATAGTAGAACACGTCAAAAAGATCCTTCAGGATATTCCGGCCAGAGAGAACGAAATGAAGACCCTCGTCGTCGATTTTCGGGACAAAAGAAGGATGTATAGGGCGAAGGGCATTCATCCGCTTGTTTAGCTCTTCCTTTTGTGATATATATATATATACAGGATAAGGTACCTTTCTCCCGTATTTAGGATCCGCGGTGTTCTTGCTGCGCCACATATCGCCACATCGTGTCATGGCCTTGGTTGCTGTACGGAATCCATTGTCCCATCACCACCTTGGGATTAAGCGCTTTGACCTGGAAATTTTCCGAAGGTGGAGCAGCCGTAAAAGTGACTTGTCCCCTCGTTACATGACAAGGCATGGTGCCATGCTGTTCTTCTGGCGAGAGTCATCATGGCGCAGCATACACCATTAGTATCAACCTTCAAGTTGACGCGAGACCGGCATTTTAACTCGACCTTGCCTCGTTGCTAGAGAAACCGGTGTGGAGACCATGGACCGCCTTCGTCTAAGGGCCTCCGATGCATCACGATCATTAAGCCGACAACAAATACAGAGGCTCCCATATACGCCCAGATATACACGGATGAACAATATCTCATCAACATCTCTTGGCGTACCAACCACGAGCCTCGGCCATTTGAACCAGGAGTCTCGCACCCATCGAAAGGATCCTGCAGAACGATTTGCTTCCTTGGACCCTGGCCCTCCGCCCAGTATATGGTCCATTGAGCTCGCTTGGAATGTACCGTACTTTGCTGGAAAACAAAGAGTTGCGTTATCGTGTCGTTTCGACATTCTTCTACTTGTCCTACGGTTGATCGGACGTGTTGCATATTGACCTAGCAGTTCTAGAATAGAGTCTTCCCTGCCCGACATCTATAGGCTATTTTTGTCTCTTCTATTTTTACTTTGCCCCGGGTACTATGTCTTTTCCTCAGTCCTCCCCTCACTGCCAGTATTCCTCGTCTCGTTGTCAGCACAGAATTTTCGACTACTATAAATAAGGGTTAGTCTTGCAAGAGGACAAGCCATCCGGAGACCGATTGACCAGTTATCCTTTTAGAATCAGTTCGGAGCGTGGCGCATGGTGCAGATGGACATCGACTTCTACGGAGAAAGGTCTTTCCTCGTGGAAGGGGGAAGGAGCGTAATCATAGCCGATTTCAATCAGTATCGATGTCGGGCAACGTATCCAACAGCACCCCCGAGGGAGAAGCTGTGAAACAATTACATGTACGCTGAAGGACGTAAATGGAGACTACATGTTATGCAGCCATCCTAGTTGTCTTATGTAGTTATCCTTCTCATTTAAATGATAAACAGGTTCCTTTGATGTCATTTTATGCCTATCTATATATCTAGGCGTATATGAGAACCTCTGTCTTCGTTGTCGGCCTAATAATCATGATGCTTCGGAGGCCATTAGACGAAGGCGGTCCACAGTCTCCATACCGGTTTCTCTGGCAACCAGGCAAGGTCGAGTTAAAATGCCGGTTTTGGGCCAATTTGAAGGTTGATACCAATGGTATATGCTGCGCCATGATGACTTTTGCTTGGGAAGACTTGATTCTAGAATTGCCAGATCAATATACAACACGTCCGATCAACCGTGGGGCTGGTAGAAGAATGTCGGAACGACACGACAACGCAGCTCTTTGTTGTCCAGCAAAGTACGGTACCATCCAAGCGAGCTCAATGGGCCAGATACTGGCGGGGGACCAGGGACCAAGGAAGCGAATCGTTCTGCAGGAAACAAGCACTGGCAGGATACTTTTGATGGATGCGAGACTCGTGATTCAAATAGCCGAGGCTCGTGGTTGGTACGTCAGGAGATGTTGATGAAGCATTGTTCATCTGTATATAAAGAAGAAATGCACTTTGAAACCCGGCAAGATGTCGGTGATGAAGAGAACCGCCACACTCAAAAAAGTAAGCAACAGCGCTAGGTTGTAACTGTCGCAAAATTTTTACCTTGTTATTCGCCAGTATGGCCGTAGTACCGTGTTTTTTGATATCGGAATAAACATTCCCTTGAAAGCGCCGTCGTGAGGGAAGTCTCGTAAGAGGGTCCTGGGCCATCGTACGCAAGGCACCCTGGTGACGACCCCATGCTATCAATCCGGAGCAAAGCCAGATTGATTCTTTACGACTAGCAACGGACGGGTGACCAGTCACAACGGCAGACCTTTTCCACGTGAGAAATTATTCAATGTACGACCGCCTGTGTAATCGATCGTGGAGAGAGGTAAGTCTTCGAGAATGAAAGGGACGGAGTAGGAGAGTCCCAAACACGAGTGCTCTGGTCACAGTTTGGAAGCACGATAACCGCACAAGTTTGATGCAAAACAGAGAACACAGTAATAACATGCGAGAGCCAATTCCGCCGCAGCACTTGAATGTGCCTTGCCGATCATCTTGGCTCGGATAAGATGTGAATATTCGAAACAAATCTAGCCCTAGCAGAGGTTACCAGAGCAGACGAAGAGTTGGAGTACGTGGGGGAACGAAGCAACGAAGCAACTTAGCCTGAAGAAGGGAGGATTATACAATGGTGGCACAATGACAGTGGTATACGAAATACTTAGACAATACCAGCACCAAATGGGGAAATAATATCAATTGTTATTTATTTGTACACGAAAAGTATAAAAAGGTAGAGGTCCAGCGGTGACCATCCGTCGTCCTCGACTTTTTTGCCCCCCCCTCCCTCCCTCCCCCTCATCGCGGCCCCCTCTCCTCCATCATCGCCTCACAGTCTTTTTGCTCTGGAGCATCTGACTGACCCTTGTATATTCATTTTTACCGACCAACGACAACAATCAACGATGAAGGCGTCCTTTTTCCTCCCCTTGTTTGCTGCAACCTATGTCGCCGCCCACGGATACGTGCAGAAGGTGACCATCGACGGTACCGAATACACTGGTCCTGCCGTTGCTTCTGGCAGCACCGATGGAATCACTCGCGAAGTCTCTACTCAGGATCCCATCAAGGGTGCAACAAATTCCGATCTTACTTGTGGACCAGGGGCTTTGGCAGGTAGCCAAGTTGCCAGTGTTAATCCTGGAAGCACCGTTTCGTTTTTGTGGACAGGTGCCAGCGGTTCAGCGGTAAGTATGGATTTCATTAGGTCGATACATTGACTTAAAATTTTCATGATAGTGGCCCCACAATGTTGGACCAATGATGACCTACATGACCAACTGTGGTGATTCGTCGTGCGCCGATTTCGATCCTACTGGCGCAGAATGGTTCAAGATCGAGGAAGCTGGGAAGACCGACGGCACATGGGCACAAGCCGCTCTCAGTGCGTTGTGCAATTTTGACTAATTTTTTCCGTTGTCTTATATTTACTCCAGTGAATGGCGCTACTGCCGATGTGACCATCCCAAGCAACCTTGCAGCTGGCAACTACCTCATCCGTCACGAGATAATCGCACTCCATAATGCCCAATCGGAAGGAGGCGCCGAGTTCTACGCTTCATGCACTCAGCTCAAAGTGGGAGGCTCTGGTACCGGCACTCCTTCCAGTAGCGATCTCGTCAAGTTGCCCGGAGCCTACAGCGACACTGATCCTGGTATTCTGATCGATGTATGTCCACTCCCTTCTCACGTTATTTATTGGACTAACAGTTTTCAAGGTCTACACCGACAGCACGAATGACTCCTACACTTTCCCTGGCCCCTCAGTTGTCAATCTCGGCGGTGGCAGCTCTAGTGCATCTTCATCTGCTTCCGCCTCCGCCTCTCACTCTGCTTCCGCTACCTCTACCAGAACTCATTCGTCGTCCAGTGCAGTACCCACGTCTAACGGTGCTTCTTCTGGTTCAACGGGAGGTTGCAAGCTCAAGAAGAAGCGTGCCGCTACCAACGGCACGGCCATACTCACCAAGAGGGAGACCCTCACCAGGAGGGAGACCGTCGCCAAGAGACCCCGCCATGTATCTAGGATAATGCGCGGTTTGGATTTTTCTTCTCATATGCATTAACGCGCTGGAACGCGTTGGTTGCTGGTACGCTAGCTCGTGCTTTTGTTTTACATGCTAGTTCATGTTTTATTCCCTCTACGTGTTTGATACCTTTTTACATTTTATATCCCCTACGTCTGCTCATGACCATGACCTCTCACTCTCGTTAGTTATTTGACACGCTCTTGTATTGTTAACGTTCGTTATCTACTGCTATCTAACACGGCTAGTCCGTGGATTGTAATATTAGGTTGCATGGTTGTAGATTAGACATCACATACACACGTAGTATGCATAGTATGCATAGATCATTGATTGATCCATCAAATAAGCTTTAAACGTTGCATAAGATGTGGATCGTTGAGTTTTCGTATGGACTATTCTACGACAAGCTGGTATCCATGACTAAGCCGTGATATCGTCACACTAAACTTGGAACAGCTGGGGCGTTTATAGTCTAGACTTGTGGAAGTTCCTTGCCTGATACTCGTGCAACCTTTGATAGAACAGATACGGTTTATGCCATACAAACGGCGTTAAGTATGGCATGCCATAAATATAGACAGCCATGCAAGTAACTGATATAGCGTTCCTACATGAAGCTGAAGCCTCGTGGTAATCAATGGTGGAATTAAATCCCATGAGGACTCGACAGGAACCGGTCTTCGTGCAAGGATGCAGGCATAATTCACTCGGGACCTTGTCATCCGTTCAAGACTGAACAGTAATCCAATAGTGGATCGCCGCCCGAAGCGGTCTTAGGCTTAATTTCCCTATTCAAGCCCACAGAAAACCTTGCGCTATCGACATAAGACGGATGCCGGTGCCACGAGGAATCAACGGTCTTTATCACATTTTATGAAACTGGATCGTGAATAGTCATCGTGTAGCCAAAGATTCGTATGGAGGCTCGATGACTGACAGTCGTACGCCACTGAAAAACCCTCGCCATGCAATGGCAGGAGCCTTCCATGTGAAAGAGTACACGCGTAAGCCGAACAGAACCTGCCAATTGCGACACGTAAATCTCCACTGATGTTCTCGCTTGTGATATCCCGACGCATATGCACGCCGCGCTAACATATGAAAGCTGGGATGAGAAGTGATGGTGGTGAACACGCGCACGGAGCATCGTTCCATCTCAAGTCAGTGAATCGAAGAAGCATCGGTGCAGGAGGAGATACGCGCTGAATAAGCATTGCAGATGTCCAATAGTTCGGTGGAGACAACATCATCCGAGCTTTGACCAGCATGGAGTGACTCGGATCAGACAGGGGATATGGTTTCAACAAACGTGTGTCTGTTGGCCAAACGAGCGTCGAGCAGACGTGCATTTCAGTTTCATCTCCAGCGTAGGAAGCAAACGGTCCATGGCCCGCGGAGATTTACCAGTCAGACCCCGTTGCGACAGTGCAGCACGACGTCGCAGTTTCGCATCCAGAAGTTCAACGAGGACCTCGCCACGTGAAAAGCTGCACCGTGATCAGGCTGATCTGTCATCCGATGGAAGATAGATGATGGTAGAAGGAAGGAAAGGAAGGGCGGGGATGGAATGAAACAAGCGCGGGGTACTGGCGGGGCGGAATCGGTGATGATCGAAACGCGTCATAAATTACGCCAACCGATGGTTTGGCGGTCAATTGCCTATATCAAGGAAAGTTACGTAACTTGGCTTCAAAGCAGGCCTTATTACTTGTTGGAATTACTATCCACCACTTCTTCAAGATCTTCCATTCCCTTACCAATATACACCCGCGTAGAAGCCGGGCCCCGAACGATGAGCTTCTTGAGCTCCTGTCCCTGAGCAGGGGCACGATGTAAAATTTCTTTTGCGAGTTTGATGTGTCCACTGTACATCGATAAACTCTGGGTTCCGCCATGTATAAAAGGTCCATCGATTTTCAGATGCAGAACGCGGATCCTCCCAAGGCGAGAGAGGCATTCAAGGGAGGTCTGAGAACAAAGCGAAATGCGTTTGAGCAACTTAGAAGAGATAATTAAAGGTCGCACTGATGGCACGATTTCCCTCTGACGAGACATAGGAACGTAATGATCGAGTCCGATAGGACCCAGTTCGCGCAGTTCTAGCAGTTGGTGCGTGATCCCTGAACAGTCCAACACAATTAGTCGACACCTGTCACAGTAGAAACATGGTATGCCTTACTATTCAATTTCGTAGCTACCAGAGACCCTCGGAACTGCAGGCGCTCTATATGTGGGAAGTGCTTCGCTACAGAGAGAGCACAATATTCAGTGTGGTACGTAGAGCTGTGGGCGAAGAACGTAATGTCGCGGACGTTTGGGACGCTGGGAAACAGCACGACACCTTCATGGGGCACGGCTAGTCTCCTCACAGAAGGAAGAATCACTGAAGCGAATGCTCGGGAAAGCCTTGTCTCGGCAACTTTGAAGTCAAGTCCGAAGATCTGCAAGGTCTTGACATTTGGTAGCAACGCCAGACATCTTGCAAATTCCTCAAAAACCTGCGCAGCATGAACTTTTGTGAGCGTGACGGACACCGTCCTGAGATTATTCAGACTATGTTCTGTATAGAACGAGCAGAACATACTGCACGTAAGTCACAAGACTTGGGTTTCTGATAGTGACGATTTCAGCTTGTCGTACCAACTCCGTGGCCACTTCACGACCATATCTCTCGGTCAAATAGAGGTATTGACCTCGACGAGAACGACTTTCTTTCTGGAGATTCCTGCTGGCGCAAGCTTCCAGATTTTGCCATGCCAAAGGAAGAAGCCTTGCACGAAGTGATGTACATGTCTGAGTCAAAGACCGGATCGTATATGATCGCTCGAGGTAAATATTTGGGAACAAAGGAGGCGAGTCGGGCCAGGATATCGGAATAGACGGCCAGTAAGAGAATATTTCGAGAAGCAGCTCAACAGGAAGGCTGGGCAGGCTGGTTCGTGCGGCATTTGCTGCTTGTCGTTGTTGCGACATATCTGACCCAGGAGTAGAGCATCTTAGGCGTTTGCGAGAACGAAAGTTGTATGTCATTTTGGAAGGGGTCGAAGTAGTAGTTGTCGAAGGTCTGAATGTAGCCGTGACAGTGACAGTGACCGGGCATGTACGGCAGCCGGACCGGAGAGCCGACTCGGCCATTTCGGAACTTGAACCTTTCCACGGACCACCTGTTGCTCACCTCTCTACACTACTCCTACTTCCAGGAAACGTGTCAAATCTTCTTCAGAATAACCTACCCACAAATAATATGTTTGTATACTATAGAGGAAATCTTGGACTACTTCTGAAGAGGCTCAGATTGACCTCGAGCTAGGGCATGTGGCGTCGGCCTTTCTAGATTCAATCAAGGTCAGCAGTTTCTGCTACTTATTCCGACGTGTTCTGAATGTTAGCTGTAGCCTGATTGTTCAGATAAATTAGTAGACAATTTTGAGGCTATCGATTGTTTGGCATGCGGTAGAAGGTATGCTATTTTTCTCATTATTCAATGGTTTACTGTACTCAAACTCAAACTTTGAACGTTCTGAACCCTGGCATGCCGGTACAAGATGTCCGTCTGGCTGTTCCATTCCTCTTCCAACACCTAATGACTCCGTTCTCCTCTTCCCGTGGAGCAAAAACCTAAGTCTGACCGCATACACTTCATTCATCGGACGAACGAGCGCACCAGCCTTCCTGTCCGATCACAGACTACACCGCACCTCAAACTGCCGTTCTCGATTGAAAAGAGGCGTATTCGTTGCCCTCGATCTGGAAAGCTCAAGGACTCAGATTCTAAGTCGAACTGCATGCATGAAGCGTTGACATTGTTCATGGTGTTTTGTTTCGACACCAATACATCTGATTTTCGAGGATGAAGTTAATCACTGGTCAATAGATCATTGATCAATCACATGTACGATTAATATTATCTCCTGCTGTGGGAGGCTTTGGCTGTGACCCAGAGTTCAGGCAATGGTGATGGGCCACCGATATAAATCGGAAATTTCGGTCCGTGGAGCCGAATCTCCTTACTCACCCACCTCCACAGTATGGAAGGTGTTGAAGCTCTGGTATTTGACGTGTTTGGCACCGTTGTCGACTGGCGTGGCTCTGTATCTGCGGAATTGAAAGCACTAGGAAAAAACCTAGCCTTAAATGGTGCGTAACAAGGCTTATCATCGTTGTTGGTGTGTCTCGAGCTTTCTCGCAGCCGACTGGGATGCTTTTGCTGCCGAATGGCGGAAGGGATACCTGACAAATACGTGAATGTTATATTCAAGCGCTGTTTTCTGCAACCCTGATTGGTGTAGATCCCGTATCGCTCGCGAAGGAAGCGACAGTGGTCCTTTGAATGTTGACGTTCTGCATAGACAGGTCTTTGTCTTTTCGTTGCTACTGTTTACGAGCTTACATCCTAATTTGTTAGATTTTGGACGACATGCTGAACTCGCCACGATGGGTGGACGTAGGTTCGAAGCTAGACGAGAAGACGAGAGCCCACCTGAACCTTGTCTGGCACCGTCTCAATGGTACGTATTCCATGACATTAGTGCACTGAATGCTTGTATCTAACCCAATTATGTGTACAGGGTGGCCTGATACCGTCGAGGGTCTCTACCAACTCAAAAAGCACGTCATTCTGACGACATTATCCAATGGGAACGTTAGATTATTGGTAGATATGGTAGGCTCTTGACTCACACGGTTTGCTTATACATCCACTCACACGAGGCTTCGCAGGCAAAACATGCGAACCTCCCTTGGGATCTCGTTCTGTCAACCGAGCTGTTCTCGTGCTATAAGCCGTAAGTTTTCCCCCACACTTTCGGTCAAGTTTCTCGCCGCTAATGCGCGGTGGCCCAGGAACCCGGAAGCTTATCTCGGTGCTATCAAGCATCTCTCGGTTCCACCGGAGAAGTGTGCTATGGTAGCTGCCCACATCTACTGACCTTCGCGCCGCTGCAAGGTGGGGATGAAGACGGTGTACGTCCAGAGGCCGGGAGAAGCGGCCGAGGATGTCGTAGTCAAGCCAAGTTCAGAGGGCGGCGAAGTTGACGTTGTGGTGCAATCGTTCATAGAGCTTGCTTCTTTGTTGAGCCAGACGCACTGAATGCTACTATGTCGTCGGGAGCTATACTCGCACTTTTGCTGGTGCCCGAGCCGGGACGTCAAATAACGTCCTTGCGGCTACAGATAGTTTTGACCCTGTTTTATGGGATCATTCGTTCAACAAACTTCTGGCTCATATCTGTAGGCTCACTAGGGCTCCGCTAGTGTGTCTGCTTTTCCGTCTGTGTAACGTGTGCCTTCGCCTGGACAATTCGGGCGATCATTGCAACAATCTTACTTCACTGATTGACTGATTCTTCAAGTGGTGGATGCATACTACAACATCGAATGTTGGATGATGTATCACCAAATCCCTTGCGTGACTCGGGCCTACATGATCACCTGAGATTGAGTTCGTAAGTGTTATGATTGTTGTACGGTTGGGTTATTATTCATACCGTACAATGATGTTTCTTTTTCCAAAAGGAACTGCTCAAGGTTAAGGAGACACCAGAAGTACGAGACATCTTACGGAATTAGGGCCAGGTCCCTTGTAAAGCGCTACTCGTCGATCATTTTAATTGCCACCAGCAAATATAGCGTTCGGACGCCAAGAGCAGATAATCCCCAAGAACAATTGTATATCATTTACAACAGGAGTACGGTAAAGTAATAACCCTCTGATAGGACTAAGGTAAGTAACGAACGGCAGAAGAGTCTATATATGCAGTGGGTGCGTGAGAGTACAAATGAGTGAGTTAATAAGTGAGAAAACAACAACGGCGGTTACTCCAGTATGAAAATCCTTGATACAAAAAATGTCTAGTCTGACTTTTCCCAGTGGTTATAGTTCATCGAAGCACGATCCATGCTCATGATCCGGGCATATTCCAGGAAAACTCTGTAACCATCAATCAGACACGGAAAGAAGAGGTAATGATGCTGCAGACGAACCTATAATTATACGCCGTCATATCTTGTTTTCTCCAGAAAGTGCGACTCCAGTCCCGGCCTGCGGAAGCAATCTTTCTGGCGAGATCTTCATGGTTATTTTCCCCTTTCAGGTCGCCATGGAAGAACACAAGGGTGTCCCAGAGATCAGAATAGTCGACTTGTATGGGGATGTAATGCACCCAGGGCATGAGCCTATCGGTAAACCTGAAGACGCAGAGTTAGTTCGGTCAGATGCGTATTCAGAGTCACGAACCATTCGGGATAGATAGTCGACTTGAAGATGAGTGCGTGAGAGGACATGAGCCGTTTGAAACGTCCGGACCATGCGTTACCGTCGACCTACACAAGGGTTTGAGCAACGAAGGAAAGAAACCGGAGTAAGGCACTGACATCAATGATATACTTGTACCTCGCCTGCTCCGTCTGCGACTGTCCTTTAGTAAACTCGTACATATTGGCCAGAACTTTGCAGACATCAGGATCACACTGTGTGGGGTCGTTCGAGAACGCCATGTCGAGCATCGCTGGCCCATATCTCGCCTTCCGGACCTGCTCGCCCCTCCCCGTCTTTTCTTCCCTCGAACTTGGCGGCATTAAAATCGTCACGTTATCATCCATGCCCTTCTCAACCCAGTCCATCATCCGTATACGTTGCGAAAGTGGCCATTCCATGTCCCGAGAGTGGAAGATCCCCGTCGTGCGGCCTCGCCACTGTAGTCGATCATCGGCTTTGTTCTCCCATACTGATGTCCTCTTCATCAGAGAGCTCGCCCAGCCAGCTGACCGTATGTGCGATGGTGATGTCGTGATGTAGTAAGGTTTGGGAGTAGGCGAAGGAAGGGAACATGTGGTGGGAGGGAACTGGACCTTTTCCCCAGGGAAGGAACTGTCCGTGTTTGCGAAGGAGGTGAGGGTGTAAGCAGGGATCCATTGACTTTCGATGGTCGAAGATGAAAGTTTTGGAAGTGTCGGGTGGTGGTGATGGCCAGGATACATTGAAAGTGAAGTCGATAGGATCCTTCCACGCAGGTGAAGTTGGATCGCAGCCTGAGATCCATCCATGATATTTGATAGGAACAACTGGCTTGTCAACGTCGATATCTGTGACAGCGTCGGTCTGGAAATTTAAAAAAAAAAAAGCAGAGCAGAATGACGTACAAGTTCCCGCGCGAGCGTGTTCGAGGGCCTTCTCCCGAAGTTCCCAGTCGGTGACGTGCTCCGGGTTGTCATGCGGCTGGAAGACGGCGCGGAAGGGCGGTAAGAATTCATCGACGTCTTCGAGTATCTCGCTAAGCATACGGGTACCATCAAAGACGCGATCGTGGGTGCTGGGATCGCGAATGGTGTAGTTGGCGAGTCCAACACGATGTCCTTCCTCTTTACCAAGAGTAAACGAGTCTTCGTGGCCCTCCCATTCGCTGACGATCTTGTTCAGGTCTACTGGGCTGACGCCCCAGTAAGGCTCGAGATCTCGGTATATCTGATCGTACTCGTCGGGAAGCTGAACATTGTTCTTCTCGACGTATTCCCACCTACGTACAGCTCTTAGATGTGAAACGAGTGGAAAAGAAACGGGAGCGCTCACCATTTATCAAACCCGCGAGGAGGAGCTCGTTTGTATCGGCGCTCATATTCGACGACTGCCTCACTGAGAGTTTTGCTCGCCCGTTGCAGTTTCGCTTCCCACTTCTTCTCCGAAAATTCGATGAGCTGGTAGATAGGATGCGGGCCTTCTGGATTGACTTCGAGCAGACCGTTCGACAGAAATTTGTGCATAGGCAATTTATCTGCTTCAGTCGCGAGTTTTTTGCCGGTGGCCTTGTGCTGTGGATTCCCTAGACCTCCCAGATTCCCCCACGAGTGGTATACAGGTTTAGCATGCTCGACCGCAATGGGTTCGATAAACGTTTTGAACGTGATATTAGTAGGTATGCGATCCGTAGAGATTTGTCCAGAATCCTCCAGCAATAACAAAGAGAGTAAAGACTGTGATAACGGCGACTTGTCGACCTTGGCTCGACCTACGATGAGTTGGCAGTAACTCGTAGCATGCTGGGGGGAAGGAGCGATGCTGATGAGGAAAGGGGAGAAGATAAAGTTAAGGGGTCTTGTCACGACCAAAATTAAACTGAGGGGCTGTTTCTATCGGAGGCGAAATCCGGAGCAATTATCAGTGACAGCGGAGTAAACTTCGAAGGCACGTACCTTGTACTAATAGCAGCCTTTGATGCCTGTCACATAAAACCGGACAGACAGTTTCGTTATTATGTATTCAGTTATCGTTCGAAGAAGAAGACTTCATTCCTCTGTTAATGGTGCTTGTTGGGCGCATCGTTGGGGGGCCGCAGTCGATGGATACCATGCCAAGGCTGGTGCGGCTCCTAAAAGGAATGGACAGCTTTTGAAGAATTGGCTGCGCATAGAGGGCGGCGTCAGTAGATGCCAGTCGACACCTCCTGTAGGATTTTCCTGTTTTCCGGTCAACAATACACACAAGACGGAAGAGAAACCGACATACCAAAAATATATGCGACACGTGTTTTTGTGCCTCTTTCTTCTCCTTTGAGCTTGCTGCCGCCAGGTACCCAAAGCTGCGCGCAATTGCCAGCGGCTGACGTTGCCACTATCAAACCAGGATCATCCAGGCATGAACGAGACTCGCAATGGGAGCGTACGCTGCATTTCTAGCTCTGTGACAATACAAAACCGGGCACGGCGCCTGGGTGGTGTAAACTGTTTCCTTAGCAACCATGACATTCGAAGTTATACCAGGGGAAAGGCTGACTCATTGAAACGCCGTGACATGAAAAATTGTTATGACGAACTCGAACGTGTGCAAGTCGAGCTTGGCCCAGATTTTACCCAAGGTTTGTGCGGTCCCAAGCAACTCCCAAGGGGATTTGCAAAAATATGAAGCGTCGACTTCCTGGTCCAAGACCGCGTTCCCACTAAAAGTTGTTCTCAAGTGTCTTGCAAGTGTCCCAAGGAAAAATAAGATTAATAACCTTTTTCCCCACTGTAGTCTGTGACTAGGAAGGACTAGGATCACAGAATAAGATGATAACTATCTGGGTAGGTCATTAAAGATATCCAAAAGTTCACGCACTGGTAACAATCTCCGCAACGTTACCCGTGAAACACCATCCTTCTGACAGGACGGCGTCTACCGTCTACGATAAATAACTTCCAATACGGGCTCAATAGCACTTTGAGTGCATATATTGGTGACAATTCTGGCATTGGTAGCTGCACCACTCGGGAAGAAGAGCACCTAAGAGAAGAGGAAATTAGTGAGTAAAACGAGATATTTTGAGGCTCACGTACATTGAATTTCCGTCTTAGTACTACGTCAACCAAGTTAAACAATCGCCAATCTCCAGTTCCCGATGTGAATGATACTGCAGCAGAGCGCTGACTGAACGTTGAACGGTCATCGACATCGAGGAGCTTCAACTTAAAGACCTGACTCCTGACTCCTGACTCTTGAGCGATATCAGGCGATATCAGCGGGATATTCACGTGACACACGCGTCGGAGACGCGTGTTTATTTTTTGATGACGCGTCGTCGGATCTATCGGACCGTCCGTGACTGTGACTGTAATTCGAGTCAATGCCGATGCCAATCAGGAACAAACTCTTATGATTTCCCATTGACCACGATACCGCTTTTCAACTACCCTTTAAAATCCCTTTGGGAACCGACTTTCGCTCTCTGGGACGTCTTCGGGGACCATTGCGATGTCCGGATCTTCACTGTCGAATTGGGATGGCAGTCTGACAGCCCAGAAATGTCCAGACGCGGACCATTCTTCGCCCAAGGAGCCTCATAGTGCCAATGCCCTCCATTATGGATCCATGTCGCGTGTTTCTGCGCCATACATGAGCGTCGACGGTGCTTTCGATGTGGTCAATGGCGTTTTGCAAGCCGTATCTGTTAGCGGCATCAACGAGGCACGTGTCGCGTCTGTTAGCGTTGGTATGTTGATCTCACGTCGCGTCTAGGTGCAATCAGAACAAAATAGTCACGGCGTTTCCTATTCTTCGCGGTATCAAATGATGGCTTCGTCGAGTTCGCCTTCCTCATCCTACGCACCGGTAATACCCTGATCTGGTCCTACCGTCAACTGGACTCAAGTCGTCTTCTAGGACTACTTACCCACCGCGCGAATTGATATGCCAATGACTTGTCCAGAAGTAATAACGCAAACTACCGATACAATTGCTACCGCTGAGGATCACGGCTTGCTTGGAGTAGATAACTCGAGGAGCAACCAAGATGAGCTCATAAACCTCGTTAAACAGGTATTTCTTCAATGTTTTTCTTCCCTGGGCGCAACTAGAAACTTACACGATGTCGGATAGACTATGCCACTATCGTGTGCAACGGTGGGCACGGCCGATGCGGCCGAATTTAATGTATGTGTCTCGTAAAACTTTTGATGCGATGCCCTTATCCAAGGTGTAATAGTCCACTTCGCTCCCCTCTGGAGAGTCCAATGTCCTGCTCCGAACTCCCGAAGTTCGTTCGGCGCAGTTGCCATCCAGTCCTAAATCCACATCACCTTCTCCACCAGAACATATTTCGCCGCTCTTCACTCCTCCGCCTCCTCCGAAGCGTCGCCGAATTTTCATGTCTCATGTTGCGGTCCCGCCCTTGCCTCGTCGCAGGAGTGAATACAGGACCGTAACGCCTTCTAGGCATGGCCTATCTAGGAAAGCCAAAGACAAGGCCGTAGATCTCATCCAAGTGTTTGGAAATCTTCGCACCGCTTTTCAAGAAGAGGAAGCCATGAGAGCAGCTGAGCCCTTCAGCAGTAGCCTTCGTCCATCTATGACCAGACATCGACGAAGTCAAAGCTACAGCTCTGATGACGAGATTCTATTGACCCCAAATCGAAAAGCCGAGTTCAGCTCATCACCGAGGAAACGGCGCAAGCCGTCAATTGAGGTCATGCCTTCGCCGCTGCCAAGAAAGTGGCCCAAGAAAGATAAGGTGCATGCGGGCGCGGGCCAGCACACCCAGAGTGTGGCAGGTGTGAGAGAGGACGGGAGGGGGAGCGTCATCCGGGAACCCTTGCCGAAGATTCCAAAAGTCAAGTTAAATCTTTCCAAGTGGAGGAAGGAGTCGGTTGGGCCGCGAACGCACTCACTGGCAGATGAGGCACACACAAAGTCAGTCAGCTCTCGCACAAAGTCCATCGAGACGTCTCTCTCCTCCGACGATGAACCAGTCATGACTTTCTCTGTTTACTATGACGATACCTTGGAGCATGTCCGACTTATCGATGCCCGCCAGGGAATCTACGAATACACCATGCAAGATGAAGATCCCGTTACAGAAGAAGTTTTGTCCATGAACTTGCAGTTCATCAGGAGACGGCTGAAAGGTCATCGTGTTACCGACGATCTACAATGGTATGATCCCGAGGCTGACTCGACACTCGGAGTCGACGTTGAACCGTCCGGGACTCCCCCACCGCCCCCGACCATGTCTGCAAAGGCCAGAGGCAAACAAAAGGCCGTTCCTATCAGCCCTACAAAGGATATCTTGCTTTCTCCGCAATACCATATCGAAGCAGACCTCGGCAGCGACTTTATACACCTCCATCCTGTTTTCGACGATCCTCATACAGGTATGTTGGAGCCACGCGTCGGTCCTGCGACGCATCCCCCCCTTGTACACCATTTTCCTATGCCCAATTCCGCTACCGTATTCTGTTCATCGTCGTCTCACGGAAAGGAACAGCTACTCGGCCCCCTCCACGATTTTTCTTCTATCGGAGACAATGCGTATCTGCACGATTCCGCTCTTGATCTGCCCAACATTTGGTTAGAGAACTCTGAACCCTTGCATGATGGTACTATCGATCCATCTCTTTTGGGTGGTTTTGAGTTCATGGACCATTCGTCCTTCTCATCGTCATCGTCATCTTCGGGATCTCCCAGGCAGAAGTCACCCTCACCTCTTCCGAACCCGCCTCCCTCCGCCGTTCAAATCGAAACAGAAACGCATCCCTCCGTTCGTTTACCGTCACCACAACGTCCCATTGTCCCAGAAGATCAGCCAACGAACGACAAGCTCGATGAATGGGAGATGTCAGACTTGACTTCCCTTGATGATAGTAGTCCGTGCATTAATCCGATTCCTCTTGATCCTCCTCCCCCAGCTCCATCTCGTGCGTTGTCAAAGCAGAAGACGCACAAAGTGAAAGTGGGCCCTCCTGCCCGGAAGAGGTCCGAGTGGCCAATGACGGACAAGGCTTCCTTTTGCCATCAGTGCAGAGGACGCTCGTTCCGACTATCCGTGTATTGCGGATGTGGAAAGGTGTACTGCGTCAAGTGCATTACGACCAAGTAGGTCACACATCGTTCTTAGCAGATAGATGATCTTTGACTTCTCTTTTCTTTCAAGGTACGACAATTTGGAATTCGATGCCGACGCGAAAGATTTCGTTTGTCCGAGGTGTACCAATACTTGCACCTGCGATGTCTGCACTAGAGCTAGAGGCGAGGTATATCATTCAGCCAGGACCGGCTCCGCCAAGCGAGCACTGGTTTCATCTTCACGGCCTCCGCGAAAATCAAGCAAGTCGCAGAAGGCTAGGGACGCTGAGACGAGAGAAGATCACAACCCACTTTCGTTACATCGCCTTAACCCTGCACAGCTCCAACACCATTCTCATGTGCAACGACATGATCCTCCACATGTCTCTCCTCTCGGTGGTCGGACCAATATACCCCCGCTCAGTGAACGTAAGCAGGGTCCAGTGAAGTACTGGGGTACAATCTATGGGTTTTCTGGGGAGAAGATTGGGACAGCGTATATTCCAGAGGATGGGAGTTCCAATACGCTCCTTGTCCAGCGCTCGAGAGTGTTTGTTGGGGAGATTCAGCCGGTCTGGGGACTAGGAACCAATCCATCGCTAAGACTCGTTGACCCTGCGACGAAAACAGTGGATCACAATGATGCTCAGAAGACACGTAGGAGGTTCGTTGGACAGCAAGCACCATTGTTTATGCCCATTCGGACGATAGATTCCTCCGGTGTTATGGAGTATGAGTCGGATGCGGATGGAGAGCATGATCCTGAGGAGCCAAGGGATAGGCTCACACCCAATGACGAGCATCCTGGGTTTGAGTGGCGGAGGGGAGAAGAATTAGATCCTGATAAGATCAGCTTGGCTGATGAGGATGTGACGTCGGTCTGTATCTTGTCTCTGAAGCAGATAGGCATCACAGCAATGGCTTCTACAGGGTAGACGCGTCATTTGTCGGTGGAGTGTTTTTTGTTTATTACAGTAAATGTATCTAAAATTGAAACGTACTTTGTAGCTTACATCTTGGTATATCACAAAGGAAAGAAATATTATTGTACTGTTCAGTGTTCATTCTATTGTACTGAACCTTTGGACAGCGTTTTGAGCAAGCTTCGTCGAACCGATGCCCGGGGTCAATGTACAGCAATGAACCTTATTTGGCTTATTTGACTGATGAATGTGATTCTTTCGACTTTCCACAGCAACTGAATACTTTATGTTAGGTCATGTTACGCCGCGTTGACACCGTGCGTCATGCGGGGGCAGTCAAGCAAGATCACAAGGGAGTTTGTTCGGCTGCCGCGCGTTTTGTTGACTGCCAGTTCCATATTTATCTCTGTTCCTCTCTTTCATCACTACTCCAACGATACCCTCATACTACTTCAATACCTCGAATAACATCACATTCTTTATTGCCTATGTACGCTGATATCAGGTCTTTGACCAGAGAGCTTGCTACCGTTATTAAACGTGGCTCCGAACGTGTTCGCACTCGATCATTGTTGGTTTCCGGTAGGTTTCCTCGTTGTTGACATTGTCCCCCAAGTACTCATTGCATCTATGCTAGCTGACCGCGATGCAGTACTCTTGCGAGTTTGTGACTGGGCTATCACTGGTGCACAAGACGCGTCTATCCGAGACAATGACCTTGTGAGTTCGCTTTCAAGTAAATAGTCATCGGTGTTTTACCTGAACTCCTTTAGCACAACATAGAAGTACAAGTTCCATACCTCTATGAAGAGGACGAGGATGAAGGCGAGTCTGAATCCGAATCGCAAACGACTTTCGACGTAAGTTGGATACGCTCTGATGGAAGTTTCCTGCTGAGGCAATGTTTAGTCCAGTGTTGACGGCGACGACCGATCCACCCTTTACAACAGCTCTTCGGACCAGTCGGGAAGGGCATCGCCAGACACGAAACAAAGTTTTTTCGACCACAGCCCTGATTCTGTGACCGCCACGCTCCCACGATCTCCAGTTGCACAGCGGGTCCGCACCGTCGAGCTGAAGACAGCAGAGCTCGAAGAGCAGGTCGATATTCTTCATCAACAGAACGAGCAACTCGAAGAAGAGCTTCAACACGCGTTGGAGCAGAGTCGGAATGATTATTTGGTCCATTTGCGACATGAGCGCACCAACTGGAAGGGTCGGTTTGATCTCCTGAAGGGAAGCACGCGGGAGATTGAGCTAAAACTGCATAGCTCCGAGGCTGCGCGTCATCATCTAGAGCAGGAGTTGTTGAACGCCACCCGGGAGCGGGAGATACTGCAGGCACAGCTTGATGAGGAACACTCGGAACAATCCCGGTTGAAGCGTCGTCTTGCCGATACTCACACTCAGTTACGGCGGAGATGTTCTGAAATGGAGGACCTGGTTGTTAGGATCAATGCCGCTGCCGAGGAAAGGACTTCTCGTTTAACAGCAGAACTTGACAGTGCACTAGCGGCCAATGCGATTGCGCGTCATGCTATCTCTGTGTTGGAGAAGGAGAAGGCTGAGGGCAAGGCTTTGGCTTTAGGACATCTGGGGACGAATATGAACGCGTTCGTTCTGCAGAATCGAGTGCTCGCGTGACGGAGAAGGAAAGAGGACGAAGCGCTGGCCGTTGGTTTCCGAGCTTCAATGCCAGGTCTCTGCATTGAATGAGCAGCTCCAAGCTGCCCATTTGAGCCGCGAAGTGCTAGAGCAAGAGGTGCACCAGCTACGACATGAAGCCACTCGGCAGGAGAGGGAGGCAGAGGAGGAGGAGGAGATGAGACGAATGGAGGCCCAGCGTCAAGCGGAATTGGAAGCATCGCGGAAGAGGATGCAGCAGATGATGGAGGAGGAAGCGCAACGGAAGCGACTGGCTGCTGAGGGGGAAAGGCAGAAGAAGGCGGCGGAGGAACAAGCCATCAAGAACGAACGGGAGGCACAAGAGCGTATAGAACGAGAACGGAGGACGAGGATGGCAACAGGCGACGGCAGGCAGAAGAAGAAAGATGTCGTAGACGAGACGAGGAGAATTGGAAGCTTTCGCTCGGTCAACTGTGGTCTTCCCATAGAGCGATAAATCGCTTTATCTTCGTCTTGAGGGAGTTCGAGACGACACAATTTTCCGAAGCTAAACCACTTACGCCATCTGCGGTGCCTTGGCCTGTTTTGATCAGCCCGAGCCGATTTTATGTGGGCATGATGGAGGATTGGACGCTAGCCGACAAATTCTTCGAACGTGCCAGACGATCTCTTCCTTTCGACACGTATAGGGACCTCATTTCGAGGACTCGTCAGACCTTCCATCCTGATCGATGGAGGTCGAGGAACTTATTGAACACGGTGATGGACGACCCTCTTCGCGCTGTTATCGAGGACGCTGGTAATAAGGTTTCGCAGGCCGTTAACCGTATATATCAAGATATGTTGGATATGTCTTAAGTTATTATATGCACCTCCTACTAAACATATATACCTTTTACATTTACGCACATTACGAAGCAATATGATTATGGATTTTTACGTCGGCTTACAACATTTCATGGAAGGAATCTCTCCCACTGAGGCCTGAGGGCTTGTGAGGGGTACGGATGATCGGCCCGAAAAAGGTGGCGGTGTTGTTTCATTTTCTTCAACCGCCACGCCCACATGCACTGACAACTTGAAGGCGTCTGTGCGTCGTAGGTCCCTCTCTCGGTGCACGAGGTCATCTCTACGGTAAGAAATACGTCGTACTTGTGTTTCTCGTTCCTGAAGTTTCTCCCAGCTGAGAAGGGCGCATTGTCTATATTCTGCACCTTCCATGTAACTTTTCTGCAAGTGGAATTTACAACAGTACAGTCAACGGAGACAGGAAAATTTATATTCTCTTCGAACACGGAACGATCTGAAATTATGGCGGACACATTGCTTGCCATTTTACTCGTGACGACGTCTGCGAAAGAGGCGAATCTCGTGTACCAGTGGCCTGCAAATCCCGAGTCCCTTCCAAGATTGAGCAGACCGCATCCAGAGCATGCTTCGTCACTTATTCAGCCTGATAACGTCTGGAGGGCCTCCAACTTTGGTGATGCTGGAGATCCTTTGGACCTTCAACCACGTACACAAATCAACGAGTCCGAGTACACGTGGAAACGTACCCAATCTGTGCGCGACAGATCGACTTCCATGACCCGCTCATCATCCCATCCTCCCTCTGGAAGGAACTCTCCGACACAAGATCTGGATTCCACCACCACCGAAGACGGATACAACGCCCTCTTTGGATATTCATCGTCCTTCCTAGCAGGCCTTCTATGCCCGCAGAGGTCTATGTGCCACCAGAAATGCGAACTTCTCGTTGACGATCTCGCTTTTATCGGGCACCCCGTCTGTGACGACACGGACGGCAAATGGCGCTTCAGACCTGAAAATTCTGGGGTCGGCGCCAGAGGCAGGGAGACGAGAAGTCCTGGGTCAGATGCCGAGGGAAGCCCAGATAAGGCTTCACAGCAACACGCCCCGTCCAATTCAACCTGGCTCCAGACTTTCAATTTTGTGATTGTCCTCGACCTACCGCATCCTTCATCCTCCACATCAGGCAATTACCTCAAGTACATAGATATTGTATACGAACAGATCGTATTCACGATGACTGCCGTCCTTTATCAAGAACAAGTCCTACACAATTTCGTGGAGGAAGAATGTGGTACACTGGGTTCACTCAAGGATAGTTGTATGGCAAAAGGTTTGTTTGCTCTCGTCCTTGTCTACCAGCGTCTAAAATTGCCGGTATCAGGTGAACCGTTTTCGAACTTCATGGACCAAGCTTTAGGATTTTCCTCTATCGCGCCGGCCATGAAAGCGCTCTACGAAGCTATCAAATTGTCTACAATGGCCTACGTCACGATAAACAACATTCCTCTCGAGTTGCAGCTTCCGCCATTTCTGGATCAAATCCTGTACTCCGAAGATGACGACCTTCATCAGCCTGAGGATGAAGAATGGCAGAGTTGGGGCCCAGAAATGGCTTTCGGCTGGAGACTGCCGGCGTTGGCGCCTTGGAAAGGTTTGCTGTTGCTAGACGACTCCTTGAACCTCAGGACACCTCACATCGATGGCGATGATCACAATATGATTGAAGGCCTAGTAAAATTCATGGAGATTGCGTCTATTACACTTTCGTGAGATTTATCATTTATTAAAGGGCACGCTTTACATTCTAACGGTTATATAACAGGCTGGCCGACATGGGCACCCTGTTAGACTGGGACCTAGAGTCGCAGTTGTTCCCGACCGTTCGTTGGCTCGTTCAACATCGGCGGGCAAAGGTTGTCGATATCGTACACACCGGACTGAAGACTTTATTCATTCTTCCTCCGAAACTTCCAGCACCGTACGTGTAAAACGTTATTAGCCTCCAAAAACGTATCTGACATGTCAGTGCAGTGTACGGCAACTGACCTTTGAATTCGAGAAAGAATTTGCCCTACAGCCAGTGTCCTCCCTTCCCGAAATACTATCTGCGATATCGACCTCGTCTGGTACACACTTCTTTGACGTCGTTGTCCAGTCCAAGGCCCTGATACCTTCGTATCAAAACGTAATTGCATGGATGCTCAAACGCGATTTACTCGTCGCCCTCCACCTCCGCGTACGCATAGTCGCTACCAAGGAGCTCAAATTACGCGTCAAGCACCGCATCGAGAAAGCCCGGGCGAAAAAGGCCAATAAGAACCGGAGCAAACTATCCCAGGAAGTCGACACGGACTACTCGCCGCCTATGACATCGATGACATGGCTCTCCTTATCGCCAAAGGCTGCGCGCGCGTATTCACGTGGTGCATCAACGGAATCCGAGAGGAGCAGAGTGGAAGTTGACGACCAAGATGAGCTCGAGGAGGAGGAACAGGAGTGGGATTCTGGATGGGACACGAACGATGATAATTTGACGTCGTCCATAATCAAGGACCCAAGTCGTGCGACGCCTCTGCAGCGTCAATGGCTCTCAGCCATGTCAGAAGGCAAGGACGCTCTCATCGCTAAGCGATTTGATCAGTAGGTTTATTTGCCCAATCAAAATGATCACCTGTGCTGACGTTTGCTCCAGTATCAATCAGTATTTCGACGGGAAGCGGACGGATGATGAGATCTTGTACCGTGCTGAAATCTCACGCAAGCAGCTTCGACAATTACTTCACCATTATGACGAATATGTGAGTTTCTAGCATCTGGCGAAATCATCAAAGACTGACAACCTGTCCTAGCTTCAAACTTTCTTACATCCGTCATAATGTCGTCAGCCCGCAATATGTATGATATTTATACATGAGTTAATGAACATAGGTACAACAGTGGCTCCCGTCCTATATACATAATACTACAACCATAACAATCTAGAAAAACAAGCAACGCCCAACAGGTACAATGAAAGAAAGTCCAAAAGATTCTTAAGCTAGCCATCCACGACAATTGGATGCTCCGCACAGACACCGATTCCCTCCCTTGCGCTTCTTGCCAGCTGCCGAGGGACAGTAGTCAAATGTAAACTCGGTGCCAGCGTCGAATCTTCATCTTCGCAACAAAAGCGACATAAGGTGTCCTCATCTGCAGAAACAGCATGAATATCGACGCCACGAGGGAAATTACAGTAAATACCTCGAAGATCGTGTCATAAACGACTTGATATATCTGCAGCGTCGGATCACATGAATGACTAGAGATTCGTCAGTGTCTAATCCGAGCACGGTGTCTTGAAAACTCACTTCAAGAAACGCGTCCAATTTCCTTTTGGCACCGGGTGTCAAACCGAACTCGGAAGATAGAACCGTGAAATATATCTCACCATACAGTGTCGAATCAACGCTATAAGCACCCTCTTCTTCAGGTTCGCTTCCGTCTTCTGTGAAATCTAACGCAAAGATATATGACTGGTCCGATGCCTTGTTGGCTACAGTCCGAGGTCTGTATTATCTCTTCAGCAAACTTGCAAGCGACATCACATAAATACCATACACTAATAACCTGCGCCATAGTCACTAACACAGCAACATAAAGGATTGAGACAAATGGCTTACCCCGTATACAGCCCAAGAACCTTCCCGCGCTCAACATCAACTGACGAGCGAACACCCCAGCCACACTTTTTTGTCTTGAAAACCTCAATGGGAACCTGACGAGTAAGTTGGGCCACACGGTTTATACAGCTTAGATCACAGCGGCAGAGCTAGAAGCATATCAAGTCACGTATTCCAGCCGAATGAAGTTTGCGCTAACCCTATTGCACTCGATGACAGCGACATGACTGGCCACATTAAAATTGAATAAGCCCTGTAAGAGATAATCCCTCTCAGTTTAAAGAGCGGTAAGTAAAATAAGACCTCACCTTCTGAGAATAGGCGAATACTTGAACCTCTTCCCCGTTTTGCCTCACTCTCTTGACTTCAGAATCCGCTTGGCAACCGCACGAAGATGGGTATGTGCACGTTCTGCATATGCAGATGGTGAGGAGTGCATCGTCCACGGGGTCTGGAGCGCCCGCACCGCTAATGAGATAGTTCATGCAACGCCGCGAGTAGAAGGAGGACAATACCACGCACCGAACGTATTCCCGTTCCAGATACGTGAAATCCTTGTCCAGATCGGGGGTTTCTTCATCATCGACTTCGTTCACGAACGTAACGGGAGCTGCTTCTGCTTTCGCTGCTTCGAGGGTCCAAATCCGCTGCAATACGTCGCGCCGCGAAAGCCTTGAAAAAATCTGTTAAGCAACCCAATATAGTAAGATTATGCTGACCTACCTTTGTGGTAGCTTCTCAAGACGTTTAGCAGGCCCGTGGTGATGATGTTTCCGAGGCTGTCAACGATCGCTTTCGCTTGATATCGATCACTGTATGCAGGGGTTGTGACACCGAATCATGCGTAAACAAAGGTTGGGCGATTGGGGTGACTCGAGACGATCCAGTGCTGCAGCCGACATTGGGAAAACGGGGAGTCTTGGTAATGTTGGTTTTGGGGGAACGTATCGATGCAGAAGAGAGTTTTCGCAGATTGAGAGAACCGTCTCGCCTAGCGGACCTGTGCGGGAGTGACCGAGTGGCTCCCTCTTCACCAGTGCTAGTGGACGTTGAAGACGTCGAAGGCAACCTGTAGCTACTCGTTGATGCTTGCTTTTCTTTCCCCTTCCCCTTGGACGAGGACGATAGAGTCGACACGGTTGGCGAGCGTGCTCTTTGTGCTGAGCCTGGAAGTTTGTATCCGGAGCGCGAGCTTGCTGGGGTGTTGGACATCCTGTTCCTCAGCCTGGATGAAGGCGGAGGTGTTGCTGGAAGATCTGGTTCAAAGTCATTGCCATCTGAAGGTCCAGAGCCGTCGGAATCCTCGCTGGAGCTTTCAGGTGTAGGCTGTTTTTGTGGCGGCACATTTTTATCGAATAGCAGTGCCGCCAATTTATCTGAAATAGGGATAGGTTCGTCATTTGTATAAGCAAGTTTCTCCTCGTATGCCTGCGCCCTCAGACGCGTCCTGGTATTGATAATATCCGTGGAGGACCATATCTCAATATCTCGAGACTCCCGAGCCATTTTTTCTCGCTTTCTTCGCTGCCGTGTCGTATGCGATTTAAGATAAGTGGGCGGTATATCTTGCTCTGTATATGTGTTATTTGTCCCATCTTCGCGACTCCACGTATCCCAGCGGATCTATGTTTCATGAGCACGTCGACGAAAGGGTTGTCATATGCCTCACCTCGTTCCTGTTCAAGCATAAATCAGCATAATACACTTGTACGAAAGAAAAAATCACGCACCTGATTTGATTGTCGTACCCCACTTCTTCACTGACAATGCTCAGAGGCCAATTGCCATTTTCATCTGCACCTTCAGCATCGTTGAAATTTTCTTCTGGAGTCTGGGAACGCGACCAGAGGTACAATGGTTCGCCATCGCTGTCGCTATCTTCCTCGTATCTGGAAGGGGTGGTCATCGTAAAAGAACCCTTATAGTCACGTGACGTGCGACGACAGTCTCAAATCCTCCCAAAATTCAAATCTCACTGTCAGTTTCCGATGCTTCTCTTCCTTTGTCTTTTGTGCTCCGAAAAGTCACTAACGTTTGTTGTTCAAACTTATTGTGAAGCTTGATGTTGGTCAGCATAGATTGTGTGATACTACAACATACATAATGTACATCTGGCATTGGCGAAGACGAGACTATAGAAAAGGTAGAATTCACAAAGCATTCACTGCCTGAGATACCTTGTTTCCAGCTGTTTCAAGAGAAGAACGAACTGAATCATCCATCACGGTCCTCAACAGGCTCCTCGACTTCCATCGGTCAGGATGGAACATCTGCTTTGCCCTCATCACCATCTTCTTGTACACATGCGCCTCCTGATAGCGCTTCGCAAATTTGAAGAAGTCATCCACAGCCTGCCAATCGTCAAGATCCGTCACCTTGAATCGTCGAGGATTGGTAAGCACAGGCCAAGGTATGCCTGAAGACGTCAACGGTTTCGATTTAGAGTACTCTGTGGTCTCGAACTCGTCCGTCAGGACGAGAAAACGTTCAACCGCCTGGGAATCCGTCCAGTTTTCGAGATTCCACTTCTCCTTATCCCGTCTCTGGCATCGCCGCTTCTCAGCCTTCGTTGCTTCGTGCCACTTTTGCCGCTGCAATCTCTGCCTTTCTTCATGCTCAGCCTGAGCTCTCTCTCGTTCTCGGCGAGCCTCTTCCTCTATCTTGGTCCTGTCTTGTTCCTTTCGTCGCTCCTCTTCCTCCGTCTTGCGCATAGACTCCAAGATTTCCTCGGCCCGTCGCCTCTCCTCCATCTCTCGTTCCTTCTGCTCTTTCCGTTCTCTCTTTACTCTAGCTTCTTCCCAGAGTGGCTTATCTCTTTCAAGCTCCAGTATCTTGCATCGTGAGTTGGCGAGGCATAGCTGTTTTCGCAGATCGAAGATTTCGAGCGAGTGTTTGAAACTAGCCGCTCGAACGACATGGTTGGTCTCTGTGATCTCCCGCTCCATGTCCTCCAACTCGCAGCACAGCGCTTTCAGTTGCTCTTTGGTGCTCTGTAACTCGTCACGGGAATCGAGTAATCGTGATCGTTCTTCCTCGAGCTGTGTCTGGCAAAGCTTCATCGTCTCGACCTCCGAGCTCAGATCCGCTAGTTTCTGCTCAAGGTCATCCTTCTCGTCGCTAAGGGCCTGCAGTGCTCTTGCCAGAGTCGAACCGTTGATGTCCCGTTTCAGATTGGACATCTGCTGTCGCTGACTTTGCAACTCTAATTCGGCAATGTTATTCTGACGCTGAAGCTCGACGACTTTCTTCTCCAAAGTTCGAATATGATCAGAATTCCGTTTATCTGATTGCTCGCGTTCTTCCTTCAACAATCGCTGAAGAGTGATGGAATCCACGACGGGAGGTGCTTGTACAGAAGGTGGCTTTTCGGCAAATTGATCAGCACATTGCGATCGACTAGATGAGAAGCGGGCATGACCCTGGTCGCGATCAACCTAGGAACTTGGTCAAGCGGACGAGGTAAACAAATTGGTATAACTTACATCGGTGGGTCTGCATTCATTCTTCTCCTTCTCTTTGAGGTCTGAATCTGAGCCCCGTTTCGCAATCTTTCCATTATCGTCCTTGGGGACTTGAAGGATCTTATCCCTTCGAGACGGATCCTGCTAGGAAACCAGTGAGACCATTGTCCTCAATCGCTCAGTAGATTGGACCTCACCGGACTCGCAGCCTGAGGTGCCTGGTCCAGGCGCTCCGGCGGGGTGGCGGACAAAGACAAATTCACGTCGGACGTCTCCGAGACGGAGCAGACGACACCAGCCTTCATAGCTCTCTTTGCTAGGTAATTCTCTTGTCAGTCCAATCCAGCAGTAGAAGGCGATGCAATCTAACCAAGCATGGGCGAGGGAAATGTGACGATGGCATATCGCGCTGCTTCGTCAAAATCGATGGTCGCCGTTTGCAGAGCTGATTTGAGATGCTTTATAGTGATAGCAGCAGGAACATCGTGGAGATATAGGACAGGGTCTTTCAGAGGGCTGCCAGGGCATATCTTCGACATCTTGAGCGATGTGGGCTCACGCAAGTGGGAGATGCACCTGGAAAGCACCCTGTATTATGATATCAGCCACGATAGACTCCTCGAGGCATTGAAGCTTTGCCAGGTGACCTTGGGCGCCTAATCGAATGCTGAGCTTGGGATTCGGAGGGTACTGCCGTAGTACTGAATTAGACAGATTAAATACCGAAATGGTTATGTTCGTTCCTAATGGGAGTCGGGACCCACCATGTAAACCCACGACCGGAATCGACCTCTTTACTCGTCTATTACTCTTCCTAGAGAACACTGGACGCGATGAAACGGGTGTATTTTGAAACAAAACGTGTTCCCCACGGGTAGTTGGTTTCTGTACGCAGGTCAGTATGCGGCGTGCTGGAGAACGAAAGCTACGCACCTTGGGGTAATACTCTCGAAGTTCTCAGCTTCTCTCTACCTCATGAACCCTGCCTGAAAAGCGTTGCTTGGATAGGTGGTATTGCATGCGTGGCACAGAATTGAGACAAAATCATAGACACGCGGAGCCAGCATACTCAAACGCCTCGAGTAGTACGTCCAAGGAACGTCTAGATACGCTCGGTCGAATCCCGGACAGTTGGAGTTCGGAAGCTCTGTGAAATTTTGTACTGAGTTTGCAAAGCTCCATGCTGATTCTAGGAAATCCCTTTCTGATGAGAAACGATTGTCAAGGAAGAAAAACCAACGAGACGTACGACTTTTTGGGGCCTTGGCGATTCCGGTCATCCACTGGCCCATAACGCGACGATTTCTTGGACCCTGGACGACGTATGTCGTCGACGAACCAACAAATGTAAGCCTTTTTAACGACACCATCGGCAAGCGTCATGGTCGTTCGAAGGCAAGCTGCGGGATGATCGCGCCCCTTCTTTCTTTACTACCATCACTATCCTTCGACGTCGCCCTAACATCTACCAGCGTTCGTCCCTACAACAGACCTTGGACTCTCTTCTGTCGTCATGCGAAAGAAAAATAACGACCGCTTGGAGAAGGATGGCATGACAGCCGACCGAGAATTAGAAGACCGGTGCTGAGTCGGCTATATGCGTCTTGGTTGAGAATATGCGCTTTCTAACGATTCTTGTCGGCCTTGGGAACGTCGTCTCGAGACGCGGACCCCAGCACCTGCTCGGATATCTTCCAAGAAGCGATATTGAGCCATCAATAAATGTATCTTGTCCTGGTGTGAGACGAGCTTTTCTTGTTTCATTTTCAGGCTAACTCATGTACAGGGTATGAATTGACATCACCGTATGAATTCATGGATGGTCTTATAGCTAGGCTGAGCTTAGCTGGATCCCGCTGCAATGTCTTTGGGCGAAAATCTCACGGTTGAGGCTCCCTACGAGACTCAGGATGCGCGGTGCCGCTATACTATCTATACGAGCAAGCTTCCGAGTCTGTACATATGGAGTCCATTGTATCGTAATGGTGTTGAGATTTAGGTAGCATCACTAACTTCGTGGCCTACTATTACTGAATATTTTGTCGCAACTTCACAGACGCGTCGAAACGCCTGCTCATCATCCTCCTAATGACAACAAAGACAAAGAATATAAAGACATGTGGCGTCCGCAAGAGGACCAAAACAGCTCGGACAAGCGATGAAAACTCCCTGCACCCTTACCTCGATTGTTCATCAAAGTTCTCTAAGATCCTAGATCCATCTTGGACTCGGAGGACAAACAAGACCAAGTACCATTCATCAGTTCTACGAGCAGAAACGTAACCTTGCTTTTCGCTGCCATGAAAAGATAGTCTCAGCCTAGTGGCCATGACTACACGGTTATAAGCTCATGCGAGCCAATCTCTCTCTTGGAAAAGTTGGATATTAAAGTAATTGTTTCCAAAAACGAATTACAGTAATACCCGATGCGGTGCGGGAGACATCACGCGCAGTGCGATGACTTCGACGCGAAAGAGGAAGAGGTTGATTGGACCAAACCTTACGCCCACTGTTGAGGGAAACTCCGACCATTGGTTAACATTTTCAAGTCACCCTTTACCTGACAGCCCCAATAACCAGAGGATGTTCCTAAGTCTGGTATATCCAATATCATTTTTCGTCGTCCATTTCTATCTTCCCTTCCAAGGTCTATTTCTTCTCTAATACAATCCTGCATGTCGCGCACTGTCCAAATGTGGCAGAGGGTGGTGCAACAGCAGCCGTATATTCACCTCGTGCTCCTCGTCTTCGTTGGGTACCGCTGAGAACTTTGAGAAGCCATTGACGTGCCACCAGACTCTATTTCGGAGCCATTTTTGGATACCCTTATGTTACCAGCGCTCAAACATCTCAAGATTGCACGCGACCGGTTACTCATCTAGACCTTGTTATACCTCTTTGACCGGGGTACCTCTCTTCAAAATTTGACCTTCCGACACGCCCATGGTTCTTCCCGATCATGATGAAGACTTGCTTGATGCCTTCTTGCGATCTAGCTGACGAAGCTACGTCACTATTCGCGAGGGGATGGTCGAAGTTTGGGTGCAGTCGTAGAACAATGCTGGTTCTCGCCAATGATCTTCTACACTGCCGGTAAATCAGCACCCTGTGCCCTCGAAGATTTCGGAGATTTGTGCAGGCGTACCACAGGACAGAGGATGCTGGTGGATACTTCTTGTCGATTGCCTCGTATCAACACGTCGATAATATTTTAGGTTCTCACTACTGTCTTGCGGACCCTTGCTTCTTGGAGTTGCGAGCAACTCTGGAATCAGCGAGGCCTGGGTCTGTTGGCAGTGTCTGATTAGAAGATGTAACTTTCGCATCGAGGGCGTTGAGAGCCAGGGGTTATGACCTACCTAGTGTGGCTACTTACTGCAAGCATTTTTCTGCATATTTGCCCCTTAATGAACTCGAAATTGATACGGACTTTGCCGGATAATATCGGTGTTGGCGTGACCGTGATTGGAAAGTCGATTTCCCTTTATGTTCCGGCGGTTGACTAGTTCTAAACTTCCAGTACAGGCTCTATGAGGTCTCCTGTGTTCATAGAGACTCGCTCAGTTGGCATCCCGACCGTACTGCGAGAACACTCTCGGTTCCACATTTTCCTTGTCTTCAGGGCCCGTTCCATATTCAGCGGACAAAAAGGCGTTCTTTTGCACCGTCACTTTGGCCGCCCCTAAAACACGTTGTTTTAATCAAACGGAGATGTTTCTGATCGAGATTGGCCCAAAATCTTCCGTGCTCGCCAGCTCGAAAGGTCAAGTCGATCCAAGGCTTAGGCTCCAACATCGGAACCGACTTTCTTGGTGCAAAGGCGTCGGTGTACCATAACAACAATCAGTGTACAATCTTTGTCCAGGCGGATGTAGTCATACGTCGGTCCACAGGCAACGTTTTAAAATAGACAAACGGTCCCAGCGATCACTTGAACAAAGGCCCTTTGGCCATCCTTATTTTCCACTCTGACGCCCCGCGGACTCTTTAAGAACGGCGTCCTTTTTATCTGATTTCAGGCTATTTAACAGGCTCTATCATACTCGTTCGTTCCCCTCAGTCTGTACTTCCCATAAGGACAACCCATGATCCCGAGGCCTCGCCGTCTTCCCCTCCCTCCGTCTTCGATTCACCCGCCTTCGCCTCTTTTGTCGTATTCTTCTCCTACGCCTACGCCGACCACTCCCGTCTCGTCTTCTGCTGTTCTTTCAGACGCGCCTTCACAACCCTCCTCTTTCATCCCTCAAAACAAGAATAAAAAGTCCCACGCCCGAAGGCCGCCTCCGGGACACATCCCTCGACCACCAAACGCGTTCATTCTCTTTCGTTGCGACTTTATCCGCCAAAAAAGAGTCCCTCCTTCTGTTGAAAGAAACACTCGCAACCTATCTCGTATTGCCGGTTCTCTTTGGAAGAACATGACTTCTCTTGAAAAGCAGCCTTGGAAGATGTTGGCGGAGCAGGAGAAAATAGAGCACGCTGTTCGGTATCCAGACTACAAATATCAGCCCAAAAGACAGAAGGCTAGGGTAGAAGGTGCCAAAGAGCAACGCGGTCGGTATCCGCGGCGCAAGCAAATGACTGTCAACGTTGCGCCCGACGGCGTATACCCCCCTTGGATCCCTCACTCCTCCATGGATTACAGCCTGCCCTATCGCCGCTCCTCCTCGTGCCCTCCACCTGGTTCTGCCCCTGCCGCTCCGGTCATCTATCGAGAAGAAGATGATGTCCCCATTGGACCTGTCTCTGAGACGAGAGATGATCTGCAGCGCCGTCCGAGTTGTGTCATGATGTACCATTCTTCCTCTGTCCATCCATCCTTCGATCCTCCATCCGTTCCAATGCTGTTTGCTGAGCCGGAAGAGCTTTCATACTCGTGGCCTGCGGATCCGAGGCAATTCGAGTTGGTTCCTCCATCTTTATCAGGCGGCATGGGCGACTGTGACAATGGTTTCATTCCTTCGGACTTGACTGATATTCCCTCTCAAGAAGCTTGGATCGAACCGCCGTGGTATCTCGCTAGTGTTGATGCTGATATCTCGTGGGTCGAACCAAACTCTGCTGTGAGCATTCTCTGATAACCCATCATGTTCACATCTCTGACGTTGCAACTTAGGATCCATATCTCAGCACAGAGGAAGCAATGGAGCAGTGGTACCAGGAGGTCAAGAGAGAACAGCAGGAAACGCTATTTGACTGTCTCAGGAAGGATCAGCAGCTGTTCGACACGACTTTGTTTACTAACCCGTTCGCAAGCCGTAGTTCGAATGCTTCCAGCTCATCTCCCGCACCTCCCAGTTTCTCGCCTTTTGAAATTGCTCCAAGTCAGGAAGTCTTACACCTTGGACAAGAATTGTAGACATTGTTACAATCGGCTTTTTTCTCCCCTTGGACAAATTTTGCATACATTTTCTCTGTTTTCATCACACATATGTTTTTACCATACCGCATACTTAGAATTCCGGCACGTACATTGCATGCATACAATTACATCGTTTCCATCCCGTTCCAAGCTCCGTCGATACTATAAGAGAAAGTTTGAAACGGCGGTAACCGCTACACCCAAAGAAAAGCCAAGAATAAACCTCATATCCAGCTTGCCGAAATAACCTTGCATCGATACACTCTCGTCATCCTTCTTATACACCTTGCCCCTGGTTTGGAATTTCTCCGTAGAATTCGGCCCGAAAGTCATACCAGGTAGGCCGTCAATACTCTGAGAGTTGTGCTGGATCCAGTACTGCTTCAGACCATTATCCGGTCGAGGAGGCTCGCATATCGTGTTGTCCGCCTCTTCGGCATCGATATCAGCAAGCTCAACTTTCGCCGCGTGTTCAAGCAGCTTGGTACGATGTGATTTGAACTCGTAAAATGGTACAGCATAGCCGCAGGACTGGGACATTCTGAGCACAGTGATACTACGAGAATAAACATGACCTTACTGTCCCGACTTTGTGCACATCGATCATGATGACCGCACGGGATCCAGGATGACGGGTCTCGGGGAGAATAAATGCATTGTACTCAGGTGTACCGAATTCGTAAAATTTGCCTACAAAAAATCTATTCATTCACAGAATATCGTTTCGGAATTTACTGACCTCGTCCAAACAGCCTGACAATGCTTGGTGGACCTTCAAAAGCGTTGAACAAAATAGTAATCCTTCCGTTTTCGCGAAGGTGTGATATGGTCTCCACTCCTGATGATAATGAGAGAGATTCGTTGCATATATATGTCAGTAAGCTTACCGCTTCCACTAAGATCCTCGTACCATACCGTGTGAGAGTCAATGACGTGGAAAGTCCCCTCAACCCCTTTGGATGATAGATTGACGTGCCCATCTGCACTCAGTGGAGCCGTGGCTACCCAGAACATATGCTGTTTCTTGATCATGGCCATAACATATCCGGGCATTTCGTCGTAGAATTTGCCCATTGTGACGTGTGATAGGAGAGAGGGGGTGTTAGTTGGTGTTAGTTCGCAATCGCCGTCGATGCGTCATATGTTTTGACTTGTTACTTCCGGACAAAGCTCGAATCACGAGAACAAGAATGAAGTAATAAATGTTCTTAGCCTGGCGGTATCGCTCGTGGGTGCAGATTTAGAACCCCGACGGGATGCCGACACTTGCCGACCACGTGCAAACGCGTAACGCGCTAGAAGGCTTGTTGATCGACTTCCGTTTATCCTCCGGCCTGTTGCATGCTCTCATCGCCCAATGTAGCCCCGACAGGCCTGTCCATCCCAGAGGGTCGAAAACTCATCCGACAGCTTGTTCGACCTTGTCTCCCTCACGACTTACATGATTATATCCTGGAGGGTATTTACAAAGCCCTAGATGGCACTCATAAGGTATTTGTTGGGGCCGCCGCGAAGGTAGCTTCATCACCCGGAGACTCTGGTGACTTGCCACAACTGCTCATGGTGTCTTTAGACCTCTTCGTAGAGGTAGGGGTGAACAAAAGGATAATCCCCTAAGTGTATCTAGCATATGTCATCCCTATTACACATGCCGCTATGGCCGGCATCCTGTCGGGGTTTTAAATCTGCACCCACGAGCGATACCTCCGCCGTGGGTGCCAGGCTTTATATACAGTAACGAGTTCCGCGAGTTTCTCATAAAGCCGGTTTACCAGGCTAAAATGTTCTGGATGGAGAGGGCGAGGTCCAATCCAGATCCTCACTCGCTAGGAAGCTTAGAAAGGTAAATGACATTCTAGACGCCTGTAAGGAGTATACTGCGGTCGATGAGGATATTGAAAGAAATCTACGTGTGCTGCAAATCTACACACGCCTGATACGAATACTTTTGAGTCCCTCAAGGTTTTGATGTGAAATACAGTGTTTGCTCCTGGTTTCATCATCGAGTACTCAGGAAAGACCGGGTAGTTGAGGTCCACGTCCGACTCCGTCAAATGGAGTTTTTGCAGAGCCTTTTAAAACACTCCAAATAGTGCTCGACCATCAAGAGTCACAGTGGAGGGCCGAGCTCCTACATCCAGGACTGTAACAGAACGCAGTCTCTGCGACACATTGAAGTCCCCAATAAGCGTAATGACAAGCCTATTCTTTCAAGACAGAGAACCCCAACGTCGCGCTCGGAGTTAGTGGTGCACTCGCGCTGTCGTCGAAGTAGGTCGAGCCTGAAGCGAAGCCTTCCTTAGACAGTGACACTAGTAGCAAGTATGGTCCTTGACGTGTCTCTTTGAGAGTGTATGCTAATTCTGCACGGAAAAGGATAGCTTCTCCATCGCGAACGTTGACATGCCTCGGCGGTGCTGAAAGACTTGCATTTCCACCTGATGTCGCATTGACCACCTCGTCATTGTACCAGTTCCGCTACACGACACCTCCATGTCCCGGAAGGATACCTAAGTCCTCGTCAGTACATCTTTATGTATCTGACTCCGGCGAGCAGTCTCTCGCCATCAACAGCAGAGGCATTGGGCTCTAATACAGTCGTCACCAGTATGTCCCGTCCAATCAAGAAGTTAGAACTGCCTATCAATTCCTAACGGTTCTTCCTCATGCAAAAATTCGGAAAATAGCGGGCGAACAGGTGAAGTGCCATACAAAGACGCATTCGTGAATAGGGTGAACTGAAATGAGGGAGTCAGTATGATATGAAGAAGCAAGTCTGAAGAGCCGTTTACCCAGTAGGGTAACAAAGAATAATGAGTGGCTATAGCGGTTCTCGATGCGCTGGTAACACCCCAGTCTGGGATATTGCACCCTTGATGTTTGATTGCGATAAAACGGCGTGAATCATGATACAGTCAACCGCATCCACCGATTACACAGCTCTTCTTCGTCTATCCAGAAGCGTCAGTCGTCGTGGAGACAATATGATATTATGGAGCGTACTGAATACACAGGCATCGGCACCGACGAAAGGTACCTGAAATAATTGAAATTGAAAAATTCTCTGAATGCTGTGATACATGAACTGCCATCTGTGTGTTTCAGTCTATGACCTCAAACATGATAGAAGCGCTGCTATCCGTATTATGAAGAGTAATTATCGCCAAGCTGTGCAGTAATCAAGTTAGTTTGGGGTAACATTTACTGGGAGAATCTTAGTGCCTAGTGACCAGTCCATTTGCCAGACGAAGCGAAAGTGAACCGGTGGATTATAAACGGCCTCTTCCCAGGTAATATGTTTTTCAGCGCTTGATAGGTGGCTATCTTTCGCATCAAGCCCTGCAAGTTGTGGATGTCCATTTCGACTACGCCGTTTGCATGCGCCCATTAGTTGCGAGAGCATGAGTCGACAGCCCACCGAATCTTAAGATGAAGGCGTTCAGTATAGGCAAAGGAAACAGGATGATCGTGATACACTGTTGTGGATTGCATATGGCGGAGTATTGACATCGACCTTTCGACGGCTGATAGTAGGCTGATAGTCTGATTGATGGTGACCATAAAGGTCAATGTTCCGTTAACAATTATGTTTCCATTGGGACCTGAGACTGCACGGTCGTAACCAATCCCACCATCAGCATTCGTCTATAGAACAATGCACATGAAACCTTAAATGAATGATCTAATGCTCACCATTCAGGATAATCTAAAATAGGATTTCCGAGTTCGGCGGGAAGAACGAGTGCTAACGGGACGTTAGTGTTTGTCAGATTAGCACCCGTTCCACTATGTGTACATCATTAAACAATCAGAAGACAAGTAAGGATGGGAAACGTACCACGTATCATCACAGAACGAGCTGGCTTCGTTCATATCAAGCCATATGCCAACACACCAGACTCCCTCCAAGACCAGTTTCGCAGTGCTTGCATCCACCACTGCCGGGTGTTGTTCTGAAACCAATTAGGGAAAATCTGTCCAAATTTCAACAAGCCAATCGCGACAAGCATAAAAGTGGCGCCTGTGTAACAGGGCCGTACTTGACCAACGTATTCGGGACCGTCTGGCTTTGCTATGAAGACACCCCTGGAAATTCTACCAACACCAAGGATGTGCGAGAAGAGCGTGACGGACTGAGCAAGGCCAGAGGCGCAAGGTAGGTACTGTCATATTTGTTAGAACACATAACACAGCAGAAACGATTTCTCACTACGTCAGATTCATTGACTTTTTTTGCGATGGAAGAATCGACAACAGGGTGTCTATAATGAAAGATCGGAAACGTAAACTTTGGTCTAAGAGGATTTGACAGACACGTTTGATGAGACTTCTACGGGAAGCCGGTTAACTTGATGATACCTGAAGGCCATAGTAGGGCCGTACCAACTCTCCAATGAATGAACGAACCTCTACCGGGTAAGTCACACGATCAGTTGTGAAATCGTGAACGGCATGATACAAATCGATGCCATACCACATCACTGTAAACACGTCAATTGTCCATTATTAATGATTATTAGTATGACCTTCCAAAGGGATGTTGGCTTCTCTTATCCTGCGAACTTGTATCTGTGCGTCATATGTTATGATATCCGACCCGTGTCGTCGACGACTGCTTCCGACGCCACCAGTATGGGCATACTTGCATAAGTGAAAGCCAAAGGCCGCAGCCCGCACGGGTTGCCACAGAGGCCTGCCAACTAAGTCGCTGTACTGTCGCACAACGTCTTGAGGGCCCGGGCCAGAAAAGAAGTAAAAGTCAAAAACCCCGCCAATTAGCCGGTGTTGTAAAAACGAACACCGGCGAGTCTTGGGGGATTACTAAAAGAATGCCTTCTCCGGCGGTACTAGTAAGGATCTCAAAACCTTCACGGAAAGATTTTGCTGACCTGAGTAGTAATACTCCGTGAGATGAAGATTCGTTACCCATGCGGTGTTTGAGATAAAACAAATGGGTGCCGTAACTGTATATTTATCAAGCAACATCCAGAACATGAAGAAAGAAATGTTACATATTCTCGTTCATAGAGTCAGCTTCACCGCGCGTCCACGTCGTTTGTATTGTTCCCTTTAGTATCTCGTCTGAAACCAGACGAGGCTATGATGTCACCTAAGCCATAGACACTCGCATCCAAAGGTAGTGCTGAAGTAAGCTGCAATGTCCAAATCGACGATGGGCGGTATACTTGGAGATATTGGTCCTCAAATACTAGAGGGAACCCATTTAGAGCGGTAGAATTGTCTTCTTCTACCACCAGTGGGATTAGTGTAAGTGGCAGGGTGTCGAAGAGAGGTGCACCTTCTGGTTTTGCACGACGGGCAATTCGAAACGCAAATGTAGATGCTGAGTAGTTGAAAATGAGGTCCGGTGTGTGCTCCTTTCCCCCAAAAGGACGGGTGATTATTAATTCGGGTATCGCGTATTGGGTTCTTAATGTATCGAAAACGTCGACATCCTAGAGGCTGAAGTTATTGAGACCTCAAGAAAGACCATAAAGTTCTGGCGAAAAGTTCTTCAGATTCCAAGGTAGCAACGGTGGCCTGCGAAGACAGATCCAAACACTAAGCATAAGGGGACTAGGATGATTTGTCCGACGCTCGAGTTGACTCGGAAGAGACGCCCGGGCCGGCATTTACATAACCAAGTCTCGGTCCGGAAGATCCGGAGCAACGTAATCTTTTTGAGTTTTGAGTTTTGTAACTTTCGTTCATGTTCCTCTTCGCATCTTTCTTGAATTACTGCTGCGATCTTGGCATACTCTTTTAGTACAAGATACTTCGAGCTTAGCACTCCCATGTTCTCTTCCATGGTGCCAGGATATCAAACACGTATTTTTTTCTCAAGTTCGGAGGTGTAACGTCATCTTGTAAGATACCATATTTCACGTTCAGTTGCAGCTGTCTAATCCCGAACTTCTCCTAGAGCTCTACCTTGTAAATGTCTCGACTATATTAATTCTATGCTATTAAGCGCTGGAGAGCCGGCTGTGTACTTGTATATACTGCAAGCAAACTGCAGTCGCGCAAGTGCAGCAGACCCCCTTTTAAACCGCCGTTCACAGGGCGCCGCTTTTCCCTTTCGCCTTGACGAGTCAGGTTGGCACTACGAACACATACCTGGTTGCGCTTTAAAGGGACTCTTTCTCGGAAAGGCAGAAGCGCATCCACGATGGAATAATAGTCCTACACAGGTCCGAAACCTGTGCATCATGAATCCAAAGAAACTTAAATTGAACTAGCCTCATCATTCAAACCTAGCGGAAATCGCTGTGCGAAACATTTCCACAATGGGGAGGCACCTGTCAAAACTATTCTCACTCGACCAGCCGACCTTCGACGTCGCCCACAAATTATTTTCACTTCCTCACCCCCAACAACCTGTACTCAGCCCAACTTTCCGTGAGCGTTTTCTTTCATTCCGATATCTATTTATTCATTCATGGGTATGCAGGCGAGGCGTGCAGTTCTAAGAGGTCAAAAATGCCACTGTACCTTCAGCGACGACTGCGTGCTCTTGTCCCCGAGGTTCATAACAGAATCCGGATCAACTCAGGCTTCTTCGTGGATATCATGAAACAGACGCTTGCTGGCTTATAATCAAAACGATCCGAATGTGACGTAGAGATGGAGGTGTGAGAGGCGGCCCTCACGCCCTTAGAGAAAGGTCATGCTGGCTTGGCATATTCTGCTTCCAAGCTTAAGACTTGTCTCTCTCTCATTTTCCGACTTTCTGTCGAACTCCTCCGCGACATTTTTCGGGAAGCATGTTCCAACGCTTCCCAGACCCTGCTTCATATTGCGTCGGTTTGTTCCTAAATACTGGCGCGACATCTTCCTCGCCTTCCCCGACGTCTGGACCGACATCTTCATCATCAACGTTGACAACGCCACACTTTGAAGCAGGCTAAAAAGTTGGCGACGTTGTACCAGCGTAGATCTTTGTCTTACAAACCCACATCGACATCCCCTCGCGATTCTTGATAACCTACCAAAATAACACGCTTTTTCGTGATGCCCATTGTGACAGTGCCATAACCATCTCGCGGCACTGTATTCTCAGCCACATCACCCATCCTCAAACTCGACGTTCGGTTTTTCTGTGGCGAACCAAAATCAACGTAGCACTTTTCTCCGTGGTTATCGGACCTGCATGCCTGAGCTCTTGGGTACCCCGGGGAACGTGGATAATGTCTCTCCTCCGCAGCTCCCCATCTCTAATCGAACTTTGCTTCGAAAAGGCAATCATCAAGGACTCTGATCTCCTCCGGATCCTTGAGACCGTGCCAAAGCTAACCATTCGAGTTAAATCACCTGCCACGGTATTCTGGGACTACGGACCGGCTCCTCGAGCGCATTATAGAGGCGGGTCTTTTTTGCTAAAGTTGGAGCATCTCGAGCTAGTTTGAACGGAAAGCAATGAGGTCGATGAAGGGAAAATCATGGAGGTTATTGAGTCACCATGATATGGTCAAGTTTGTTGTGTCGGCGTGCGCCGTGCGGGGGATGGTGGGAGAGGGAAACACCGCGAAGAATCTAAACTTTGATAGGGCGTAGATTGTAAGTGCGTTTGTATTGACCTTGATGGTGCAGGAACGCTAATTCAGTCCTTAATTTTCCTTCGTTGCTAGCCGACGGGCCGACAGATAACCTCAAATGAAGCGCGGTCACAAAGTGTGTTCATCAATTTACATTCGCACTTGTGCAGGTGTAGGTGCGGATCCGAAAGGTCAGACTTGCGCAGACTATGCTGATAAGATACGTATTATTCCAGGGACTTCTATGCTACCTATCGTGTTAGTAGACTCGTGATTGAAGCGGAGGTTGTCCTCCGAAGTGATGTCCCTGGCGTAGCAGGCAACCCCCTGCCAAAGATGTCGCCGATCAACGCAACCATTGTCTTCGATGTCAACAAATTTCATTCACCGCTTCGGGCTTAGCCCCATCCATTCTGCACCTAAGTGGTCGTGAGCGTCCCGAAATTTCTGATATGTCTAAGCTCATAGTATTTTATGCAGAACATGTTACCCAAGGAGATATCCCTATGTCAAAAATGTCACATTTCATGTTCATGCTCATGTGCTGTCTTCAACTCTCGTCACAAATCTACGCGGTGGCATCCTGGTAGATCCCGGACGCTCATACCGAATCGATGTGGCTGCTGCTGGATGGTTTACAGTCAAAATTATGTGAATACGCCGCAGAGATAGAAGCATTGGAGGAGAACCTGACGTATCTCAAGAACACCTCGCACATAGCATCTCCGTCTACAAACACCTACGCTTCTCCAATTCGCAGGTCACTCCGTATTGCCTCAGTTTGTACTTACTGGCGAGGCATCCACCTATCTTTCCCCAGCTCTGGTCCGTCATTGATGCTGACGACACCAACCTTTCACAATCAACGAGAAAATTGCTTTCATTATATCGGCAGCGGTCATTCTCCAAGCCGACACAGATTACAATTTCCGCGAAACTTTTGTTCAAGGAACTGGATGACACCAGCTCGGAAGATAACCTTGATGACGACAATTACATACCGCCTTACATGTCTCTGAAGACGATATTCTCACTTTCACCATCTCTCCTTAATCTGAGCTCCTGTCGTTCATTGATATTCGACATCGCTTTGGCGAGACGGTCTGACCTCCTTCCCTTCCCCAGCTTCGAGTCACTTGAACGCTTGCACCTCATGGGAGTGATCGACATGTTTAATGTCAGTGACACGACCCCCCTTTCTTATTTGTTCTCCAATACGCCTCGCCTTCGGGAACTTCACCTCCATAACACCTAGACGCTCCATAATTTTGACCTCAGCTGAAGTCGCATCCGTACACTATGGCTCGAACAATATGACGCGGCATGGGACCGCATCATCGAAATCCTTGACACTTTCCTCCGTTGGATACTTTAGTGTTCTATAGTGGAAGGTTTAGGAGTATGACAACCACTGTAACAATCCCGGGCATCAGAGCATTGCAGATATGGGGTGACCCAAGGCTCACTGCAGGTCTTTTGCATGCGTTGACGCTTCCTGACCTGCATCGTCTAGAACTTCGATGATGAGTTAGATGATCCTAATCATATCACCACCAAGGACATCGACAGTCATAGTCGCCTCTCTCCCCCGTTCTTCAGTTCCTAAACGAACTTCGCATCGATATGACAGTCATCCAGGACGTGCATCTCATCCAGATCCTGGAGACTGTTCCAAAATTGACGAAAGTCGCTATTGTAGAGCCTCGTCACCACTCGGGGCAGTTCAGCATCACGGACGAGCTCCTCGGTTGAATGATGGATCTAGACTTCTTGCCGAAGTTGGAGGAACTCGAATTGGTTTGGGCAGAAGATAATGCGATTGAGGAAGGGAAAGTATTGGACGTTATCAAAAGTCGCTGCGGGCAGCTTCAATCTGTGATTGTGGGTGTGCGAGGTGGTGGAGAGCTGGATAAGAAGACATTACAAGGGATCCAGGAATTTAGGGAGTTCGGATTATGTATCCGCTTGTATTGATCTGGACGGTTTCTTCTTCACAGAAAACCTTATTATTCTGGTACTCTCGACAAAAGGGCCATCACAAACGCGCAATATCAATGAACATGGTTTTCACCAGCCAACTGTTTCTATTATCAGCGCGACGTGCGGAATCCTACATGCCGAAGGCCGAACTAGACATTTAGTATGTCATAATGACGATACTTCTCGTCGCTGCAGCCTTCCTGCCTTCTTTCCATCTATCCACCATCTGAATACACGTCTGCATTTCTGCACAATTTGCTGATACAGCTTGCGCCGTGGTACGAAAGCGTGGAATTCCTTGATCAGGTGTGCCACGTATAAGAAGACGAATCAAGGCGCAATCTCTCACACCTCAACCTGCTTCAACATGTTGTCGTTTTTCTCATTCTTGAAGAGGGTGTACAACGTCTGTTGGCAGCGACATCCTTGTGGTAACACTAACCGCTGACATGATCTCTAGGCAGTGTCGCCACCAATTGCTGCGCCTCTGCCCGACTCGAAGCCCGTCAAGTTCGGTATCCTTGGAGCAGCGGCAATTGCTCCGAGTGCTATTATCGATCCCGCAAAGAGCCACCCAGAGGTCGTCGTCTACGCCGTCGCTGCACGGGATATACGTCGAGCTGAGGCGTTCGCAAAGAAACACGGGATCGAGAAGGTGTATGGCGGTCTAAAGGGGTACCAAGGTGTGCAAGCCGTTTTCGAGGGCATCAACAGATTTGACTTTAGAACATGAACCCTAGAACTCCTTGATGATCCTGAAGTAGAGGCTATCTACAATCCGGTGAGTCTGGCAAATCTAAGTATAAGAATTGTATTACTCAAGGATCGTGCCAGCTTCCAAATGGATTGCATTACGAATGGACCATGAAAGCTCTTCTAGCGGGAAAGCACGTCTTATTGGAGAAGCCATCCTCAGACTCGGCGGAGGAGACACGCAAGATGTTTGAATTGGCAGAGAGCAAAGAACTAGTACTACTAGAAGCCTTCCACTACCGGTGTGCCTTTCTTCGTTCTCACTGTCGTACTGTGTCACTGAGGCTCCTTGAAGATTCCACCCTGCCATTCAACGCGCCAAGGCTATCCTTGATAGCGGTGAATTAGGCAAGATCAAGAGTATCTCCACGACTCTCATGGTCCCCGCCGGATTCGTGTCGGCCGACGATATCAGGTTTAATTTCGATCTAGGCGGAGGGGCCATGATGGACATGGGAACGTATACACTTAATTGCATTCGATACCTTGCCTCAGCCAACCCCGTCTCAGTCCTATCTGCATCTGCAGAGATCTCCGCACCTTCGCCTCTCATCGATAGGCGAACGACAGCTACGCTCGAGTTCCCGAACGACATCATTGGCACCCTAACCTGTGATCTCTCAGTTCCATGGAGGTTCGTACCCACGCGGCCTAGCATTTCTGCCAAGGTAGAGTGTGAAGGCGGTACCCTGGAAGTGTATAACTACGTCATGCCGACTGTGTATCATTCTATCACGGTAACAAAACGTGGTAGGGCTAAACGTGTGGAAAAAGCATACAAGTTTGAAACGAAGGGAGAAGATTGGTGGACGACATATCGATATCAGCTCGAAGCATTTGTGGATCAGTTGAAGGGTAGGACTCCGCAGACTTGGCTCGATAAAGAGGATGCGATTGGGAACATGGAGTGGATTGAGAAGATATACGAGAAGGTCAGTGCTCATTTCTGCTTTAGCACGATCGACGCTGACACCCTTAAAAGTCAGAGCTGGGAGCTCGTCCAAAGTCAGTATATACTGTCCCTTGAGCTCATGATGGTGTATTATGGTGGATGTTATTGTCTCCGAATATTATCATGTATGTATTTTTGCGTGCTTGGCGGTTCTCCCATGCGTCGTTCGCTTGGTTACTCTGAACTGAAATATGATCAAGTTACCATAACGGAGAATATTCGTCGTTCCAATATTTCAGGGAAGTACTTGCAAAGTGGGCATGGGACAATAAGGTTTAGGACTTCCGAATCCATATTGGGAACCCGCTGATCATCATGTTACAGATGCGAAAAGATGGACGAGCGTCAAGTCTACACGGCGATGTCGGTACAGGAACGTTGCTACAGCACAGCATGTAGAATTTAGCTATGACCACAGGGATGGCTCATACCGCAGCGCTAAAGGGTATACGAATTCGGCAGAACTTTAATGAGTTAAGCAGCATACCTAGAGTGGCGGCGAGCGTCTTCCAAATTCTAGATGGGGTTGACTTCCATAGGAACATGGGATGCGATTCGGATTGAATTTCTTTTCACAGACTGTCAGCTTATTGGTGGATAATAAGATCATTATCGAAGCCGCCGGAGAACGTTTTGGCATAGCTGCCTTGTAGTACTTATGAATATGGCAATAAATACAGTATTTGTTCCACCGTTCATCGTAAGCCTTCAAGTCAGTACTGGGCTTTTCTAGGAGCTTAGGAACACGAAAAATTTCGGGACTCAGAGTTTCCGCAGGTTCCAGAGATTTAGAGACGGGTCGTATGCGGGTGCTCACAAAGGTCCCTGTCTTTGGCCATGTCTTGCTGGGTAGTTGCTCGGAAATATGGACACGATCCGGAATTTGACAGTGAATTTTTTTATTAAGGAACAACGTGGCGTGAATTATCACGGAACGGTGGCCCAGGGATATCAAGAAACGGCAATGTGCCGAAGACGACACCAGCTACTTATCCCGACATTAACTATACGGCCTCATGAACCCGTAGACGAGCTACCTATCAAATCTTCTGTTCAACTCGAAGCAGAAGCGCATACGACAGGCCTAGAACAGATATCTGCGCCGAAGTTAAGGTCAGCTCGAACCCGAAAGACCAGCGAGGTTCTTCCTGTGCTTGCAGCGCGGAGATCAATCAATGAACGACATGCCCCGCTTCAAAGTGTTCCTTGAGACAAACTTCAAGCCTCCGATTGGCACGCCATGATGGGCGTAGTCACGGGTCTTTTTCTTCTGTACCTGAAGGCTCGAGCAGTGTTTGCCGTAGGCTGCTTGAACCTGAAAGATGAAATGCAGTTTTGGAGGGAAATTAACGGCTGCAATGTTTGAGGGGCGTACAATGCACCGGATAACGCCTTGGGGAAGTAAACGGCACCCAGTTCTCCATAGTAACATATTCCCAGGGATTTGACAAGAAAAAAAAAACCTATCAGTCGTGACTTGATGATTGAGAAGCGTCACAACGATCGCGAGCAACTGTCGAATCTCGTCAATTAGGAAGCGTTCCAAACGAAACGACAGTAATAGCGTAGCGTACTTGGATCGATTAGCTCCTTGTGTGATTCAGCTGAGTAACTGATCCAAGAACCCCATTTGAGCTCAAGTTATACGAACAGATAACTTACACATGCCAGAAAGGAAGAGAAACTTGGAAGGCATGTCGTTCGTTGATGGAAAGCAGGGCGCCAGAAAGTGGCTCAGGTTCAAGAGCATCGTGAAATGTCGTTTTGAGGGACGTCAGCCGTGATGCAATGCGCAGATACCCATATACCGAGCGGCGTAAGATAGCATTTAAGTATAAACACATACGTACAGGGAACCTACGTGTTGGAAATGATGAGAAAAGGACGAGATCTCCAGATGGATAAAACCTGACCTGGTTCAGAGAAGGGAAGACCAGAAGCACATGGTCAGTAGTTGATGCCGGGTGACATGTTCCCTGGACTTTCCTGCGATTGCAGTTCCATAACATCTTATGCAGGTCGAACACCCGATGAAGCAGACGATGTGACATCTACGGATAGCTGTCAATGTCTAGATTTCCACGGGAAACCGTTCCACGTACCTTATCTTGGGCACGATGTCAGGCCATTCTGCTTGAGAACAGCAGTAAAAGACACATTGGTGGCGGTCGGCATATTCGTCCCGCGAACCTTAAGGGATTAGTCTAGGCAAAAGAAAGTTGGACGTGATCAAGAAGCCAGGACAACAGACGCAAACTAGAGTCAGGATTCAGCAAGGCTAGAGACATCTGCTAGAAAAGAAGAGCAGACCTTGAACCGTAGACAGCCGATAGAACTCTGACCCAACGTGTTGCAGACGCCAGCATAAATCGTCATGAGCTGAACGTATGTGGTCTGGTGAGTCCACCGCAACCTGAGAGAACCGGGGGGATATGAACTGTCATTCTCAGGATATGGTTCCCCTTTAAGATTTCCGCATCCTTCGAGGTAGTCATGTAGAGTGTACGATGGTCCGACCGACGAGGTACGCAGCTGATGAAACAACGGACTGAAAAAAGCGGGCGACACCTTTCAGATAGTCGCCACACTTCGGGGGGCTGTCGTCGTCGTCACTACCAACAGCCTCTGTCACCGATACGCAGTGTAGGAACCGTCCAAGCGTCATCCAGCATCGTAACGTTCCGCGGCCGTCATTATTTCCAAATTGTTCAAGACATGCGGGCCCATTAGCAGATAAGAAGGCGATTTGCGAACCGCTCCAGTATCAAATACGCAGTCCTTAGCTTGGGCCGAGTTGCTTCCAAACCAAAAAATCGGAAATTTATCGCTCGCTAGATTCGTTAACAAATAAAGACAAGCCACTAACGTGTTTACGAACGCTCACCACACCACGTTCGCTTAGACTATTTCCACCTTCCCTCCACATGCCTTCTCTATCGTCGCAAGCGGTGATATCGCCTGGATAATCGTAATCGTGGTGGTGGTCTGGAACTAAAGGTCCGGACTCCGATGTGCCGGTTACCATACTGCCGGCAGAACGATGGCGGGAGTAACCCTTCGTCTTCTCCACCACGATTATCGAAACGATGAAGGACACTCTCACCGATGCCAGTAAGTGCTATCAGAACATTAATACCGCCCGTAGTAACAACATAAACTTAGATTTCCCCCGGACTACGGATCTTCGTGTATATCACCTTGGACTACGGCCCGGAGAGGTTGCTAACAGGCTTGTATGTCCATCTTAAATTGCTTCACAGGACTGGTAAATTCTAATAAGGATATCCAGATTACCGTCGGCTCACCTTCCCGTGCCCATACTATAGCCTCCTACCTTGACGTTATCCCTAAGCCTTTCCAACTATCTTCGGAACGAGGGTTCCTCACCATTACGGGGAGGTACAAGGGTGTACCGGTGTCTATTGTCAGCATTGGAATGGGTGCCCCTAACATGGACTTCTTCGTTCGCGAGGTTCGAGAATGCCTTGTCGGTGACATGCTAGTTATCCGGCAAGTATGATCCCGCGAAAGGCCGCAATGGGACTGAACGAATATAACAGGTTAGGCTCTTGTGGAGGTCTCATTCACGTTCCGGTAGGAACGGTAGTCGTCCCAAAGGCATGCATTGCTGTGACACGGAATGTTGATTTCGACTTTGTCAACCCAGAGGAAAACGACGATGTGCCTTATAGAATAAGTAAACCGGTATGTTGACCCTGTTCATTTATTCTGTCCGGAAATTAAATGCCGTTAGGTGTACGCAGATCCGGAGTTCCATGATGTGGTATGTCGAAAAACATTCGCGGCAGAAGTTTGTTCGCCACTTTTCAAATGACCGCATGCATTTCCGGAAGATGGATCTGATCCACATACCTCAAAGGAGCTTAGCGCCAATCAGTCGCCAATGAATCTCATGGGAGGCAGGATCAGATCGCACCTTCAAGGTATTTGTGCGGTCATTTCGAAAGTTATGCATCAGTCTTTTGCCAAAATCTGCTGTTCAACATGTCGTGACTTTTTACTTAGGTACATCAAGCCCTAGAAACCGTGAAACCAACTGGCTCCACAACCCCAATTGTCGCTGGGATCACTAACGCCTCCGCCGATAGTTTCTACTCTTCCCAGGGAAGACAAACATCGTTCCCAGACCACAACGAAACGCTCATCGAGCAGATCATTGCGTCCACGTCTGACGTCGCCACATTGGAGGTATTATATCTACAATGACAGCATATTCTGTTCTTAAAAAAGACTCTCCAGATGGAGACACATCACTTATACCACCTCGCCGAGTGCTGGTCGAAGAAGCGCAAGGTGGCGAAAATATCCGAAGCAGCACTTCCGCCGCTCAGTACCGGTCCTGTGAACCCGGTAGCTTCCAGTGCTAAGGCTACGGGAACGTCGACCGAGACCCTTGCCACGCCTGATACAATCATCCGTGCAGCAGCCGCCCAAATGGTGTTTGCCTCCCGCACCTCCCAGGATTTCATCACACCGCAGCAGGTGCAGGACACAGAGAGGTGGACTGGGAAGGCAAGTTCCATGTCATATGGTTCCGAGTATATTAAGGACGAGCTAACGAGATTACCAGGGTGTTCTGGAGGCGTTGATTCGGATGGAGCTTGCCGCCGATGTACGTCAACCTGACTTTCGATTGTTCCACTATCATTACGCTGACTACTTTTCACAGCGTGTCCATCCTGATGAAGGCAGTGTGTGGGCGCTCCAGTAGCACAATTTTGGAAGAATTGACTCAGGATGGATAAATTGTCATGTAGAAAGGTTTGGATACCTTGTTTGTAGAAGCCTATACCAGCTTCCGAGAGCTACTCTTTACGATGGCGTGCATGACAGGGTCGCTGACTTCGAAATAACTTTAACCTCGTCCCAGCTTCTTGGTGTACTGACCAGATGCGCATTAACCAAACGCGACCAAAGATCTAACGAGGGCCACCATTCGACCCTCGCTTCCATGTAAACAGCGTGCGCGATGGCAATGTTTTTTTTTTCAGAAAGCACTAGAATTTCCCCTTTTTTTACCTATTCTTGTTCCGCCAAACGCGGTTAGAGAAGCCTGTTCAAAGTGGCCCTGCTCTCATTATCACCCTAAAAATCATCGCTAGACCATAAAGCGGAAAAAAGAGAAGAACATTCCCTTGTCAAGAAAATTGTGCATCGGCAAGTAAGCGTCTTACATGTATGACAGAAATGAGTGGCGGGCTCCGACAAGAGCGGATTCGAACCTTGTGGTGACTTATGTATCTTGGTGGGTCCTGAGCGGGCTTGAATTGGGTCAGACGAGTTATTTAGACAGAATGAATGGCAGATCACAACTTCATTCTGCCTGATATTAAAAAACGGAATGTTTTCTTTGCTCACGGTCCAGCTCATAGAAAAATGAGACGGACAGGTTACTGTCAATGTACGTACACGTATCGAGTACACCATGAAAATTTCTTTTCATTCTTACGGCTTTTACACGAGAAATTGACCGAGGAAGATCGGCTCGTTGTTTGGAGAAGCGCAAAATAAAAAGAATGCGGGGAAAGAGACCTACTCCCTGAGTGATTCCATATGTATGCCAAGAAGCCGAAGAATGCAGAACAGCCACTGATGCGTCGTCCTTGGATTTCGGCCGATGAACCAGGATCGCGTAGCGCCAGGTTGGTCGGGACTATGGTGTTTCGTCCGGTCCATCTTCTGCAGTGGGCTTGACAACCAAGGCCAGATGAATCTAGTATCAATTAATGAAAAGGGTCCCAGATGTGTGGCGTACCCCGACAACAACGCTACCGTACAAACAGAAATCGAATGTTCACATGGGCGAAGAGCGCTCACAGTCGAGTCGTTGTGTTAGCCTATGTGCTTCAGTGGGTCCTACAATTTGTATTAGATATTCTTACCAATATAAAAACAGTAGGATTGAAGTGGCGTCGGGCTTGGACGGACAGTTGGGAGGCCCTTTGATGGTCGCACGCCATTGGCTCTTGACAGCTTCGCGGGACGCTGTAATTTATGCAGGGTAATGAGCACACATGCATGTATCCGAAAAAGGGATGAAAAGGAGCAATTTACTCGGTATGGACCACTACAGGTCTAGGAGACAACAGATAGGAAGAGCTTGTTCGAAAAGAGACAAACCGAACCGTTCGGAGAAATCTCGAATAATTTTCTTCCCCGGCCGAGCCTTTCAGGTTTGAATTTTAGCGCTACTTGTACTAGCTCCTGGACCTTTCACTCGGAGTGACAGACAACAAGGCCAAACACGAAGCCACGCCCTGCACCTCGATGTAGTATCTCTGCCACAACCGGGATTCTCCATTTCGTGAAATTGCGAAACATCCAGATTTTGAATCTCGCGTCGATAGGGACACTCCGCCGAGGAAAAGGAGTTTATGAAACCCCGAAAAACTCCGACCCAACTTTCGGAAGGCGCGCGGCCCGCCCATCCCGAACCGTATAGGTTAATTTTCTTAACTTGTCTGTGGATGTTCTGATCAGGAACTTGGGGACTTTTTCTATATTCCTCCAACAAAGATCTGTTGAGCCTCTTTCTAGGTACATTACTTCTTATCGCCCCTCTTCTTTTTGCCTGCCCTCAGGCCCCAGGGCCGAACCAAAAACGCCTATGGTCGACTCCTTGGACGGCACTTTGATCCATCGTGTATTTCCATCCTCCATCACCCCGGTCAGCCTGCGAAGTATCTCTCGTCTTGTCTTGGGCTTATCTGAATCTCGATTGCTATTGCATCCTACTCCTTCACCTTCCCACATTTAACTAGCCTATTAGACCTGGGCCTCGGAGCCTTTCAGTGCCTCTACGCGTTACGTGTCTCATCTGACCAGAGAGAAATTGATCATCGCCTTCTTTGGCAGATATCAGCCCTAGTTCGCGGGATTACAGCACGCGAACGAAGGGGGAACTCGATTCTCAGCCTCAGGACCCAGGCTCGTAGGCATACCTTGACTGCGCCTTTAGGCTTGTTGTGTCAGAGCGATGTTGTCGGGGATATTATTTACCTGTCTCCCGAGCCGTCCGACCTCACTACGCCTCTAGACTTGCCGCCCCACGGCGATTCTCTACCTGACCCCAAAGTCCTGTGAGGCCTCTGCTCGAGTCCTTCTCCTGTTCCTATGTCTAGACTCGATCTCCTGCCGTGTTTAAGATCTCCTTAGCTCAGCATTTATTATTGAGCGTCTCCTCGCAACCAGGCTGACTACATTACATCCCACCCATCAACTCGCGTACTATAAAATTCTCCGCCGACTTCCTGGACGGATAGCGAGCCGTGGACTGTCAGTAGTACTCACGCAGGTCCTTTCTCCCTTCGAAACGCGGCTCTCAAGCGCCAGGACGCGGCGATCTTCTCTGTCACTCTTGACTCTCAATCCCCGATTCCGAGTCGGAAACTAGAAACGCGGTACGGTGATCGAGAACTACCCGTTCACATTCCCGCGAGATGAATCCCACTGCGGCATGGTCGGATGCGGACATGCAGAGCACCTCAAGAAATGCACCCCACAAAAGAAATCTCCTAAGTAGCTCCGAAGACCCGTTTCATTTCTCATCGATGAGTAGAGCACATGTACAGAAGCTGTCAAGTGAAGAATTTTAATTTCTGGCGTGTTCCTCGAAGTGTGAACTGGAGTGGAGGCTTAGAGTCACTGCTCGTGCAACGGGTTCTGGTAGTGCAAAATATACCAACTTTTCGGGTTGCGACCCAAGTACCTCTCGATCGACATACCCAACGTTGCCTATGACAAGCATAGGATAAACGGCGACTTTTCTAGTCCAAGAAATTTGGATCGACGTCGCGTATGGCCCACTGGACTACGCAAAATGAACTGGCAGGACTAGATTGAATCCGAGGAAATAAGGAACGGGCTATAATTAGCTTACCGGTACCGGGGCCGTTACGGACCGGACTTGCTCTTTCTTTTCCTTTGACCCTCAAACTCTGATCCCCAGTACACCACCATTTTCCGTGTCACACAACCTGGGCGCCTCGCCGCTTTTACTTTTTCGCGAGGAACCAGACTTGCGGCGGCGGCTCCGAGCCTTACACTAGCCTGAGTTGGGATCCCACCAGTAGCAATATTTGGCATCGAAATGCTCGTTGGCGCTAGGAAGGTGTGGCTTCTCATCGCATTACATATTTAAACTTCTCTCTAGATACTGTCCAACTGGGGAAAATTGGACTCGAAGCTATTCCAATTTCAGTTCTAACCACGTTGGAACACTTGTGCTTGGTCTTTTTCGTCTCGACCTGGGGTACCACTACTGCTTCTTCTTCTTCTTCTTCTTCCTAATCGCAGAGCTCGGTTGCGGTTCTGTGGAAACAAACATAGAAATCAAGCCTCATTTTCCTCATCCTGCTGTGTTCTCTATCCACCACCATGCGCTTCTCGGCAGTGAACTTTTCCGGGAGATAGCGCGCCGGCGATATCGAGTCTCGGATGGGAAGGTCGCCTCATGACCAATATCTCCTTAAAGAGCCCCCAGCATTTCATTATTCGCCCCTTTTCAAAACATATCATGATCCGGGACCGCGCCACTGCCTTCGACCAGCCTATCATTTTTACCTCCCATTAATCTCAAGTAAGATTCCGAGCACTTTGTACTAGTAGGACTTGAGGTTCCTGTGCTTGTTCCCACAGATGACATCCTGTTTCCTGCTCAAAATTGGACAGGGTCGAATTATTCCTTCATCTGGCGTGATGGCATGCTCTATATAACGTAACGCTCATCTCGTGCTTGAAAATAGGACCTTTCGTACTAACGTCGAGCATCCACTTTCTCACTCCCCTCTCGCTTCCGCGACTTTGCGTAAGCGGGGTTGTTCTTGTTTAACGCCTGCGTACTCCCCTTCTCTGGAATGTCGTTTTTTCTTCCAACTGCGTTCTTCTAACGTACGATGATCTCCCTTCTTCCGGTTGAAAGCTTGCTGGACACATCGCCTCGCGTTTGTGATGTAAAAGTCGCATTCACAGGTCAATAAAACGCAACTTCTCCGCGATGTCTTGTCTAATTATGAGAAGGCATCCGCCACAGAATGCCGTTATGAACCCATCTCGGGTGGGGATGCTGGGTCGCCGCTCACTTGCGATATCTCTCGTATGTTCAAGATCCGCACTGGGCCCTTCCCGGACGACTTCGATGGGGAGGCACCTGTGCCACGTCGAGTCGACCGAGCGAACACGGGAGCGAGCTCTCTGGGGCTTCTTTTTCGTGACGGCTTCCTTGCCAGGCGCTTTGGGACCCGGAAATTCAAGAGGGAAAACAAGAGAGACTCGACGGGGGGCGCAACATTGGATTAGCGTACTCGATCGAACACAGTTTGTTTATTCAATAGAAATGAATATCATATAGGTTTTGATGATCTTCAACGTCGACGTCAATGGACTCTATTCTAAACGTGCAGTACAGCGCTTCTGGACGAAAATCCCATTCATTTCCGGTCTTCATCGTGTATATTGCTTACATAAATGCCTGAGATGTTTTGAGGTTCGGTCTGCTGGGCCGTTCAGACTCCGTGGCATTGGGTGTGCTCCGCGAAGGACTAGGAAGCAGGCACCAGTAGATCACCGGGTCTGGCACCAGTGTAAGTGCACAGCATCTGAGGGATTTGAAAGTGGATTTTGAAATGGGAGAGGAGGAGAAGCGATGGGTTTATCTGGCAGTGAATCTCTAGTGACGAAAGCAGGCTCGAAACAGCGAGAGTTGATGAATCAAGCGACGAACCCCGTTAGCACATATCACCCATAAAAGTCGTACATGGACGAGGGAAGTTTCCGAACCAACAGTCAGGGTCTGGGGTGCTTGTCAGGGTCCCTTCTGAGAAGAAATCAGAGAAATGGGGTTTCGAAGATAATTTACGCTTTTTTGGGAATGATCTCGGGAAAAGTTAGAGTTTGGCGAAGTTGATCAAATTAATGCGGCTTGAGACTTCTAGATATGGAATTGCCGCACTTGTCAAAAGGCTCCGTGGTGAGCAGCGGGGACCATAAGAACGAAGACAAGACAAGAGGATGAAGAGCATATGCTGGATTCTCGTGTCGTTCGGAAGGGATACGACATCAGAGACTTTGCTTGGAGGCGTCACGAGCTGATCCAGTGTGTGTCTTGGAGCCAGATCTAGACAAAAGTCGCGGAGAATTGGATGTAAAAGCCGACCAAGGGGGGAAAGTCGTGTGCCTGTTCTGTTGGCAAGATCAGGCGGTGTCTGAGAAGGCGACGAACCAAGTTAACGGTCGAGATCAAACCGGATTGTTTGCCAGATGCGAATACATACATGGCTAAAACGGCAAACTGGATGCGAACCTGGATTCGTACGTCAGGTCTGCTTAGGACAACCAAGAAAACAGACTGGGACTATTTCTTGAACACGACTCTAACTGCCAGTGCCCGTCCTGCGCTGCCAGCTACTCTCTCTTGCATTACTACCACTACGTTCCACCCGTCAGTGTGAGCGATCTAACTGAGACTTGTGTATCGACGCCGATCATCCCGCAATTGTCATATCCAGCCCTCTCCGCCCTACCTCTGTCTTAACTCCTCCTGCGTCCAGTCCTCGTCTCTTTCTTCTTTTACTCTTCATCTTTCCTCCATTCTGCCCGGATGAGTCCCTTTGACCAGTATTCCCTCACCCAGTTTCCAGAAACTGCCCCCGTGACTCTCAAGTCCGACAGACGCGACGAGAGAGGTTCCCAGTCGGGTTCAGATGACGGTTCCACCTACAACGTGTACAACGACCCCCAGAAGAGCGACGGGGACCAAGACGGTGAGTCGCGCGCCTTTACGTGTTCGCCGCCGAGGCTCACGAACGACGTGACAGATGATGCCGCCTTAACTTCCCAGAGTCTCAATGCGGATGGCACCCCCAAGCGTCCCATGAACGCTTTCATGATTTTCGCTCGCAGACGCCGTCCCCAGGTGTCGGCCGAAAACCAGTCCATGCGTACCGGCGAAATAAGCAAGATTCTTAGCAAAGAATGGTCCTCCATGTCACCGGTTAATTCATCTCTTGGTTACGATCGACTCCCGCTGAACCGTTCCTCATTAGAACGACAAGCAGTTTTATCTTGACCAGGCAAAACAGTTGAAGGAAACCTTCAACTCGAAATATCCTGATTATGTCTACCGGCGCCGCCCAAATAACTCTCGCAAGCGCCGAAAAACCGACGGTTCCGGCATGCGCGCCCCCGACGGGTCCTTGCCCCCCGACGCGGGTGACGACATGGGTGGCGATCTCGGCGAACCTTCCCCTTCTGATGGGGATGATTCACAAGCTGATCCCCTTGACATGGGCAGCTACTCAAGGATGAATCATCCCCTCGCACTACGGTGAACCCAGCTCTGGGCACGCCAGGCTGTCCACGTTCCCCTTTAACCCCTCAGAAATAGTCCTATCGCGATGGCCGTCTCCCGTATGAACGCTTGCACCACTCAGTATCTTCACCGCGTTTGTCACAATCAGGGGCACCTGCCTTCACAGTACCCGTATCTTCAGCGTCACGGCTCCGGTCACTACAACAACGACGGGTCCTCAACTTGGGAAACCTCCAGTAACCGTTCTTCTGGTTCTGGCTGGTTTGGGCCTCCTCATGATCGTTCTGCTACGTCCCCTATCAGCACAAAGTCTCAGTCTTTTCCCCCCCTATCCTCTCCTAGTTCATGGCCCAGTCCAAACTCTCCTGGGCCAGGAGCGAGCCCCTCAAGTTCGACGTCGAATAGCTACTCCTTCCCCACTCTCAACTCCCCCTTTTTCCCCACTCAGGCCCAACTAAGTAACTACCCCGCAGCGTCGTCGCCTACTACCACTAACGGGAGCACCAACTCGTCGCAGTACCAGCTCCCAGCACCTGAGGGGGGCCGGGGATTTGATCATCATCGCAGTTACACTCCGTCGAGTGGAGGGGGGAACGCGTATCCTTCGTCACATAACAGCTCGCGTCACTCCGCTGCTGCCGCTGGGTTACCTCGCGCCTTACCCCCCGTCACGTCCCTTCCCAACTCGCAGTTCCTCCATCATAACGGGTCGTCAGGCGCTACTATCCCTCCAGTATCTGCGATTGATGCAGGGTACTGGAACAGGGAACGGATACTTGATGCGTGATCCCTTTTCCCACGCGGAATTTTCGCCGTCGTCTCTTCCTCGCCTCTTGCTTTAAAATACAACGGACCATACGGTTTAAAATACTCACATAAAATTGTTCTCTGTAGTTCTAGTGCAACTCTCACTCTCGCTGCTGTCGTCCACGCTATCCCGTTGTAGTACTTGTAAGTTTCATTGGTCCGCAATCTGTTTTTTATCTCTTTTCTTTTTTTGGTTTTGGTTATGGTTTACTTCTTGTAGTATTTTTGGTACCTTTTTGTTTAGGGTAGTTTGCTGACATCAAACATACGCATCCTGATTAATACTTAGACTGTGGGTTTGGTTTTGAACTATGTTTACGTTCGATTGCTACGGATGCTGTCGCAGTCAGGGTGCATGGACGTGTCACCTATATATTTATACCTCGCTATAATCCCCGTGATTACATGATCGAGTGGAAGTCGAGTACCACCGCCGACGGAGCTGGGTAACAAGCACGTTACGTGGATGAAGTGGAAGTTCAGAAGTTGTGTAGCTGCATGTATATGTTCGATGATGCCGATGTTCTACCAGAATGTGTGCCAACCTTAAATAACTATAAGATAAATTAAGGTTGCTCTAACCAATAGATATGAGATCTAGAGCAAAAGAGTCACACGAAAACACAGGCCTCTTAGGATTACGGCCGTGGAAAGATAGTGATCCTACAAATTGGTGCGCACAGCATACTGATACTGATACTGATACTGATACTGATGGGAATCAACGGCAGCAGAGATAGGGCACACTGGCGGGTACATTGTGCATGGATCTATCTACCCGTCCTCTCGAAGCGTTCAGCTTTACCGGTTCAAAGTCCACGATCGGTAACTTATAAAAATGGTTGCCAAGCAAAAGGCACTTTCCGCGGTGACGCGTTGATGAAGTCAGTGGCATGGGCACATGCCCTCCACCGTAAAAATAACATCTGCTTCTACCTCATAAGCGGAGGTCTACATCGCAGGAGTGGGGGAATGTTGATATGGATACCCCGCCCAGGGCGTCACGCCGATTGCCATTTTGGTGCCCGACTATGGCCGAGTCATTTATCTAGACTTTGAAAAGCGGCCTCAGTTTCAAGCGCAACAAAGAGGCCAAGAAAAATCTCACCACCGTAACACTACGGCGCCTGATTGAGGTATAAGGAAAGAACCATCATTATGCAGCTTGAAACAAAGTGACAGTGATTGAGGGATCGCGTAAAAAAGAAGCTTTAGGCTGTACGAAAGTGAACGTGAGCGCCCGCCGGAAGCGGGTTTGAGTCGTACTAGTAACGCCCGTCTCGACGGCGCAGCAACCCCATGGGTGATAAGGATCACCACCCCCCAAGAAGAACACACGGTGCCAAACGTTGACTGGGATCGCACAAGTCATTATCAGTAAACGCGTACGACGAGGTACCGGCAAAGTACGTTCGTGAGAGTGGCCGTGAGTCAGCCGACCGTGCACAAAGCACCCTAGGCACTCGTGAGCAATTCCTAGAGACGGAAAATGATGCGCGTACCACCATGACGAAAACTCTAAGTATAGGTTTCCGGTACCGGTAGGTTGTTCGATTTTTAGTCGGCCGTGAAACATGATGCTCATGATAACATCTTTCGCTCAGTGGACAGGATACCAGGCCGCAGTTCGTACGTGGGTAAACATAGAAAGATGGTTATCCAGACCGTATGGTGGTGTTTCTTCGAGAGACGAGGGGGCGTTGCTTGCCCTAATCGATTACGGCCTAAATGGGCCCAAGGCCTGTGTTATCGGGAGCTTATCATGAGAGGCTCGACTCGGAATATTTCACGGTGGCATATGGTCACGGCGTATTGATAAGCGATACCATGACCGGACGTGGACAGCCTCCTCGTAGAACTCCAGTAGAAAGCACTCGAACACTCTGGAACCGATCTTGTTAGAAAGCACGGACAAAAGGCTAGATAAAGGAGAAAAGCAAAACGTGAGTTCCATCAATACTGGCGCTTGAACTTGAGACTCACTTCGGTGTATCAAGGTTGTGAAGATAAAGCAAAACAAAGGAAGGGGCTGTGCGGCAGGCCGCCAACTCGGCTTACCCATTCGGGGGTTTATATCTATATTTAGATACCACCACCACTTGAAAGGCGGGCCGAGTCTCGGCCACTAAGATGAACTGACGCAAAACTCATCGGGCGTTAAACCGACATCTCTCTCTCTCCGGGCTGCGGTGGGCATGTGCTCTTGCAAGGCTGTGAAATCCCGTGCTGGAACGAACGAAGTAGGACGAGACCACCTTCTAGAGGCTTCTGATTCTTCGAGCGTCATACCCGAGTTGAACATATCCAGGTTAATTATGAAAACCCCAAGGCGGAAGCTGACAGACTTGTCCTTTGTGCTTTCCGGATCTTCATCTACATCGTGGTGATTGACGGGGTGGTCGTGGGGTTCCAGTGGCAGGCTAAGGTCAATACGGAAAGATAGCCTGAGTGTGCCGTCATTGCAACCTCGTCGTGCTGTGAATTTTGTAAAGGCTGCTTTACGGTAGACCTCATACCTACTATCTTTATGTCAGTGTCGAAGAATGTTAGTCTTTTAAGTAGTTGGATTCACACTCAGTCTTTCCGACGAGAATTTCCGCGAAGGATAAAAGGGTCGCACGTGCGCTTAAGCTTTCTATAGATGCTTACCACTCATGCGTGCATTGCATATCTCGCAAGAAGGGCAGCATAACCTTCCGCAATTTTTTTTTCCGGGGGGGGGGTTAACCCATAGATTCTTTTTTAGAAATTTCAACGAGTCTATGACATTGATGTATACAAATCACAATTTGTGGGAGGTAGATTTGACTGCAATCCTGCCGGTGAGGGTGAGGCTAAAAGTAGGGATCGTATACACGTAAACTTGATAGTCAACTGACGGACCGACCGCTTAACTACAGGTCTTCTAAACCCTGATTCACTATTGGACATATCCTTTTGAGAACTTCGTGCATGGTTTTGGGAGGCTTACGGAGTATGGAGGAATTTCCCAACAGCCAACCGCGTATTTCTCGCAGAATACTCTCCGCAAACGTCAAGAGGCGTTAAGGAGTTCACAGCAGGAGGAGAATCAATCAAGGGGATTATGCATCAGCTGATCATGGGATGTAAGATCAAAGCAAACTCATTGATGATGAGAAGAATCACGAAGTAGGAAATAAACTTGTGTATCTGTGTCAAACAGATCGTGGAACACTTCTTCCGAACCGCACCAAAAGGAGAGGACAAACATCCGTTTTGCGACACACGGCCATCAGCTGCCGTTGGACTTCCGACCCGCCTTCCGGGATCCCTTATGAAACCTGCATAACGGAAAAGACGCATGTGCCTGAACACGATCTCCATCATCTCCATCAAGATGATAGGTAATGCACAGAAAATGGTTAGCCTAATTATCTCAGTCAGTCTGTTACGTGGGAGGAAGAAAACTCGGATTGTGAGATGATTTGATAGGTATTATTAACCACAGAATAATAATGCCCACGGACAGTTCTTTTCACGCGTTTCTGTGCTAGGGTAACTACATGCAGCACATGGAAGGTGACCCTGGGGACGTGACGATAGACGTTCGATGGTATTCGGAGTAGCGGTGACACTTCCTGGGGGAAGAATTCCGGATGATCGAGCATGCTCAAGACGAAGAGTCTCAATAAAGTTGCTTATGCCAAGCCAGCCGCGAAGAGAAGTCCGAAGAATCCCCGCCTAGCAAGCAGTAAACTTCGGCTAGATGCGCTGATGGCTATCGGAACGAAGATCGGATGTAGACATCGTCCCGGCGGGATCGAGGAATAAAATACGCGACCCCAGAGGTGGCAAAGCGGATATGGTGAAATATCGCCAGAGTCTCGCGGAGCGGGATTCGTTTACAGGCGGGCTGGAAGAAGATAGCCTGGATTCTTTCCAGAAGTCCAGATCAGAAAGCGAGACTTATTCGTGCCTGTGCTGCAAAGGATTGGCAAAAAAATTTGTCCCAGACGTACAGACTTCCACGTAGGCTAGACAAGCGCACAAATTCGCACCACCTCTATAGCGGCCTTCATAATACCTGAGACTACTTGGCGGTAGTCGGTTCAAATCTAGCATCGTGTCATTTGAGCAACGAGATCACCGGTATGTACCACGTCCTCGCGGCGGCTATCGTGGCCAAATAATCCAGCAAGCATGCTGAATGCAGGCGACTTCACTTCCGATGCAGCGCGGGAGCGTGAAGACCTTGTGCTGGGAGAACCCTTATGCACCTGACCGCCTGTTAGAGAATGGACTCCGACCTAAGCCGTTTACTGGGAGACGTAATGCAAATATTAGACTGATCGACAAAATACGGATCCGTTGGCCGAAGATAAGCAAGAAGAAATCCCCAGCGTCTGGATAGCTCGGATGGACCATCGTAAAGTGCCGGTTTATCCCAAGGATATACCGACTCGTCAAGAAACGAGACGTGAACTTTGTCACCGGTAAGAAGAGAGCCCAGAAAAGGTAGCCACGATAAAATCGGAGAAGCTGAATCGCCTGTGAGCCGATCCAGACCTACGGGTTGGCTGAGAGAAGATTCATCTTCTATCAAGCCACAAAACCAGGGCAGAACCCGCACAAAAGATGGCCAGATTGATATGTCAGTTCTCTGGATGAAGTACCATCAGTAACCAGTCGGATGAGGTAAGTTGGGGGTTTACGGTTTGTACGAGAAATTCGTAGTATTTTGACCTCGAATATCACAAAGCGGCAGCAATTATCCCTGGCAACTCGAACTCCTTGTAACCCAGCTGGAGTGACTGTTCAGTAAGCAAGAGATAATCGATCGCGATATTAGTTGTCTTGTATGATACCAAAGCCCAGAACATTTTACATCGGAGACGTCTATGGCGAGACCAAGTAAAAGAACCGGGTATTGCCGCAGACAAGTTGAACACCACGCACACGTGACTGAACCGCAGATTTCTTGTACTTCTATATATAGAGATACTAGTTCTGCGACTGCATAATAAAGCCGGCTTATCAACGTTTCTTTCCGGTACTTATACTTGGATTCTTATAGATGCTCTACAAAAGGATTGGTGTCGAGCTATAAATTTCTGCCTGGAAACGCATTTTTACAAGCTTGTCCTGCTTCCTTCCTGCTTGGATGTATTCTTTCCGCACTGGGGAGCCTACTAGTACTGTACCTTGGTATCGATATTTGATGATATTTAGCTAGCAAGGAAACGCCAAGATCCTTTATAGAATAGATTCATGCACTTATATGAAGAGCCTACTGCTTATATTTACTTACAATACTATGCGCGGAAAGATGACCTGGCCCCCTTTGCTTCATTCTCCTTGTAGCTCCTCTAATCGTGGATTATCGAAAGGCTTGAAATAATACCTCTACTCCTTATCAACAGCTTTCATTCTGCATTCCTTCGCAATAACATTCGTTACACGAATTTCGTTTTATTACGATTATACAGATTAGATAACTACCTACGCAATTTGTGTTTGCTAGTTTTGGATTTCATAGTCGTATGAGCATTATGGTACTACTAAGCTAAGACATAGTCGGTAAGTACGGAATGTTTCACGCGAACTCAACTACAACGGTCAAATATAAACCATACCCAGCACAGCCCATCCCATGACGCCTACAAACTGCAGCGAACATGGTATTAATATTGAGTTCGACTGTGGCGAGCTTGCCTTGAGCACTGTTAGTCGTCTCCGCATTGGTTCCAACGGAGCCAATGGCAGTCGGTTCCCCGACTGGTCCTGTCTCAGTCGTCGAACTTGCAATGAAGGAAGTAGCGGACTCATATCTGCGAGAGATGAACGTTAGAAACCAGAATACGTGAACAGGAAAAGGCTTACGCAGACGAAGCTGCTTCAGGATTGGTCTCTGTATTGTTCAACACCCGGTCGATCATGTGAAGAACGCCATTCTTGCAGAGAATGTCCGTTTTTATTATCCGAGCACTACTGCTCCCGCTATGCACAAACGTGCCGGAAGAGTTGGTCGTAAATGTAAGCGGCTCTCCCCCTGTAGAAGTCAGGTTCTCTGAGGGCGTGATTGAGGGCGAGTAAACGGTCGTTCCGTTGACTATCTGGATGGATGTTAGTCAGGTGCAATCGGAACGAATTGTCGAGACGTACATGATTGCTCAGAATGGATAGTAGAGCTGTTGTGTTCTGGGCTACTGACGTCAAGAAGCCTTCTAGTTCAATTGCTGCATTGTCGGGTGCAAAGAAAGTGAAACCGTGCACAGAATCGCCGTCTAACAAGTCCGTTACAGTTTCGTTGGTACCATTGGACGAGGTAACGCTTGTCGAGTTCAAAAAGCCGGCCAGATATGTGAGATTTTGAGCGGTGAGAACGTCGGATACGTTTGGCGGAATGAGGAGTATGCCGTTTATTCGATTCACGAATAGGTTTTCAACAACCGTACTGTTTTGAACAGAGACGCTGGTTCTAACCCGGGGCATTAAATACAAGTCAAAAGTAGGGCTATATGAACGTACGGTTGGTTGTACATCTGGACTGTACCATCAACAGAACTCCAAACAAGGACTTGACTTTTATTTCCTTCGAGCTGAACCACCGAAGGGTCATCGAGTAGAGTACGTCCGATAGTCACATTCGGGTAAGTTGCTGCCTCGAGTGTGGCATTTGTGCCACTGGTAGAGTTTGTGCCATTGTTAGAGCTGAAATTCCCTGAGACGATGTGGTACAATATCGTGAGGGCAAAAAGGTTGTCGTCACTGGATAGACTTGAAGAATTCGTGGCGTTGGCGACTGTAACATCTCTTCAGTTCTTCCTCGACTCTACAAGCATACGATAGACTCACATGCTTCGTTGTCTGGAGCAAATAGTGTATAATTGCCCAAGAGCAACCTCGCCAGAAGGGCTCGGCCTATGACCGTGTTGTTGAGCCTGCCTGCTTGTGAACCCAAGGTAGTAAGACCAGTGCCTTGAAGCGCCTGACCGAGACCAGTGAGATATTGCGTTGTATTATTCCAAGCGAGAGCAGGAACTTGAAGAGCAGTGACGAGTAGTGCTAAAGCAATAAACATATTGGCGATGAAGGAGGATGGTAAGCATCCAAATGAGACGGCTGTTTATAATGTTTGAGAATGATATTGATATTTTGGGATAGCCGAAACGATGAAAAATAATGACCAGGACTATGACCAGTCGTCGTCGAAAATGATGTCGATGGCCCGATCGACAATTACAGGTGACCGTGCCGATCCACGTGTGTTGTTCCCGCTCATTCAAATGGAGTTGAATCCGCCGGCTGCCACACAAGTTTGTCACAGAGGCGGGTAGGATCACAAACATCCGAGGACGCGCAGTCTTCTTCAATTTGAGCACCACAGTTTGCTGCATTCAAATTTAGAACTTCCTGGAACTCCTGCGGAAGGCATGACGACTCACCGGCCAATGGAACATATTGACCCAGCGACTTCAAGGCACTCACAACGACGTGTAGAGATAACTTTGTTTGGAGAATTGGATACCTCTCGGATCCGCCGTGATGGATATTCCATGTATGAGCTTTCGCAATTGAAGTCCACAGAACCTAAGAATAGGCTGTCAGCTAATGAACGCAATGCAAGTAGACTATCATACAGAAAATAAAGGGTCCAAATATTCGTAGGCGTCATCGCTGAGGTCGGAAATGAGGGAGGTGGCGTCCAGCGACGCTTGCAGGGCGTCGGTTGGATTGTGGATTCGATTAATGTTGATCATTGAGACATAGACAAGGGTGCGAATGAAGAAAATGTCGACATCCATGACAGATTTTGGAATGTGGGGCGAGCAATCGCGAACTAAGGGAAGGAACACTTGTATACGCTCCAAAGCATTCTTGACCGAAGTAAAGTTATACCAATATTCCGTATCATAAATATTATTGTCTAGTTGCCCTATGGTGAGATCTTGTCTATCAGGAAAGCAGATAATCTGACCTGAAGAGATGCGTGCTGCCTCTTCGTACAGCGCAGCCACTTTGACCTTCAAAGCTGGTATTGATGGTAACGCCATGATTTCGCCGAACAGTGAATTGGTATCGGCACTGCTTTGCTGTCGCAGACGGAATGAGCACTTGTGTTTATAATAGATAAAAGAGGACATACATTTGTAGGTAGAGGCGTTTCTATTCTAACTTTATAGTCACTGGAACGAGACAGTAGACTCGGAAATCCGGTTGCCGCAGACCAGCAAGTGTCAACCATGAAAATTTGCCAGAACGTCGATACCCTGTCGTTGATATCCATGCCAGTATGTGTGATCGAGTCGGGCAATCTTCCAGAAAGATCCGGCAAGCAAATTCGATGAAGCCCAATGGACAACGCCAGCCGTGCCGCGGAAACAGAATGCCGATATCCTTCCGCTATTTGCCCGGTAGAGTAGAAATATAGGGCCAAAAGTGAGGATGCTCGGACTACATCAACAGTCCTGTCATGTCCGGCAAGTGCTGATGCAATACCATGTAACGCCAAGTTCAAGAAGTGGGTTTCCAAATTCGCCAAGTGTGGGGAGCGTGTGTAGTAACATCCAAGGAAGTACACGGCATTCATGAACGCCGGATGCCGCTCTGATTCGGTAATCCCTATGCCACATCCTTCGAAATAACACTGATGTTGATGGGAAAGAAAGGCCTCGATGCTACCGGTGATAATTGCTTCATGGGAATCGAGGGGAAAATATATTTATCAAGATACTCACAGTATTGTCTTTACCTTTGGAGGCAACGAATCTCCGTTATTCGGGTAAGTCACGCCAGAATATGTAGAATCCCCGAGATAAAGCACGGTCCACGTACTTGTCGAATCTAGGATATCTAAGGCCGCAGTGTTCGTTTCATCATATGATAAGAATTCTAGAGTCGAAGACGAGGGTGATTCTGAAAGCGAGCTTGAAGAAGAAGAGGCAGAGGGTGTGGTGAAGATAGACTCCAAGGTAGACGTTGTAACCTGCGGTTTCAGGGGAAAGATCTTTGAAGGAAAGGCACTGGAGAGATCGCTTCAGAGCGCCGAATCTGGAGTTGCGAGAGAGGTGTCACCTAGTGGTTTCTAACTCAAATAGATGCCTTCCCAGAACTGAAACGTTTTGTCGCGAGTGCTTTTTTCGTTTCAGGCCAGCGTACTGGCATTCGTCTTCTCGATTTGCTTTGATGCATTGCTGACACACCGGGTGAGTACCGTCACACCTCTGGAAATGGAAACCAAGCCAGTCAGTTGGCACAAGTTCTTGAGCTGATATAAGACCATACAGATTTGCGTTTTCTGTGGGATGAGAAGTTTTAGTCGGCAATTTCAACCACAACGCCGAAAAAGCTTACCTGCAAGCTAGACAGGCAGTCCCTCTGCGTAGAGGAGGCGCATTTTTGCGGGGTACTGAGGACATGGCTGTGTTGGTAAAGAAGGAGAGATGAGCAGGAAAAGCACATAAACACCTCGTCATTTTATATCCCAAATCAGGGACGAGTAGATTGGTCACTTCCTACCGAAACAATCGGCAACACGACGTTTCCAGGTTCGTAGCACGTTGACTGATGAAGATGCGTTTCATGCGCGCCAAGAGTGTATGAACACTGGTGATTTGCAAAAGCCATATACGGTCATCAGGTACGGCACACGGAAGGGGGATCTACAAGAAATTATCTTTCTGGGACCTAGTTGCCCTTGCGACTTGCAAAAATCAATGATGTGCAGTAAAATAGTTCAGTGCTCACCTGTATCATGCGAGTTGGGGCTAAAATCGGAGCTCCTCCATGGAACTAGCGATGCTCAGGAAATAAATGTCAGTTAGCTTAGCGTCAACCGTTTTCCGTGTGCATGAGAAATAAACCTTCAACGGAATGAGCGAGAGGAAAATGAACGGAACTCGGACACATCAAGCTGTGTAACGTTAGATCCGACCTGAAAGCCTGATTCCCGGAGTGGGCGGATGTGAAATCCATCACTGCTTAACGTTCATCAGTGATGCTACAGACTAGACTGATTGCTCTAATAAACAGTCGTCGTCCACTGCAATAGTTAGTACTATAGTAACGTGTGGAAACGTCTCATCTGAGTCACAGGATCGACGGTTACTAAAAAACTACATATTTAGCCGGGCGGGGATTTGGGGGAGCTCGGACGCTCTGAAACTTTCTTGAACTGGAACAACTGGCGGAGCTAGGGTGCTAGAATACGGAGATTCGTTAAACGACGGACACAGCAACCCGGGCGGCCCGAACCACCCGACTGCCTTCGAGACTATGGAGCCTGATCAGAGTTTGTGAAACCACACCTCTGCGCGGTCTTGAACAGTCGCGCCCTTTCTCGAGCCAACTTCGGCACTTGCTCCCCATATACCACCGGTCAGTCCAAAACCGCGAACTGAGCGATGCACTTTCTCGGTCAAAGGAAAATTCCGCAGTCACGATGCTACTCTCATGCACTTCTGCAGTCCAGAACGGTTGGGTATCGTTGATTGTGTGCTGCAACATCAAATGAAAAATTACACGCAAAAAAGTAATTGTTATATATACGCACTCTACTTTCGAGAGTGCTGACATTGAAAAGGTTCCCGTCAAAGTGAGTCAGCATGATATGGGTGGACCAGGCCTTATCCCATTTCGCTAGGAGGGTCGGTATCGAGGTATTGACGGCGCCCGGGAGTACAGTCCATGAATCGTGGCATGGTGACGGAAGGTCCGATGTTGTTTTGTTCATAAAAATGAAACAGAAATCGATTGTGCCGTACCCCGAATTCTCGTAGGTACCACTGAGTGCATCGAATAATACCGACGGTGGTCGCGGGTTAGGCGGCTTTGAATGGGAGTCACGGACGAGCGCCCGGTATTGTCTTGTGACTTCAGATTTTATTCTGTCAATTGTTCCTGAGAGTTGAGAACAGGTAAAATGATAACATGGCGGACAATTGACCTAGTGTTCCAATCGATAGGGGGAAGGCCGAAGGCAGCATCAACAAGATACCACTTGATGATTTCATGGAGCATGCTTCCATATTCGTTGTCATTTGAGAATACGGCGATACCCAATTTATCGGAGGGAAATCGAGATATCTGAGTCATAAAGCCTACAAGTGATAAGGTCAGCATTCACTGAAATATTGCGGGGCTTTGGGAAGCTAATTTACCTGTGGTAGATCCACCATGCTGCCAAGTCAATGTTCATCAAAGAGCACACCGTAAACTATTCGGTAGCTTGCCTCTATGATTTCTGTTGGGCGTGACCGTCAATTAGTCGTGTTCGGGGATGACAATACAGTACATACCATGTCCTCTGTATGTATAACGGGATTGAGCACCGCCATAAACCACAGATGAGAGCTCGGGGTACAGGCTAAATCAGGTGTCAGAGAACGTCGTGCGACAAATTACATGTAGTCACGAACGCGAAACCCATTTGAACTGTCTTTCCAGTAGTGACCTTCTGGATGACATCAGGTGGAATGACACACTCTTTTGTGACGGGATTTCGTCCACCATCGAGCAAAGCCTGGAGCCAAGTAGCCTAACGGGAAATGAGCATGCTAAGACAAGGTGAAGGAGTAGAGATATCCCTGACGGCATCTCTAGCACTACTAATGATCCCCCCGGCACCAGATTTGTCTGGGCATGCATGAGTAACAATCTCGGGATAAGGTTGCGCAGTAAAACTTACAGTTTCCATCCTCATCACCCGCCAAGAACCAGCTAGGGTGCCACATCGCTCTCGGGGTTCCCATGCCGAATAAGTTCTCAGTTTTATTAACGCCATCTCGCGCCATACCCTGCACCAGATTGCCGCTTGCTCGGGCGACGTCCACGGAATAAGTCGTCGAAACCAGTCCTAGTGGTTCAAAAATGTGTTCCTTAACATAGCGGGCAAAGGGTGGCTTGTGCGGGAGGAGAAGTTCCGGTAGATAGGATAAGAGCATGTACATATTGTTGTTGTATTGATAGATATCCCGGAACTCAGCAGATGGTTCGAGGTGTTTGAGTCTTTTGAGCTGATGAACGCTATCAATTGTCTGTCAAGCAACACAGACTTGAAACCTACGATGGAGGTAACATTATCAGTTCTTCCATACATGAGATCATGGCGGGGGAGCCCGGTACGGTGGCTCATAAGGTCGACAATGGTACTCTGAGATGACGCAATAGGATCTTTTAACTCCCATTCCGGAACGACGGATGCTATCTTTGTGTCCCAGGAGATACGATGTGGTAGGCTTTCGTTGGCAATCAAGAGACCTGTAGCAATAATATTGAACAACTTTTACGTCAAAGTGAGAAACATTTCTGTGTCCAACATAATAAACTTACCTTTGAATTTGACGCAATATAAAACAAAGAGTCCTCTGTCATTTGCCGACCATCGACTGATGCATTTCCGTATCCCTTAGTCTCTACGGTCCAGGTACCATCACTGTCTTTTTTCACAACAGCAACACTGACGCCGCCCGGTGTATTCCACTCCGCCAAAATATCACTGATAAACGCGTCAACGCGGGGGGAAAGCACCGGGTTTCGCGTCAGAAAGAGTGGATTCTGCTGCGTCGATGCCAATGCACACAAATACAAGAGCAGGAATGTCACTAAGCCGCCAACCATAGCGATGCCAAAGAAATGCTCGTTATGATCGAGGGGGAAGGCAAACACGGAAATTGCCGTGCTGATGGGATTTTGCTGACTGCAGCGCCAAGAAAAATTTCACTGATTATGATCAACGCGAACATGATAAGAAAAAAAATGAGGTAACATCCTGTCCATCATTTTTGGACGTTTCATTCTGTCTTTCTTGCTCCAATGGCGTAGCCGTTTTCTCTTCCTTCACACGGAGACAGGACTCCTGAATACAGGTTGGGAGGCCTTGTCACATTCAGCCCATAATTGATCCCAGAAATCATGGACGCAAAGTAGATAAAATCGGGCGATTTCCCCGAACATGGCCTTGGCTAAATTTTTCGAAATTATCCTGGATTGGTACCAGGGCCTCGATAATACCAATCTTTGCTCGGACACGACGATATGACTAGGCTAGCGAGTCTACGATATGACCTCGAAAATGATCATTTTTGCCCAGACGCGGTGCTACGTTGCTACAAAGTGATTCCCACTGCCCTGAAGCTACGGCGGAACATCAAAAATCTATAACTACTGCTACCTGCGACGAGAATTAACTTACAGTATTCCTGAGAGTGTCTCATAAGTAGAACACGATGCCTGTGAAATTTCCAAGAAGCGCTGGTCCGGGGGTAGTTTTAAAGATGGACCATCCGGTAGGAGGCAGAGGAAGTCGTCGGGAAAAGCAGTAGGCCTACCACTGTCGTCACCTTTCTGGACGCCGAGCTTAGAAGGCAGCATATTTTGGATGGCAATGTGTCAGAATATCTCTGGTAGATGTCCCAATCTGGGCGACTAATGGGACCAAAAAATCCCGGGTCTTCCTGAGACGCGCACTAACCACCTGTATGATCAAACTCTGCGCCACCAGAGATATTGTGGCGAAGTGGCGTATGTGCCTTATACATAAGCGAGTAATGAACGGGAATATGTGAGGGGATCCCGACATCAATCCGACATGGATTGTGATGGTAGAACGAGTTTGTGTGAATCCTGTGTTAAAAAATGTCCCGACAAAGCAGTGCCAAATGGAAAGTTCGAGGTGTCTGGTAGCAGATAGTAAAGTAACCAAGGGTAATCCTCGTGTAGATAATAACTTCAGTCGGAGTCAATGATAAAATCAGGTACGAGGAAGAAGAACCTCACCTTCTCTTGATTTCTGCCATTTTTCATCGAAGCGGCGGTTGCCGGATTTACCTTATCGAGGCGGAAGCGAAGGTCGCGGACAAATTTCAAATTGCTTGGTTGAATAACCGACGCGACAGCGGGATTTTACCTGGAAAAGAACTACTGTAGCATGATAGTCGAGAGGTACGACTTTTTATTCTTTGTTATGTCTTTTCTAATGAGTATCTGGAATCCACAAGGATATGAACAAGCGTACCTATTACGTGGCTCGTTGTCTATCATGTTCCATGCACTAACGGGCCCTCCGCCCAGCAAAATCCGGGACATCTTTGGGCCATCTTTGATGTTCACGTATGCAATATTCGTGATTTTATGCCGCTTGTCTCGTACTACCGGATCCTCCGCGTGGACTATATAAATGCCAGGATTTTTTTTCGTGGTCCTTACTCTCACCCTTCCCCCTAATGCCTTCCGAACCACTAGAGGCGGAATTCATTTCCCCCCCTGCGCTCACACAAGCTCAGGAAGAAGAGTTTCGTCAACTGGATCTAGAGGGCCCTATTCCTCTTACTAGGACAGCGACAGCTGTCAGTGGACCCGCACCAGACCTCGGCGAGTTAGAAAGAGGATTCACTCGCAATGGTATCCACGTTGTGGTATTCGAGAAGGGAAAGGGGGAAGATCCGCGAGAGTTTGGACGAGCAATGAAGTGGTATGTTTGCCGCCTGGTCGTTTTTCATAGACTCATCCATCTTCCTTACTTAGGTACATAACTCTTGCAGTTTCCTTTCTGTGCTTGTCTGTTGCCATCGGTAGTTCCATAATTACTGGAGAGTAAGTGTCTATCCGCTTGTAAAGGATGTGTTCTGACACCTTCGCAGTATGAAGGGCCCTGTAGAGGAATTCGGCACTACACAAGAGATTGTCAACCTCACAGTAGCATGTTTCGTTATCGGCTTTGGCATCGGGTAAGTTATTTGATCGCATCATGCACGTCCCTCGGTCCTGACATGGTTGATAGACCACTGTTCTTTGCCCCATTATCAGAAGTCGTTGGCAGAACACTGATGTACCAAGTCAGTATGCTTTTCTTCTTCATCTTCACGTTGCCCAGCGCTCTCTCGAAAAATGCGGCCACGTTGGTTGTTGCCCGCCAGATTGCCGGATTGGCGGCTTCTGCGCCCATATGTAATGTGGGCGGAACGTCAGTGATCATCCAGCCTTTTGATGTCCCATAATTTTACTGACCATCCGTATTTATAGTGTCGCCGATATCTGGGCCGTCGAGGAGCGGGGGATCCCTATGGCGGTGTTCTCGTTCACTCTATTGTGAGTCAGAGTCGGCTATGATCGATTCTTATCCTCATCCGTATTTATAGTATGGGTCCTTGCCTTGGACCGCTCTTTGGAGGGTGGATTGCCGAGAAAGCTGGCTGGAGATGGATGTGTACGGAGATTCTTGTTGTTATTCGATCTCGATACTCACGTTTGCCTGTAGACTGGGTTCTTTTCATCTTCACTGGCGTATGTTTCGCTTTCACGTTGTTCATTCCCGAAACGCTGGCGTCTCTTCTTCTCCGTCGTAAAGCTGCGAAGCTACGGAAGTCTACAGGAGACGAGAGCTACCGTACACTCGAGGAGCTTGAACGTGTCCCCTTTTTTGAGACCTTGAAGATCTCCTTGCTTAGGCCCATTGTAATGCTGGTAGCCGAACCTATCGTGGCCTTGTTTTCTTTATGTGGGTCTCGGAAACTATTTTCCCTGTCATATACTCATATGTTCACCATGACAGACCTTTCGTTCATTTACAGTCTCCTGTGTACGTTTATGCTCTCGATATGCATCAGTGTCTCTAAACTTTCTTCCTGTAGATCTCTTCTTCTTCGCATTCCCAATTGCTTTTGAGGAGGTGCGAGGTTTCGGTATGGGTATGACGGGAGTTACATTCGTTAGCATCATGGTATGAGTGCACAATCTGCGTCCTGGGCCGTTTATTGATGTCTTTCCCTAAACAGATTGGTATTGGGCTTGCTATGATGCTTGTACCCTACCAAGAGAAGATTTATCGCAAAGCTACGGTCTATGGCACATATCCTGAAGCCAGACTTTTCCCCATGATGGCGGGAGCAATGTCAGTCTGCTCTTAGCCTTTTATTTTCTCATAGCTCACAGAGTCATACAGCATACTACCTATCGGGCTCTTCATCTTCGCCTTCACTGGCGGATACTCTTGGGTACACTGGATAGGTCCTTGTATATCAGGAGGCGTTTTTGGATTCGCGTTGATTATCATTTACATCTCCGCCAACTCTTACATTGTAGACAGCTACAGTTCGTTCGCAGCCTCGGCTATTGCTGCGAAAACGTTCTTGCGTTCGGAGATTGGCGCGGCGGTACCGCTATATTCCACGCAGATGTTTCATAATATGGGGTTTCAGTATGCAGGACTGTTGCTGGCCCTGGTGTCGGTTGCGATAGCGCCGATTCCATTTGTGTTTTATGTTTATGGTGAGAAAATCAGGCAGAGGTCGAAGAAGGCCACACAGTCTGTGAAGATGTCCGGTCCGGCTGCGAAGAATTTAGACGATGACTTAGAGAAGCCTGCACAGGATGGGAAGGCCGTATAGATAATTAGAATAACTGATAGAAATGGACTGTAAAATAGATATTATTGGTACGGTATTACGTAATGAAATAATGGGCTGAAAGCCTCTATATCATGATCTGCATCATTACTAGAGACAAAGAATTGAGCGGAAACTGGCGCCAAGGAGTTTCAGCAGCCTAAGTTTAGATTCCTTCTTAATTTGCGCGAAGATTACATCATTGATCTCCATATACGGTCAAGAAACAGACAAACCTAGCTCATCGTCGCTTTCACTTTCGCCGTTGTCACCGCCAGTAAAAATCGACTGCTGGCACTCTAAATGAAATAAAGCCAGCTATTCTTCATCTATTTCTTCCTCACAATACTACGAAGTCGACTTGGACTACCTCGCGACTCAAGCACAACATAATTCTAGACAATTTAGGATTTTTGGGGATTTTCAACGATGAAGGGCCTGTCAATCAAGGACGCACTGTTACCGCAACCGCCTAGCTTCGGGAAGAAGAAGAATTACGAGGTCCACCAGGTGTTAGGCACTGGGACGTTTGGGAAGGTCGTGGTGCGTCTTCAGCAGCAGTAACGACGCTTCATTTTCCACTAATCTTACCGCTATCGCGTAGCACGCGACGTGGAATGTGCCTCCGGAACAGGTGGCAGTTTCTGAGCGCGGTGCAGTTGCGGGCGTCATTCCTGGGCAGCATTTATCTGCGTCGTCGTCTTCAGCAGTTGTTCAAAAGGAGGTCGCACTCAAGATGATACCTAAAAAGAAGGTCAAGGGCAACGAGGCCAGCGTCTGGGGAGAGATGGAGGTTCTCAAGGGCTTGGACCACCCTAATATTGTACGTATGGCTTGCCTTGCGCTTACAGATACTCACCATGACAACAGGTAAAATTTTACGAGTGGTTCGAGTCGCGCTCCAAGTACTACCTCTCCTTCGAGTTGGCTGTTGGTGGGGAACTGTTCGAGAGAATCTTGAAGAAGGGAAAGTTCACTGAAGTGGATGCGGTGAGCGTTGTACGGTACGCGATGATATTCTTCGTATCGCCGCCATGCTGACGATAACGCAAAGGTCCATTCTCGCAGGTGTACGCTATCTCCATGACCATGACATTGTGCACCGTGATCTAAAGTATGCCTCCGCTACTGTCTCCTGTCCAATCGGTGCCTAATTGAACTCAAGGCCCGAAAATATCCTCTACCGGACCAAAGACGTGGAGAGCGATATTGTTATTGCTGATTTTGGCATGTGCGTACTGCTGGTGTATTTCCTGTAGCATTGGGTCTGACGAAACCATGTAGAGCCAAACACCTACACTCTCCTGAAGAACAGCTCCATTCCTTGGCTGGTAGTTTCGGATATGTAGCCCCGGAAGTACTGAACAACGAAGGTCACGGAAAAGCCGTGGATATATGGTCAACTGGGATCATCACTTACGTGCTACTCTGTGGCTACTCTCCTTTCCGATCTGAGGACGTCAAAATGCTCATCCGAGAGACAACAGAGGCGAAAATAGAGTTCCACGATCGATACTGGAAAAATGTCTCTGTCCAAGGTTTGTGTTTCAGCAACAACTCGGTTGCAACGACTGACAAATATGCAGCCAAAACTTTCATAAAATCGCTCCTTAACCCTGATCCTGTGAAACGACCGTCGGCCGCAGAGGCGCTCAACGATCCTGTACGTGGCAATACCATATGTTGAATCAAAACCTGACACAGTGTGTATAGTGGCTGACAACGCACACTGCCAACACCGAGCATGATCTCGGATTCGGTCTGCGTGAGCACTTTGATCCTCGAGCCCGGTGGCGTTCAGCAATCGCTTCTGCGCGGGCTATACACCGTCTCGGTAGCAGCATTAGCTCGCGCACGATATCTTCGACTGCGACGAATAGTAGTGGCGGCTGGGGTGACGATGACCGGGAAATTGAGGATGATTCAAAATTGAAACAGACAGAGCACCCGGGTCATAACGAGCATGTTCAGGTGACTGGACCCGACCAGGATGAGCCTAATCCTCCTCAAGAACCGCTTTTGCAGGAGGTAGATGGGCCCGCGCCTGCGCCCCCTGCACCGCCTTCGCAAGTTGTCGATAAACCTGCGCGGCCACCGCCCCCCCCTGTACTGCCGCAAGTCGTGGATACGCCAGCGGTTGAGCAGGAGCAGGAGCCGAGGAAGGCAGAGCAAGAGGAGATGAATGCCTTGCGGATGCCAGGATCATTCGATTTCTCTGATAGCTCCTCGCATCGTCACCACCAGAGTTGGGGTGAGTTTGTGAGAAAGTTACGGTTAGGTGGATGACGTTTGTGGACATTCTTTATTTCTCTGCTATTCTTTTATCTATGATCTGTCGATGGTTCTTTATTTCTCATTGCTAGCTACTACTCGTGATTTATTGTATGAACTAGGACAATATACCCTACCCTATCTTATTGCACGACAGGATATAAGGCGAAAGAAGAACTCCGGCTCTGACCATCTACACAGCAAAACCTTTGACAGGCACGCATACACATGATGATAGTCAGAAACAATAGCGTCTGATATGAACAATGATACACGCTCGAGGGCTAGTGCTCAGCGAGTGCTAAGGGGTAACATATTCTGACCAGGGATGAGCACCCAGTCCCGACTTAAAACAGCCCATCAATGTTTCAGCGTCAACCATACGAAAGCAGAAATGGGCACTGACCTTCTCATAAATCTCCTCAATCCACTCCATGTTCGCAATCGTATCCATAGTGCTAGAGACCTGCTCCTCAGCCGATCTACCGACACCTCGAGCTGGTACTGGTATATCTTTTACCACCAATCTACTCTCTTCGCTACGACTTTGACGCATTTGTTCTCAAGGATTGTCAAGGATGCGTATGAGGTCCAAAGCAACATGTTCTCAAAGCGTAGTTCGGTGAGGGTAGCGAACTGACGACGAAAGGAAGCACGGGGTGCCTAGGGCGGTGATGGTATAATCCCCTTCGGTACTCCTTGTTCCGTTGTTGATACATAAATTGGGGAGCGTCATCACATGAAAGATTGTTATAACTTCGAAAGGCGGGACCCACGGCGTTCGGAAGTCCTCCGTCTTGGTCGTCCCGTAAACACATATCAACGGCACCAGCGCATCTAAAGCAGGAAAATATCTCTGGGGGGGCCTATCATAGCCTTGAAGCCCGAGCGTGCGGGTATCTGGACCCAAGGGAGCTCAAACTCCGGTATGTACCAGGTTTCGAAAAGATGGGCCTCGGTAAGTTGAGGTACAAGAAGGAAGCTGTACTCCCTATCAGTGCCTGCCCCATTTAACTAAGACGAATTGCGGCAAGAGAATGTCGAGATCCGATACCCTCGCCAGTCGAGCATATCGGGGGAAGTGAAAGTGTCTACAGCGATGTGTACGGAAGGGACATAGCTGGGAAACGGACCTCTGAAGAGAGTCGCCAAACTCTGTTTAGACAAGGAAAGGGAGCTTATTGGACAAATCCGGGGGACATTCCGCCAGTAAGCACAAACTGTTGTTGTGCCGAGTGGGGTAGCAGAGGCATGAAGCTGCGAACAATCGTTCGAGCACATGGAGGGGGTATATCCATTGAAGATCTCATAGAGGCGAGAGGTGGCTAATCAGAGCGAGCGATACTCCAGTTCGAAGTCTTCTACAAAGCATGGTAGATTTTGGGTAATTTTGGCTGTGGTATGGAGAGCATTTACTTGACGGAAGTTCTATTCTTGGAGGAGGAAGGCGTTAGCAAAGGATAGTCTCGGTAGGGGGGTCTGCATGTGTGTTAGCGACAGGAGTAGTTAAGAATATTTCTGGGAAGGAATACCTTGCAGAGCAGCGGGAGCGGTGAAGACGTAGGCATGATAAAAGATAATTTAACTGGGATCTAGTGTAGGCGTTCTCATCATCAATCTTAGATTAAATCAAGGTCCTTGTCATGTTCCGCACCAATACCTGCTGTCCTCTCCGTCCACCGAATGCGTACGTCCAGTCCCTGGGTGGACCTGATAGACTTGAAATCACTCAACAGAGGACGAGGACGTGCTCCCAGCTGGGATACAGCCTGACTATAGTGGAAAACGAGGACGATTTGAAGGATGACGGATTGGAGCGTCCTAGCTCGGGAGCGGATCATCTTTAGGCATGCATCATCGGTCAGAAGGTTTGGATCAGAGACTAGCGCCATCTCTTTGATAGACAGGTGTGTTAGATTGGGTGCGACGGGGTAACTGCTGTCTGGGTTGTACATGAGAAGGCGGTATATCTCCCTCGAGGTGTCTGTTGGGATTTCGAGGGTAAGAGATGTCAGACCTGGGGAGAGGAAAGGTGTAAGATGGGACTCTGACAAGACCATCATGTTTAGCGAACGTCGAGGGTGATGGGAGTTGCTCATGAGAGAGGTCAGGTAGGTAACATGTTGTGGGTCAAAGTTCGACTCATACACTCCAGCATCGATGACGAGTTCCTCCAGTAAAGGAAAAATCACCTTGGAAAAGCATGCTGACGATGCGCGCACCGTCACCTTGTGAATGCCTGTGTGGGTGAGCTGTGTGGGCGGAAAGATGTCTGATGTTCCAGTTGGTGGATGATAGGAGATGGAAACATCCTGGAGAGACGGCGCTGCATCGAGGAGATCGTGGAATTGAAGTATGGATGAGAATGTCCCGTAGAAGCTTGTGAGATGTGGAAACGAGGGGCTTTTTAGCAAGACGCCGGTCCCGAGATGGATGCTCTCAAGGTTGAGAGCTCCTGAAAACGCTGTGGTGGGGTATACGAAATCATCGCGTGCATCGGGAGTGCGAATATCTAACCTTTTCAGGTGTGTAAAGCCCGGATCTAAGTGTTTCCAAGCGCTGATGAAGTCAAGAATTACAGCATCGCGATCACAGGAAAGGATAAGCTTGTGCCATCGGGATATGTGAGGGCGAAGGATGCGTAGTATGCTTGTAACTCGTCTATTAAAGTCGGCACCAACTGGAGCGATACATGCACTACCGTCGAGATACAGGTTGAGTAACAGTTCACGTGAACGATCGAGATAGCTCCCCAGGATGTCGGCGGCGTGACGCCGCGTAGAGCTCGTTGGTACAATGATAACCGTAGACCAGAGACGGGAGGAGGAAAGACAAATTGATCGCCACAAGCTGCATACACGGCTCAGGACCCAGGGTGCACCATTGACGACGTCAACACTGTCTGACATAACCGTGCATGTAAATGAGAATATCTCTGAGAGAATCTCGTTTGGTAACCGTCGAACTGGAGCAATGAAGGAACGGTATTTCGCGAGCTCAGCTGCTGCATGGCTTCGCTTTGCGAGAAGATGGGTTTTGAGCGCTTCTAGATGATCCATTCGGTCGTCAATGGACTGGATGTCCCCCTCGATAGCGAGGATAGCCGATTTAACAAGAGATACTTTGATGTGGTTTCCATGAAGCATAGGTATTATCTCGTCGTCGAAATGTTGATATCTGTTGCCATCGTGCAACGACTGTGATGGGGCAGCGGGTAGCCCGCAATATAAACAGGTATTTGACATACCTGCAACCTATTGTTAGAGATTTGTAGACTACGAGCAGAGTAGGAAAAGAAACGCACAGTTCTTGAGAGTCGATGTGGCGGTGGGAGAAAAGTTGATAGACCCCGGCTCTTCGGTCCGGAAAGACGGCTTACATAGAATTCAATATTTACGCCCAATAATAAAGCGCATGAGGCGGCGATAAATAGTTAGTGGTATCTTTATACTTATCATGAAATGCCACGTCCGCATATTATATGCAAAAATTTTCATTGAGATGATGCTAGGATACGTTGATAATACGCCACCTTGGCGGGACCTGATAACGTCTAGATCAATACAAGCGGATACATAATCTGAGCTCCCTAACTTCCTGGATCCTCCGTAATGTCTTCTTATCCAGCTCCCCACCACCTCGCACACCCACAATCACAGATTGAAGCTGCCCGCAGCGACTCTTGATAACATCCAATACTTTCCCTTCCTCGATCGCATTATCTTCTGCCCAAACCAATTCGAGTTCCTCCAACTTCGGCGAGAAGTCGAGATCCATCATTCGACCGAGGAGCTTGTCCGTGATGCTGAACTGCCCCGAGTGGCGACGAGGCTCAACAATAGCGACTTTCGTCAATTTTGGAACAGTCTCCAGGATCCGGATGAGATCTACATCCTGGATGACTGTCATATCGAAGCGAACCTCGTTTAAGAACGAAGAACTGGCGAGGAAGGCAACTATGATATCGACATCCTCGGTGGTAATATGATTGGCATAGCCTACCTCGTCATCAAGGAGTTCTAGACGACGCAGGTCGGGGAGCGTCAACACATGCAAAAGGCCTGCGGTGAGCCCTAGTACTCCGCATATCTGCAACACCCTGATACCGGGGATTGTTAGAGCGGCTGTCATATTTTGGAACCCACCGCCATAGAACATTAAAACATCCAATCGAGGGAACGTATCAAGGATTTCGACGATGTCATCCCATCTCCCATCATATTGCGTGAGTCGTAATGTACGGATGTGACTCCAGTTGAGGTCAAAATTCTGGAGGATCCAAGTGTCATGAAGATGAAGCTCCCGAAGTCGAGGTGCATTGGAGAACAAGTGTGAGAAGGACTCTGGGTTGTCGACGTCGTTGACATCGAACCATCCCGTGAGGTACAAGCGTCCGAGTGATGCGAAATCTGGGGACGGAAGAGCGAGATCTGACTGTCTTGCCAAACCCATGTCGAGGAATAATGAACGACAGGAGCTCAGGTTGAGGGGAGAGGTCGAAGGCGAGAATATAGTCTTCAGAGACATGTAAGGCGGCATAGGAACATCGGTATCAAGTTCGACGTTATCTTGGTGCTTAAACAAGGATTTTGCAGAAATTCCAACGTGTACTGGCTTGGAGCATGACCTCTGCTGATATAACGAGAGCAGTTGTCTCGTTGATTTCAAAAGGTTGGTGTCGTCAGCATCGATGAACATGACAGACCAGAGCTGGGGGACAGAGAGGCAGACGCCTCGCCAATAGGAGCAAACTGATGCGATACGGAATGGGGTCTGGGAAGGTGGTTGGAAGGTTTCGCGTGCGTCATCATCGATAGGAGAGTCAACAAAGGCACACGCCTCCGAGAAGATTTTGCAGAGCAACTCGACGGGAAGCCTGCGAATTGGAGCAAGGCATGCTTTGTAGACGGAGATGCTATGAGCAAGGTCGGCGCGACCTTTCTTGAGATACGCCAGGGTCTCCTCCAATGCCTCTATTTTTGCGTCGTATTCACATAATTTTGGCAGTAAAGCGTCAAGGGTTTGCTTTATCGAATCGGCATGGACATCAGCGCTAATCTGAATACCGTCGCGTAGGTCTGTAACAAGAGACGGTGGCAGTGCATGATCGTGAACGCGAAATGTGCGGCGACATTGTTGACATAGGGTGATCTCCTTGGGCGGCATGCTCTGTCCAGACTGCGATGAGCTACAAACATATCGATGATTTCAGGACACTCACGAAAACCTGGATGTAGAATAATTGGTGTAGTAGATGAGGCTACGTCTGAAAGAGGCGACGTGAAAATTATCGACGCATTGATCGGCGAAGTCCTTCTTTGACAGGTGCTTCCTGCGCCACACCGGGAACTTCACTTCCGGCGACGACCTCCGTTTCATTTGCTGAGGAAGTCTGAGAAAACACGACAGAACTATGCGGTAAATCTTCGCTTCTCTCTACTGAGTCTCGAATAGCATTGCCATGACTTCACGGAGAACGTTTCGATTGTTTCGCGGACACAATTATGGGCGCTTCTGGACCATCATAGTCAATATAAACACATGCACAACCCACATCAAGGCCTGGATTCCTCCCAGTCTTTCCCTTTCTAATTCTACACCTCCCTGCACGTCAATACCAAAAAAAAATTAACCATCTCACAGCCATTTTCAACACGGACCCTTGCTGTTTTCCGACCAAACTAGCCCGAAGAGCTGGTCCGTAATGCTTGAATACTGTAGTATTACGACCGGATGTTCACCGGGTGTTATGTGTTATGAGTTAGGTTCACCCGGACTCATGTTCAGGACTCAGTGTTACGCGTTATATATTATAGAATAGGTTCATGTTCATGACTACGTAAAAACAACTAAAGATATCTGATGAGATAATCTAGTCCGTGAGCTTTCATACCAAGTCCGTTGATCCTCCTCATAACATTGCCGATTCACCAACCCCATCGCTGCTACTCTGTCGTGGACGGCGGATAAAACAGACCCCGAAGCACTTGGCAGATGGAGACACCCGTATTTGGGATGGGAAAAAGAACTGGGACAGACTAGGCCTAAATTAGCTGAAAAATCGCCAAAAAAAAAAAAAAAAAAACAAGTAAATACTGTTTACCCTGAAATATGTTCATGACCCCACGTTACGCGTTATATGATATGACTTAGGTTCAGTTCATAGTGCTGCGTTATGCGTTATATGAACATGCGGTCGTAATACTACAGTACGATTGATGTCCGTGACAGCGAGCGGTATTAGCTCTGTCGCGCTCTCGCGGATCCGGGGTAAAGGCTCTTAGTCGGTTAGAGATGGGCGGCGGGAAGAACGGAAGCACACTATTGACGTCCTCTGGGTCCCAATTCATCATCTAGGAGCTCATGACACAGATGGGGTAGTCTCAACATGGCGAAGAGTACTATGGTGATCCTTGGTACGCCCTAGATACGTGCTATCTTGATCTCCTTCCTCATCATGGTGGCCGTCAGATCTGAAAGCGTCTGGTCGAGAGAAGCGATAGATGATGGAGATGATATCGTCCTATCTCCCGAAATGCGACTCCAGCCATAATGATGTACGGATGCAAAATCAGGATAGATTGAAACGTTGGAGACACTAGTTGCCATGAGGGCAGGGCTCTGGAAATCGAAGGGCGTTGGAGAACATATAGTCCTTGTCCCAGAAGGAAAAGAGAATTCAAGGCGACGACATTGTGAACATTATTGGGACGTTCACCCTTCCTTATACCGATATTCGATCAATGCGAAGGTCTTGCTAAACATATGCGCGTCGATGAATGGCACAAACTGAAGTTAAGGATAGGTAATGCGGTTTTCGATAAGGCATGGTGGAATATTTATAATGGGAATGTTGTTAGACATCTGATAGGGAATCAAGGATTATGAGACGCCTGAGATGCTGTCCAAGTTGCAAGGAGGATGAGTAGGGCCCAGACACGTTCAGGTCGAGCACGGATACGGTTCATGTACTCTAAAGTAGCAATTTAACGGTGTCGCCACGCGAAGTTTGCAAGGGTGAACACACCTCTGTGGCCTATACTTCAAAGTCGGTGTTTTCCATCCCAATGACGTAATGCCACCCTTCAGCAGGAACCGATATCATTAAGCATTTGAATCACTTCCACGAAGGATGGAATGAACAAAGCTGATGTTCGAACACGTGTAGAAGATACGGTGATGAATCAAAGCTGCGAACAATGTCCGAGGAAACAGTGTCCACGCATTGGTGGCATGTTCTGGTCAAAGATCGCCAGGCGAGTGGCATTCTCCCCTCAAACTGAACCACCAATGTCGACGATAGCTGATCCATGGCGGACGGCGCTCCCTTTAGAACTGGTTGAGATGATCTTGCAAGGGACCTAGCCGACAAACGTACCCTTGGTGCATGCGCTCTCATCGCCAAGGTTTGGACCGTGCCTTCGCAGATCCTCCTCTTCCGCCGCATCACCATCACTACTTCTTCGAATCTCTGCGTCAATCCATGCCTACTCAGATACACGAGGCATCTCATCACTGCGCACTCTCCCAGATGCGCCGTAGACTCTCTGGTCACGTACACCCCCAACGTCAAACATATCACGGTCATCAGCTCGCTAATATCCCACCACGCCGCCCAGGTTCTCGGGAACCACGGGCACCTCTCCTCCATCACCCTCAGAACCCTCACGAATCCATCGAGTCAGCACCTATCGGCCATCCTCTCTGCGCTCGGCCCAAGCCTGCAACACGTACGCTTTGAAGTTCTCAAGTCCAGCGATTCAGCAATGTTGCATGAACCAGTAGTGCAGCCTCTTCGCGTGGCAACGGTAGACCTCATAGAGTGCGATCTGAAATGGTTCGGAAGATGTCCAGTTGTTTCCTTCAGGAACCTGCACACTCTCCAAATCACTATCATACACAATGCTGAGCACGAGGAGTTGACGCGTTTCATGTATGGGGTGGATATGGTTGAGAATCTTGTCGTCACGCGCCGGGGATCAGAAAAGATGAATTGGCGTATCGTGTCATACATGAGAATAAACACGCGGTGGCGTGTCAGGCGAGTGGAGGTTGGATTGAGCAGTATCTATCATGCTGTGTTGGTTGACGAGTATCTCAGTCTACTTGACACTGAGGTAACGGAGGAGATTTGTGTGAGAGTAAGCAAGGCTGTACTGGTGGCGCTTATGGATGGGGTGGTTTGGAAGAAAGGATTCCGGAATTTGAAAAGATATAGGGTCACTGGTATTGCTGCAGCTTCTGTGCGTCGAGACGAGGTAGCGCTGCAGGATCTTGAGTATCGTGGAGCGGAGTGCATCATGGACTAGAGCCAAAAGCATGGACTTTGATTACAATTTGTTAGGGATAATCATAGACAATGCGAAATGAGCATGCACCTCGTAAAAAATACTCCTTCAGCATATCATAATTTATCCCACACAAACGGGTCCTAGGGTAACTATACGATGCATCACGCGTCAAGCTTCAAGAGCAAGTTCTCTTGTCCTACCTCTCCCAGCCTACGCCAGGAATACAGGCTTCAGACGAGGTCGCTGTTGCCTTGCAAACAATTATGCCTTGAGCGACTTTTGCAATCTGCTCATTCATGATTGAGACGTCCCGCATCCAGTACTCCCAAATCCTGGCTTCTACTGTCGTGAACAAGCATCGTTCGCACTTGGAAAAAGTCGTTCAGATATCACAACAAATCGGGACCAACAGTTGGCGACGTACGACCTCGAACTTTGCAGCTAAACGCTTTCAGTTTGTGGCTTGATAATCGTTAACATTCCTACTCATCGTGATGCGTCAGAGCAGGTATAGTCAGGAAATGAGGATTCAGTCTTGATAACACAGAATACGGTAATGAAGACATGAGAGGAAGGAGAAGGAATGAGAAATTACGTCATTGGCCGGGTAGCGCCGAGTATGCTTGTTAAGCAGTGGAATTAACAAAGTAGTAGTAGTAGTAGCCAGTCTACACGATCGCGCTTTATTGGCCGTGTTCCAGTACCATGTGACACGCTACTTCAATACAAGAGCACCGTCATTTTGCGTTCTCGCAGGCTCTGTATCCTGGCTAACGTATCCTCCTGAAGCTCTTCTCCACCTCTCACACCGATAACTGCAGACGTCAATGTACCGCAGCCATGTCGGGCCTCAAGAACATCTAACACATCACCTTCCTCGATCTCATTATCCTCCGCCCATACCAGCTCGATGTGCTCCAACTTGGTAAGGAACTCAGATGGCTCCTTCAGGCACTTGAGCAGCTCAGTTGTTATGGCGAAACATTCTGGGTCCTCGTTATACTCCACAACGACAAGTCTCTTCAGACCCGGTGTCTTCTCAAGAATACGCAATAGGTCCGTGTCACAGATGGTTAGGTTGTCGAGGCGAAGCTCCGTAAGAATCGGCGAGCTTGCAAGAAAAGGGATAATGGCATCGACATTCGGGCCCTCATCAACGATCTCCAAACACCGTAAATCAGGTAGTTTCAGGACATGAAAGATAACTGAGCCCCTCTGGGACAGCATCTGCAAGGTTTGAATACCTTCCATTGTCATAGTGCCCTCCTGAGGCCACTCGATAATATCATACAGCACTAGCGTCTCCAAACGGGGAAAATGGTCAACAATATCCTTCATCAATTCGAGGGCTTCTCCCATGGTATCATAGGACTGAAGCCAGAGCGTGCGTATTTGCGTCCAGGGAAGCTCAAATTCCATCATACATCTCGTGTCAAAGAGACGAAGCTCCGAAAGTCGTGGCGCATCGGCAAACAGCGGCGAGCTATAGGCCGCATCGATGTCATCATGATCGTAAAACCCTTTCAAGTGGAGACATTCAAGCGAGCTGAATTGAGGCGGTGGAATGCTAAGATCTGACAGCTTTCCCACAATCACATCGAGCGTCAACAGGCGACAATTGCTGAAGTCAAGCATGTCACCAGAGAAGAGTGTCTTCAACGATATGTACGGTATGGTGGGATACTCCAGCTCCTCGTATCCCCGATGGTATTTCGCAGAGATACTGCAACTGAATGGTTTGGGAGAGGATCTCTCTGTATACAGAACTGCTAGACTTTCGACAGATGCCGAAAGATGGGCATCATCAGCATCGATGAAGACGAAAGTCCAAAGGTGGGGGGAGGCGAGGCAGATATTACGCCAGCAAGCACAAACTGCTGCTATGCGGAGTGGGGTCTCCGAGGCATATCGGAGCTTCTCCCGATGGTCCGAGCGCATGGGGGCCGCATCCGACATACACGCGTCCAGGAAGATCTCATGAAGGATTTCGGTGGGAAGCCGGTGGAGGGGCGAGACGCGGTTGACTGAACAAGCAAAGTCGGCACGGCGCTGTTGCAGACGAACTAGAGCCTTTTTGCCTGGTGTCGATTTCTGTGTCATAGTCGGATAATTTGGACTGTAGGACGGGAAATGATTCCACGGTGGGATCCATAGAACCAATTTGGGTGGCTTCGTCGTGAAGACTGGATGTGCTTTGACATCGACCAGGTGGTAAATTGGTGGGGTGCATGATCGACCTGTATACAGGTCAACGATGACTGTAATGATGGTCATAAAGCACGTACGAGACGATGGTCCACAGCAGAGTAACAAATACGTGAGGTTGCGTCGTGCGAGGAAGACAAACCCTGGTTGATGGTTAAATCCAAGTCGCCCTGTATACTTGGCACTAAATTTTCATCGCCAATCAAGCTTTTATGTAAAAAGAAGCAAAATTCGCGTCGTGTTCGGCACCCGCGTTCGCTCAACGCCACGTCATACCATCTGTACATCCAGACATCCAGACCCTCAAAGAATATGGACCGACCAAAGGACGAGGGTATCGCAGCTTCACTGCTAGAAAGGTGCATCAGAGTAGTTGCAGCGAGATTTCTAGTAGACTTACACCTCCTCTCGACGTCCAAACAAATGATAGTAACTAGGCTATCATGCGATGAGTACTAGCGTACTACAGCCTGCTCAGGACGTCAGATTAGCTTCTTTCGCAGCCTTTGCGTAGAAGCCTTTCGGCTCATTCCTAGGCACACCCATCTCGACGCCGTCAATATCAACCACGGTGCTCCAACTAATTTCCACACTAAATCTCTTCATCTCCTTTTCCAGCCACTCTTTCGCATCGCGATCTTCTCTGTGTCATATGCGTGTAGCGTTTTCGTATTCCACAGTGTTGTGAAAGAGGATCGCCTCCACACTCCTTCACTAATACAAGCGACGTCGACCTCGTTGAAGTAATGCGCCTTCCCTCCTCCCCAAAAGAGCATCGACGGCTTGTCCCGTGAAATATTTGAGGAAACACTCCATGTCTGGCACCTCCTCCCTAACCATCGCCTCGCGACGTCGATTAGAATTAAGTAACCCCAATTTGTGAAAGGGAAAGATCAGATCACAATCCACAACCTACGAGTGCCATCAACAAGGTATCGACAATGACAAGAATAGAAAGCCCACGCTGGTGTTCCTTTTGTGAGGGCAGGTGTATTGAACCGATTGCCAATAGTATTGATAGCATTGCTAGAGACAGGCTTGCTCTCGTAAGGATTGTATATCCTTCTCAGCACTCAGAAATTTCCGGGGGGAAAGAAGAAATAGAGCGGACATTGTCCCACTTGTGTTGTTATCGATATCAACTTTCAAGCCTATGAGGCTTGAGGCCCACGAAGAAACTCTTTCTCCCACCGTACGCCTGATCATACGGCCTCGGGTGCCGTTGAACATGTCCAGGAGACGCCGGAGGATTACCGGATGGCAACCTTTGAGCAGATAACTGACACATTTATGAGGCGTGGAGATTAGGGAGACCCATAAGGATCTGATAGTAATGTACGAGCCGGTAGTGCTCTATGGAAATGGTAGACTTGATAGAGCGTGATAATGAAGTGGTTCAGACGATGTTCAGTCGTTTCCTTCCATAACCCGTGCACTCCAAGTCACCATTATCCAGAACGCCGAGTAGGAGGAGCTGACGTGTTTGGGTGCATGAGGTGATAGCCGTCGAGAGACTTGTCGTGACGGGCCGAGGGTCAGAGAAGATGATTGACATCATCTCAGTCTACTGGACACTGAGGTAATGGAGATTTGTGTGAAGAGGCAGTAAGCCAGTGCCGGTGCTGGTGGCGCTTATGGATGGGGTGGTCTGTAAGAGAAGATTCCAGAATTTGAAAGACACAACATCATTGGTGTCACTTGAGGTTCTCCGCGTCGAGACGAGGTGGCGCTGCAGTATTGCAGGAGCCCAGAAAGAAGGGTGCGACGTGGTCAGGTCCTCAGGATCTATGGTTGTAATTTTGCTGTTCTTAAGCCAAGGCGCTTGGTCCACAAGAGTGTTGCATCAATCTAAGCAAATAGGCTAAGAATCACATCATCGAAGTCGCTTCCAAGAAGTTTAGACACATGATTGTCCATAGATCCCAACATGCACAAACAAATGGGGTGCGACGACTATCATCGTTTGCTCCTTATTCATTACTTCATTTTACTTCTTCAATTCTTGGCCTATTGTCGTCCTAGATTCAGAATTCTGTTAAATGGTTATCTTCCTCGAACGTCAACAAGTGACAGAACCAGAATAGACTCTCAAAGACTCGGACCGCAATGGCTCGCCCTGACGCCAGAAATTCCAATATTTTCTCGCTAGTTGGTACCAACCGAACAGCCGCTAAATATCCCGTAGATTTTGGCCCTTGTTTCGTGTGTGCAGCTACTGGCACTCGACTCTTCTGTCGGATCCAACATTATGAACTCATCTTAACATCCCAGACACCGGCAGCTTGCCTATTACTCCGGCCCAGCACGACTACCTGTGCAGTCGTTACTCGCCTTCAAAATTAATAACCTGGCTCTGTCCTTCTCCATCATCAAATCTCTGGACACAGATAGAGAATCTGTGTATCACTTATTCTCCCAGCAAGTACGAAACGGGTTATCGTAGGTCATGGTCTCACTCGTCAACTTGATTGAGCTTCGTCGGGAGCATGGTTCGCTGTGATGTGCCATTGTTGACGTATACGTCTCCGATAACCATGCCTTCGATCCGCTAGTTGGGTGTAGGACCAAAACTTTCAATGCAGGCAACGGTGTCGAGTTCGCGTATATAGCGGCACGAATCCTTAACTCCATAGGTGGTCTTGTTTAAGCTTTCGATAGCACGGACTCATGACCTTCTAGTTGAACAAAGAAATAGTGATAAGTTTATTTTTTGACTGTCAGCCTCTGTTTTCAGGCACGGCATATTTTGGATCTATACTAAAATAATAATTAAAAGCAGGAGTTCCCGTCCCGTGTCCTGCCTATGGTACATGGGCATAGCCATCACTGTTCACCTGTGTCATTGCTGATACTTGAACATACAGGCTTGGCTGCGCAGGTGGTGTTAAGCGCGACCAATATCGTGCAAGACATTTTTCAGAGGTCGTTTTTCCGCCTTGGCACAGCAGAAATAGCAAGGGACGTACAATATTTCTTGGCCATGATCCTCGGAACCGCGAGGCTCTTCTGGGTATAAAGTGTCGACTACCTCCGTTAATCTCAATGCCTACATCACGTCAATTAGCAGTGATTGACTGATACTGTGATTCTACTGCACAAGTTCTCTCAGTCAGAGGATTGTATAACCAATTATGCTGGTAAAGTATCTTCTCGCTTGCTCCGTGCTTGATCAATACCGCAGCAAACTTCCATCGCGCATCCGACTCCTCACCTCACCTCAATCTTTTGATTTTCTTCCATATGCCACGAACTGCGCAATGGCCGCTGCGGTACTGCGCTTATCATTTGTTGTTCTCTTCAGCACTGATACTTGACCCGGTCTAGGTGCTCAACCGCTCGCCGATGTGGGCACGGATGCTTTGTCGCAAGTTCCTCGGTTTCGCGTTGTCTACCGCTTGTACAATTTTGTACGTATTCACGGAGCCGTTATAGTCAATCGCTCAGTGCGTATTTGTCAAAAAGTGCTGAAATGAACCAATACTAATCCTCGCAATGTACGATTCCCAGATCGCTTGTTGTAGCGTTGGCCAAAAAAATTTGCATACACCCTCAATGACTCTGCTGGATAAGCCTTAAAGCATATACGAACTATAACCCTGAAACAGGATCATGACACTTAGAAAACGCCGTGACTTGGTTTCTCCCAGGTCAACCCTTGACAAATTGGGTGTATTCTCATTGGCTGGTGTTCAATGGTTGCCAGCCCAGCCTGACCCTATGCGACGCACCGGCTATGTGAAATTGTGATTTTCACTACAACAAGTTACCCCATAAGCGTCTGCAACTGGGTGAAGAGGGTATAAAAACCTATCGGAATTACTGGTTAATCACCAACATCTGCGATGGTTTCTGCTCTTGCCAAACTCTTCCTTGCTACTTCGGCCGTGACCTCTGTCGTCGCACACGCTTCTCCCGCTCCCGCGAACTGGAAGCACAATAATCTCGAGGCGCGTCATGCACTTGAGAAACGATGCGGAGACGTCTTAGCTGCTCGTCGCCGTAAACGATCGGAAAACGCCTTGGCTCGAAGGAGCTCTGGGGTTCTCCGCAGGTAATCCACTTTCGCGTTTGGTCCTTCTTCCTATACTTACGCTTTCTTCTCTAGGACATCGTCTAGCAACGACAGCACCTGCCTCGTGACTCCTGAGGTCACCCAGGGACCTTATCATATTTTGTATGTTGCGGATGCACTCGTCTTCGTCGGTATATTGCTCACCACTCCAACAGAGGTGAAATCGTGCGCCAAAATATTACCGAAGGACAAGCGGGAATCCCTCTTGAAGTTTCTGTACGTAGGATTAACCATTCTACTTATTCGACGCTGACTTCTGGTAGGTCGACTTTATCGACATCAGCACCTGCGACCCCGTCCAAGTCTGGGTCGATGCCTGGCACGCAAATGCCACTGGTTACTACGCTGGGTACATTGCTGAAACTGGTGTAAGTCTTCTTCAAATATGACGGCATATACTGACGGATATTTTATACTTCGCAGTCTTCCCTCTCTGGAGGCAGCGGCGACGGTGGTCAGGGTGGAGAGGGCGGCCCGAGTAGTGGAGCAGGGGGTCCCGGAGGTGAAACTGGAGCGGGAAGCCCAAGCGGTGACGCTAGTGCCCCGATTACTTCCTATGCCAGTGGTTCGGATGCCCCCACCCAGACTGCCGCTGCGACGACAACTAGCTTTGGTGCTTACGATGGTGCCGACTCACCATCTGCTACTCAAGCTCTCAATCAGGCTGTGGACGATAACAGCACTTTCCTTCGTGGTGTCTGGCAGTCGGAGTAAGTTGTAATTTTTATTCACTTACAGTCGCTCATGTTTCATTTGCACAGTGAGGATGGACACTTAACGATGTACTCCGTCTTCCCTGGATGGTGTATGTAATTTACGGTGTTTCCTTTGACCCTGGAAGATTTATTAGCAATGTAGATTCTGGCCGAGCCCAGCATTTCCACATCAAGACGTATCCTGAAGGCTATATCGCCGCTAACGGTACTTTCATTGCGGGAGGAAGTGCAGTGCAGTAAGTTTTCTTTTCAGGTTGAATGGTTCATGATCTCAGTTGATTCTCAAAATACTTAGCACTGGTCAATTTTTCTTCGACCAAGACACTCTTGACGCTGTTGCTGCCAATTCTATCTACGCCGCCAACTCTATCTCGTGGTCCGACTCTGTTAGCAACGATGGTAAGCGTATTTATATCGAAGACTAGTCCCTTTGCTCAGACTTCTCAGATGACATGTGGTATCCTTACCGTGAGTTTCCTCACCTTCCGTCCAGCCAGTCCGCTTACGTATCTTCGCAGAGTCTGCTACAGGATATGATGCTACTGTATGTATTCCGCTCCTGTTGTTATGCTTGCTACCTAACCATTTTACGATAGATGGATATTACCTGGGTCGGCGACGAGATCACCGACGGACTCATCGGTTCAATTACAGTTCCTCTCAACATGTATGTCACATCAATACAGTCGAAACCATACTAACTGGCTCCTAGGACATACGAAAGCCCCGAAGTCAGCACCCAATATGCTGCGTTCGACGTTGAGGAATACGAGGCTGAGGGCTTGCTCCCTGAAGCATCTTTGTCGGCGTAAAAGATAGCGGTCTTGAATTATGACTAAATGAATTGCTTTATCAATTCCTACTTAAATAAAAGATACTTCTGCTTTTCCTTCTTATATCGGTATCAGCAATGCCCTTGAGAAAACATAACCTGCGGTAGCTTGGAGTTGTAACCATCTGTCTAATATCTATTGAACTTGGAAAAATAAGGGTTGAAAAAAGATCTGAAGGCCGTACACCTCAACATCCATGAGGCCAGAGAACTGAAGGTTACTAAAAGCCCAGAAGTTGCCCCTTGCTGCTTTGTGATTTTTGGGGGGGTAATTGAAATAATTTATTCTGCCAATACGCGCGTCGACTCAGATATAGATCACGTGTTGCTCTTGCTTTTGTACCACCACTCCATCACTGTCTACCGATTCTACATGTCGGTTTCGTAGCACAGGAATCTTTCTATGGACTGCAAGATATGTGAGCTGAAGCAGCGACAATTCTATTGTGAGAATTGCCTCAAAACACAGTACGACTTTTCGGATTCCTTTGAGTCATGCTCACTTCAATTTGCAGCATTCGTGACTTTCGCATCCAAACGCAACATTTTGCTGCCGACCGCGATGACCAGGTAGCAAAGTCATCTAGAGCACTGGATGGCTTCAATGCTTCTCGAATCCGCCGCGCCAATATCTCTGACATCCAGAGCCGTGTGGACGAGTTGATGAATGGGCTTGCTAGCATGCGAAAGGACAACGAGAAGAGTACGTCGAATTTCTTCTGAAGAGTTGAACGCTGGAATTGACCTTCAGCAGAACGGGATCGTCTCCGAGCGCTGCGCGAAACACTAGCTACGCGTCGACAGACATTATCTGCTGCCAAACTCCAGCCACAGCCCAGCATTGCACATCAAGCCACACGTGAGGCTCAGGAACTCAAAGCACTGTCGGTTACTATTGCCCGTGCTCGTTCAGGTCTCGTTCAAGAATTGGTTGAAGTCTTCAACGTTGTAGAAGTGGGCGGCCGGCCGCCCATTGGAGGAAAGGCCGGAACAAAGGGTGAATGGACCATCGGCGACCTGATTCTACCAGTCCCAGGCGATATACGGCGTGAGCATAGCTGTTGATTGTTAGTTGTTGCCATCTAATGTTTTTTTAGGTTATCCACCCGACCATATAAATGCCGTAATCACCCACACGATACATTTCGTCTCACTTCTCACTCTCTACCTTGGAGTCAAGCTTCCTTTTGAGATCCATTGGACAGGGAAGAAGCTTGGTGTGGGTCAGCCGTGGATTGGCGCAGTCAGAGGGAGTGAACATGGTGGCTGGGCGAAGTACGTTTTTCCATCTCGTTCCCTAGGTTGTACCGACGCGTCGTAATTAGATGGCACACCAAGCATCCCCTACACCTTTCATCGACTACGTTATCAACAGCTACGCCTTCTAGTACCAAGAGCATACCCATAACATCGGAATCCTATCTCGAGCCAGATCCTGAACCACAGGCGTCGTTCACGACTGCCTTAGCCATGCTCCTCTACAATGTCTCTTACCTCGCCTACACCCAGAATGTCGATGTCCCACTCAATCAAGCAGGCGATGTTCTGAGCAACCTTTGGAGTGTTTGTTGCAGCAGTGATCTTGGAAAGTGCGTACAGTTATTTGCCCTTTTACCTGACTTTGACTTTGCGCCCAGGCGGTCTCACGAGACGAACCCATTCCTCCCACCACCTACGCCAGCTGGGTTTGGCTTAGATTTCATGCAGCTCCTCCAGGCAACCACTGCGAATCCTGCGTCGAGAGTGCGTGCACATAAGGCGAGAAAAAGAGTCGAAAAGTTGCCAGAGGTGGACGAGGATGGATGGGACATTGTTGAAGATACAACGTGATTGGGTGAGAAGGAGGGGAATGAAAACTTCTGATATTTGTCTGACCATTCCTGCCAGCTATTCAGGCGTTCTCGTTTTCCCACCTGCCTAAAGATAAGAGAAGATCACAGGAAGGAGTGGAGGTTATTCAGGTTAATGACAGATTTCTGTGGATCTGACAGATGGGGACCTTGCACCCCGGAAGCATGCTTGTGGTATACTATTCCCTGCAACGAACGCCAGGTCTTGTCCTCCACTCAAAGCCTTTCTCCCGTGCCCCGCTTTCATCAGTATCAGGAATCCTCTCGAAAGTTGCTAGCCGATAATCCTCAGGCATTTCTTCGACATATTTATTGAAGTGAAAAGGTGTCCTGTACTTCCCCAAGTAGTCTGACATCGGTCGAGGAGTTTGTTTCCTCCTCCATTTCCCATCCGCTAGAACGGCACGCATGGAGCTAATGTCAGAACATTGACGTGCCAACTCCATCCACTCTGCATCACTCATGTTGGGTTTCCTGATCATCACGTATCCAAAATCGATGATGACTGGAGACCTATCAGTGGCTCGGAGGATGACATTGCCGATGTGGACGTCGTTATGGAGGACACACATTTCGTTCTTGACGCTGCGAAAGGCATCCATGACTTGGTCTGAAATCTTCTCAGCCTCGTCCAGAGGAAGGTCGATACCAGGTTTGAGTGAATCCATGTTGGTCCCTTCGATGTACTCGACAGCGAAGCCGGGAACGAAGGCAGTGATAGGGTGCAGAGGCGAGGTAGATATGGGGAGACGAACTGTCCCGTAAAAGCGGGGAATAGTGTGTCCTTGTAGACGGCGGAGACGATATGCATCGACCTCACATTGCTGATGGTACAGCTTTCGGTACCATGTAGATATTTCCACATCCAGTCCTCCCATGAATAGACATCGGGCAGTTGCTCCCGCTTGTGTAAATCGTCTTCGAGGAGTTCCAGCCAGTCAGGAATGTCTCCTGTATGGATCCTTTCCACAGCGTGACGCAGTCTATTCTCGATGGAAGGAGACCAGGGAAGTTCTCCGAATTTCATGCGTGGACTATTGCGAAACCCGAATCGGCGGTCGTTCAGCTTTAGAATGAATCGGCCGCGGGAGGGGGATGTCACAAGTAGAACGACTGAGCATGTGTAGGGTAGGAAACGCTCCAGAACCTTAGCAGTAAGAGGTTTGAAAATAGCAGAGTCTTGAGCTTGATACTGGAGATTATAGCTTTGATCCAGATCGATAGAACGTATCGTCATCTCTTAAGGCAAGACTGATCAGCGGACTTGCCAAATACTATGGGAGGCTTACATTCGATCTTCCCCTAGGGTAACAACCGCTGTCGAACAATAATTATTGTCCTTCTCCGAATTCGGGTCAACTTTGGTAACCGCTCTTGTAAAGTTATGGGCATGAACTGTCTTTGCAACCACTGAAAACGTTCGCCCCTGGACCAAGAAGGGCATAATTCTTTTCATGCAGTATCTAGTGCGCGACAGATTGCAGTCGCCTTGCAAGACGGAGAATGGAACAGAATAGGTCAGAAAATGATGTCATTCATCGCATAGGGGCTCCGTCACCCTCACAAAAATGCAAGGCTCAAAGAACGGGAAATCGGATCGTTTGCTACGCTGCTACACTCGGTTATTTGTCAATAACAAGACTCGACGGAGGGAAAGCTTTCAAGCTGTTGCAAACTCGCGGCATCTGTACTTTTCAGGCGAGCACCCACATCGGCGACGCACTATCCACATATTTTGCCCCCTTGGCACTTTTAGATCGAATTACATCGGAGAACATAGAAAACTGGGAGAAATCTAGAACATACCAGAAGACAGCGCGTCCACGCGCAAAGAACAACTCAGTTGAAAAATAGTACCCACAGGACTGAAAACATGTACACACGCAAGTAGCATTGGAATTCGGTAACACTTCGACGAAGATGCTCTGACTTAAATATCAGTACTGATAGTGATGTCATTCCACTCTTCCTGTGAATCCACTGCTTTCTGAATGACATCCTGAACAGCACGCCGACAATCACTTCCCAAGAGCAAATTCGTTGGGAATGCTTTGCCTTCTGCTACACCCTCACCTCTCACGACATCAAGGACAACTCGCACACCCTTTTTCGGGTCTCCCGGTTGTTGTCTGTCGTAAGCTACCAAATAGAACATTCAGTCATTGAGCGCGAGGGAGAAGAAGAGCTGTATCTACCTTGACAAAACGCCTCTGCCCCGTGCGCTACCTCCTGGTACCCCACTATATCGGCCTTTCCCAGGATGCGATGTCCAGGAGAGAGAAAGTTGGTGCGGAAGAACCCGAAGTCGAAACATATACTACGAAGACCCAAAGGTGCGATCTCCTGATGAAGGGACTCGGATATGCCTTGGAGATATTGATCAGTTGGGGCCCGGCGGGATCTACGAAAAGCATGACACCTCTGACTGCGAATTTTGACCCATTGTACAGGCCGGAGAAAGCCTGTGGGCTAGAGAGTACAGCGTGAATTCGCGAATCACTTGTCCAGAAGCAGGTACTCACGTCCAAGAACCTATAGAGCCTAGAAATACGAAAGTTCCTACATGTCGTTCACGCATATACGGAAGGAAAGCTCGCGCTACGTTGAGAGGACCAAAGACATTGGTGCTGCAATAGTATACGTGAAGAAACAAAAGAGATAAATAGAGGGGAACTACTTCAATTGATTCAAGGTCTCTTGGGGTCTAGTACGAACGAAGACATGAACAGACGTGATGCCTTATTCAGAGAAAAACTAACGTTGCCTCTTCAACGGACTGTAATAAAGCATATCCTAATGCACTCTAAGCTCCGTTTCACTAGAAGGCAGGCTGAGGGCAGCTGACCAGCGTTATTGACGACCACATCGATTCTACCATAGATAGCGACGGCCTTCTTCGCGACGGTATGCAGTTCTTCCAAGGGTGCAGTTACGTCCAACTCCAATACGTCTGCACCAAGGGCCTTGAGGTCACCAATCTGGGATAACGAGCGTCCACGCACTGTGGCGATGACTTTCTCACCGCGCTCTAGGGCGGCGATGACGAGTTCACGCCCGAGGCCGGACCTACAGATATACGTTGGTATGAGAGTCGCGATTAGACGAAATGACGCACGAAGTCCCCGTTATGAGCCAAACCAGTTGTTGGGAAGACATAGGCAATGTGGTTGAGTGTACATCGCCGTAGTAGTCTTCTTATAGTTTCATCGAGAAGTGAAAAAGCAGACGGAAATGGGAATTGAAGAAGGTCGTATAGGTCACGAAGAAGTGATGTATAAGGATACCAGGACGACAAGCCTTCGCACCCTGTAATCGCCTTATGTGAGTTCCGTCTTTGATGGACCTACTCTCAGACCGGCGTAAAATCTCGTCAGCTGCAGAATATTTCGCAAATAAGACAAAAGTAGACGGTGCAAGATATTCGTAGAGACAATGGTGATGTGCACAGTGCCAGTCACATTACGGATACAACCGCGAGATCAACGTGAGATACGGTTGCGGTCATATTCGTATCGTCGTCGACAAGGAGTATCTTATGCAGAGATGTAAGAGTCATTCGCTTCATAATGGTGTCTGTGCTAACCTCGATAGCATCAGTTTTTTACCGACCATTTTCTTAGGCACCGTAATTTTATTGTATGATTACGGTAGTATTTTGAGTTGTCAAAGGGAGCCAAGGTCTATTAATACAGTGCATCCTACTTACCAAGGACGCATTCCAGATACCTCAAGTGGAATGAAAGCAATGAGGTGTTCGTCGTCAATAAGGGTTTCATATTCGACGAAGTTAGGAAGAAAGTAGGACCGGCTCTACGGACCGATGCTCCGCATCGTCAAACGTAATTTTTTCGGGTATTCATCTTCCTCCCGTCACTCCACACATACGTCCCTGGCAGCAGCCCAAAGGAACCAATGAAACGCTGCAAATCTAAGTTTTCACTTCGCTGCAGATATATTCTGTTCTTTCATGCTTTCTGGTGAGTCTTCTTTTGAGTCGGTGGTTCAGAGATGTGAATCTTTACTGTTACAGAACAAATGTCGCTTTCGAGGATAAGCGAGGGTACTTTCATACTCTCATTGCATAGTTCCATCTCTGGCTGTACCTCAAGCTAGGCTTCGTATTCGGCTTGAGCGTCTGAGCAGCTGTCTTAGTTAGGAACATCTTTTTATTCGCTCTTCTTCTGGCATATGAAATATTTGCCAGCTTTTCTGGGATGCCCGCAAATCAAAACCGAGGATTCCGGCATCCTGATGATTTCCCGATGCTGTATCTGGTCAAACAATGCAAGGTATGATTCCGGCTTACGATGCAGGGACATCACTCAATGGACGCTCCTGTCGCTAGATATTTTCTCTATTAGCCCGCACATTTTTTGTCCTCAAGCTGGCACAGTCCTCAGTGAGCACGAAGGATGCTAGCATTGGAGAGACGCGCTACCCCGTGAAACTTTTGCAACCGATGCTCTGACAATAATTTCTACGAGGGAAACCCCTGATGAAAATCATATTCCGGGAGGTCCGGATGTGGCTTCTCTTGTACTGTTCTTATTGTTCGCCCGCTTTTACTACTCTCTTCTCTCTCTCGTCTGAGTCTCGCAGATCCACATCTTGACTGTACGTCTCTTTTTGCTTTCAATCCTTTCTCTAGTTTCTGACATCAACCGTCTTTAGCTCAGCGCCACAAATACCCTCCGTCGCCACTCGCGCACACCCGTTGGCCATGCCATTGAAGGGCATCTCTCCTCTCGATTTCGAAGCTGGCTCTTTGACTCAGGCAACGTCAGTGAGTGTAAACGCCTCTTCTCGCTGTTTATATCCATAACACTGAGTATTATCTTTAGCCACTCGACAAGCTACCCGCATGCTGTGCATGCCCTCTACACTGCAAACGCTGGTCTGACCCCCAGCGCCTCTACCCTTCCCAATATCGCCTGCTACGGGACAAGGTCGCCGAAAACCAGTACAAGTGGCGTAAAGCGACTGCAAATGCGCAGGAAGCTGAGGAACGCGCCAAAGAGCTGGAAGGGCGGATTGATCTCTGCAAAGAAGAGACGGCTCAAGCGAAGGATGAAGAGATTCGGGCCAAGACCCGGAGAATCCAGATGCAGGACGAAGAGATTGGCCGGAAGGATGAAAGAATACGCCTGATGGATGAGGAGATCAGGAGGATGAGTGCAGAGATCTGGACAAAGGACGAGGAGATTAGGATGAACGTGAGGGAGATCCACGCGATAGACGAGTACCGGAGGAAGGACAACGAAGCAGGACTGCTCTCTCAGCGATGCAAATATGTCGAGCAGAACCTCGACAGTCTCCGCGCCGAGAATGCCAGCCTTCGTCAGAAGATCTATGTCCAACAGAAGGAGCATGGGATACTGTCGAAGGAGCTGGAAGTGACGAAAGACATTCTGGGCGCGAAGGACCGGGAGTTGATTGAAGCCCGAGCGACGCTTTCATCCAAACAAACAGGTCTCCCCAAGGACGTCCACAAGGCCTTTCAGTTGATGACGCATATGCGCCAGAAGCTTCATATTGCCGAGAAAGAGGCGCAAAGGAAGGTCTTTGATGTCGAGGAAGAGGCACGACAGAAACTCCTTGAAACTGAGGGAAAGGCGCAAGAGTTAACGAAGGAGCTAGCAGCGAGCCGAGAAGCTGAGACGCGTACACATGCAGGTCATGAACGTGCGGTGGAGCAATTGATATCCCAGCTAGAGGAGGTCAGGCGAGTTGCAGCGGAGAGGGAGAAAGAGATAGAAAGGTTGGGTGTCGCGCTGAAGGAAGTAATGTCGCAAGGAAGGCTGGTATCGGATCGATGTCGAGAACTGGAGATGCGTCCTCCGCCTGCCGATGAATCGCACCAGCGGAGACTTGAGGAAGAAAGAAGCATCGCCATGGCCACGCTGAAGAAGATGAACGCAGAAATGTCTATCATGAAGGAGGCCGGCATGCAGCTTATCGTGGAGAACCAGAGTCTTTCGGGAGAAATCGAACGGTTACAGGGCTGGAAAGTCGAAGCTTGGACGGCGTTGGAACAACGGGAAGTGATGCTACGAGATATGGAAGGAGATCTTATCGCGGCTCGAGAAAGTGCTAGGGAGCTCATGGAACGTAACCGGATCTTGGCCACGGAAGTGGACGGCCTACGCTTCTCGACCGACATGACTATGGAGGCTCCCTCAGACTCGGATGCAGTCCATCTCTCACAAATGACATCCATAGCATTGGCGCGAGAGGCAGAACTGATCCAAGTCAAGGAAGAGCTAGCTCGCTCCCTCGAACGGGAGAAAAAGGCATTGGAGAATTGCAAGAATCTTCACGCGCAGGAGCCTCAGAAACAGTCACTGCGCTCGGGTAATGACGTCCTACATCGAGACCGGTACGACCGTCTGGTTGAGGTGATAGACCTCATCAAGGAAAGGATAGACAAGGCAAATTATCTATCAATTCCAATTACAGACTTGGATCTATCACACGACATCGCGTTCTTGGACCTGCAGGTTCGCTTGGACGCATTCGAAGACATCCAAAATTTCGAGAGTATCCCTTGGCCCATTTCCTCTGGCATCAAGGTAGTCGAGGAGACTATGCAACTCGAATGGGAGGAAAACGAGAAAAACGAGCTGTCGTTTTTGGAGCGTTTCTCGGGGTCGCTTTCCTTTGGAGATAGTGGACGGAAGCCTAAAAAACCTCCGACATGGGAGAAAGAGTTGCCGTTGTTCTTGGAGGGTTTCTCCGAGTCGCTTTGCCCTCAAGCCATTGATATCGAACTTGATTATCTGGCCAGGATTCAACAAGCGTTCGATATGGATATGTGGGCGCGCAAAGACTTTATGCAAAAGTCTAAAGACAGCAATGTCAGAGAAATGGGTCTTCTCGTGTCGCAGGCAGTCGACCGTGTGATGGCAAAGGCGATGAGGAAACAGCAGTTGAAATCGCATAGTTGAGACATACTTGTACTATTATTGAGAGGGTATCTTATAATTATTTTATAATAATGATATAATTGGAATATTTTCAAGACTCCGAGTCCTTGGCCTAGCCCGAGTACAGGCAAACCAAGCAAACTCGGAGCAGAATTGGTTTTCTAGTCGTGGCTCTTGATTGAAACACCGTTTAGTCTCTCCTAGACAAGCAGATCTGAGGGAAACCCTAACCCAGGGCCAAAATCAAGCCAAAATAGTCTTTCCTTCGCTCATCCATCTGCAAGAAACTCTCTATGGTCTCGTAAATATTTCGTCAACCTTGATAACTTTTGAAAACTTGTTATGTCAAGACCAAATCAAAAAAATCAAAGAACTCCTTCCTTCCAAGCTTTTCTAGGCTTTTTCCCGTGGTGCCAGTGTCACTGCTGTGTTCGGGGCCTTTAGATATCACGATACATCTCGAAGCCGACAGCGATTTCACTTCTAATACTGTCTATGATCAACCAGTATACAGGACGTATAGCGCTTGGTTTGCATGACAGCAACCTTTCTCTCGAAGCCAGTCTTGGCGCGTCCAAGTTCACCACAGTGCCTTCTCGTCCAGACCTTCAAGAGCTTGTCACCGAACTCCAAGCCAACTCAGCACCTGGCAGGGCCCACAAGCTCGTTCCGAATAGCAAATGTCAAACTTCTTTAGCTGAACACGCGCTGATTGGTTGGTGCTGTTCTTAGCATGTCTATAAAACCACCTTGGCATCTGCGAGGAACTGCTTAATAAGTGCGGCGTCAATAAGCACGTCGGTCAACATTCACCATCGATGGTGTCCCAATCTACTGTCTCTGTGGTCATATTGGCTCTCTGGACTGTCGCAGTTCGCGCACAAACGTATAGTGCAACATATTTGCCTTCGAACGCTCCGGCGATAACCGAAGAAGGGCAGGAAGGTGTGTAAGCTCTTGTTTGATGCTCTAAGCCCTTATTGGCTCTCGGATAAAGGAACAAATCAATGTGGAACGTCTTCGAACCAAACGTCGTTATGCCAAAATGTATATGGTACATGAAATTTTCTGTCTTTTATGAATTGTTCATTTAGATAGCCTCAGTTAATTCCGTAACCGACTGGTGCGGCTTCTTCCCGTTCATTCATTCATTCCTCTCCTGATGGCGCGAAGGTGTGTTTTCGGACCTCCAGAATCGGGGCCGGCATCTACAATCGGCAATATTGAGGTGCGTATCCAAGGCTAGATGTTCTGTACCGTCACGTTACACCAATACAGCGAATCGCGATTTCATGGTGCATCAAGGTTAATTCAAACAACGTATCAGATTTCAATTGCTCATACACTGCGCCTAGGACGGTTACGGCACACGTCTTATACCTGAAGGTACTATCACAGGGGCGCACATTGTAAAGACACCCGACTTTGTGCAAGTAACAGGTACGGTAATTGTACACGTATCAGGCGCTCGATATATCAAACCCGAACCTTCAGGTGTTGGTGATCTTACGAAACTAAATATCCCGGAGGGCGATGCTGGCGGAGAGTTAGATCCTCATGGTGCGGACGGAAATGGTACGTCAGAGGGTTTAATGTCGCCGAAGCGTAAAATTAATCAACTAAATGATTAGGCAACCCTATCGGCGGGCTTGTGTTTTCTAGTGCGTTCGGTGAACTTCAACAGATGCATGAATGGACGGTGAGTTCTACACCGACTGCGGCGTCGTCACTCCTGACACCAATGCTCAGAACTTTGTATCCTCCGAGATGTTCTGCATCCGAGCATGTGCACCAGGTCCTATGGCTCCCACGTGGTGTAAGCTATTCAGCTCGGCGCCCGCCATCACCGGTTGACACTGTTTCGTAGGCCAGCATATCTACGATGTCCTCGGATGTCAATGGAATATGCCCGCAAACTATTCAGCAGGTACCTTCGAAGACTGTGAAGGAGATAGTGGACAGGTAAAGATATATTCAATTGGTTGCGGACAAAAGCTGATCAATCCTGGCTTCGTAGCCCATGGGTGTATATGGAACTTCTACATTTTTCCAGGGTCAGGCTGCGACTCCAGCGGCACATCCAGCACCATCTTCTTCCTTATGTACTGCTGTGAACACAATTGGTGTCGCCTCATCAACCAGTTCTGCTAGTGTTACTCAGACTGGTAGTAGCTCCGAGACCGCTGGTCGCGCGAGTTCCACAGGCACAAGCGCCGGCGTCAGTGGGACATCGACGGCGAATAGTGCAGTTCATGGGAAGATGATCTATGAGGGGTGGGCATCACTTATCCTTTCACTATTTCCCGTGCTTTTGAGCGGTCTCCATGTATACAATCTATGAAATTTGAAGACTTATACGGACAATGGTCATACAGCACGGCTACACACTCACAAATATTCAAGGATCTAGCTGGTGAAGGCCCAAATGATCTTGCCGTTTGGTCGCTCCATTTTCTCATCAGATTCACAACTCTCTTTTCTCTTTCTGGGACCTGAATTCTCAGCAAAGATATCCAATCAGTACTCTGCGGAAGAGAGATAGACGGTAGAGACCTGTTGGGACTTCGAGCACCAGACAGTGGGTTGGCAGGTAATCATACGGTTGCCTATTTGCGAGGAACACCGTTAAGACTCGACCACAAATTCCTGGCAAGCATTAAAAGATGAAAGAGGTCGAGCTCGGACCGACGCTCCGTTTCACGTGTATAGTCAAGGTATAGGGTTGCACAGCTTTCCAAGGCCCGCTTTCCACGAATCATCGCCCCTTCATGATGAGGCGTCACAAACTTGAAGGTCTTCTTCTGGAAATCTTTATGGTGCCGGACTATCCTGCCGCCTGCGATAGGCATTGCTGAACTAGTTGCCATTAGCTCTACTTCAAGATGTTATTCTATCTTTCTTGGAGTCTTATCGATCATCGCCTATCGGACTCTCTATGGACGCATTCTTCAGCGTATCTACGATGTTCTCGGACGTCTGTCTGCTTGGTGCCGGTATCTTCAAAGATTATGAAAGGGGGAATGGGCAGTACAGGTACCCCCAATTGGTTTCAGCAAAAAGATCTATCCTGACGTCTACTCTTCCAAGGTGACTCGGCTCTGGTGCTTGAGGTGCGTGTAATTCCTTCCTTCTTTGCTTCTTGCTGTAAATACCATTGATATTTCCTTGTCAGCTACATCCACTAATATTATTGGTACAGGCTCCGAAACGGGTGCCAGTGGACCTCCGAGTTCCACAGGCACAAGCCGGCGTCAGCGGACTGGCATCTACATCATGCAATGCTCAGCAGTGATTCGGAACAGCACAGTTGTTTCATGGGAAGACAACTGAGGGGTGAGCGTCTGACATCCTTTCGTTATCTCTTGTCGGTCTGAGCGTAGCATCACCTGTGAAACTGACTACTTATCAAGCAATCTACCAACTCGTGCTAGACGAACCTAACAATGAAGTGCTCATGACCATTTCACAACGTGTTCACTTCAAGTACACGTTCCTCGTCACAAGTGAATCCACGGCCCTTAATTACATTGTTTCCAGCACGATGTTCGATTGACTAGTTGTCGATTAGCAAGGGCGAGACACGATATCTCCATTCTTTGCGAGCCCCCATGACAATACCAAAATTTTTTCTCTATTGAAAACCACGATAGCGAACAGGCTAATCACCATCTTCTGGTGTTTCGATAGCCCTGCTTACGGTAAATGATTGATCTAAAAGAAGACGTATCACGTACAGTGGGCACATGATCCCAATGTCCGTGTTGTTGCTACCAATGTAAGTGATGAGTCCCATGAGCGCGTCTTTTTTCGCATATATAAAGCACGTAGATCGGTCTCCGTGGGTTAACGTAACGGAACATCCTACCCTCATTCGAACCTCCCAGTATGACGATCCATGGTCCGGGCACTGCTGATCCTAACGTTGTACACCTCGCTGACATCCAACCCCGTGCAAAAATATTCACGATCTGGGAGCGACACCGACACGCAAAGGTCCATTGGCTTGCAGAATGCTTTGCTGAGTTTGTCAGTCCATTTAGCTCATTTACGATCATACGGGCCGCTTACTGCCTCTCGATGATCTGTTAGATGGGTGTCTTCTTTTACTGCTACGCAGGTTGGTGCCCTCGATGCGCGGACCTTTTTCGTATGGTACTGACATTGTACGCAGGCGTAGGTTCAACGGCGCCGTGGGTTATCGGGAATGCTATCGGAGAAACTGGACTTTCCTGTACGTCCCCTAGTGATAGATTATACCCTCTGTCGTCACGCCTTTGCCGTTAGCGATCCTTCAAATCGGAATAGCTTATGCTTCCGGGATAGTCTTCGCCATCTGCTTCTGCAGTGCGACGTCCGGAGGTCACTTCAGTCCCGGCATTACCATCGCCTTCTGTCTGTTTAAAGGATTTCCCAAGGTGAAAGGCCTTAGGTCCGTAATCTCCCCTCGAGAGTCGAAGGATTTTGAAGGGTCCTATTAATTTGCTTGCGTAGATATATCGTGGCACAAATCCTCGGAGGATATGTCGCATGCCTGTTGATTTATGTCCAATACAAGCACCTCCTCGACCAGGCAGAGGGCGCCATGGTACTCGCTGGGACTTTCTCGGAGTTACAATTTACGCCGAGCGCTCCTGCGGGTATTTTTGGATTGTATCTTCTTCCAGGAGCGAAGATAGGACAAGTTTTCCTTAACGAGTTCGTAACTGTGCGTGATTCTTCACACCATCACTTGGAAATATGGAATTGAATCCGTTTCCTAGGATGTTATGCTCGCAGTTGTGATATGGGGTTCTATTGATCCCACCAACGTTTTGGTACCTCCACAAGCAGCGCCCTGGATAATTGCTTTGGGATAGTAAGGGCACGCCTCATCTTCCGATTTGGCCAAGCTGATTGGTTTTGAAAGCGCCGTAGCGATATGGGGCTTTGCCTTCCCCGGACGTAAGCCTCGATGCTGTCACCTGAACATAGCCAAGGCTGATCCCAGTGATTTTTTGTTCTAGTCGCAGCGAATGCTGCACGTGACGTAGGCGGTAGATTAGCCGCCCTGACCATTTACGGACGCCAAGGTACGTGCAAAGTCTTGGAGACCGACCAGAAGGCTGAAAAAGTTCCAGCTTCCGGAGGGTCCTATGCCGCTCTAGCTGCCCTAACGAACATCCCAGCGACGATGTTTGGAGTACTTCTATACGAATTGTTTTTGGTAGACTCACAAAGAGGTTCGTTCTTCGTGGCGTTAAGGTGTAACTGAAGGCTGATTACTGTCTAGTGATTCCCAAAGCCTCGATGGAATACATCAGGGTACACAAGAATCATGGATGTCTCCACGATCACAGTCCTGTCCGCAGAAATTCTTCTTCTTCATCAAACAGCGAGAAGAATGCGATGGCGATAGCAGAAGCTTGAGGAGACATCGTTTTGAGTTGTGATTAGATAGAACCATGCATTTGATACATAACATTCCGACCGGTTTGGAAGCATTGGAAATGCAGCGGCCTCCAAGAAGAGCTTGTCCATTGGTCTATTGCGACAATGTCCGTGTTGGTGCATCGTTGAGCACCCTTGTGTCGAAGATACATGTCATTGAGGTTGTGATCAGTGTAAGATGGGTTATTTTTTCAGTGAACAGAATAACCGCCGCAGCCCAATGACAGCAAGAACGAAGCCGTTCTAGTGTAAGCTAACTCGCATATATGCTTCGACTAAAGATTCGCATCGAACCCGCAATCAGCGTTGCTATTTTCAGAGTAAATGCTAAGCGTACCTTGACAGATAGATATAGAAAAGATAAGTACACCATGTCCATCCGCTCTCAAATAACTTCGATCTGATATGAACGACACGCAATCATGAGACGACTCCGAGCTAGACAAATTCTCCTTGCCAGTCTCGTTTCCAAAGGAAAGATAGATAGATAGCCGGTGGAAGGAAAGCGTCATTGACTGCGCTTTGTTCGCACTTCTGATGATAGGAACGCTTATGCAAAATCTTTCGTCCTACCACCGAGCAGGCCGGACAGATGATGCAAACACGCGACATAGGGCACCCCATAATATGGTCAAAAGGTGGGAGTCTCATTCCTCACTAAGGCATTTTGACCGTATACATCGTCAGGCGGAAGTGACCACGTCCTAGGACAATGTGATATGTATGCGTAAAACCGCTGTTTTGTATCCGAATTTGAAAGCGATCGTGTGGCCAGTTGTCGGAGGTGGGGATCCAATTTTGATAGGTCCGCTGCTCAGCCGGCAGGTGACTACGGCCGTACCAGAGGCTTTGGAGAGACGAGAAACTAGCTTATGGAAAGGCGTCGAAGCGGCATGGTGAGCAAGAAGACCCCCAGCTACATAAACGAAAGCATAGAGGGCTCGATAGTTGATAGAGAACCGTTCTAGGGAATTGTTCTCAGTGCAGATAAAGACATCGCAGGTGCTTCAGTAGCGCGGCCACCTATTGATGGCATGTGCAAAATGAACGCCATCAATGACACACAAGAGGTACCGGCCTATTAGAGGATCGATTAGAGGAAACATCGAGAAGTGAGGACATTCAGGTTACTTGCAGGAAGAAACATCGTTGATGATGCACGACCCTTTCAAATTTCGTGCTTGATAAAGAATACAACTCGATCAGGACAAAGTTTCTAAGATCATCGTTTCGTGATCGGCATCCGGAGGGAACCAGATGAGGTCCAAGTGAAGCACGAGTCAAGATCATGTCTTTGCGAAATGAATGTCAACGGAGCGCATGGGAGGATTGGCATGTTTCAGACCAAGACCTGAGAATAATGCATAATGTCCTTCATTCGAAATTTCGCTGCTTCCATTCACTTTGATGCTGCTTTGTCAGGCATCGCGGAATGTGCCATAAGCGTTCACCTCTGGTAGAATTTCAGAATGATCTGATATAAAGAAGCATAAGTCGAGCGAATACCTACGAAGCGCAGCGCTTGTTGAGTATGTTAGTGGCCGAAGTGCGGATGTATCTGACAGTCAGGCGCCGTCTTTTCGTACGTGTCAAATTTCTTTGACTCATTTGGGAGGGCGCATGGTACATAGACCTGTAAATTTCGTCGTTAGCCATTCGCTTCGTTTGCAACGGATATAACCACCTTTTTGTTGCTCACCTGAGTACATCCCGATCTGAACGCGTTGCTCATCACTGCACTTTGATGTTGCGTTCTATTAGCCAGTCAATATTTTCGCGTGAATACGCGTTGAGTTTTGGAATTTCCCTAGTCGGTGGTCAAGTTGGACCTTAGCAGTAAAGGAAGAGCAAGCAACATAAGGGCGGTGAGCGGGCGGGAACGTGGCTTCCACGTGGTCCTTCACAGTCGGTGTGAAGCGGCCCGGTGAAGCGACTATAACACTGCGACCTGGCTCTACCACCACCACCTCCTCCTCCTCCAATCTCGCTGAGTATTCAGGTTTTGACTGCCACGCTTCTTCATTTTTTAATTAAACCAGGTCATGTCGACATTTCCAAGGTCCACGATCTGGAAAGTTGAAGCCCCTGGTTTTCGGGTGCTAAACCACAGCGTCACGCTGACTTTATTGCAGCGTCTGGGGAGTTGATCTGTACTTCCTTGGGTTACACAGTTGTAAAAATATGCACACCATATTATCTCTTCTGCGTTCTAGCAATGGTTGTCTAATTACGACTTGTTCTTCCCCCGATAGCAGCAAAACTTTGGCAAAACTCAACTGGCGGTCGGCTGGGCTTAAACAACATCTTGAGTTTCCGTCGTGTCTCCAACTACTCTGTCTATTCTTACCTCTATTTTGCTGGTTTACTGCTCTTTCATGGACCCTGACGCTGCTTATGACGCGCAGTGATGCCGGGATCAACAATGAGTCATGCCTTCCAGAATTTAATTCTCTGATTATGGGGTAACTAATTTGGAACCTACAAGGCACCCATGGAGGTTACTTCATACATATTATATACACCTGTGCGCCCGAGGGATGTGCCTTACTCTGGACTCCATTGTGCCTTATATCCGCGTCCCTTTGGGTTGCTAGGATGCCCCGGTCCCATACTGTTCTCCTATAGCTCTGTCTTTCTGGGTCTTTGCCGCCCGAAAGTGCCTAATCCCCTGGAATCATTATTGTGAGTTCTGGCTGATTGAGCATCGTGGGATTATCATCAACTTATGAGGACTTCCAAATCATGCAATGACGAATCACCAACTCCAGCCAGTCTATGATTGTCTCTATGTCAGTTATTGTTTCTGTTGCTTCCACGCAGCGGCTGTCGATTGGACCTGACAACGAGATGGGGCACCCCGGAGCCTGCAGCCACTTTGTTATTTTGAACCATACATCAGCGCATCTAGAAGCATCGATTACAGGACGCGATTAACTCAAGCTGACCTCGAGAGACACCATGTCGGACAATAAATCATCGCTCTTGCTTATTCGGACTTCCCGAAGAATGAGTAGTGATACAGTAGTGCAATTGGACAGTGTGTGGTATATAGAATGGTGGCTAATGAAACTTGGATGTGACGACAGTACAAATATCATGACGTATATGCGTGAAACGGCTCCGAGTCCATAGTAATAATGATATTGTGGATGTACAGGTAGATGAAGCAGAAAATCGAAACCATAAATGCGAATGTCAAGGCCGCCGGGCAGGAACAACGTTTTTGGATGGAAAATAGAAAGTCTATCAATCACAAAGATCCAGTTAATTCCGGAGCTTCAGCACATGGTAGTCTCGCTTACCAGTGACACTGAATGATCATCATTGGCATTGCGCCGAGTATAGAACCTCCTGCTTTCCATCCATACTCGTAGCCACATATAAGATCTCCTGAGAGCGTAGCTGCATAGGTGCAATCGTGATCAAAACCCCCAGTTCGAGAGACGTGGACAGAGCGCGCAAGATAACCGAAGGATCTTTTTCCATGAACCTCCAATACGGCGTGTTCATTACAGATGTGTGGACCTGCACCTGTGCCAAAGTCATAGGCAGGTTCTCTGACACGTATTCAATATCAAAAAAATTAACGAAAGGGGATAACACACCCGTCTGCCGCCGATTCGATGGCAGGGATATCCGCCATGTGAAAAGTTGCTCTTTGACTGCGGAGAACGAGAAAGTCACGGCACAGCCCCCGCTAGTGGTAGGAAACTCCTGACGGAATTCGTATGGTTGATAGGATGTTGGCGAGGAAGGACATGAGGAAGGCACGAGGCGGAGGAGCGGGAACCAGGAGGGCATGTTGGAGAGGTCGCCAGCTTGGAGACTATTCCGTAGTCGGACTTTGAGCCAGTGCTGGTCGTTCTCTGGGAGACAGCTCCAGTCAGGCGGAGAGTACGAACGAGGCGTGGGGAGAGAACAGGTAGAAGGGCAGTCGAATGACTTTCTGGAGGGGGAATATACTGACGGATATGAGGGAGCCTGAGCCCTTCGGACGTAGTTTGAGGAGTCTATGATCAGACGTTGGCCGTGAGTGAGGTATGTAGGCATTGGCTATAGCTGTCTAGCAGATAGAGAAAGAGTGATAGAGGAGGGCGAGCGTATGGTAGTATTCGTATCGTGGTAATTTAGCCTCGTGCCATGGTATCCCTTTATATCACCCACCTAACGAAAGTAAGCACAATAAGAACAAGAAGAACGTCGTCGGGGTCGGTTACAATCATGATTAGCCGCTCTTGTTCTTGACAAAAGGGTATCTGTCGGGGTAGAATAGTCGTAAAAGAATCACATCAGCGCCTCGCAAAGTGTCCTTGTTCTACGGTGGATACAAAAGGAGAAAATCATGATGGATGTTATCGAAGACGCACCTGCCAATTTAGGCCATGCGATAATGCTGCTCCCGACGGTCGACCCTCTGATGGCACTTTATTACGATCGTCACTGGACCTATTCTGAGCTTTTATAGGTATCTCAGGTTTCGGGAATTTGCATGATAAGATCTAATCACCTCTTTGTGGAAATTCAGTGTTTCCGGTCTGAAGCACATTCGCAGGGGTCACCGCAATGTTGTTATTTCCGAGGCAGGTGAGAACGTGGACCCACTGTGTCAGGGTCGAATTAAGCAGATCTCAGGTCCTGACCGTATTGGCCATGTTCAGGTCTGTTGGCAGGGTTGCGTGATGTTTCTTCGCGTATTGACGTTGCCAATTTGTAATCAAGGCGGACCCAGAGTGGTGCGCGACTCGGACATAGCATTCGTCAAGTTCGCAATTTTCCGTGCTCAAGCGCTTAAGCTCAAGCTCAAGTGCGACACGGTCACGAACTCCGTCCAAATCAAGTGTAGATCATTTCATCCTAATTGTGTTGTTTCACGCGACTGGTTTCGTTGACGATGAGTGATGAGTTTGAGGTCCTGATGTTTGATCGTGAAGATCGATAGTGAAGTGGGAGGATCTACTTGACTGTCACTTATTCGCACCCCAGATACACGATATTAACTGTCATCGCACCTGCTTTCGTACTTTCAGTCACAAAACCCGAAGTATCATACAATGTGGGACTTTTCATCCACTGTAGTCCTACCGCATGACACTCAATCGAGCTACTCGTTCATTTTAATCACTGGTCAAGTATCAGAATCAGCCCGACCAGTGCGAGCGGGCCCGGGGTTTGATTCATGATCCGTTCATTTGAAATACATTAGAGAGGTGCACATCCTTGTGATTGATGTCTTGGAAAAAGTCAGACGAAAAGAACTTGAGGTAGAGCCAACGACTTACAAGCACTTCACAGATGTTGACGCAGTGTATGGTCTGTTCACGGTATATAATTACCCTCGGTTTCTTCAGCAGAAACGAAAATCTTTCCCATGAACTCGTGGAACGGTTAGTCTCGTTTTTGTACCCCATGGCAGATAGAACGGGACCATGCGCTCGATATATGTATGCGCCGTGCCACTTATCTGCGAATTCCAATCATTCCGCTATAAAATGGGGATAGCAGTTTCGCCGCAGGACATCTGGAAGTGAGGTCGTTTCAAGTGGAACATCATCAGAATCTTTCGGGGGCGGAGGCCGACGTCGAATGAAAACAAAGGGGCGATGTACCACGGTCAGAATATTGGGACGCTTGCAAATTCCACGAGAATATCTATCCAAACGTGAAATATATGCACTCGCACACTGATGGAAACCCACAAGACTTGAGTTAATAAAATTCCAGAGCCTCGTGCAATGGCAATCGTGAGTAACATATAGCTATATAAGACTCTGCGACCATGTCGGACTTCAGTACTACACGGTTACAGATGCCCTTCGATATCTAACGGACCCTGCATAACGTGAGCCATTAAGCGTCGAGCGAAGTCACAAGACTTACAGCGAGATCTTGAATGCTATCGGAGCCTTTGAACAAAGCTTCATTAATAAATGAATGGTTGTCAACGATGCTTCTTCTTTCGATGGGAACCTCCCAACAAAGCCACATCCTCAACACCATGATCATCAGTCTTTTCGACTTCCCCTTCCCCTTCTATTCCTCTTACCCTCACCCACCTGCCTTTGTTCGCGATTGGTCACTCAGCTTCGTCGACAGTCTGATGCAACCCCATCCTCATTATCGGTTACCGTAGGCTACTCTTCCAGCTTCTCCAAAACAACTTCAAGCCGCTGTAAGAGCTCCACGTGCTATTGGGTTACCATCAGATGACTTCACGTGCATGACCTGTGCGCGCCATTCACCCAACCCGATGGATGTGATCCTTGGAATATGTTGGGACATCAAAATCTAAAGTTGATGGCTAGGTCCACGAGAGGGATATCTAAACCTCCACAAAAATCAGTACTTTAGCCGAGACCGCGTTAATGACAAGCACAGCTGGGTGGCGACTATTTTGCGCGGGTCAAAATGGAATCAAAATCCTTGGCACCTCCCTAATAAGGAAATACTGAAGGATTTTGACCGATGCAAAATCCCAGAAGAGCGTTTTGATGTCATTTTGACTCGTGCAAAATAGTCGTCATCCAGCTGTGAAGGTAAACATACCGACTCGGACTATGTAGCCCCATCAATCACAACCATAATTTCCTATCTCCGCTCTTGAACTTGCAAGTGCGTTAATATGCTGACTCTTGTGAGATCTCCGTGTAAAAGCACCGCGCCAAATCCTAGTGCGGGTATTATGCTACTAAACCTGGAACGGGGGTGAATATAGCTGCCTCTGGGATGCGGAGCGACGCGTCATAAACGGTGGGCATGAGTATGAACATGGAATTGTTTAGGATTGAGGCAAGCATGGGCTCTGTGGTATCTGTAGTAGAAATAAGGATGACAGAATAAAATGAGACACAGTGACAATATGACAATATAAGTTTCACCCTAGACAGAATGAGTGGACATTTTGGTCACTGACGCAGAAAACAGTCGTTTACTCGTTCGAAACACTTGACCGCGTCAAAATCCGAGTTCAGAAGACGACGAGCTTCGCCTGACAAAAGTCAATAATAGTTAAGGTTTCAAGTTGTGCTATAGCTCACGGAAAACTAGAAGCCTTGAGCTTGAGATGTTGTAGATTCAACCTTTTCGTCAACCGTAGATGAATCAATGATCTGCAAGTCGATCATATAGAGCAATGACGGTATGGGGCCGCTTTCCACAAGTTTGTTCAACGACAACCACGCAGTGGATTCTGGTTGCCACTCCTGGATCTTCGGGTTATTCCGGTATTTGATGTGATAGTCAATGCGTATAAAAGACCACACACTCTGCAACGGAGGCGTTGCGGAGCGTCCCAAAGTTTTTGAGAGGTTGAAGTCATGTACGCAGCTGTTCTACCGTGGTTGCCATGCCGATGATGCCTCTTCCTTAGAGAGTTGACAGTATGTCCATTGCCACTGCATTGATTGAGCAGGCTACTTGTAGAGGAGTTTTTCGGTGACAGAAAGTAGCAATAAGTACGATTCCAAAAGATTCGGCGAATGCCTAACGTCCGGAGGGTTCCGAGAAAGGATACATTTATTATTTATTTAAGTATCTAAATAATGCATAATAATGCAGAAAAGCCAAATAAAATAAATTTTTTTTGTATAGCCGCGGTATTCAATCGAACAGTGTTCACACCTAGAAAAGAGTCTCGTTCTGAGATAAAAGAGCGATGTCAAGGAGCGCTCCTGTAAAATGTTCAGCACCAAAGTGTCGCTTCTTCCCTGTTTCTTACCACTTGCAATGTAGTTTCGTTAAAAATTTGTTGAATATAAGGTCTCCCGATGTCCATCAGCGTGCATAGCGACAAATATGATTTCCTGAGACTCCGTCTGTCACACAATTGGTGATCAAAACACCCAGCTCAAGAGACGCAGACAAAGCGGAAAGGATGTCCGAAGGATCATTCTGTACAAAGCGCCAGTATGGGGTGTCCTGTACAGACGAGTGTACTTGCACCTGGGCAATGGCCATACGTAGACCTCGTATGGCTCGTAGTGTACAGAGGAGAAGGCAGGACGCGAGGAGAATAGAAAACTAGAAGGTACGTTGCAGAGATCACCAGCTCGAAGCCTGTTCCGCAAGCCAGCTTTGAGTTCGAACCAGTGGTCTTGAGGATCAGAGAGACAGTTTCGAGACAGACAGCTCCGGGGAGAAAGTAGGTACGATCCAAGAATATCAAAGGAGCTCTCTCAGCATGACAAAGGACCGCATATAGAGGTGCGAGCATTAGAAGAGTAGTGCCGAGATGACAGAGGCCGCCCAGGGGGGTAGTAGGTAGTAATAGGCATCTTCAGTCGGGGCTGAGAGGTGTCAGGTTATGGAAAAATTCGATCTGAAATTTTGGAAGACATACTGCACTTGCCTCGTGCTTACAAGGCGGCCTTAAGTGCGAAAACCTTCATGAGATGATGATGATGTCGTAATCCTTATGACCTCCGGACTCCCGATGGGCCGTACACAGCCACAGTGACATGTCCAGCTTTCCTCACTTTTCGTTCACGTCCTGACATGAAACCGTAAAATTTTCACTGGTTGGAATATTCATGAATGCTAACATCATGTATATTACACAGATAACGTTTTGTTTATTATCGATAAGCTCTAAGGCGTCGGCCCGAAATCTTCCGTTACGAGACAAGGGCTGAGGCTCTTGAAACCGAGGAATGCTCTATGGTTCTGGTGTGCGCGTAGCGGGACTGTCCTTCGCCTTCTCGGCGCTTAATCCTACAGGCTTATGTCCTCAGCCCTGCTCCAATCGTCATCATTTCTGTATGGGGTGACTGTATACTTGAGAACGGCATCTCTGTTTATGATCCTTCATCCGTTTGGGCAGGTACCAAGGTCCGACCGTTGTTGTGATATTCCGCATGCTTGCAAAGAGTGTCATTGATCTTCTGTGCGCAACTATAAATGATGGATTCTCAGCTCAACTTACAACAGCCGTGATGACGATATTCGCCATCGATATCCCGGTACTCTCGTGTGCGTCTGGAGTGCAATGTCGATTATCTCAACGTAAGGCTCCTATGCACGTGCCACATGTGGATGTGACCTGGTGCTCTCTTCTGACAAGCTGACGAAGCCTGATGACTGTTCTGCATGACCAAAGATGATCTCGTACGACATAAACATATCTGAAATGGTTAGTCTATTACCTCCATCGTCTCCCCCCTGGGTTCAAATGAAGCGTTGAAGGTCTCATTTTACGTCTTGTCGCCAGAAAACGGAACTTTCACGGAGCTGCGATGGAGCTGCTTCGTCTGATCTTCAACGGGCCCCAAGTAAATGGTACGCCAACCAGGTTCGTAAACATGGATCAGTTATCTCATTCGTTCGCCAAAGGTGCTCACGGTGCTCCGAACTCCCTTCTATCGGGAAATTGTGGCTGCTGTGCGGGCGCAAACGGTTTTTCTGACCTGTAGTACAGTCAGGGCTGGAGAATGCATTCCCCCGTTTTCTCCTCAGAGATTCACAATGAAGCTTGGAGGGTCAATTTATTCAAATGAAGACTGCGGCCAAGTGGACCTTATCTTATCGGTGCTTGTCCACTCCTCTTCTAATTTCATATCATATATTAATATCTGGCATGCGTAGACGTTTGGTCCATTGATATGGGCAATATAGTTGTACCCCGCACACACCCACATAACTAATCAAGGACCGCCATGAAGACCAGAACGTCACCAGGCACGTCCTATAACTTTTTTTACGCGTCGACATAGCGTCAATGGCATGGTCGGAGACGCGTTTTACGCGAAAGAACCTATCTCTCCCCCTTCTATCAGAACATGTCATCAGGTCCTTCTCCCTCGAATGTGCCCCATATCTTGCCCCTCGATTGAGAGACAAAAAGTTCGATCGATTACCCGGATCAAGATCCGCACTCCGCCTATATATAGGGGAGAATCCTGTGCTTCAACTCTATCTTCCTATCACCTCTCTCTGCTTCGTCGTCGGTGCATCGTCACATAGTATGGTATGTCCTCATGCCTGTCCTCGCTGTTGGCGCTTCTTGAACGTCGTGCTGTAGGGTGTTATTATCGAGACTCTTACCCCCGGTGACGGTAAAAGCTTTCCCAAAAAAGGCGGTGAGTCTCCTTTCATATCCCTCTGAACAAGGCCCAACGCCATCAACTCCAGATAGAGTGACGATGCACTACGTGGGTACTCTCAAAGACGGTTCGAAGTTTGATTCGAGCCGGGATCGGTACGCATTTGTTGAAATACGACTCAACTGATAACCAAATCATTTTCCATTCCATATAATGCAGAGGACTTCCTTTCGTGACGGAGATAGGTGTTGGAAAGGTGATCAAGGGATGGGACGAGGGTAGGGTCCCATCCATTAGTGGCGATGCGACACTGACTCCACTGATATAGCTGTGCCTCAACTATCACTTGGGCAAAAAGCCCTCCTCGTGGCTACAGCTGACTATGTATGTTTTTCTCATTTCATTCAGTCTCGGAGCTTAGCCTGACCTGTGTTGTTCCAGGCTTATGGTTCTCGCGGGTTTCCACCCGTGATACCTCCAAACTCAACTCTCACTTTCGAAGTCGAGCTTTTGAAGATTAACTGAAAAACGTTCCGCGCATATGTTTACTTTGGGTTTTAGGGTTCGGGCAGTTGCCCGTCGGGTCATCATTACTAGATTGTCGTGTTTTCTGATTGTTGTATCTGTCTGTACTGGCTGTACTTACGCGGACTTGTTATTATCAACTCTTCACTCAGAATCACTCGCTATTTTAGACACTTTTGCCGGTCCGTGATGCAGCGCTAGATTTAGCTTGTATTCTCATGGAGGTACAGGTGATTTTCGCTGAGGCTAACATTAGATGAACCCTATTTTGACCTAGAATGTACATAGTCAAAATCAGGCCAAGCAAGCCAAAAACATACGACGAGATGATGGGAACCTTCGCTACCCTGAATGGCAACTCAACACGGAGATCAGGAATGTTGTTGACACAAGCAGGAGCTATGAATCATGGACTAGACCGCGTACTTCACACAGGAGCTAAACCGCATGACACATACATCTGCCAGATGAAGGAACTGCCGTTCAAGCAGGTTCATACACGGGCAAGACCGTTATTCTCATGATAAGGTTCTGGTAGTCCACAAAATATAGTGTCCTGATATTAGCTCCCATAAAGACTCTATCGTGCCGGACTGTTGAAATATCAGTCACGCAGACTGACATTCAATGATCATTCTTGCAATTGGTAGACAGCCTTGTCGTCTCTGCTGCGGTCGAAATTTACCCTGCTAAGCAGCACATATAACAAACACACTAGAGCTGAAATAGACCTATTTCTGAATTCTAATATAATGAACCGTCGGGCCTAGCCAGCGAGGCACCCGAACATACTTGATCGATATGTGTAGCTGGGGGTCGGCATTTCGGGCCATTAACTGTCAACAGCCATTTGAAGTTTGATATCGATAACGCCGTGACGACTGCGAAGTACTCACAGGAATCATCATTAGGACCCCATTCCGATTTGTGCGTCATCATTCCCATATTTAACGCTGTCGTGGTATACCTCCGCCGTTTGTGTCACCCACACCCCTACGCTCGTGCAATCGTCGGAGTATCGTGTCCTCAGGCACATCGTCTGATCCATCTCTGTCTGTTTTCCTTGTGCTCGAATGTCTAATACGACTCGGCTTGTAAGGAGCGAATGAATTACACGCTCGGCACTACGGTGATTAGAACATTGTCGATGTGAAGGACGCGAACCACATACGACGATAGAAGATGAACAAGGTCACGCTGGTAACGGCTCTTCGGTAAACCATGATTCTAAACATGCAGAAAACACACACCGGTAAATTCAGAATCATTGCGACATTGATAACAGATATAACTGTGGGGCCATTAATCGCTTACCGTTGACGAAGCGCAAAACGCACCGAACAGATAGGCGTAATACATCACACCTGAAGATACAAAATTGTCAGTGGCACAGGCCTTGCAAGTGGCGCAGAAATACCATCTCGGAATACCACATTAAACAGCGCGGAGTCCCCTCCTGTCTTATCTTTGCGAGGTCCCACACGCATAAGAATAAGTACGACGACGAAGGAAACGTGCGTTCTTACATGCTCTCACGCCCGCGATAAGCATCAAAAGTAGCATTCCTGTTGACTCTCATCAGACCCATTCAGGTGCGATGTTGATAGATGGAACTTGCCAGCATCATAGATCATCAGGCAAGTCCAACACAAATATAATACGTCGTCACTCGCAGTCACAAAACAACCTAGGCTTGGGAGAGGTGCCGGGCCGACTACGAAGGTTAGCCGAGAGTGCTGAGAGAAGATTGGCGACGTACACTTCATCGACTTGAGAAATACACCCATCATGGCAAAATTTGGGGCCCAGCATAAAAGAAAAAACACAGGAAGGCAGAACGTCAGCTTTTTGTTGCATTCCCAGACTGCCCAGACACGAGCGGTGAGGATCACTGTGGACATTAGGATAGGTTTAGGTTACTCTTGAGCAGGACTTGCCTTCTGAGATAGCAATTCCGGTTACGAACATCCCTGCGAACGCGTGAAGTAGTGGGAACCTTTGGGACCAGGGGACGACTCACATCCGCTCATGCTATGACTGATTTGACAATAGCGTATACTCAGTTCAGGAGCGAATTGATCTGGATAAAGATCATGATAATACTTGTTGAGGAAAGGAAAGACACACGGTGGAGTACGAGGATGGCTGTATCGAAGAAGGGCAGATACCGTTGCACGATGTAAAATAGCTTCAGAAGACTCCACGGTGCACGCCACACCAGGTCGACTTCCAGCGAAAGCGTGAGAGCGTAGTCATATAAGAGCAACACGACGCTGGACACTAAGAGAAGCAAGATATAAGTGTCCTGCAGAGGGTATCCACTGAGATATCTACCGTCCATATACTAAACCACGACGTTAGTAAACGAATGAGCCACGACCAACAAGCTACGTACCCCAACAAGCCTCATGTGCTGGAGTGCCGTCTCTATGGAATCGAGGCTTACATCTGGTGAACCCATCACGAGAAGGGGGGACAAGTGGACGGGCACAAAGAGAGGCACCGTGCCTTTATATCTTTAGGGAGATCAAAATGCCCAAGGACTAAGTATGAGAGATGAGAAATTTTTGGTGCTCGATGATCGGGGTCATGGGTAGGCTTTCGCCAATGCGATTTAGCCAGAGCGAGTCGATTCAGGGAGTCTCACAGCCGAGGGCGCGACAATAGAATTATTGCAGACAGTGATGAAACAGTTTGATCCAATCAGTGGGATGCTTTGATAGAGTTCCTCGGTTACCCAATGGGACAAAGAAATTCCAACGTTTAAGCCTGCTTGAACGATATTGTGCCAATACGCGCGTCGCGCAATACCCAGAGCCAGGAGCCTGAGGCATGGAATACTGATGTGACAATTTGCGGCCTCAGAAACTGCAGATTAAGCGCGGAAAGGCAAGTGGAACACTTATAGAAATGAAAGGGGGACAGATACTGGGGCACCGCAACATTCCAGGCATTGATAAAAATGGGTTCGTTGACTCGGTTCCCTTGTGGGAGCGGATCATCGGTCCGAAGGGGCTTTGGCAAGCACACGCAAGCATGATCTCCATCAAGATTCAATTCTGACAAACAATTCTCTTTGAATACTCCCTCCATGGTCCCTCTGCAGCGACCAACGGAATGCTTACAGTCAAGCTTGTAGTTATCGGTGCTTCTGGTGTAGGCAAGACTAGTCTTCGTACTCAGGTTCAGTGTTACATTATTCGCAGAACAGGATGAACCCTAACTTAAATTGAACAGTATATTTCAGGTCGATTTTCGAATGGTTACAGGGCTACCATTGGCGCCGATTTTATCACCAAGACAGTTCATCATCCTACGAAGAAGGATGAGTATGTGACTCTGCAGATATGGGTGCGTCGGTGACTAAAGTTTGGTAGGTGATGCTGAATGTCCAACAGGATACAGCTGGTCAAGAGCGCTTTAGCAGTCTTTCGACGGCGTTTTTCCGCGGAGCAGATGCTGCGCTACTTATGTTTGACGTAAATGTACCTCAGACGATGGAGTCATTGAACAAGTGGTGGCAAGAATTCTGCGAGCGGGCACCCTTGGCAGAAGAGGACGCGGAAGACTTTTGCTGCGTCGTTGTTGGTAATAAAATGGATCTTGCCATCGGAGAACCGGCGGTCACCGGAGATGAGGCGCAGCGCTTCATTGAAACGCTGGTTCCCTCCACGTCGCGGCCGGAAACACCGACAAACTTTGACATTGAAGACGGTGGTGATGACGACGACGCGGATAGTGGCGTCGAATTATCTTCCTCTCAAGTGACAGAACGCCCTATATATTACCATCGACCGTCGTCGCCCCGATCCATACATTATCACCATCCTTCTTCGCCTTCACATTCTCCTAACGGTCGAATCACCAAGGGTCGCTCTCAGTCTTCCTCTCGTTTCCATGGCGGCACGATGACGACAACTCACACCACACTTACTATCTATCATACACCTTCGTCATCCCTTTTTGACGTGTACCAATCTGCGAGGTCGTCACCAGAACCGCCATCCAGTCATTCATCCCCAAGGGCTTCGATTCTGCGTTCCCGACGGTTGACAAATATGTCCACGGGGAGCAATAGCAGCACGAGCGCTGTTACCATGACACCTAGTTTGTTTGCCCTGGAACAATCTTCATCGACGAACACAACACCGGAGGAATCCGTAATGTCTGCGCCGGATCGAGGACCGAGGCTCTTCTACACGTCTGCTAAGACCGGAGATGGTGTCGCGGATGTGTTTGAATATATCGCTCGACGTGTGGTCTTGCGATGGGAGCACGACGAGCGGATAGAGGCTCGGCGGCTGCATATCCGTGAAGCCAGTGCTGCGGATACCATTCGGCTGGGGCTAGAGAGAGGGACGAGTAGAAGCGGCCATTCAAAATGGGGGGACTGTTGCGGTTCATGACTTATACTTCTTCGTTCGTTCGTGGCTCTATTCTCGGCTATTTATTATTTAATTGCACTCCTCTCCAAGTATCTTGCTTATTCTTATCCTATATGTGACTATAGAACCGAATTTCATGGATGGCATTTGTTGATGATTTATCAACACTTTTGGAAACAAAAATCAAGGATATGATGGCATTGAAATGGCCCGTTGAAGAGCCAAGTAAAGGAACTTTGTTTATTACGAGTTTTAGGGCCAAAAACTTAGTAAATAATGTGATCTTGAACTTTTGACTTCTTACCACCACCACCGCCTCTGACTCTGGAATTTTGATGACCGCTATTTTTCCTGCTAGCCTGTTGGCATATAACGTATATTCCGAGTCAACAGATGAAATATCTTGGCTTGGAAACTAGGGCACTGATGGCAATGACTTCAAGTGATTAATAAGGAACAAACTCTAATAGGGTCGTCGCTGGGCTCCGTCTTACATGTTCGATAGGAATCGCTGAGAACGTCGAAAAGACGGTAACCTTCGCAATGCAGAGATACCAGTACCGTACTGGTGGGCTGGCTATGGGTACGTCTTCACTCCGGATGGTCTACCACGTCGAATTCAATGCCTACAGGCTCTAGCCCTCAAGATTATACCAGGCGCTTCCCCATGGATCCCTATGGGCAAGAGATGTCGGACAACGCCCGAGTATGGCAGACGTATGTTGAAGAGGCAGTATCATTCGACGGTGAAAAGCTTGATGAGTACCGAGACACGATTGACGTCCTGCTGGTGTTCGTGCGTGTCTAATAGTTCCTTTGTTTTCATGTTGTAACACCATCTCATCCAGGCTGGTCTCTTTTCTGCGGTATTGACAACCTTCGTGGCCCAAACTTCACAAAATCTGCAGCCAAACTACGGCGAGGCGTCCGCAATTCTTCTCCTTCAGCTTCTCATAACGACAACAAATGGCTCCCAGCCTTTGATTCCATCATCTGCCACGGATTACTTTTCTCCGAACCGCTCAGACGTGTGGATCAACAGCCTGTGGTTTGTCAGTCTGATCCCTGAGTCTTATCACGGCTCTGGTCGCTGTGTTGGTGAAACAATGGATGCACCAATATGTCGCCACAGTCTCCCATAGCTCTGCACGCAATCGGGCCAGAATACGGCAGTCCCGATACATAGGGCTGGAGATGTGGCAAGTTCCCATGATCGTTGGACTCCTCCCGGTCCTCCTCCATGCCTCACTAGCACTGTTCCTTATTGGCCTTATTATATTCCTATTTTCTCTCGACATGAAAGTAGCATGGCTTGTGGCGCTCATGAGTGTTGCAACTCTATTCGCCTATATCTTCACGATTGTACTGCCTCTCATTCATCCCCACTGCCCGTACAAGACGCCATTGACGTTCTACCTTTACCGACCATATCGGTTCGCGCGCAGGGTCACATTTTTCATCGCTCAGTTCATGCACAGAATCGGTCGCGAAGGGAGCAGTCACCCTTCCTGTGTTGTCGTTGACTCCGAGTGTATCACTCCCGTCATCCCTAAAGGAAGCGGAGCATGATCATGCCTTGAAGAATACAGACAAGATAGATGCCGAAGCGCTGATGTGGCTGTACACCTCCACATCAAATGTTTCTGTCCACCAGATTGTCCTGCAATCGCTAGCTGGTGTTACCCTCGGTAGCATGACCTCTTTACCAGATCATGCCCTTGAAACCTTCGGAGCGGGTTTGAATACTCACGTGCAACTCGTCATTCCCCACATATCGTCTGGCGCTGCTGCTGAAGCCTTAGCTGAGCTTTATGTTAGAGCGGCTATGCAGATATGCGCTCTCTCCGAGATTCCATGGAGCATGTCCAAACTCATAGATCGGTGCTCCAGCGAGCAATTGAAGTCTGTGCTTCATTGCAACTGGTCTGTGGGTGCTTCCAGTGTGTCGATCCACCTCCTTGGTATACTCCGTAGTCCGCTTCGTAGCTCGCTTTACCTACACACTTCGGTCTGGCGATATCTTTTGGAAAAGGCGTATATTGACGATGCTCTGGAACTCCAATTTATCCGAATTCTTGCCGCCCCAGCGAGCGACCCAGAGGAGGTGGTTACTATTACCACGATCGTCAAGCCCACGAACGAAATGCGGGAGATTATCCTTTCCTTACTTTCAGCGAGATGGGTGTTCCTTCGTACTATGGAGATATCCCCTGTTGTGGTACAGCCTCAGCTTCGAACTCTGCTGAAAATATTGCCGCTCCTATAGAGGGGACTATTCCAATCAGATTCCGTGAAGCCTGGTGACCCTGCATATAAGGAACGGGAGCAGCTGATCGATACAACCCTCGTCGTCTTTACGCGAGTGAATCGGATCCTCTGGGACGCGGATGATTCCACGGTTGGCATAACCCTCGAATACCTCTTCTCTGTTATCTCCTCTGGTGAGTTTTCGTTGGATGGGCATGACGACAAGTCCATACAAAAGATCTTCGCGACGTTGGGTTCACATTCTTGGTGGATCCGACAGAACCTACCTCGGATTGCAAACGAACAGCTCTGCTCCCATATCTGCCGGTGTTACCTCCTCCAAGATGAGGTCGATTTGGGAAGGGGATATCTTCCTCCTCATGTGGTCCCTTTTCTCGAGCGGGTCCCTATGGATCTATGGGGCCTTCCATGAATATGGAGGTATGCCCGCCCTCTACGATAAATTCCGTGCGCAGGCTCTGCCCCAAACGAGGTCGCGTAGAAATAGACCCATACAGGCCAGCAAGCTGGCAGACTTGTACGCCATTGCTTTGCTGGAGCACCATCAGAACGAGGAGGGAGCTCTCCATATCGATGCTCTCTTCGCCCTTGTCCGACTTCTCGCATACGGTCACCACAAAAGCATGCTTCGGAATTTGGCGAAACTCTATGGAACACTGGATATATGGCGTGAATGCCTTTCAAGGTTGGAGCTGTGGATGAAAGGAGAAGAGTTCCAGCGCGAATGGGCGTTTTTGGACCGTCTTGTTGCGATTCATGTCTTGGAGGGTTACGAGATTGAGTTGCCGAAGTACGATTACGTGGTTTGCGGGAAGGAGTGGCCGGAGGAGTTGGCTTGGCTAGATGGGCGCCTCTGGGAGTTCAGTCCTTCGAGGTGAGTTGATGTTCTTATTTTTGCCAAGTCTTGATTTGCTGATTGGGAATCGATAGTGTGGACGGAGAGCCCCTCTTGGGGCCTTACGCTGTGGAATATTCTCGGGTGCAGTTCAATTCGACTGTGCATTGATGTTGTGTTGACCGCTATGACATGCTAGGTTCTGGCGCATCACACGTTTCGGGACTTCGTGATGAGCCTACCTGCACGAGCCCGTCTGTTAAGGTGTTAGAGGATGAGTATATCGTCTCTGCAGTCACCTGGTTTTGCTGGCTATCGGGCAGGCGCTTTGCACAGGCTTTCGGTAGCAGCGATGTAGATGCGCAAGTCAACAAACGTTGGTTGAAATATGTTCTTCATGATATTTGCTATCATCGGAACCCAAGTTTCATGCCACAACGATATTGGATTTGCTCCGAGCTCGCTATGTAACTACTTGCTTCTCAGCCTCCGTTTGTGACTTGGTTTTCAAACTGAGCGAATGCAATCCTTCTGCGAGCTCCGTTGACAGTGCAGAGTAAATCATGCGGTGACGTTGCATCGTGCTCTATAAGTAAAGTTGGACACGGTATAGGTATACAAAAAACTGTGGTACAGACCTTGCCTTCGAAAACATTCGAGGTGACGTCTATCGTGAAATCTACGAAACCAGAATATGTTAAAGATGTTAATCTGAAGTTCTGCTAAAAGACGCACGAGTTTCTGGCTCTCCGTCGGATTTATGGTCACGCATGGCGGCGTGGTGACGATGCTTTCGGACGCACGTTCAGGCCAAAGGAAATGAATCGGAAAGGTAAAGAAATATTTTGATTAGACGACAGATGGAAACAAGCAGAAAGCCTACCTGCCAGGAATCATTGGTTATGTATAGCGAAGTCGGTTGAAGAAGGTTCGTCAGCTAAATACTCCCTGAGATGCTGTTGGACGTTTTCAACAGAAAGATAGAACCTTTTCTCGTATGGAAGATTCGATGGGTCCTGACGGTTTCGAAGATGAATCAGTGACGGTGCTAGCAGTGGCCATAGAACTTGAGAACTGTCGGCGAAGGTGAGAGATGCGCGAGGCGGTCAGGCGAAATAATGTCAATGACATGGACGGAAGAAGGAAGGATCGATTTGTCATCTTCGGTTGCAGCCGTGGGGCATCGGATGGTCGGTCCGAGCCTCCTCCTCCTTGCTTTTGACTGCACGTTACAATATTACTTACTATTGCCTACGACTGCACGCAGGTAAATGTAAGTGCATCTTACCTCCCGAAGAACAATGCATAACTTCTTCCTTCAGACATCCTTCACTGTCTTAGCCGGTCACGCCTGGCAAAACTACACATCAGCATCCAGGGCTGGTAGGGCATGGTACGCTTTACGGTGCTATTCCAAGTTCAAAATCTATTGAAATCGTGACAGAGATACCATACTGTATCAGCTGAAAAGGTAGATATTCGGATAAGTGGGATTTTCTACTAAAAAACCCGGACTTAGGACAATCGTCTCATCGTCTCATGAGAATCGACAGGTGAACTGTTACGCGTCTCGAATAATTCTCTTTGTACGGTAATCTTTCCTTTTACTATCGTCAACTCAGTATTGAATCCGGAAAATGATCCAGAAAAAAACTGCCAGCATCCTTGCGAGACGTTTCATCTCCTCAAACACCTATTGCTTTTACGTCATGGCTACATACTATTCGTCTGTCTGCTGCGTCAATAATTAGGTGTTTTCATCTTTATTACGGAGATGCATCTACTTCTTTTACGACACGAGGAACCGCGTCTCGGAGCCGACTTTCATGGTCTCATGCAATGCTCAACCCGAGCCCAGACCATGGAGATTCCAAGTTCGGTCCAGAATGACGAGCCGACCATCCTTTCTCATGTTGCATTGTAAGGTCATCCCTTACAAGCCCTTGAGCCTCATCCAGCCAAATGATAGTGCCTGAATCCTGTAGTTGTATTTGAAGAAGAATATCCCTCTGAGAATTCTAAGGAGTTTCCCGAGACCTAAGGTGAGTTGCATGGCACCCTTTCATTTTACATGTGAAACTTAGTATCTGATTCGCATAGAAGAAAACAAGAGTTCCGAACATGAATGCATGAAACTGCACGAAGGTCGAACCTCGCATGCGTGCGTCTATACATAACCTCGACGTTGATTAATGTACTGACTTTTAAGTAATCTTCTGGGTGGATACATTCGAACTGTCATTTTGTTAGTCGTGCAATACATAATTATCCTGCGCTAAAATTACAGGCATGCATAAACGGGTCTACGTATTACGGAGTTAACGCTTGCCTAATGAATGTTTGCATAGGTAGCGACATTCCGATGGCCAATTTGGCGACGTAACCTGCCTTGGACAGTCACCGGATCAGGGATTTCCCTCTTGGACAAATTCAGCTAGTGCACTACGAAGAACTTGGAAGACACAGAAGTGATGGCATGTTGGTAAGAAAAGAAGTTGATTGAAGTTACAACATGCTACACAACAGCTGCACGAGATCCCTCGTGGATCTGGATCAAATTCGAATCCCTCTTTATACGAGAAGGTACTTGCAAGTAGAAGCTTGACAGAGGAAACAGACTCGTCAGCCCAAGCCTATGGCCTAGTACTTACAAAACAGTACGGCTCTAAAATATACCATGCGTAGCCTTCCAAAGGTTTGTTACTTATTAGGATGGCAAAATCCGTTCGATTTGAAAAGTACTGGGGGACAAGTGACCACCTTTGAAATTCCGAGAGAACGCTCTCCGGCGACTGGAAGGTTCCTCAAGGCCATTGCTTACTGAGCAATGTGAGAGCTGCACTTTGCTGGTGGCATTCATTGAGGGAGAGGAAGGTTCTTGTTCCGCAATGTCGCATCGAGCTTGGTGGCCTTGGACGTCTGTAGTGGAGTCGTTGAGAGGATCCGCTTTGATTTCCCTGGAAGTGATGTCAGTATTTGTCTGTATTTTATTTAGGGGGATTTCTCGTCAGGGCGAAGCGCTGTCACGTCACAGCTTTGTCACACCTCTTTCCTCCGTCCATATTACTTCGTTCTACTCGTCGTCAACCTCGCCTGAAGCGTGAATAGGACCAAGAGTCGGCTGAGATACCGAGAATTTCGCATCAAGTACGGTCAAAATCCCACAGAACGCCCTCAAGAGGCAGCCGTATCAAATCCAGTCTCATCGAATATTTGCAGCGTTCACGTCCAATTTCTTCTTTGTTGTAGCATGTGAGAGACTGATTTATGCGGCCTTTGTATCAAATTAATGTGGCATTTTATCAGCAGGTTTCTGTACCTAGATTGGACCACGACAACACAGACTACGCTTAGCTCACGGTGTGTCTACCTTCGACAAGCGTTCATTTTGCATTGAGAATTGACGCTGAAAGTATAGAATTTGATTCATGTCAAACAAGAACTCGCGCCACACATCTCCATCATCTTCTGCTGCACATCATGGTCCCAAACTTCCCAAGTTCCTGCACAAACCGTCCAGTCGAGATAGGTCAAAATCTGGAAGTGATCCGATTAGTGGCCAGGACGGGGACAGTCCCACTTCGACCTCCTCAGCAGAACCCGCTCCTGTTCCTTCGTCGTCGAAACATTCCCACCATTCGAGAAAGTCAGGCAAATTTCTGAGCAGTGGAAAGGAGAGGGAGAGGGAGAAGGAACCAGTGCCTGGGATACCTTTGGCCGTCGAACGGGAGGAAACACCAGTCATTGTTGAACCAATGAACATACCACGCTCCCGGACACTGTTCTGAACGGCCAGGAAGCTCAGATATGCAGTATAACGGTGCCTCGCTTTACGCCCCGAGCTCTCCTTCATCGTCCCGAATGAGTGACCTTCCCACCCGGCTATCAGGCTGGTTTTCGCACACTTTCAATTCTTCTTCAACTACCGATCTTTCCCTACCTACAATTCTTTCTCATCATTCCACTCCCAATACTGGCGCTCCTGGAACATCTCCCCCGAACAAGCTCTCTGGCACCGCCGCTTTGCTCAATGTAGCAAAGCATGGGAAAGGCCACATTGACAAAGCTATGCGCTACCTCCTCGATAGCGATGCCACTCCTGATAAATGTACCGACGTCATCTGGCTACTGGGCGTCCAACATCCGGGCTATGAGCCACCACCACCACCTTCATACCCAGCACCGTCGGCAGGTGGGCGGCGTAGCTCAATCGACTCCCGCCGCCATTCTCCCTCTGTTCGTTCTTCAACATCATCCAGTTCATCTCTTGATGTCTCCCTTACTGCTTCGCAACCTGCCAAGCATCCCGGCGCTCATTGGCCTCCGGTTTTCTATGCTGATTTCACTTCCCGAGTTTGGTTGACATACCGCTCGCACTTTACCCCGATAAGAGACGGGCGCCTCGGCGACCTTAGCGTTGAGTACAATTCATACCAATCAGACTCTAGCGCCAGTAGCCCTACGGCGACGGTGAAAAAGTGGAATTGGGGATCTATGGTGGGCGGGGAGAAGGGTTGGACGAGTGACTCTGGTTGGGGTTGCATGTTACGGACCGGCCAAAGTTTGTTGGCTAATGCTCTGGTTCATCTTCATTTGGGACGCGGTCAGTGCCGTCCTGACTCTCGCGACTATTGAAGCTGATCGACCTTGCCTGATAGATTGGCGGAGACCGCCGCATCCAGTACACACAGCGGACTATGCGACCTACGTGCAGATCGTGACATGGTTCTTGGATACGCCTGCTCCTGAAGCTCCTTTCAGTGTTCATCGAATGGCGTTGGCAGGTAAGGAATTGGGGAAGGATGTTGGACAGTGGTTCGGTCCCAGTACTGCTGCCGGTGCCATCAAGTACGCGTCAGATGCTATTTTCAACTGTTCAAGCCGTCTAATATAGCATGCTTTAGGGCTTTAGTCCGGGCGTTTCCAGAATCGGGAATGGGCGTGTCTGTGGGGACCGATGGAGTGCTTTTCCAAAGTGATGTATTTCAGGCATCGTACAGCTCACGTCAGAGATACCACCATGGGAAGCCTCCTGCACAGTGGGGAGACAGGCCTGTTTTACTTCTATTGGGTATACGACTCGGATTGGATGGGGTTAATCCTATTTATTATGATACCATAAAAGTATGTTCCCTGTTTCGTCCCCGATTTCACTACTAACAGGTCACCCAAGTTACTCTATACTTTCCCCCAGTCCGTCGGCATTGCCGGTGGCCGTCCGAGTTCGTCATACTATTTCGTGGGCTCACAGGCCGATAACCTGTTTTATCTGGACCCTCATCATGCGAGGCCGGCTATCCCTCTGAGGTTGCCTACAGAAGCTAGTTCACCGGACATTGAAGCAGATCATCGGAAGAGAGCCAAGAGGGGATCATCGTCAACAGGGTCGTCAGCGGGCCACCAACGTGCGCCTACGTCACCTTCCTCGTCGATTCGCACCGGATCCTCGACATTTTCTTATCATGCGCCGACCTCCCCATCACCTTTGCAGCATCAGTTCTCGGAGTCTGGATCGTCGTCGTCGTCGTCGAACCAGTACCAAAGTCTGTCCGAAATCGACCAGAGTGAAAACACGACAGAAGGGAATTTGGACCGACTGCAAGAGCATTTTGTGAACGCCTACAGCGCCGCGGAGCTGAAGACGTTCCACTGCGAGCGTGTCCGGAAGATGCCATTAAGTGGGCTGGACCCGAGCATGTTGATAGGCTTCTTGTGCAGAGATGAGGCTGATTGGATCGACTTTAGAAGCCGAGTGGGTAATGTGAGTTTGACCTTTTCCATTTTGAATATTGTCTCTGATGTCAGATGCAGCTACCTCGTACGATATTTGCTGTGCAAGATGAGCCACCGACATGGCCCTCTGATTCCGATGATAACATGGGACTGGAGAGTATCTCCGATCCGGATGATTTGGACATGGACATGGAGGAGGAGGGTGAGGATGAGGACCGGGAGCTGGACACCCGGTCCGCTTCGACCTCCAGTGCACATCTCAGTAGTGCCTCGACCTCGAGAACTAAGAGCGAAGAGCTGGATACTGAAGAGGATCCTGTTGATCCAATAACGCCTGGTCCAGGGTCCAAGTTTGAGTTACCTGATCCCCCGGGTTCAATTAAGCTGCATGAACGGCCCAAGGCGGAGGAGGGCGGTGCGTTTGTTGAAGCACTTGATGACATGGAGGATGACGAGGAGTGGGTGGATCCTGTGCTTACGCCGACAGCCATGCCCCCGCCTCCTCCTCCTCCAGCAAAGAAGAAGAAGGGGAAGAAGAAACAGGTTCCTGTACCTGTTCCGATGGTGAACTTTCCGTCGGCGCCTGGTGGGGAGGAAGGTGGACGGGGGGATGTTTCGCATGAACGGCAGAGGAGGCAGTCGATGGGCCTGAGCTTGAAGATGAACAACAGTCGGGGAAGAGATGGGGGGAGGACTCAGAGTGGCGGGGTGAAAGGTGTGTTAACAGGGGATTAGGCTTATGGATGGATAGTCTTCGTCTTCTTTTTTTGATATGTTGTGACTTATGTTTGAACATTTATTGTAATCATATGGCCAAGCTTATAGGTCTTACAGGCTCAAGATTTCTTAAACATGCAGTGCTCTCATTTGCAGGAGGTTAATGGATATGTATGGGCGAGAGGTAGGACCGGGGAATATTGTCGCTATAACGTCGGACGATATGATATGGAAGCTCTCCTCGGAGGCTGGATGGCTTGGCGGGCAGCTTGGTGAGGCTTGGTGGTGGTGGTGTTACCGCGCCGGGTCCCATTAAGAAACGGCCGGGTCCATATCCCTGACATGGCGAACCGACGGTGAAAAATAGAAACGAAGCGATCACGTGCTGGACAGCAACGCGTCGGATTTTAATCCGTCTAAAAGCCGAAAAACAGTCTAGGCACGCCTCTAGAATACTTCTCTTCAATCCGGAGTGCGTCGAACATCTTGTGATATGTAAAAAGTCGAAGGGGGGAAGGGCTGTAACGTTGAAGGTCCGGAACACAATACATGCATATGGACAAGCAACATTTTACATATTACGGGGTTGTACTTCCAAAGGATAGTGATATACAGTCCACGAGGCTTTTCAGCGGTTAAGTAATCTGTACCATGTATTTCTAGGTGAAGTCTATGTATACTTATTGGCATACTTTTCTTTTAGAAGCTAACGGAGCGCTTAAAAACTAACTGGAGGTCAAATGCTGGTTGCTGTGTGCCGTACAGGGACTGAACATAATGCTCAGGATGGACGGCTTTCTTCAAGGTAGTACCTCGAAGAAACGCCGGAGAAACTCAGAGCCTCGGTTGCGAGGACGTCGCCCGAAAGATGAAATCTTTTTTGACATGAGACAGTTGCGAGAGAGGCTACCTTAGACTTTCCTCGACCGCCTTCTACAAATTCGAGTCTTTCTGTCGTTGATTTTGTCAGGAATCGGTAGAAGATATCCTGACCGACGAAAGACTCACTTTACATGATAACTGTACCATATGCCAAGTTGAAATAAACATTTGTCCTTCCTGTTCAGTCTATTCCGTCACAAACGGCACGTTTCAGCATGCGGTGACTTGATGTTAAATAGACGTTCAATGGGCCCTGATTCTCCACTTTAGCTTGCTATCATTCAATGATAGCCATCTTGTGAATTGCGTCTCCAGGGGGGGTGTGAGCTTTTCCATGATCGCCGAGCCCTGGATTGGTTGACGGGTATTCCAATTTTAGGCTCTCCCATCTAATAAGTAGACACCCAATCTGTTCTTCTGCTCACAGCTGACATGCTTCTTCGACACCTCCCCTCGCTCCTTGCGCTCCTTATTCTCCTGTTCTTGGAAGCGTCAGCGCAGCCTATACCCAGCGATGTCCGTGTTACCGTACTACCTGGCTTTATACCATTAAAGGAGGGATTTCATGATGGAGCACCACGGAGATATTCCGTCTCAGCAGGAACTGAGCCTCTCGAGTACGTCTTGTTATTCTACTTGTCCTGGTGCTCACCATCGATTCTGCTCCACAGGACATATCCAGACAAAGTATTTACGGAACAGCATGGAAGTGACCTTGCTATGTCACAAACAGACTATGAATCACAACCATGGCACAACGTCGTACGTTTCCTTATCTTTCTATGGTAAATCGTACTTATCACGACAACCAGGAAGCGGTGGAAGGTCCAGGAGAGGGCTACCTCTGAAATGCGGAAGTTTCATTCGTTTAGTTTCTGGACTGGTTTCCGGAAGACGATATTGGCGGAGAACGCATAGGATCTTGGTCGAAAGGCGCGGCGGTCAAGACCATACGAAATTGGGATGTCGGGGACCTCCCCTGTGGGAACGCCACATGAAGGGCAGTGTATGACAGGGCAATATATCTACATATCATTATATGACCCCTTATCCTTCATTTGAAAAGTCCTTTGACGAAGGGAGAATGATGGAACTTGACAGCCTTCGTTAAACTGTCCAATCTGCACTTTCTATTTGTCCGTAAGATACATAGACCAGCGAAAAAATTAGAAAGTGTGATACATAGAAAGGCAGATTATTACTTGCGTTGTACTACAAACGGTGAAATCAGAAGCGGTCACGCTGGAAAGGTACTATCCAACTAAATGGACTGTCGAAGCCTTGTTGTTGCCAGTTTGCATGGCACTATCTTTCATCCTCGTCATAGTCGCATGAAGGGTATTCGCTTGTGCGCAAGTCTGCATGTACATATCTTCCTCTGTCATATACACCTTTGGGAGATTCTTCGGAACAAATGTCGTGCAACGGTATCCACGACGGCAGGGATGATCAAAACCAAGGCAAGAAACGCTGCTCCAGGATAATCGCGTTCCAATGCCGTGGCAATGCACCTGTCGCAAGCATAGTTAGGGAGGCAACGGAAATAACGTTGGCGTTTTCCTCTTCATCCAGAACTCGGGGAAAGACATCTATGAAGAAGGATGTCGAATCGGACACTGTCAGAATGAGGTCTTCTGAAGTCTGAGATGAGAGAGTTGAAAGAAACGAGCATAGACGTCCAGATAAGACTTTGGCCTTGATGCATTGATGGACAGTGCAACCAGAAGATTAGGGTTCAGATATTCATCTACCGCGGTGGCCATGATGGTGGTTCCAAGAGTTTATAATTGGTTTATATAAGTTTTATATAAGTATCTCGGAACTTCCGGACCGAGCTCTCAGCTCTGACTATCTCGGTTCATTCATCAACATTTCGCGTCTTTGTTCCTCGTCGCTAGGGCTAGCTTGCATCTTCGAGGAATCATACTGACTTCCAATGTTGTATTTGTCTTACTTAGAAGGCATTGTGTCATCGCTAAAGGAGAACAGTACAACAATCAATATTCAGATGGCATTGAATTCGACACACCTATGATACTCAGTGTTTGACACTATCATACGGAACGAGCGGTACATTGATTCAAAGGGGTGCTTGGATCGGCGGGCATCAATACTGCAGGACCAGGAACTTATTATTCAAGGGAAACATATAATAGCTGAGAGGGTAAATTTTATAATTAAAAATTTGTCAAGTCTCATCTCGAGCAAAACGGTAGACATGATAACATACAAAATACGATGACGTTGTATAGGGTATATTAAGGACGAAATCACCTTGTATAGTCTCCAATGATAACAGACTTGCTGTTCACACAACGGTAACCACTCTGTGAGGTCCACTTTTGGGATGAACTAACCCCATACCAATAGCCCAGTCATCTCTGTTGCTCATTTCAACCATTTCCTTCGCCATATCCAACCTCCGGTAGTACTTCTTTGGCTCTCCTTCTTTCTGCACAATGCAGTCGTACATTTGCAAACATTGCGTGAAAGAATTGCTCAGAGTCAAAAATGTGACAGAGCAGAGTAGCAAGCATGCCAGGAGCAAGCTCCCAACTGTTGATGCGTTGAATGCGAGGATGACGGCGGCATAAACGAGTACTGTGGAGAGCATTACGGCAACGCTCTCCACAGCAGAAACATCTCGAAGCCATTGGCCCGCTGTTACGGTCTTCAGATCATTTATCGTCCCCCGCAAACGTACCCAGCGATCCTGGGTCAGTAGTATGAGGAGATCACCGTCCCCATCCTCTTTCGCGCCTTTCCACCCCGGCTTATTTCTCCGCCAGATGATGATCACGTTGATCAACCTGGCCAAAACGAACATCCCTATCACCGTGCACCCCCACCAATCTCCAATGGTGGCCAGAAATACGAAAACGGTGACAGTTGATATCGGGCATAAGAGGTACAAAAGAGTCGCGGGGACGCCAGTAGTGAACAACGATTGGAAGACCTGGTTTTTAAGGGATAGATCGCTGTTTCGGGAGGGATGTTGGGACACCTGGGCTGTGACGAGGTGGCCAGCTTTGCCAATGCTTTGTAGGTAGCTGACAGCTGCGGGATTTTCAATGCGAAAGACGTATCCACTGGTCATGGCGCCAGCCATAGGAAATTCACCGTGATTGACTTCATCGGCACACTGTTGTTTATGCATCCCTGGCACAAGGACAAGTGCGTCTAGAAAGGAGGCGCTCCCTGTCAACGCCGTCCTTACCGTGGCTGCAGAGAGGTCCGCGAGGGCGACAAGCCCTGCAGCTTCGAGGGTGACAGGACTTGAGATAGTGGAAGTCCTGAACATGGGAGGAAACTGGTGAGAAGTCTAGAATTCGAGTTCAAATAAAGGAGAAAAGTGCTGTTATTGAGAGTTAGGAATCTTAAAAGCGATCGTGGAAGGAGAATCGGCTCCATCTTTGCAATGTGAAGCTGTCGAAAAGAACGGCCTTTCACAGCCTCTTAGCAGACCAGGCTGTAGTGAAATGGACGCTCTCGCGATTCGAGCTGTTGAATTGAATACAGGGTAACATAGTTGTGAGTAGTATAGCACGTATGCGGTACACTGCATAGCCTGCAACATGTCAATAAAGCGTGTTCTGCCAGCGTATAATGAAAGTACCTTAGCTGTATGAGGCAGTGACTGAGCTAAGGTCTTCGTAAGAAGTGATGATGGCGAAGAATACATCTGTTATAGCACTTATACGACAAAAGATGATGGGGACGAAAGACAACAGCTTCGGCTATTTCCGGTCTGCCTTCTTCCGACTGGCAATCAGGAAATTTGACGCTTAACAGCTCGAACATGCCCTTTCGCATTTTTTACACGAGTTTTCAAGACCGAGGCGATACTAATGATGTACAGCTTACAGCGTTGCTCATGTATAGCATCATTTTGTTGCCTCGACTCGGAGAACTCCATGCCGTACGGGCTCATCCGACTATGCGGTACCCAATTGCGCTGGAATACAAAGGATGCTTTTGGACGACGAGTATGAATTCACTGACAATAAAAATTTGGTTGCAAACACGTGAGATCTCCGCCCTACAGCAATACATCTCAAAGCTCGAGCGTCACAGATGCCGGGGGGCTGTAGTTGATGAAGGAACATTCAGGAAATGAGCTTGGCGCGTATCAATCTAGACACTGCATCGTAAATTTCTGATGTTCTCATTTGCATACAGAAGCACTCGGCATCAATGGTATTACCTGAATATATTAGTAATTACCCAGGGTCAACGTCAAAGCACTTACTTTTAAATCTTGTCTTCTAACGAGCTTTCGCCACCACATAAACCTATTGTTTCTAACTTCAAGTTGTTACACTTTGCCTGACGTCCGATTGACGCTCTCCATGCTCAGCACGTCCTCCATGTCAGGGTCTCTCACCCTCCAGGCCGCTGGGCTCGTTGCCCTCGCAGACCTTTCTGTTGTTGCTCAGAGGACAGCACTGATGGGAACGGCCTCGTACCTCGACATTCTTGTCCTTGCACCAGGTATGCATCAACAGCAGTCCGCCGACGAAGTCAATCGTGGTGAATATCCAATGACTGGTTCGATGACCAAGGGCAACGTTTTCCGCGTCGAGAATCCTGCTACGGTCAGATACCTACAAAACATTAGTCGCACGGGCTGCCTCGTTACAGCCGAGGTATCATTAAAACCACCCTCCCACAAGTCGCTGATAATCCCCCTTTGGGATAAAGATTTATCCCCATTTTACTTCGCCGGCGCACGCGCGGCTGTGCTATACTTTCTTTGCCCGGTACTCGCCGTCATCGTTTTTACACTCCTGGGAGCCATCAGAGATTGGTGGGGATTAGCGGTCCTCGTGACACTCGTTTTCGCTAGATGGATCAACGTGGTCGTTATCAAGCGCAGAAGCCGAGAGGATTGGAAGGGGGCGAAAGAAGAGGGTCGCGATGATCTGTTCGTGCTCCTGAGCCAGGATCGTTGGGTTCGTTTGCAAGGGACAATAAATGACCTAAAGACTGCGACAGCAGGCCAGTGGTTGCGCGAACCGCATTCTGGGGAGAGCTTCGCTGTAGGGTTGGCTACGCTTTTGGTCTACTCATCGGCGGCTCTCGCCGGTAATGCGTCAACGGTAGGGAGCTTGCTTATCGCATGTTTGCTGCTGTGCACCGTGGCTCTCTTAGCTCTTTGCAACTCTTCGACAAGATGTCTGCAGATGTATGACTGTGTTGTGCGAGAGGCCGAAGGGTCATTGAAGGAGTACCCGCGTAGAATGGAGATGGTCAAGTACCTCATTCACGAGACCCGGAGAAGTGATTGGGCGCTTGGGATGGAGCTTATCACATCTGATGAGCGGGCGAAGATTGTCAAATCTATGCCACCGTCTAATGAGCCCACGGATCGACCATTATCAATGCATCCGTCTCTACCGCTGTCCAGCCATGTTGACAGGAATAGCCTTTGATTTCTATCATTCACAGTTCTTCCCCGCTTATCAAGTCTTGTCTATCATTTTTATATCTAAGTACTATAGAATAATATAATGAAACACGGTTTACACATACAATGTATAATGAAGCGTTACGATTGCAGGGTTTTGGTGTTGACCACCTGCAGAGAAATGATTGAGAGGTAGGCGAGGGTAGGCGGGACTTAGAAATGCATTGAGACGGTCATACATTAAGATAAGCGATGTTTGGAACACGGTGCACGGTGCACAGCAGCTGTATAAGAAGAGAGCGCACAATGAGAGATCCGAATATGCAGCCACAAAAAGAGACCGATGGTCTTTCACATTTGGAAAGGATCTGTCAGCTTATCGTAAGAAACGAACAAAGATGGACACACCGCGGACTTGATTTTGATTGTGGCTTTCCATCTTGATCTCACAAAGGTAAGTATACCAAGCGGTTTATAAAGAATATGTCTTCAAAACACTCACCTCGATAGATGACTACGATTAAATTTGAAGCACCAGCCCTTACGAAGGAAACATGGTGCGAAGTCGGCATTATTTCTTGTCTTCATCGATTACTTGCTGACGTCTTATATAGCTAATCCAATACGGACTTTTCGTTCCCTTTTTCAAGCTCGGCGGATACTTCATCCCGTTCGGACGTCGCGAAGAAGTGGGTAATCGAGGACGCGCCAGAATTACAGGGTCCCATAGATATGGACCTCACGGGGCAATCGGCTAACGCTCTTTTAGGGAAGAAGAGGAAAGCGCATCTCTTCAATGCCTACGAGCTGGACGTCGCCTCTGTTCGCGAAGATTTGTACGTGTCCTCGAGTGTGACGCTGCGCATACCAGGCGCATCTGTGAGGACTATACTCCTCCAACACAGTCGGGAAGAAGAAGAGGACGCTGGGAAAGTGCAGGACTGCACGTACTATCCCAGAAAGTGGAACGAGGGAAGCGTACGACGCGAAAGTGTGGTTGGAGGCTGAGATGAAGCGATTTAATGTGGAGATCAGATGGAGCACGGTGGCTGATGTGAATACGGGAAGAACGAGTGAAGTAAACAGGAAGCCACCAGAGGGCTGTTATTCGCGATATTTTGTTTTAAATTCAGACAACTAGGACTAGTCGAGTCCTAACCTTGGCCTGACGTGCACTCACTGCCTCACGGGATGGTCCAATCCTCGCGTCCCGCGAGTGTGTCAGTTATCCGCTCAAAGGTGGCCATCTGATAATCCTCAGGCATCATCTCTTCGGCAACATCGGTTGAAATCCAAAAGCTTTCGAAACGGCCCGCAGGCCCGTGTGATCAGATTAAACGGAAAGCATAGTACCAGAAAGAGCTTCTTCGTGGGTCCCAAGTCTCACAAGTTTGACACCGATAACAACACGAGGACATTTCCCGCGCTACCTCCGGTTTTTTCTCCTTTTTTTTTTTGAAAGAATTTTCTCAGTTCTGAGAAGCGTATATAATCCTATTTGATATGAACCTTTCTATAACAAGGGTGTCAAGACGAATGACTACCAATCAGTTTAGTGCACCTAACCTCGCGAAAAGAACACCAGCGTGGGCTGAGATAAGTTTTATTCTCGTGTACGCGTGCACTTGCATCCTGCGGCGTGTCGAAGGCTCGTATGCGGAGGCGATCCTCCTTCAGAGTACGGTGGAGTACGAGTACATTGCACGGCCGCTGGAATGTACACGCATACGACGCGGAGAAGATTGCGATGCGAAAGAGTGGCTGGAAAAGGAGATGAAGCGATTTGGGGTGGAGATCAGTTGGAATACGGTGGTCGATATTTTACGCAAAGTATTCGGCCCAGGCTCGTGCCATGCCAGGGAGGCAGCCAAGTCTATTTCCTCGGTGAATTAGTCATCGCACAATAGAGATACACAGTGAACATCTAAGCGGCAGTTTCGACTTGAGATCGTTCCGATGAATCGTAAACGTGAGATACCCTATGTCCGTCAAGAATATCACGACCAGCGTTCGAGGTCCAGATAAATGCGGTTATCGTCATATAGCTGGATGAACGCCGCATGTCCTACGTAAACAGCAGGGACGCCTAAAGCTTGCAAGCAGGTACATCGGGTTGGGAAGCCTGGGTCCCACGGAAAGAGAACATGCAGAAGAAATGCAACGTTCGTCATTATAGAAAAGGGTCGGAAGCAAAGAGGCCAAGGTAAACACTATGCAACAGTACGTGTTTTGTACGTGCAATAGGAGAGACGTGGCTGCTGGTGCACCCCGAGAGTAATTGAGAGCGCTTTACGTTCTTGAGCGGGTCGGCTGGGCTGAAACTGCACAGTTGAGGGTGTTTGCCGACGCGTAGCTTTTGAAGGTGATACCGGTCTATCAAAAGTTCAGGTTAACATGTTATACAATACTCAAAATAACGTTAACATACACATTCTGTCCTTTCACAGACGATGTTGATGATGGTACGGGATGAGGATATGTACCATCACGTGCGGTATCCGCCATCGATTTTCCGCTTGCGGATCCCGACTTAGGAGCCTCTTTGCCGCATCTACATCCATGTCCACCTCAGAAAATTCGGAACATGCTATTCTGACCTATGTACAAGTCAGTAAGAGCATTGAAAAACTGACAGAACACCACAAAAGCCTCGTGGTGAAACGCGACTCACCTGTTTCAAAGGCCCTGAACAGCGTCGTCTCTTGCCCCTTTGTCTCCTTCACCCTCGATTACCTCAATGGTGACTGCAAGTTCCGAGGCCCGAATGACACGCCCTTTGGTACACTCGGCTCCCCGAATGTTGATGCCATTCGCGCCCAAAGCGAGCCGTCTTCGTTCGGCAAGGGCGACCAGACGGTCACAGACCCCGCCTACCGTGATGGACGCGAGATCCGTGGAAAAGACATCACTTGTCCGTCCAAATCGGATTATACCGCCTCTCTTCACTTCCTTCTTCTCGACCTCAAGACTGTCCTAGAGGCGACCCTATTCGTGGGCAAGGAAGTTGATGTCCGGCTGTACAAGCTCGCGATGTATGATGAAGGCGGTCACTTTGACTGGCACCGCGACTCGACCCACGGGAAGAACCATCACGCCACTGTCCTAGTCGCGCTCAACACATCCTGGTCAGGCGGCGCGTTCCAACTCCGGCACGACGGTGAGGAGATGGTCGTGGATATACATCCCAAAATCACCGGCGCCGAAGAGCCCCAGCCCTACATCAATCTCAAAGCCGTGGCATTCTACACCGACGTGGAGCATAAAGTTGAGCCCGTCACGTCGGGTGTACGGTTAATCCTCCAATACGATGTGCTCGTCTGTACGCCGAAAACTGGCCCGTCGCGCCTTGCTTATACTCCTGGGGAGTACGACTTTTCGACTCTCGATGTCGTGAGCGGAAAATCGCGGATGGATTTCATGGGAGAGGATTATCGGCCTGGGCCACCACACGACAACGAGATCCAGTACCCATCCTCTTCTCCTAGCGACGTCCAGGCTCTCGTTGAAGCAGTTCAGAAAGTCATCTCTAGTGGGACAGAAGAGATAGGCATCCCGCTCCGCCATCTCTATCGGCAATCCAGCATATGTAAGGAGTACCTCAAAGGGGTCGATGCTGTCATATATGCTGCGCTCAGTGCTGTATTCGACGTGTCGCTGGTCCCCGTGATCCTGCGCGAAAATACGGAACATGTATACTCAGAGTGGACCGAGTCTTCGGAGCCTAAGTCGATTATATCGGTGTATAAGGTTATTGAAGGGAATGGGGACGAGGAGGATGACGATGATGATGATGAGGGTGCCCGGAAGAGGGTGAGACGATCCACCGAGTTTCATTTGAGCGGCGTTTCGGACCTCGTGGAGATCAGCAGGAAGGAGTATATCGAACATACGGGCAACGAGGCGCAGGAAGCAGAGTACAAGTATTTCGGAGGAGGAATGTTCATCAAGGCTAAGAAAGCGTAGTTGGAATTCATCTTTTCAAAGCCTTGCATGGCAAGATTTTCGTATCATTGTCAACTCAAGTTGTGTTCGGATGGACGGAGGAATGAGGATTTTGTTTGTGCATGTTGGGATCTATGGGCAACCATGAGTCCAAACTTCGTTCTCTTCCTTCTATGATCAACCGACGATGACCCGGACTCTTTTCTCGTATTTTTGGGACGCGGCGCTCGTCGCTGACCAGTGGCCCACTTTGTCATCCTTAAATAACTCGAGACTATCCACAAAGCGATGTAGTTTGCACTACTCACCGTTCACAAAGTCCTACCTTGGCACCAGGTACAGAACTTTTCTAGTTCGGTGTGTATTCGTTTCGCGTACTTCTACTGTAAATTCAACTCTAACAAAAACGTAACCATAGTTGACGTATACCGTACTCAACAATGCTCCAAATCCTGCGCACCATACCTCGAACGACGCCGACAATCGTATTCCTCGATTCCTTCTTAGGGCTACCGAATTATTGGATTTGAGGCCTTTCAAAACGTACATGCTGCAGATTGGAGCGGAACGCAGAGAGGATGGTCAATCCGTGTGGACTCGAAGGCTCTGAGGGTGACGTCTGATGCTCGATGTTGGATATATGCGCGACCAAAGAGTCTACGGTGCATCTGGAAGAGTACGATGATGATGTCTCGTGTATCTGAGTAGGCACTGGCTGACGGAGGGGCTCAGTGAGATGATGAGGTGGAAGAGGAGGGTTTGCGAAGGCAGGGTCCAAACTTACCAAGAGAAGGTACGCTGGTTGGCCAAGTCAATGCCTGCAGGATCGTCTCAACCAGCTCTCCATGAAGCACCGTCCGTCATGGATCAGCTATTGTCGACATTGGAAGTTCGGTTTAAGGGCGAATGTCGATGACAAAGACCCCGAATAAATGCTTGGCGACGTTATTAGCATACCAGCATCCAGGACAAACGGAGTCACTCACGATAACCCGTCAAAGAATGCCACGGTGCCATCACGACGATGAAGAAGAGAAAGGATGGCTCTCAGAGGTGTGTCGCTTTTACTTCTTTGAATGGTGACTATGCTGAGTTCTTCTTTCAGAGTGCCGTACAGTACATATGGCGTAGCCGTTTCGCAGGCTTGACTATGCCCGAGAGGAACACACCTGCTTTAGGATCAACTCGCGAGGCACACCACCTCTCACAGGCTTAGCGATCTTGTCGCTAACCTGTCCGGGACGGTCTTTACCGGAGGGTGACCTAAGCGTCTCACGAGTAACAAAAACATGGAGAAGGTTCTGGCTACGTGCACAGATTCCACCCACGCATCTCACGCACCCAAGCATCCGCAAGGTGGCGGTGCATGCATCAACGGCGTGCTTTTCCAAAGTGATTTTCCCTTCCTTGAAGACCCTCTTCATCGATGCCGAGGTCTTCCAAGTGAAGTTTGTACCAGAACATCTCGCTTACCTGACCTCCCTTATGGGCAAATCACACTATGCTCGGCAGTCACTGCACATGATAGTCTTTTCTCGATCCTGTTCCCATCTTACACCTGTTTTCACATCAAGTCTGGCATCTCTTACTGTCGAAGTCCACGCACGCACCTCGAGGGAGATGTACCACATCCTCATGTACAACCCAGACAGCAGCTACCCCGTCGTACCCAATCTTACGCATCTGGTCATCAAAGAGACGGCTCTGGTCTCCGATCAGAATTTGCTTATTGATGGTGCTTACCTGAAGATGGTCCGCTCGAGAGAGAAGATGTTCCAGTCGAATTTCCTCCGAGTCATTATTTACTACCGGAGCCAGTTTGTATCATGTCTTCATCCTTTGTTGGACGAACTCAAGTCTCTCGGATCGTCTGTGGGTTTGCGTATTTCGTGGTCGAGAAGAGGGGGTTGGGATAATAAGCAGGAGAAGGACCCTGATTTGATCCAGCTGGCATTTTGTCGCGATGAGGAAAAGATTGGTTAATATTATAACTATCTTGAATTTATTAATGTCACCACAACCTCTCTTTGTTTCATGCCTATATCTTCAATCCCGACATTTTGAATAATGTATTTTTTGGTATGTATCTTCTTGGCCACTTTTCTTGTCGCTAATACACGCGTAGGTCAATAATACACATCGTCAAAATCGTCCTTTGCCAATATGCTGGCATACCCCACTGCATAACATACCGCCCCATGCATTTACAAAGAAATGTATAATGGAGTTACGCGTACTGCTCTGACACATGCTTAAACCCCAGTTATATGCATGTCCTTTTCGCAAACATTGCTGGAGAGGCTTCTCACTCCTCTCGACATGCTCGACATCGCTTCATTGGCCCCTTGTCTCGCGAGATAACCAGTCCGAAGTTCCGGAGTCACTGGTCGCTCGCTCCCGGCGATTCAAACATTGTTTCCTTCCCCGACTACCATGCTACTTTTCTCTTGTCACTCTTCCCTCGTCCATCACAGCTGTTCAAGACCTTCAAGACGATTCACACGCTTTTTCTAGTTCCCGGGGAACTTTTACACATCCTGTGAATAAAATTTAACGTTAATTTTATGACACTTACCCTTCGTTTTAGTCGAGGATTTCGACTGCCTAAAAGCCAAAATTCTTGAAAGAATTTGCCCGGAAACTCACGCCGGCGTGGAGAATTTCAATGATGGTACGGTGTAGGAGTGTGAGGATGGATATTGAAGATGCGTGCCTGCAGATTCAATGTAAGTTCCCCCGTGTGCTTGGCAATACATCTCATCGAAGACCTCCCTTGCCCAGTACCCCTTCGCCAACTGCTCTCAATGCTACCCAGCCTCCCTCGACGATTGTATGTGCAACTCTGCGACTTCCCCAGTCCAGGACGAATATACCTTCAAGTTGGAAAGACCGATTCTACCCGAAGACAACGTATCACCATCTTCTTGCATAGTCTCAGACTCTCTTTGTGTCATCTCCTGATCAATACCACATTCTGCATTGCCAAGATTTGAGTCTCATTTCCCGAATATGCTTGGTTTCTTGACGATTTTTCATCGCAACGATATCGAGCTGCAGACTGAAGGCGTGTGCCATAGCTCGAGTACCAAAATCTCGTTGTTCAAGGGCAGGATTCGTACGTATATCGGTTTTTGCCCTGTTTTCTGAGGTATCTGAACTTCTTTATACAGGTGTAGAGCGTATCGTAGCTTTATATGTGCGAACGATACTCGTTTCTAAACACTAGGCGCTACTGTACAACAAATGAAGACTTGGTCTCTATTCATTACAATCAATCCAGTTCTGATTTTCGACGAAATGGCGACGGCGAGCCATGGCGGACACATGAATGGAATGACTGTTTGTTCGATTTTGGGACTGCAGGTATGTGTGCGTATATTTCAAGATTTCTGATGTGATTCTCGACTCTTCAGTTCGGGCACAGCAAGACGGGGAACAAGCCTTTCTGTAACATCCACTCCGATGACGCTTGCGACATTCAACACCTGAAATCTCTATAGCAACGCTGTTACATAAAGCTCTCCTAGCACGCAGCTATCCCCGAAATCCCTGAACTCCCTACTGCGTGCCAGACAGCTAATTTCTGCACAGCCAGAAATGTTCCTTTCAGGAGATGTGTTCACGTTGGCAAGGGGAGGAATGCAGCCAACTCTTCCCTTTGCCTAACGCGTACGTTGTATATATAGAGGGGAGATGCAAAACATCTGGATCCACGCGTGTCTTCTGAATGTTTAAAGGGTCCGAAGTCTAACGGCTACAGATCCAGGAAGAAGCGGAATGACTGTAACCAAGGGATAGGAACCGCTGGGCTCAGTCAAAACGTTGTCGCCATTCACTTGAGTCAGACCGGTGAGAGGGATCATATTCATGCGAGATAATTCATGGCCAGAATACCTTAGTCACTCATCGCTTCTCTTCGCGAAGACCTCCTCGTCACACGTGCGTTAGCGTCGTTGTTGCACCCCACCCCATGACCCTCATCCTCACTTCTAGTATGGCCTGAGTCTTAAATTCACCCTTCTATAGGCCTACCTGAGGTCTTCAATACACGGCATCGTGTGCAACACGTGTATACAGATGTATACAAAACCATAGCTTCAAGAATCCTCTCTTCCTCACTCCAACTATCATCAACTGCAAAGTGAGCATATCCCTTTTGTCGTCCTGTTCTGTGTCTTACTGAGTTGATGTATCAGGATGCGTGTAAGCCCGAGACCACCAAAGCCTTTCAATGGATAACGCGCTGAATACAAAAAGTTTCGACGAAGCGTGCAATTGTGTCTGGCAGCTCATGACAAGTTCCTGGACGACGAATCCAAGATCTTGTTCATTCTGTCATACATGCAAGACGGATTAGCTGGAGTGTGGGCCCAGAACTATATGGACCATCACACTGATGGCGGCCGACTCAGAGTCGGGACATATACCGACTTTAGCAACGAGCTCGACCAGGCCTTTTTGGATCCGAATGAGGATGTGCTCGCCGAAGCGGAACTACAGACGCTTCGACAAGGATGAACTGCACAGGAGTTTTTCATCGAGTTTGACCGTCTTTTGCGAGATGCGGGAGGGCGGAGCGACGATTCTAAGATTTGGATGCTGAAAAGGGCGCTCAATCCTGGTCTCGTCCGAAAGATCAATTTGAATCTCAATGGTCCGCCGGCGACGTATCAAGGCTGGAAGGAAACGGCCCTGGATCGCGATGCCAGGTACTGGCATGTACGGATCTTGCGGGGAATGCAACAAGATGGGAGTAGTGGGAAGGAGTCATCCCGAGAAGGATCGGTTGCTGATAGGGAAGACACGACTGATGGAGGGTATGTGGATTTGGCGGAAATGCGCAGACTGGGACTCTGCTTCAACTGCAGAGAACACGGCCACTTGGCGCGTAACTGCCCGAACAAGCGCTAGATTCGCTGAAGAATTGGATGTTGACTCGCAAGGAATTGCAAGAGTAGATCATGAAGGGGGAAGGCATCTAGACACGTTCGTGAGATATTGGGTTTTCATCTATTACTATTACTAGGCTGGTCCCTACAAGTTAGTTACAGAGATAAGATATGTTATGAACCAAGTATATCCTTGAACTCGAAGGCAAAAGAATAATTCTAAAGACTAACGCATACTCGCATACTCATCTTCTCGACTTCTACCCTCAGCCATCATCTCTGTGTCTTGCTGGTCACCGACTCACCATATTCTCCGTTGCAAGGCTTAGACTTTATTCCACAAAAAATCTCCTTCCGGCACGTCATTAAGATGAGCAGACAAGTTAGTGATGTCTAGATGCGAGTCAGCGTTGAACGACAGTGTCAAGGTCTCGTTATGCGAGGGCTGGATGCGTATGTATACTGGTTGGACTCTTCACTTTGTGAGATATATAACCTAGTGTCATTTGACGGTCCACGAGGAATCACACTGACTGTTGGAAGATATCCTTCCGGAGTAACAGTTAGCGCAACTTCAATCTCAGGCATAGGGCATCGGCAATGCTAAGCGTCGACCTACTCGGACAGAAGAGATCAGGAGACCGTGTTAATTCCCAGAGAGACGATGATGCGCTGACTTGCCAGTCTGGCGATCGATATATGTGAACAGACCACAGGCAATCCTTTCGGTCATAGGCATCAGTTATGAGGACAACGATAACATCGAAGATGAGTATGTTAGTATCATATCGGATGTGCACACTGCAGGGATTGAGTGAGATTCTATGATACATAGTATGAGATTTCATTATCTAAATTGACTCGATTTCTCCAATATAATGTGAAACTGCATTTACTACGTCTTCTTTCCTTGGATGTCGAGAGTGCAAGAATTCCTGGAATTTTGGATGTGCTGCAACCTATGATCAATGTGCCATTGAGCCTGAGGGGTTAACGATGCTGTGAAACTCCGTACCCATGAATACTCCACTGCATTGGGGTCTCTGTTGCCACAGCACTATCAGAGTGGAAATATAAATCAACAAAGAAAGATGGGCTCACCTAGATGAACCAGAGGAAGAAATTTCACACAGCCAAGGTGGCTGATTTACATCCTTATGTGCCTCATAGTCATACTGTGGCAAAAACTCCTTATCATCATGGCCCAGCATATTATGCAGCTCCTGAATTACAACAATGGCCAGGACACGTTTGAGAAAGGCCCACGGCGAAATTCTTCTGATGATGTCCACTGCACTAATCGTGAAAGACACACTAGCCAGATATCACGTTTGAAGGGATGTCATGCCCAGTCATAGAGGACATTCTCATTATGCTCATCAATGAGAAGTAACACAACCGAGAAGAATGTGTTGGTCAAAAATAGGGCTTTCCAATGCGGCAGGTTGGAGGGAGTCAGTGTTCCATGGGAGTCAGTATTGTGCATAGGAAAATTCGAAGACATGTCCACAGAACTTGATGGTAAGAGACCTTTCAGGATAGGAAGCATTGCATCATTCTCTGACCTCTCGCCGCCATCTGCTAGTGACCGAAGGTAGCACTGATATGCAACGGAATACACCCGTATGTTAGAAGCAGACTCTCCCCAGTATCCATTAAGAATCAGGAGCATCTCCCATGCAAGTTTTTCAAGAGTCATGAATATCTTGTGTGCAAGGGTTTCAAGATCTCCGACTGTAGCAAATGTTTCGGAGGAAAGCAGGGAGCATAAGGTGTTGAAGAACGGGATGACTGGTGCACTGTCAAAAGGATTACTGAGAAAGTTCGTGCACATGCATTCAATAATGATGAGGGAAGTTTCGATGACCTGCTTTCGATCTGAGGTGTGTGCTGAGTCACATAATCTCTGCTGGATTTGGGGGATAAGCTGAAGCATGGTACGAAGATGTACTGAGTCAGCATTATCACGGATTTTACTGCAATCATAATCCCAGCTAAACCATAGTTTGTCCAGAATATACTCCCTCATCTCATCTGTAGGCTTGTCGATAGTGGTGACATCCCCACTCTCACTTGTAATCAAGGGACCCACAAGGATTTTCATGAGCTCAAGCTCTAATTCCAAAACATCTCTGCCAGGGCGAGGTGGGAAAGAGATGGCATGCTTAACTAGCGTCTTCTATGGAATACAAGACTGGTATGCTCAATTTCAAATGAGATTGGTGCCTTAATACCCTGGATACCTCTATATTACTTCATATAGAGATATATTTTTTATATGTAATCAATATTACTATTTTAAGACACCTCTTTGTATATCTAAATATAGTTGACATGTATAATAAGACACTGCTCTGCTAGAATACTTGCATGATCTGCAGGGATTTTTTGCATTCAGATTTCTCTGTAATCAAGTACATCAAACAATAGTGTCAATAGTGGTATCAAGGTGTAGGATGAGTGGGTAGTGAAAACTAAGCTTATCAAGCATTCAGTTGTTCAGTCTGTGCTTCAAATCTTTGAGGCATTGAAGCAAGATAAGGTAATGGAAGAAAATCATTACATCACTCAGTCACTATCTTGTACACAAACCCTGTTCTAAGACCTTACTTGTGCCTCATATATTCTTTGAAGATCCAATAGTGTTAGAAATATACCAAAATCTGAATATATGAATATAAGATGAAGAATATTGATTAAAATACAGTAAGATTGAAAAGAAAGCATGTATATTATTAGAAAACACTATACTATTTCAATCAGATATTCACAGGACATACAATGAGGTCTTTTTGAACTTTTTTGTCTCTAGAATTCATTAATACATATACTATACTGTATTCATATCATGTCTCATATATAGGATTATAAAAGATCAGAACTTGTATAAATATGATGATAAAATTTATATTCCAAGCCTTCAACAGTATGGTACAGGCTCATATATATGGTATTCATATCTGCTATATATACAGATACAGTGGCTATTCTTATATGCAGTGTTTATATACTAAATATCTGGTTACACTTATTATTTTGTAAAATTTGTGACAAGAAACTCCGCTCGATGTGACATATGTCACACTATGGCCATCCAGCTCGATGAGGTGTGATGTGACAAAGTTCATCCAGCTGGATGGGCTGTGTCACATCACACCTTATTGAAATTTAATTAAAAAAATTCAACTTCATATCTCAGTTTACTATACTTGTTATAACAGTTTGAGATATGATTGTGTTTATAATCAAAGTTTTGCCTAAGCTGTAATAGCTATTTAAAGCTATTTAAACTGTTACTGCATAGAAATTTAGCATTGTAGCCTAAAATATTAAATTTTATAATCATTTACTTGTTTAATATTAGACTAGAATGCTCAGATAATATTATTGTAATACTTGGGAGATTTCTAGTATCTCTTGTCGAGATATCAAATATGCTGCACTTCCAATGACCATTACTTATTGTTCCATCCCTTTCTATAGTATAATTCTATTTTTAGTAGTATATACAGTAGTGTACCTTGCAATTGAGCTCCTTACATGTTTGTGAGGTTCTCTGCTTATCTCAGAGTCTCCACTAGTCACCAACTCAAGCCATTTGTACTTAGCATACTCCAACATCTCTCAATAAGATAGATTGTTAAAATAATATTACAGCTATCTTATAGTGTTTTCTAATGTTTACTGAAGCTGCAAACTTTATTTATAAGGTGTATACAGATCTATATCAATAATATATTTGTTAAAAATACATTCATCCAAATTTTAGTGATTGGCATTTATAATAATTGTTCTGTATATGTATTAAAAGAGCACAACTAATGTGTCTGAGGTCCTATTACTATGTATAGTAGATACAAATAGATACAAATACCGGTTATTGTCATAACCGGAGCATACCAGTCTTGTATTCCATAGTCTTCCATACCACTGAATGCAAGGCAAGGGAAGAGCGCTTCGGGCCTTGAAGGATTCTGAGAAGAATAGTTAACGGCCTCTCAGAATCTGTCACGGAGTACAGTATCATTTTCAGTTGCTCGTTGGAACACCGATCTGCCATGCGATCACGGTCGGGGGAAAAGTCAGAGTAATGAAGGAGCAAATATGCTCTATAGCGGAGCTCCAATTCTCTTTCGGCGTCAGGAGATGGCGCACCTATGTGCTTTATCTGCTGACGCAGAGACACCACAAAGGCAGATCGCCATCCCTCCGGAAGACATTTCAAAGTAGCAGATGTCATCCCAGAACAGGCTTGTAGCACACTTTGATGCACCGATGCGTTAGATGTGGAGGAGTGTAGCCATAGCAGAGATTGCACATCCACTTTGGCGGCACATTTTTGAACGTGATCATGCTCAATTTCCTTCAGACTCAGAGGATGTTTTCGGCGTTGTAAAATGATATTGGGGGTTATCCCAGTTATCCAGTGCATGATTAAGCGAAGATTGATGCGGGTTATTGATATTAATAAGCGAAGGTTATAGTGGCGGCGAAACGGCAGAAATGGAGATGGGGTATGCGAATGGCATCGCATGAGGGTGATACGTGGAATAAGAGGGATAATGAATTGATACAGTTGGTGGATGTAAAGCGTTAACAGGACCTTGTATGGACAGTAGGGATAAACAAAGGGGAGGATTAGGGCAACAACATAGGCTATGTATGTCGCTGCACCAATGACGGATACTAGCCAGGCAACTTTCATTCCCAGAGAGAAGAGGAAAACAACGAGGCCAGCGAAGAAGAACGCCAATGAAACGTGAAGGGGGACTGGAAGCAAGCCGATGATCATTGGCACCTGCCACTTCTGTAGTCCAGCGTATCGCAAATGTCGGATTCTTGCACAGTCGCGCTCACAACTGCCGGAGACAACGGCGACGTATTGATGGAGCCATTGTTTGACCAGAATGGCAACCAAGGCAGTGACGAGGCTAAACGTCAGACTCACGAACCACAAGCTGTTCATCCACTCGTTGGAAGGACTGGGAGAGAGAAATGCAGTAGGGGAGGAGGGAATAGAGGACTGGGAACCGTTCGACATAGTGACCTTGAGGATTTCAAAGAGAAGACGTGCAGATGCCTCGTTGTAATCTGGCTGCATGTTTTGCGACGTTTGGACCACGAATGTTGTTAGTACTGCAGAGAAAAGACCGGCCTGTGATGGTATTAGACCTTCGAGGACCCACTTTCAAAGGAAATCTGAGACATACGAAAACAAGTAGGACATCAATAGTATCCCGCCACTCTGCCAACATATTGACGTCAAAATCGGCCGCTTCTTCAAGGTAGATGGATCATATCCGTGCATTACGGGACATCTCTTGGCCATAGGGATCGAGAGGGTAGCGCGCCTTATAGTCGCGTGGAGTAGCGCCTGAAGTCATTTGAGTATGTCACAGCAGAAAATCTGAAGCAATTGAACACACCGACTCCCCACAAAGACGGCTGATTCTTCCTCATTCCAAAAAATGTCCCGCTCGGAGGGTTTCTCTGAGCATTAGGATCTTCAGGATTAGCTGTTGAACTGACATGATTCCCAGCTGCTGAAGATTGATTCGGAGGTGTTTCCACACAATTCTCGTTGGTTTCTGGCATACTAGTAAAACGATAGAAATTGGCAAGTCAGTATAATCGAAGTCCATATAAAATGACAGAGCAGCTCACTTTAGATGATACGATAGCTGTCAAGGAAGAACAGGCGCTATGACTGGACATTGGCAACACATTCTCATGTATCAATCAGCCCGCACAGTTCCGTTCCACAGCGTAAAAAGTCATGATTGGTGATATTCCCACTGAGATAGCTGCGTGAATTCGCCGACCAAGGCAAGGAAGATATAATGGATACAGGAGTACCACTGACAGACATTGTAAGCCAAGTAGCCAGGCAGCTAAGCCCACATTGTTGATCGTTGATCGTTGATGCTGGGAGTCTGACGCTGACTCATCCATCTTGTTGACTTCTTTCCTCCATCACCTTGGTGCCGTCCTCCATCACATTGTACTATGTCCTAAGAATTGGACTTTATTTCTGAATATTCTCGGCGTAAAACGCTCGTCATGATGAGCAGAAAGGGTGAATAACGTTTATCCACCTGTAAACAGTGGCCGGCGAGGGATGCATGCTGTGGATTCAATATGCAAGGGCTGGACTTGTACATGCTTACCGTGCATTTGACTGGGTGAGATATCTGAACTTGTATATCCAGGTGTACTGTCTAGTAGCATAGAGGCCTCGCCAAAGCTCATCTTCTTCCGAACGCCATGATTGGGACACTCGCCTTGACTATCATCTTCATTTATGCCAACGTAGCACTTCTCTGCATACTCCTTGTCTCTGTTCTCCTCGAGTTTGACACGATAGGAAGGAATAGAAAGGTGTCAAGAGGATATTGGACCGCGGCCAGAAACAGACTGCTTTTCGCTAGCTGATCACTTTCGTCAAAGATCCCATAACAAGTGGACAGTCGACCTCCAGTTCTTATGCGGGGAGACATAAAATGGTTGCAGTAGGTACCCCCGGTAATCCGTGTCCTACAATGTCAGATTCACAGCCTTGTCTGACTTTGAAGACTGTAGATCCCATAAGGCGATCGTCGAAGGAACGTAGCGAATCTAGGAAGGTCTACAGTCCATAGTGCACCGGCCATCCCGTAAAGCTGAGCCAAGAACTGTCCATTGCTCTCGATATCGACGACACGGAGATCCGTTGAGGAAATAACCCAGATCTGTAAGTCCGCCTTTCGGTTTCATACTTTCATCACTAACCATGCGCAGTGTCATCAGTTCCAGTAAATGTAGTCCAGCAAATGCTTCAATGAAAGGCCGGCAGACTCGATGATCGATAGCAAGCCTAAGGAAGCGGCCTCTACGCGGGTTTCGCGCAAAAAGAATCTTTTCCGATTCGCCTCGTTCGGAGGAGTTGCCATATATCCTCACATACGATGCATGATGACTCTCAGACCACAGAAGGGTCGAAGGAGATCATATTCTTGGTTCTCTTTCCTCTTTGATGCGCGCAACGCCATCAGATGAACATAGGCAAATCACAGACCCACACATGTTCGTCAACATTCACCATCTGCGTCGGTGTCGCTACGCTTGAAATTACTTGGACTGAGGGCGATCAAGAAACTTCTCTCGTTCCGAGAGACATAACGGTTGGTGTTAGGCTGGTACACTGGTCCTACGCTCGATCTATGCACTCAGGCGACGGGTAGAGGTGCTGTGCTCCGAAGGAACGCCATATCCTTTAGCCAGTTCGCCTTTGGTATTCTTCCCAGACATTGTAATAAGCTGGAGCTCGGTTGATACGAGGACGAAGAAGCATATGCCCAAAGCACTCCGCCCGATCAGACAGGCCCCATATTTAGCACCCTTCGTCCTCCCATGTCCTGATTATCGATCCTGACGAGATCATCAACAACGAAAATGCATATGGTGAAGCACCAGCATTTTCTGTACCATCCCATGAGAATGGAGGCAGTACCGAAGAAACGATATCTGCACCCTTCTTTTGTTTTGCTTACGATAATGACGTTTTTGTCTTCAATTTGCGTCTGTCGAGGTCGCCGAAGCGTACGAGGATGCATCATGGATAGATCTTTGTCACAAGAATAGGGAGGGAAGGATTTGGCGGTGGCAGCCACCGAGGAAAGACGTTTATAATCGCCGAAAGATGGTGCGGGTTGTGGTTGATGCAGAAGTCAGGTGATACCGAAGGACTGGGGACAGAGACGGCTACGTGGTAGCAAGGTCTGGCTATGGTGATAGAGTAGGCCGGATCCTCTGGAGTCTTGTCCCTCTTTCTTGCGTGCAGTTCCACAACTTTCTACGAGGACATATTGCGTCAAGACCTGCTTGCTGTCACAGGCATCGTGCATGAGCAATGTCCTGTGTGGACTTCCGGATAGTAGGATACTGTGCCAGTTCCAGGATCGGCAGTAACACCGACTTCGCGGTTGTGCGATCGAACTATGCTCGCAGGCAACAGAGCTAGGTGCTGCGATTTATATGTGATCCTCCCAGATCCTAGTTATTAATCGTGAACAGGATGCCAAACACTGGCCACTCATATAGGCACCGAGTCAAGATCACAGTCGACGTAACATTGCCCAAGAAGACAGACCGGAAAAGGCAACTCGCGTTCTGTCTTTGTGTTTGCCGATGAAGATTTTCCTGTCTTGTTTTCTTTTTCGAGGCAGTATATGCGCGAGGAACGGGTGTAGCAGTCTTCGAGTAATAGCATGATTGTCGCAGACATTGTCCCGGGTTAACAGTTAGCGCGACTACAGTCTCGGGCATCGGGCATCGGCAAGGTTACGCGTCGACCTTCTAGGAAAAATGGAGATCAGGAGACCGTGTTTATTCCACGAGCGGCAAAAGTGTGTTTTTGGGCTGACATGCGAGTCCCGCGATCGATATGCGCGCATAGACGGCAGAGCAGCGTGCTGTGGTCCAGTGGCGATCCTCCTGGGTAGCAGTCATCAGTCATGGGCAGAAAATTCATGTTGAATCTGCGTGGGGGTAGGATGAAGGTGGGAGATTCGAACAGCGGTCACGGTGACAACTTGAAAATACGATCGGAAGGCCGTGGCGTCTACATGGTTCTTTTGGTTTGCTGGTGTCGAAGGGTACGATGAGGATAGCAGAGAGATGCTGGGAAGGAATCAGGTAGCCCTCGAGGAACGGTGATGTTGTCGCCGCCGATTTTGGTCCTATCCTGGGATATCAGTTTGCACACAATGGCAGGCCCCACGCTGCTGGCCTTAGTTGCCAGGAGTAACAAGCGATCTTGGAAATCGGTGGTACAATCCTTGGGGTCATGGCTGATATCTGTGCGAAATGGAAGGCTTGGTGATGGACGAAAGAGTGCTCATGATGGCTCGATGTCTGCGATAACAGAGCAATGGGGGGAAACTGAGTCGACCTTGTGTCTTGCGGTTTTGCGGTTTCGATGATTATTGGCGGAGCGACGAAAAGCAACGGAGGACGAGGAGTTTTGGTGTGGAATGCTGTCAACAAGTGCCACTGGGAGCACAATTGAACCTGCGACGAATTTGTCTTGGTTATCTTTCCAAGGTGGGATTCACGTGGCTTTCTCTCTCGTCGGTTTCTCAACTTTGTTTTGACTTTGTTTGACTTTAGTTCTTAAAGCAATGCACATCTCCAAGCTAAAGCTAAAGCTCGAGCTCGAGCCCAAAATTCGAGCCCTTGTCGGGAAGGTGAAGCGTCGAGGAAAGCCTTTTTCTGCTCCCCTGCTCAGTTTGCCCACCGAACTACTCCAGGAAATTGCGTCCTTCGTAAGCTCGTGTATCTTTCCACAAGTATCCTATCTCATTAATCACCTTCAGCTGTCCAAACGCGACCAGAAAGCCCTGCGTTCCATATGCCATCAGCTGAACAACATGCTCCGAGCTACCGTGCTCTCAGCCGTGTTGATCAACCTCACCCTCCCCTCAAGACATTCCGATCAAGACGTCCTCAAATATTTAGCTAGCCATGGACCTGCAGACTATATCTATCGGCTAAGAGTTTGTGTGTGGGGTTCATATTCCGAGCAACATCCCCCGACTCATTGGCGCGTGGCTGAGGGTGGCAATTCAGAAACCCACCCTCCCTCGACCCGTCCACGTCTCCAGACGAAGCGCGACATCGCAGAATTTCGCGCGCTATATCACAGCGCCTTCGCGTCGTTGACCAACTTACGAGCTTTTACGTTGTGGTAAGTTCAGCCACACCTCAAGAGAGATCATGCCACTGATTTTTTCCTCGGACATAGTATCAGCAACGGTTCTCGCAAAGTACCTCCATACTTTGTAGAAGACACGTTTAATTGGTTGATAAAACGGCCCTCCCTCGATCTTCATCTGACTCACCCGGAGTTCACCCTTCCGTACTTCTCCCATTTATCACAGTTTCGAAATATCCGCAAGTTTTCTCTAACTGGCTATTCCAACAATTCTACCCCGACGATTGAGAAGACGCTCGCCCGTGTATTTGCGAATAATCAGCACTTGTCCGACGTCTTTCTGCATTTGGTTGATCGGTGGGACAACAGAAGGACAAGTCTTGCCGTCTCCGGCATAGAACGCGTGTTTCCAAAGCACGCAACGAGAACTATACCGCTTCGTCACCTATCGCTGAAGGAAGGTAGTATCACCGCCGCCCCTCATATTTTCCACCATCTTCGTGGTCTGAGGTCACTCCAGATATCTAACGTCGATCTCCATCATGCTTCTGCCGGATTCTGGACGGAACTCTCCCAACAGGAGATATATATTCCCTCGATCAAGCTCAGGTGCCACAGCCTTGTGCTTTCCACAGTCGTTGATTACCTCGCCTCCAACAAGGGGATGACCGAGTTGACATTTGAAGTTGAGACGGATAGGGAAGGCACTTCGGGGCGAGTTTTGAGAGAAGTAGTCCCGCGTCACTCGAAGACTCTAGAAGTTCTCCAGCTGACGTCGTGTTGGGGCAGCCATTGGATTTTTGGCAATATCTCTGCATATGTAACGAGTGTATCCAAATGCGTGAAACTACGTATCTTGGGTATTGTAGTGGATGGGAACAAAGACTTCATGGTATGTATCCCTTCTACACATCTAATTGCACCATTCTCATCGTTTTAACAGGAACCGCTTCTGTGTTTGCTGAAGTTCCTTCCGAATCTTCACACCCTGAGGCTAGTCCCTCATACGAATGATTTCGGCTCGGTCTTCAAGCGTATTCAGCGCATACGCAACGACAAGTCATTATTGATGCGCTTGCAGGTCATTGTATCCGTTTCTTACCAGAAGCACATCAGGTTTGTTGCTGAGCGATCGAAGTGGGATGTCGACGATGAGAAGTCTGATTGGCTACAAGATGATCCGTGGTACTTGGGCGCATAACGTATTGGAATACAGGAATGAAGTTATGTATCATTGTATCATTTACGCTTGTATTATTAGGGCTTCGTCTCGTTACTGTCGAGTTGATGATATAACATGTAAGACGCGGCGAGTGACTGCGATCTCACCTGCTAACGCTGACCCGTGCCTTCCACCTACCACCGCTGCGGTCATTGTCTATACGCAATTCCAGTGCCATGTTTACTCAAAGCGCAATATAACCTGTAGTTTACAAGCTTCACGACAGGTTTCGCCCAGTTGTTGAGCTCAACAACACGCTGCCAGAGGATCTTGAATAATTTCTTCTTTACGACTTTTTGTTGCTGTGTTATGCATCTAGATTTTTGTCACGTCAGGACTTGATAACTTAGGGACTCACGTTTCGTTAGTAAGAGAATTTCAAGTAGAAAAACAAGGTGCGTATCATCCTCCTTGTCGACATGGAATTTCGAGTCCTTACCCACAAAACCTGCCTTACACCTACACCAGCCCTACGATTCAACCATGGCATCGATCTCCCGTGCTCCAGCGGGATAATTGACTTCCCCTCGGCACGCAATGGCTGGTGCCACTATGTGATTATTTACCGGCAGACCTGCGACTCTTTCGTTTTCCTCTAACGTTACAGTCCCCCTCAACCACAACCTTCTTCCCCTGTCCGCACCGTCTTCTCCGCTTTGACTTGCACATATGCCGGGCGTAGTAGTCTGCGACGATACACAACTTTGATCTCTTCCAACTTTTTGCGATACCATTCTCTGTCTGTTAGTACCTGGCAATGGTCGTACACCATTCCAGAGTCGGAAGTGGTCCAAAGAGCGCCTCAGTCTGCTCTTTGATCTTCCGATCTGAATCTCTCTCCTCATACTGAGGGCAGTTCCCTGGCTTTGAATCCACGTCCGCTTTGACGCGAGTAACAAGCATGACTCTCAGCGTCTCGCGGCATATGGGTAGGTCAATGAAGACACCCAACGACTGTGCGTCTAGGTGGGCATCACTCAATCTGTAGCCGAAATTGACGAGAGCGAGTCCAAGTGTAGCGCCAGTGAAGACATCTTCATCGGGAACGATGGTGTAGTCGGGTTTGATACGTTTGTAGAGCTCGGCGAATTGTTCTACGGTTAGAGTGTAGCCACCGACGCGAATGGGATATGGGTAAATGTACTAAGAGCACGACTCAGTAAAGATTCACAAATTGTGATGCGATATTCACCGTCATTGCTGAAGGGAAACAGTGAGACAGTTGTCGTTGGCCGGGTGATGCCGAGTCTCATACTGCGGCGACCGGACCGGACTTGACGCGTTCAATTTTCTTCTTTGTCCTTCCTTTTCTCATGTTCAAAATTCTAGCGTAGTTTCTGAGCTGGCGAAGAACTTGGAAGCACTTGCAGATCATCTTTCTTGAGTTCAGTGACTTCATTGGCAAGGAGTCAGCGCTCAGCTTTTGTCCCGAACAGGTGATGTCCAAATAACTAGCAGGGAGTAGGACCTCGCCTGGCGTAGCGCCTATATGGTCAGGGATACTGAGCTTAAGCTTTGCTAAATATTCTCGAGCTTGGACGTACCCCCAATATCTCTACTCTGGACTGGACTGTGCTGCGAATCGATGGAGTCCTCCGAGTCTGAACCTTCATAAACGGCTCGCGAGAGACCTTCAGGTTTAACAAAAGGCTTCTCATTCGGTGGGAGACAATACAATGGCTGCGATACAAGACCGAGCCGTACGAGGGGTCTCGCATTGGAATTGCATGCTTCATTTCCAACTTCCGTCGTCTGCAGTGTGTATACATTGGCGCAGGAAACGGTGGCATCGAATGTTCATAATGGCGATATTATTCTGACTCCCGGGTGATTACTGGTGTGCGTCTCTTGAAGCTTCCACGGCTTAAACTGACAATTGCCTCGTGTAGATGGTGAACCTGATCACCCAATGCGCTAAGAATCTGAAACATCAGTGTACTTGCTGCTGTTGTAATGTGTGTGGGAATGGTGCCAGTCGTGGCCGTTACTTCGACCTGGAACAAAAACCGTCACAGCAACATTGGAGAATCCACCTCTCCATGCACCCTGCACGCTTTCGAAAACAGGCTGGAATTACCTGCATCGAGTTGAACACGACCATAGCTGGATGCGGTTAGTGTCACCCGGACCAGCTTCTCGTACGCGTTTACTGCGTACCACAGTTGTGCTCATCGTCTTTATAACAGCATATCTTAATTTTAATAGCACCGGTTCTCAAAGGGGCGCAACAACTTGTAATGTACAAACTTCTAAAGGAGCTTCGCCCAATATCAACCCTCGACGACATGGAGTACCTACTATGGCGATTCTGTCTCTACGCCTCTTGCTGCTGCTGGATACGACCTCGTTAGCAGGAGAACTTTAAGTTGCAAATCAAGATATGCATCGCCCTCAGAAGGTAGGAAGTTTCGGACCCTCACCCAAAAAACCAGTCTTACACCCGCTCCAGTTTTACGATTCAACAATGTCAACCTCGGCGTCAATTTTTTGCGTCCCAGTGGGATAATTAACCTCCCCTTACTGTCTCAACCGCCGCCAAGTCCACTTGTTCAAGATTCTAGCATAGTTTCCGAGCTGGTGAAGAACTTGGAAACTGATAACCTGCAGGTTATCTTACAAGGAGGATGTCGTCAGTCAGCTCTCGTCGATTACCCAATCATGGAGCAGGGCCTTGACTGCGGCATTGGATGTTCATGGTGACTACTGATTCGCGTTACTTCAAGCTTCGATGAAATCCGAAACTGATGCTTGTCTATGTAGATGGCGGCCGATGTGCTAAGAATTCGAACAACGGTCACTATAACATCGCATGAGAAGACGGTCGGGACTCGGGAGACGTCGTCTGCACAGTTATTTTAGTCTGCCGAAGAACAGATAGAGTGTCGGGGCGCATGGGAAGGTTAGATGCTGAGGGGAGGAATTCAGCAGTCCTGGAGAAACGATAAGTGACTGTCGTCCCACAATTAGTTGTTGTTAATGTCCTGCGCGAACAGTCCGTGCGTCATTCCCTGGGTATATGGTCGCAGTGTCCCCGCGCGCGAAACTATGTGTTCGGGGTATCGTGGTGGAAGGAAGTTGCAGAGATTTTACCGTACGTATCATTTCTGCGCAACGTCGTCTGCCGTTCTCATCTTTTTTGATAGGGCCCGGTTTTGTGTATGCTGAAAGCTCTGCCGAATCTTCAGACCCTCGCTCATATAGATGACTTTCCCCCGGTCGTTAAGCGTAGTGAACGCTTACGCGACCACGAGGCACTATAAGTCATTATAATCGTTCCGTATCAGGGCGACATTGCCTGCGTGGTTTTGTGGTTCTCAACCTTCCCCATCACACTGTTCTTTACCTTCCGCCCAAGATCGAAGACCTGTATCAAGCTAGCGCTCCCGTGACCGCGTCGGTTTACCGATGACAGAGAAGATCATCCGTGCCCTGTCGCCTATTTGCCGAATGAATGAAAGGAATAACTCTAACCGCAGAGGAACGCCAATCCGATGGAGGTGAAACTCGATGACGTCTTCGCCAGGAAGAGAGTATTCTGACAATCTTTCTCTCTTAAGATGCGGAGCTGACAAGCCCAGAGTAGATAAAGACACTCAGGGAACAGGTGCTGTGGGTGTCCAGTAGGAGAACAGAGTACGCTGTTTGATCCTTATTCCCAGAATTGGATGCCCGAGTCCGTATCCAGAACCCACAGTAGATATAAGCTCTGTACTCGTGACAGACGCGTTAGGTTCTCCGCTTCCTGATGGTCCCGTGTCGATGCAAATCTGTCCTTTCCCGTGACGGAGAGATGCTAGACACGATTCATGCGCATGATGGGACGTGCAAGAGATTGCAAAACGCTAACTTGTCCAAGAACGATCAGTATTTACTGATGGAAAACTGGCCGGACGTTGATTTCCGCGATACGACTCGGAGATGGTGTAGGAGCCTACAACTCCGCTTGTCCTAGTCTCCCCGAGATAGGTGTGTTTCCGCGACCGTGGATGAGTGAGACTGGATGTTAGCAGCGGTCGATGATTAAGGATGCATCATGCCGCATCGGTCTTGGTAAACATACCCGACTATGGTGCTTGTACTCTAAAATCGTATCATCGCGGCAAGGAGCGGAACAGAGCAAACGGTTTTGCCCTGGGGTGCAAGATCTCTTGAATAAGTAAGATCTCCAGAGTCCAATGATCAATCATGTAGGTCCGGGTGTACATGGAGTCATTTATCCACGCTGCCAAACCAGAGCATAAACTTTTACATGTGGTCCGACTTGTTGACCTCGTAGAGACTTACCAGTCAGTCCTGGGTACCAGTGTGTATAGTATCTGAAGGCTGAAGCAGACGTGTGAAAGGAAGATCAGAATTTCAGAAAACATGACGCATGCTTAGTCATCCCCTCAGCTCTTCTTTTCCGCCCAGCTTGTTGCCAGCTCATCATCTACGTTCGCTTAGCGCCACCACCACGCGCATCTACACTCCGTGTCGGTCTTGGCTCTTGGCTATATTGCTTGGATCTACCGCGGCAAGACGGCGAGCGGGAAAAGTCAGTACCGAACGGCGAGAGACTCGGCTCGAGATGTGCACGTACGTACGTACATCTTTGTTTCTCCTGCGTCGAGATCTCAATCTTGTGGGTCCAGGTGTATCATGAGCTAGAAGAGGATCACTTTACTTCTCCGATGACCTGAATGACTCCCGCCCCCAATCATGAAAGCGGATTACGGCTGATGGTTTTGCGGCTGAGACGTGGCATACGATTCTCAAGACCTCGGAAGATACTTTCCTCTTTACCAAACGAGCGTCGAGAGGGTGTACATATCCCGCTTTATCTCCGCCTCATTCCACAAAACATGGACCCACACGTGCCCTCGCGTTCCTTGTCTCAGATCTCTCTCACGGCAGAGAGGGACCGGCGGGGCGGCTGAACTTGATCCCGACGAGGATATATTGTCCGTCGCTTGGGTTTGCACTCAAGATACTCGCCGTCTGCCATTTCGAGGACTGATTTCAGATCTGTCCTGGAACCGGCGTCTCACGTTTGCTGTAGAACAGTATGGTCGATGGATGGGTTCCTGGCACTTGGTGATACACGCGTCATATTCTCCCTCGTGTTGCCACAAGAGAGCAACCGTCTATGCTAGCGAAGAGTGGATGTCACTCCCAAGCCCGTCTCGTCTTCTCGCTCAATTGCTACCCTTAATCAAACACTCCCCAGGTAGAAGGTACGACTCTTGCTTGACTGGAATTTCCTACAGTCAATGATTAATAAATAGGCATCGGCACCACAGTTATCGGCGGGAGCGTCCTAAGGGATACATCCCGCCTCAGACACGAGAAACATGGACCCATAGACGCCCTCGTTCTATGTTTCAGATCTGTCTATCTAATATGAACTGTTGTAGATCACGGCAGAGAGGAACCGGCGGGGCGGCTGAACTCGATCCCGACCAACAGACCCCTTGACGAGGACTGGCCTGCCTCGTCTTTGAATCCCAGTCTGCCTCCGCATGGACACGACGACGATACCCTCGGATCCTTGAGAGGACGAAATCTCTTGGCACGCGCAAAAATCAAAGAACAAGCTGCGAGAGGAATAACATCCACTCTTTCGAGGTACAAGGTCGACATCCCTCTAGACTCGGTACCTTTCCCAGCTCACTATACATGGTTTACCTGTCAAGCGCGGTACATATAGCATCACATCGGCTTCTTCACGCCAAGTGAACAGGCCAGTACGTCTGTTTCCCCGCATCCAAGCCGACTCGCCGTCGCAGGGGACAACCTTCACCCGGACGCCCAGCCCGTCCCACAGTCCATTTGGGGGGATCTGCAGAAGTGATGTGTGATCGGGAGAGGTGGACCTACGGGTGTCAACTAGCGGGGAGGAGGCAGTCTTCCAGTTGGTACCGTTTCGTGTTAGTCTGTGGATGGGGCATGTCGCGCTCTTGTGACTTTTTTAGACTGGCCTTTGTTACGGACAAGCCTTAGCAGCTGACTTGTGTTCGAGTCGAGATACAGAATCTGGAAGCGACTGGGGGCGGCGTTGGTTTTGCTGTGTTTGCAGCGGGAGTACGCATGATGAGGCGTTTACGATATTTGTAGGTCCGGTATCATTTCATTATAATCGTACCACGGGATACATATATTGGAAACTAATGATTGGAATTGAGTAGTGACGCGTGGAATGGAACGATATCCGACACGTCATGATTTGATGATGAGAAAAAAAAAAGAGTTCAGTTCGAATGGAGGTATAATAATATAATTAAGGAGTAGCTAGAATGCTCCGATTGGGAGTACGGTGACTGCTTTGGCCTCTGATGCGAGGAGCTCGGATAGGCCAACGTAGTATGCGATGAAGGCGGTTACGATGCCGAATGCACCGCCTGATTTAGCGAGACTGCGGGTGTTGTCAGCCAATGGGGTGAAGGAGGAGGGAAAAGAAAACGTACTTGGTGCTGATGGAAACCTTGCCCGACGAAGCCGATAACTCTGAACAGGCGAGAAGCATAAATGTGACAGAGAGACAACCGAAGAGGGCGATGAACGAGGCAGATTTGCGGAGTGAGGTGATGCTGCGTGCACCGGGGTTAATGGTAAGCGATAAGGGAGAAGAGAACGGACGTACAAGAATAGAACGGTGACTATCATCCATGTAAAGAGGTACACGGCGAGTGCAGAGGAGAGCTCGGATGCATCAGTCCCGTATGCAGCGAGAATGCCAGAGTTGGGGATGAAGATAGTAGCGTAGTACATCCAAAATGCGCCATAGGAGGAGAAAGCTGGGGTTGGATAAGGGGTTAGGAGGCGTGGGGTAAGTAAGGGGCGTGTGTAATGCATGCGTACCTGTCCCGCCAAATGCGTTCCCGCGAGGAAACTCCCACATGCCTGCAAGCAGCTGAGTCAGCCCGCCGCAGAAAATGGCCATTCCGACGACGACGTTGGGCGTGTTGATACCGCGCGTCCGGACGTTGTACATCGAGAGAATGAAGGTCGTGGAGGCGAAAGAGAAAAGTCCGAGTGTACCGGCATTGGCGATACGTGTGGGACGCGGCACGGCTGCGGTATTTGGAGGTGGGTTGGCCTGGAGAGCGCCGTTCGAGCTGGAGGCAAAAGCTTTTTCGACGTCGGACATGGTGGAGTGACGGGAGATGGAGAATAGGTGACCGTGGGTTTTTAAGAGAGCGTCAGGGAAGTTTGGTGCTGTTGGTATGGTCGGTGGTAGTATGGCATCGAATGATGTTAACTTGGGTATTGAATAGAATCGCTAGCTTAACTCGGAGATCAGAACGGCGCCCGGAGAGAGAAAAACGCTTGTGGATCAATCCTGCCTAGGTTGGGAATGGAGGGCGGGTCAGGTGCGATTTTGGGTGGAGGACATTCGGGCGTGCGATGCGAAATAGACAGAAGAAAAGCGTAGACATAGATGACCGTGCGATCCTCGGTGAACGCTAAATTCAGACGGCGTTTTTCGAATAAGCTCAAAAGGCGGGATTTCGATGTCAAGGTGGAAGGAAAGCAAGGGAAAGTTGGAATGCAAGTCTCGAGCCAAGCGAATACCCCTAGACTGCCTAGCTAGCTGTTTCAAAGTCGGGCGTCCGCACACAGGGGTCGCGCGGAATTCCCCACCCCCACAAAGGGTCACATGCTCTTCCCCACACTGCTCTCTCCACGTAATCAATATCACCCCATATGCTGACCTGATCTTTCCCCAATCATCCTTAGGATCACCTTTCTCCCGAATCCCGCCGTCGTGCCGCCTACAAAAACTTTTCTTCCTATTTCAAATCTTCCCATCAGTAATACGGATGTCTCACTAGCGATCGATAGTGGTCATCCGCTCCGGGGCCCCGTCTGGGGTATATAAGCTTCCGATAACCGCCCTCTGTCCCTCATCCCCTCTTGCTCTTCATCCACCACCATGACTTCCTTCTCCTACGAATTCAACACCCCCGTCTACAAGGGCAAGTCTTCCTTCCCTACTGGCCTTTTTATCGGCGGCAAGTTCGTCGCTGGTTCGTCCGGAAAGACCATCGAGTATGTAACCTTGTTCGCTGTATTTTCTTTTTTTAACTTGGTTCTTCTAGTGTTATCAACCCTACCAACGGAAAGCTCATCACCTCCGTTTCTGAGGGAACCGAGAAGGATGTCGACCTCGCTGTCGAGGCTGCCCAAAGGGCCTTCGAGACCACTTGGGGTCTGAAATCCTCTGGAACCCAGCGCTCCGAGCTTCTCTACAAGCTTGCTACTCTGATGGAGAAGTACCATGACGAGCTTGCTGCTTTGGAGGCTCTTGACAACGGTACGTTTCCCTTTGACTGCGTGTCCCTAAACCTCCTAATTACCTTTTCAAAGGCAAAACCTTCGGATGGGCCAAGGGAACCGATACCGCTGCTTCCATCGGAACCCTCAAGTACTACGCTGGTTGGGCTGACAAGCTCTCTGGTCAAGTCATCGAGACCGACGAGAACAAGCTCGCATATACCCGCCATGAGCCTATCGGTGTCGTCGTACGTAACCTCCCCTCCCTCCATTCCTCCTTTTTCTTAGCCTTCCTAGGGCCAAATCATCCCCTGGAACTTCCCTCTCCTCATGTTTGCATGGAAAATCGGCCCTGCTCTCGCTACTGGCAACACCATTATCATCAAGCCCTCCGAATTCACTCCCCTGACCGCCATCCGTATGGGCTCCATCATCAACGAGGCCGGCTTCCCTCCTGGTGTCGTCAACATTGTCACCGGTTACGGCCAGACCGTCGGTAACGCCATCAGCTCCCACATGCACATCGAAAAGGTGCCTATTTTTCATTTCATATCTTTCGCAATTTTCTGATTCCCGCCAGGTTGCCTTCACAGGCTCTACTCTTGTCGGCCGCAAAGTCATGGAGGCTGCCGCCAAGACCAACTTGAAGAACGTCACCCTCGAGCTCGGTGGAAAGAGCCCTAACATCATCTTCAACGACGCCAACCTCGACCAGGCCGTCAACTGGGCTGCTCACGGCATCTTGTGAGTATTCGTCCATTCATTTCCCTATCTAAGATCTACCCCGCTCCCCACCGCCACCGCCGTTACTCCGCATTACTTTCGCTCCATGTGCTAACGGCTTCTTTCCTTTAGCTGGAACCACGGACAGGCGTGCTGCGCGGGCTCCCGTATCTTTGTCCAGTCCGGCATCTATGACGAATTCTTGAAAAAGTTCACTGCCAAGACCCAGAGCATCAAGGTCGGCGACCCCTTCGAGGTTGGCATGGACCAGGGTCCCCAGGTTTCTAAAGTCCAGTATGATGTGAGCCTAGTTTCTCCGTTCCGATATCTTCCTTTCTAACGGCCCGGCTAGCGTATCATGAGCTACATCGAATCTGGCAAGCAACAGGGTGCCACCGTCCACTCTGGCGGAGCTCGCCATGGAACGGAGGGTTACTTCATCCAGCCTACCATCTTCACCGACACCACACCCGACATGAAGATCGTTCAGGAAGAGATCTTCGGTCCCGTCGGCGTCGTGATCAAATTTGAGGATGAGGAGGATGTTATCCGACAAGCCAACGACACCGGTACGCGCCCCTTTGTCCCTTTCTCCCCTTAAAATTTCTGCTAATTGGTAAAATTTCACTCAGTGTACGGCCTCGCCGCTGCCGTCTTCTCGCAGGACATCAACCGTGCTCTTGACACCGCACACAAGCTCAAGGCTGGAACTGCATGGGTCAACTGCGCGAACCAGTTGCACTTTAACATTCCTTTCGGTGGTTTCAAGCAGAGTGGTATCGGACGGGAGTTGGGAGAGTACGCGCTCCACAAGTGAGTTTTTCCTTTCTTCTCTTTCCGTTCTTTTCTGATGGGGGATTGGCGCAGCTACACAAACGTCAAGGCCGTGCACGTCAACTTGGGACACCGGATGTGAAAAATTCCCTGGCCCTGGCCCTCTTGGATGAGAAGTTAAATTTATATTGTACCATGCGCATGTATTATGATCTTTATAACATTTTAAGTCACCGTCAATGGAATTTTTTTTCGTTATATCTTTCTTGGCGGGATTCTTTTACTTGAGCAAGTGGAGTTTGCATGTGGGGTTACATGTGGAGATTTCTCATGCGCTTCCGCTATCTTCTACAAATTGGGGCGCGGAGAACGAGACCCGGTGTGAAATTTCCGTTTTTTGTGGGGATGGGTAAGAGAGATTTGGATGTTTTTTTTTCCAACGAGTCCGAGATGGGATGGATGATAAGACACGGACCGGACAGGTACGCGTTTTTTTTTGGCCCTGGGGAGAGTTCGGGGAAGGGTTACTAATGACGCCGGTGGAATGCAGAGAATACATATGACGAATCGCGAGAATGACGAATGTGTAATGGACGGAAAACCTTTGAAGACACTACTACCTGGGGTTCGAAGCCAAGAGGTCTATATGTCCATCAGAGCTTCTTTTACCGGGGACAACTCTTTTCCGCGCGTGCCGAGGGTGCGGAGAAAGTGTGTGCGGGGAGGATGTGGCGTAGAGTGCGAATGCGGGGAGAGAGAAGACAGCGCGTCTTTCGTTGGAGTACTAGAGAGACAGAAGGTTTCTGGTTCGCGGGCGAAGAAGTGAAAAGTCGATGTCATGCCAGTGTCTGAGCTAAAGAATAACTAGAACCCTTATATACTAGTCGCGTGATGGAGACAGGTTGTCCCGCGCCTAAGCCTTATCGTAGGCGAGTGATTGCCGGGGTATGGATTGACGGGAAGGTATCAAAAGGTGAACTAGCGACTGGGGAGAGATCAAAGCGGGATTGATGAACGAGAAGTGGGAGAGATAGGCGATGATTCAGAGGAAACGTTTCGGGTTTGTGGGTGAAGGGAACTGTAACTCTACCCTGAAGCACCCATAACGGATGCAGGTTATCCCGCTTCGTCCATTGAATAGACGAGTGATCGATGATATTACAACGAATCTTATCCCGCCGATGTGAATTGACTGAATGACATCAGAACATACTGAATCTCCCTGATGACTCGCTCGTCCGTCCGAGTGATCGGGAGAAATACAACCCGCCGATGTATGAAGAGTTTTACCTAGCTGATCTCGCGGGAAGAGTTATTCCTCGACGTGACCGTGGAGATAAGAATTAATCCACTGCTTGTTTGTAGGTAGGTCTGGGTGGAGATAGATCGGGAGAAAGGGAAATGGTGCGGTCAGGTGAGGCGGTTGAGACAGTGAGCAGAGGTTAATTATCCCGCTGGGACGTAAGAGATTGACGCCGAGGTTGACGTTGTTGAATCGTACTAAAGCTGGAGCGGGTGTAAGGCTGGTTTTGTGGGTGAGGGTCTGAAAGTTCCTACCTTCTGAGGGCGATACACACCTTGATTTACAATTTGAAGTTCTCCTGCTAACGAGGTTGTATCCAGCAGCAGCAAAAAGGCATAGAGAAAGAATCGCCATAGTAGGTACTCCATCTCATTGAGGGTTAATATTCGGCGAAGCTCCTTCAGAAGTTTGTACATTACAAGTTGTTGAGACTCTTTGAGAACCGGCGCTATTAAAATTAAGATATGCTGTTATAAAGACGATGAGCACAACTGTGGTACGCGGTAAGCGCGTACGAGAAGGTCCGGGTGACACTAATCGCATCCAGTTATTGTCGCGTTCAACTCGACGCAGGTAATTCCAGCCTGTTTTCGCGGGCTTGCAGGGTGCACGGGGAGGCCAATTCTCCAATGTTGCTGTGACGGTTTTGGTTCAAGGTCGGAGTAACGGTCCTAGCTGGCACCATTCCCTCACACATTACGACAGCAGCACGTACACTGATGTTTCAAATTCCTAGCACATTGAGTGATCATGTTCACCATCTACACGAGGGCAAGTGTCAACTCCAGACGTCGTGGAAGCTTCAAGAGACGCACACTAGTAATCACCTGGAAGCCAGAGTAATACCGTCATCATGAACATTCGATGTCGTCGTTTCCTGCGCCAATGTATGCACACTGCAGACGACGGAAGTTGGAAATGAGGCAAGCAATTCCAATGCAGCCCCCCTCGTATGGCTCAGTCTTAGCATCTGCAGCCATTGTATTCTCTCCCACCGAATAAGAAGCCTATTTGCTCAAACTTGAAGGTCTCTTGCAAGCCGTTTATGAAGGTTCAGACTCGGACGGCTCCATCGATTCCCAGTCCAGTCCAGAGTAGAGATCCTGGAGATACGTCCAAGTTCGATAATGACTAATAAAGCCTAAGCCCAGCATTTCTGACCATATAGGCGCTGCACCAGGCGAGGTCGAGTTCCTGATAGTGATTCGGACATCTGTTCGGGACAAGAGCTGACTCCTGAGCGCTAACTCTTTGTCAATGAAGTCACTGATTCAAGAAAGATGATCTGCAAGCGCTTCCAAGTTCTTCGACAGCTCAGAAACCATGCTAGAATTTTGAACATGAGAAAAGGAAAGACAAAGAAAGTAAGTCCAGTCCGGTCGCCGCAGTATGAGGCTCGGCATCACCCGGCCAACGACAACTGTCTCACTGTTTCCCTTCAGCAATGACGGTGAATATCGTATCACAATTTGTGAATCTTTACTGAGTCGTGCTCTTAGTATGTTTACCCATATCCTATTCGCGTCGGTGGCTACACTCTAACCGTAGAACAATTCGCCGAGCTCTACAAACGTATCAAACCCGACTACACCATTGTTCCCGATGAAGACGTCTTCACTGGCGGTACACTTGGACTCGCTCTCGTCAATTTCGGCTACAAATTGAGGGAAGCCGACATAGACGCACAGTCACTGGGTGTCTTCATTGACCTACCCATATGCCGCGAGACGCTGAGAGTCATGCTTGTGTCATGGATTTCATGTCTTTTCCGGTCTGTACATGAGTCAACACACGCCTACTCTCGGCCTTCTCGGCCTTGACCTCGGCTTACTAGTATTTTCTCTCATTTTCTCTTACTTTCTCTTACTTTCTCTCTTCTTCTTGATAATACTAGAATAATAATGACTCGATCCCTTACTATTGGTATATAAATACTGTACTTATTCTTGTATTAGGAGCTCAAGCTAATTTTACTCATCTTTGAATGTCCACTTAACTGTGCGATATAAGCAACCCTGATCGGTTACGCCTAGCGCTTGCCAATCAACTGCTTCCCGACTACGCCTAGCGCTTTTCGGAAACCCTGTTAGTTACGCCTAGCGCTTGCTGACACCTCGTTAACTATGCCTAGCGCTTGTTAGCACCCTTACGGATCCCTCTTGGTGGTTGGAACTCGGCTTACGGACATCCTCGCTCATGACTTGGGTTTCACTCGAGTACTCATTACTTTGTGTACTAGCTCAAATACCCTGATTCTCAACATTGGTGGACACATTGGGACCACCTTGTAGAGGGAATCAATTGATCCATTATCTCCTGCTCACTTCAGCGCTTCATCACGGCTACTCGCAATGGATTCAAATACTACACCTGGATCCATTTCAACAATTCATTTACCTGCTTCGCAGTCTTCTCCCTCAACTCAGCATTTGCCTGGTGACTCACTGGGCTTTCCAGATCCTCCTGCACCGCTCGTGTTTCCAGTCGACTCAACAGACATTTCCGACACTGATATCCAGAAGGTTACTTGCCTGTGGCCATCCTGTGTTCCCCTTTTTGCATTCACGGGGAATTCGCATTTACAGGAGCGCAGGGATCGCATTATACAGGTACTTAAGCTCAGTAGGAACAGGAAACTCGGGAATGGCCTACAAGCTGCCAGTACTCGTGCACTGACGCAAAACCAATGTACCAATACCTTTTCGGAAGAAATGTGCATGTTAGATCGCCTGCTCATATCCGTTTTCGCCTGCACCACGTTCACGAAAGACGTTGTCTACAAGATGGATGAGAACCTCTATCAGGAACTTTGCATGAAATTGACCACTCGCCGTGCAATAGCCGTGTCGTCACTCAAGGACTTCGGTTATTCAGATCTCCAACCACCTGCATGGGCCATCGACGCTGCGAAAGGTTTGACAGCCAACGACTTTGAGATATATGCCTTACAGTTTCGCATTCGCGTAGAGCATTTTCTCCATATCCTTGATTACGTCCATGACTGGAATAAACTTCAGACGCGCATATATCTAGATGAAATATTCCTGGAAGCTCAGCGTAATGCTGACAGGGCCCGTCTTGGGAAGAAGGATTATTACCTTCCTGCTGTTCCTCCTATATCACATCCTAATCCTTTCAAGTCGAAGACCTCTTTTAAGGCCTCAGCCTCCGACTTGAATTGGGGGAGAGTACATCGTGATGCTACAAGAGATAAGGAACAGCATTCTAGCAACTCACGGGCCACTGAACTACGAGGACAGCTTTGTCTTTGTGTGAATTCGAAAGTCAGTGAGTCGAGTCGCGATTTCGGTCTCTGTCGTCACAAGAATATCCTCACAGTGTCCCACAGAGCTCAGATTCCTGAAGATTTAGACAGCCGAAATCCCTCTTCGCACAAGGGAATTTACCAAGGATGTTCTCTTAGCGATCCTGACTCGGGTAGAGGTGGTAACAATGGAAACCGACTTCCATCTCATCACGGCCTATGCAATTCACCAATTCCAGCATACCCCGGTCACTTAGAGTATACCAGCATTGATTTTGACACTGCTCTCAAAGCGACGGACATACCTGCTTGCAACAGTAATCCAAACACAAGGGATAATTGCGAGAACAAATTCGTTAATACTGCAGCTCTAAATCATAATATCGGCAATCCAATCCTTCCCTATTCAACCAATAACGAGATTCGTACCTTTCGAATTGCTTCAAATACGCCTTGCATGCCCTTTTCAGAAAGGAACAAGGATTCCCGATTACTACGTAAAGTCAGACGTCACATTGACCGGCTGCAGAGACGGCTACTGCAAATAATCCATGCTACCCGCCGGGTCACGTCCACTAATGGTGATCATCAGCGTATACTGATGGGGATGAGAGAATGCGTACAGCCGTTGCCTAGATTTATAGTCATGGGAAGCGAAGCAACACGGGTCCCGGTAGCAGTGAATACCCCTGATCCCAATATCTTGCAGAGGGTCCTCAATTCAGGCTCGTATATCACGCGTAACTCCCGAACGGCACCTCGGATGTTCTCTATATGGCCTAGAGCTCGAATCAAGCAGAAGACGAACTCTATGGAACAAACCGGTCAAATTGAATGTCGACTACTCAGCCAACGCCTCGCCGAAGCTGAAAGTAATACAGCACCACCCACTATCGATTTGCAGCATCAGAGCACTGAAGTTTGGGCCTTACCAAAGGCTGCGAACGAGCTAGCCAAGCTCACCAAGTTCCAGTCGTATCATCCTACCCATAAATCTTGTGGTCATTCAGAACATCAACGAGTACAAGAGTTCCGAGCCAAAGGATGCCTCGTGATACCTCCAGGGTCTAGTGCTAAAATATCCGTCAACAATCGACCTCTGACTACACTCTGTGACTTATTTGTCACGCAAAGCATCAGCCAAGAAACTTGCCAGCAGAAGTTCCATGACTCACCCTATTCCTTCGTCTCTATGCACTCCATCCTTTGTATTCCAAACATCTCCGGCTCTCTAATGGCCTGTAGGAAAGAGAACTTGGCCAGATGTGTTCACAATCCTCGAAAAATGCTTTGCGTAGCTGATACGACGAACGAGATGATTGAAGGACTTATCACATTTCACCCAGTCAGGAATACCACCACCGGAGCACGAAATAAGCTTCAGGGATTCCGGATTCAAGTAGGAGAAGAAAAGACACTAAGCCAAAAGACAAGACAAGCCTTGGAAAAGGAACGAGAGTCAAGACGATCGCTCTCAGATCGTCCGCAGGTCGCCGAATTCAATACGGCATTTTTGAAGCGCAAGCTGTTAGAGAAGACCGAGCGGAATCAATTAAAGCAGAGCATTGGGCTCAACACTAGTTCAAACAGCATACCCTGCTCCATTCTTATCACGCCTATTACAGTCTCTCTAGTTACTCTTTCTGGAAACACCGAAACCATACTCGAGTGTTCAACGGACGTAGCATCGACTTCGCCAATACGGGAGACTCATACAAGTATCGTTGGGCACAAACCACGTATTATGGATGCATCCGGAGGTGATTTTGAAAGGATCAGCATGGAAGTCGAAGTTCCAACCAATAGCGACCGACATCGTCAGGAAAGAAGCCAGTACGCTGGACTCTTGAGTAGAGAGATCATAAATATTCAAGGGAAGTTCACGATCAAGCTCGATGTTGTCATTGACGGTAGAACTGAACGAAACCCAGACACACTTGGAGAGGAGCTAAGACCGTGCGCAACGACGAGTGTAAGCCAAATGACACTGGGAACAATGCGATGGCGAAACGAAGTTCACGATCAACATGATCATCATCAATATCGTTCCCGTTTTGGAAACAACTCACCGGTAAATACGAAAGCCGATTACCGTTGCTACCATCACGCAATAGAGCCGTCCTCCATCTACGCATCCTCCAAACGACATTCTGGTACATCCTGCAACGGAAAATATTTAGAATCTAGTATAAATATTAAACTAGAGACACGTCATTGGGCTCAAACATTTCATCGATATATGAAACATTATCCAGCGCAAGAAGAGCTCCGACATCTAGGATACGGCTCTAGAATATTGACCCGTGTTCACTCCCTGATGAAGCAATGTGTCTTATTTCTCGAACAACACGTCAGTCGAGAAACACGTTGGCAGCAAGGAGAAGACTTACCCTGTCGTCCCGTCTACCGACTCTCTATCCTCCGTATTTCAGACATCTGCTGTTCTCTAACAGCAATAGGAAACTGGAATACAAGCAGTCCTGTTCGTATTCCTGGCAAAGGGTTTTACGACATCTGTAGGGGAAGCCAAAGGATGAAACGACTACCACGCAGCACACGAAAGAGTCGGCGTATTAGGACAGTACATAATCCGCATCGACTGGCTATCCGAATTAAGGCGCAGACGTTTCCAAATGCCGTCTCCAAAGAGTTCAGCATCGCCACCGGACGCGAACTCAGCACGGTTTCCTTCCATTGCCTTCCTAGCTTCGCTTTAACTCTTGTAGACAAGGGTCTTAGAGAATTCCTGGACTGTCAAGCCTTGCGTAAATTCCAGAATCCCCAATTTCCAGCAATTCCTACTGGGATACGGGACTGGGACCTTATAACTGGGCTCGGGGATCGACAGCATCATGTTCCAAGGATTCGATGCTCACCTCGAATGGAATTCCTTTGTCGGCTTATTCCAGAATCAATTGGTTTCCTTAGGTTTTCAGTATACCTCCACCCGTCAATGATAGCCGAAGTCGCAGCTATTAAACAAGAGTTAAAACTACTACTCACAGATCATCCACAGAGTGTCGCATTCAATACAGTATCATTGAAACTCATTTTGACAGAGAAAACGGAGCACAATCAATTAAATCAACGTGTTCGGCTTATCACTGGTTCAAACGACGTACCCAGTGACATTTTTATCACGCATATCGCAGTCTCTCCCATCATCCCCTCTGGACATACGGAAACCAGTCTTCTAGCGCATTTAAGAGGCGTGGCACCGACTGCGCAACTATCAGAGATTGATACAGAAGTCACTGGGCATAAGCGATGCCTGCATGCATCAGGAAATGAAGTGAACGATGCTGAGACCTCGAGGCGATGCCCAAAGCTGGAGACAATGTCGAGCGTGAATGGAGCGATGGCAGAATCGATTAGACGGCGAAATGATGCGGCCCATCATCAATATCATTCCCGTTTTAGAAACTTCTCCGAGGAACCGGCTCTAGCCGATTCCTCGCTTCATCGCACGAAGCCTTCCTCTATTTGCGTATCATCTGAGCTTCGTTTGTACCCATCCATGCATAAAAGAAGGTATAATCCATTGCAAATGTTGCCCTTAGGTATTTACCCATATACCTCCTTGTTATTGCGGAACAAGTTTGTCATTCCAACCCGATCTTCGACCCATGTAACAGCAAAAAGCCTGGAGGTAATGCCATTTCAGGAGGCAATGAACCTTGTGCTCCTATGTGAAGGGTATATAATCGCTTTGATTCCAGGATTTGCGAAGTTACGGCCACAATCGGCAGAACAATTCAAATCTATGATATTTAACTTGTTCTAATTCTTTTCATTCACTTGGTGTGCGCCTCGTTCCGGCATATGTAGACTGGGGGGGCTTTGTCATGGATTTCATGTCTTTTCCGGTCTGTACATGAGTCAACACACGCCTACTCTCGGCCTTCTCGGCCTTGACCTCGGCTTACTAGTATTTTCTCTCATTTTCTCTTACTTTCTCTTACTTTCTCTCTTCTTCTTGATAATACTAGAATAATAATGACTCGATCCCTTACTATTGGTATATAAATACTGTACTTATTCTTGTATTAGGAGCTCAAGCTAATTTTACTCATCTTTGAATGTCCACTTAACTGTGCGATATAAGCAACCCTGATCGGTTACGCCTAGCGCTTGCTGACACCTCGTTAACTACGCCTAGCGCTTGTTAGCACCCTTACGGATCCCTCTTGGTGGTTGGAACTCGGCTTACGGACATCCTCGCTCATGACTTGGGTTTCACTCGAGTACTCATTACTTTGTGTACTAGCTCAAATACCCTGATTCTCAACAGCTTGTTACACGCATAAAAGCAGATGTGAACTCAAAGCCAGGGAAATGCCCTCAGTATGAGGAGGGAGATTCAGATAGGAAGATAAAAGAGCAGATTGAGGCGCTCCTTGGACCACTTCCGACTCTGGAATGGTGTACGACCATTGCCAGGTACTAAGAGGTAGATGTTCGGCACCTCATACTTGACCTCAGCAAGCTGATACTGAAACCGTTCATATAGATAGGCACCAATCGGTGGTCGTGTACGTCGGTATGCCACGTTTGTGCTGCCGGTAAATAATCACTTAGTAGCACTAGTCATTGCGCGCCGAGCGGAAGTCAATTATCGTGCTGGAGCGCGGGAGGTCGATGCCGTGGTAATCATGAAGCTGGAGTGGCTGTAAGGCAAGTTTTGAGGATGATACGCACCTTGTTTTTCTACATGAAGTTCTCTTGTTAACGAAGCGTGAGTGCGAAAGTCATTTAAGTCCTGGCATGGAAAAATCCTAGTTGCATAAAGCAGCCACAAAAAGTCGTAGACAAGACATCTTTCAAGATCCTCGGGCAGCATGTTTCTGGGTTCGATAACTGGGCGAAACCTCTTGCGAACCTTGTAGACTACAGGTTATGTTGCGCTTGGAGTGAACACAGCACTGGAATTGCGTATAGACGATGACCGCAGCAGTGGTAGGTGGAAAACACGGGTCAGCGTTAGCAGTTGAGATCGCAGTCACTTGCCGCGTCTTACCGGTTATACCATCAACTCGACAGTAACGAGACGAAGCCCTAATAATACAAGTGTAAATGATACATATCTTCATTCCTTTATTCCAATACATTACACGCCCAAGTACCACGGATCATCTTGTAGCCAATCAGCCTCCTCATTGTCGACATCCCACTTCGATCGCTCAGCAACAAACTTGATGTGCTTCTGGTAAGAAACGGATACAATGACCTGCAAGCGCCTCAATAAGGGCTCGTCGTCGCGTATGCGTTCAACACGCTTGACGATCGGGCCGAAATCATTCGTATGAGGGACCAGCCGCAAGGTTTGAAGATTTGAAAGGAACTTGAGCAAACACAGAAGTGGTTCCTGTCAAAACAATGAGAATGGTGCAATTCAATGTGCAGAAGGGATACATACCGTGAAGTCCTTATTCCCCTCCACCACGACACCCAAAATACGTAGGTTTACACATTTGGACACACTCACTACATATCCAGGGATATTGCCAAAAACCCAATGGCTGCCCCAACACGATATCAGCTGGAGAACCTCCAGAGTCCCGGAGTGACGCGGCACTACTTCGCTCAACACTCGCCTCGAGGTGTCTTCCCTATTGGTCTCTACTTCAAATGTTAACTCGGTCATCCCCTCGTTGGAGGCGAGGTAATCAACGACTGGGGAGGGCACACTGTGGCACCTGGGCGTGATGGATGGAATATATATCCCCTGTTGGGAGAGCTCCATCCAGAATCCGGCATAGGCATGGTAGAAATCGACGTTAGATATCTGGAGTGATCTCAGACCGCGAAGGTGGTGGAAAACGTGAGGGGCCGCGGTGATACTACCTTCAGCGATAGATGACGAAGCGGTATAGTTCTCGTCGCGTGCTTTGGAAACACGCGTTCTATGCCGGAGACGGCAAGACTTGTCCTTCTGTTGCCCCACCGATCAACCAAATGCAGAAAGACGTCGGACAAGTACTGATTATTCGCAAATACACGGGCGAGCGTCTTCTCGATTGTTGGGGTGGAATTGTTGGAATAGCCAGTTAGAGAGAACTTGCGGATATTTCGAATCTGTGATAAATGGGAGAAGTACGGAAGGGTGAACTCCGGGTGAGTCAGATGAAGGTCGAGGGAGGGCCGTTTCATCAGCCAAGTAAAAGTGTCTTCAAAAAGGTGTGGTGGTGCTTTGCGAGAACCATTGCTGATACTATGATCAAAGAAAAAATCAGTAGCACTCTCTCTCTTGAGGTGTGGCTGAACTTACCACAACGTGAATGCCCGTAAGTTGGTCAACGACGCGAACGCTCTGTTATGTAGCGCGCGAAATTCTGCTATGCCGCTCTTCGTCTGGAGACGTGGACGGGCCGAGGGTGGGTGGGTTTCTGAATTGCCACCCTCAGCCACGCGCCAATGAGTCGGGGGATGTTGCTCGGAATATGATCCCCACACACAAACTCTTAGCCGATAGATATAGCTCGCAGGCGTGTGGCTGGCGAGATATTGGAGGGCATCTTGATCGGAGTATCTTAAAGGGAGGATGAGATTGATCAAGACGGCTGAGAGCACGGTAGCTCGGAGCACGTCATTCAGCTGATGGCATACGAAACGCAGGGCTTTCTGGTCGCGTTTGGACAGCTGAAGGCGACTAATGAGATTGGTAGATAGATAGACGAGCTTACGAAGGATGCAATTTCCTGGAGTAGTTCACTGGGAAAACTGAGCAGGGGAGCAGGGCAAGGTTTTCCTAGACGCTTCACTCTCCCGAGAGGCGTTAGGACCTTGAGCCGCAACTTGAACTTGAGCTTGGAGAGGTGCATTGGTACGAACTAAAGACAAACAAAGTCAAAACAAAGTTGAGAAACCAACGAGAGAGCAAGCCACGTGAATCCCACCTTGGAAAGATAACCAAGACAAATTCGTCCCAGGCTCAATCGTGCTCCCAGTGGCACTTGTTGACAGAGATAATCCCCAACCAAAACTCGTCGTCCTCTGTCGCCTTTCGTTGCTCCACCTATAATGATCGAAACCTCGAAACTATCAGCCATAAGGACGCCTCGGCTTTTCCCCCTTGTTCTGTTATCGCAGATATCGGGCCATCATGAGCACTCTTTCGTCCATCACCAAGCCTTCCACTTTGCACAAATATCAGCCATGACCCCAAGGATTGTACCACCGATTTCCAGGATCGCTTGTCACTCCTGGTAACTAAGGCCAGCAGCGTGGAGCCTGCCATTGTGTGCAAACCGATATCGCAGGATAGGACCAAAATCGGTGGCGACAGTATCACCGGGCTACCATATTCCTTCCCAGCATCTCTCTGCTATCCTCATCGTACCCTTCAACACCGGCAAACCAAAAGAACCGTGCAGACGCTATGTCTTTCGATCGTGATTTCGAGTTGTTACCGTGACCGCTGTTCGAATCTCCCACCTTCATCCTATCCCCACGCAGATTCCGACGTGAATGTCCTGCTCACGACCGATGACTGCTACCCGGGAGGATCGCCACTGGACCACAGCACGCTGCTTTGCTGCCTATGCACACATACCGATCGCGGGACTCGCATGTCAGCCCAAACGCACACCTTTGCCACTCGTGGAATAAACACGGTCTCCTGATCTCCATCTTTCCTATAAGGTCCACGCGTAACGTTGCCGATGCCCGATGCCCGAGACTGCAGTCGCACTAACTGTTAACCCGGGACGATCTCTGCGACAATCATGCTATTACTCGAGGGCTACTACACTGGTTCCCTGAACATCTACTGCCTCGAAAAAGAAAACAAGACATGCAAATCTTCCTCGGCAAACACAAAGACAGAACGCGACGCTGCCTTTTCCGGTCTGTCTTCTTGGCAATGTTATGCCGACCGTTATCTTGACTTGATGCCTCTATGCGCAGCCAGTGTTTGGTATCCCGTTCACGATTAATGACTAGGATCTGGGAGGATCGCATATGAATCGCAGCACCTAGCTTTGTTGCCTGCGAGCATATATCGATCGCACAACTGGCTAGTTGGCGTAATTGCCGATCCTGGAATAGTCACGGTATCCTGCTATCTGCACGTCCACGCAGGACGTTGCTCATGCTCGATGCATATCTCGAGAGGATCCGGCCTACTGTATCACCACAGCCAGACCTTGCTACCACGTAGCCGTCTCTGTCCTCAGTCCTTCGGTATCGCACGACTTCTGCATCAACCCGCAACCCGCACCATCTTTCGGAAATTATAAACGTCTTTCCTCGATGGCTGTCGTTGCCGAATCCCTCCTTCCCTATTCTTATGGTAAACATCTATCCATGATGCATCCTCGTATGCTTCGGCGACCTCGACAGACGCAAATCGAAGACAAAAAACGTCATATCGTAAGCAAAACAAAAGAAGGGTGCAGACGCCGTTTCTTCGGTACTGCCTCCATTCTCATGGGATGGTACAGAAAATGCTGGTGCTTCACCATATGCGTTTTCGTCGTTGATGATCTCGTCAGGATCGATAGTCAGGACATGGGAGGTCGAAGGGTGCTAGATATGGGGCCTGTCTGATCGGGTGGAGTGCTTTGGGCATATGCTTCTTCGTCCTCGTATCGACCGAGCTCCAGCTTGTTGCGATGTCTGGGAAGAATACCAAAGGCGAACTGGCTAAAGGATATGGCGTTCCTTCGGAGCACAGCACCTCTACCTGTCGCCTGAGTGCATAGATCGAGTGTAGGACCAATGTACCAGCCTAACACCAACCGTTATGTCCCTCGGAACTCGAGAAGTTTCTTGATTGCCTTCAGTCCAAGTAATTTCAAGCAAAGCGACGCCGACGCAGATGGTGAATGTCGACGAACATGTGTGGGTCTGTGATTTGCCTATGTTCATCTGATGGCGTTGCGCGCATCAAAGAGGAAAGAGAACCAGAAATATGATCTCCTTCGACCCTTCTGTGGTCTGAGAGTCATCATGCATCGTATGTGAGGATATATGGCTATTCCTCCGAACGAGGCGAATCGGAAAAGATTCTTTTTGCGCTGAAACCCGCGTAGAGGCCGCTTCCTTAGGCTTGCTATCGATCATCGCGTCTGCCGGTATTTCACTGAATCATTTGCTGGACTACATTCACCGGAACTGATGACACTGTGCATGGTTAGTGATGAAAGTATGAAACCGAAAGGTGGACTTACGGATCTGGGTTATTTCCTCAACGGATCTCCGCGTCGTGGATATCAAGAGCAGCGGACAGTTCTTGGCTCAGCTTTACGGGATGGCTGGTGCTCTATAGACTGTCGGCCTTCCTAGGTTCGCTACGTTCCTTCGACGATCGTCTTACGGGATCTACAGTCGTCAAAGTCAGACAAGGCTGTGAATTTGTAGGACGTGGATTACCGGCGGTACCTACTGCAACCATTTTATGTCTCCCCACATGAGAACTGGAGGCCGACTGTCCACTTGTTATGGGACCTTTGACGAAAGTGATCGGCTAACCAAAAGCAGTCTGTTTTTGGACGTGGTCCAATACCCTCTTGACACCTTTCTATTCCTTCTCATCGTGTCAAACTCGAGGAGAACAGAGACAAGGAGAATGCAGAGAAGCGCTACGTTGGCGTAAACGAAGATAATAGTCAAGGCGAGTGTCCCAATCATGGCGTTCGGAAGAAGCTGAGCCTTAGCGAGGCCTCTACGCTACTAGATAGTACACCTTGATATACAAGTTCAGGCATCTCACCCAGTCAAATGCATGGTGAGCACGTACAAGTCCAGATACTGAATCCTCAACATACATCCCTCGCCGACCACTGTTTACAGGTGGATAAGCGTCATTAACCCCGCTCATCATGACGAACGTTTTGTGCCGAAAATATTCAGAAATAAAGTCCTATCCATAGGACGTAGGAGATGATGACGGAGGACGGCATGGAGGAGGGAAGTCAACAAGATGGATGAGTCAGCGTCAGCGACTCTCTGGAATTTCATCAACGATCAAAATTATGCGCCTAGCTGCCCAGCTACTAGTACCTGGCTAACAATGTCTGTCAGTGGTACTCCTGTATCCATTATATCTTCCTTGCCTTGGACCGCGGATTCACGCAGCTATCCTGGGAATATCACCAATCATGACTTTTTTATGCTGTGGAAAGGAACTGTGCGGACTGATTGATACGTGAGAATGCGTCGCCAGTGTCCAGTCATAGCACCTATTTTTCCTTGACAGCTACCGTATCATCTAAAGTGAGCTGCTCTGTCATTTTCTATGGACTTCGATTATACTGACTTGCCAATTTGTGTCGTCTTATTAGTATGCCAGAAACCAACGAGAATTGTGTGGAAACACCTCTGAATCAATCTTCAGCAGCTGGGAATCATGTCAGTTCAACAGCTAATCCTGAAGATCCTAATGCTCAGAGAAACCCTCCAAGCGGGACGTTTTTTGGAATGAGGAAGAATCAGCCGTCGTCGTGGGGAGTCGGTGTGTTCAATTGCTTCAGATTTTCTGCTGTGACATACTCAATTGACTTCAGGCGCTACTCCACGCGACTATAACGCGCGCTTCCCTCTCGATCCCTATGGCCAAGAGATGTCTCGTAATGCACGGATATGGTCCATCTACCTTGACGGAGCGGCCGATTTTGACGCCAATATGTTGGCAGAGTGGCGGGATACTATTGATGTCCTACTTGTTTTTGTATGTCTCAGATTTCCTTTGAAAGTGGGTCCTCGAAGGTCTAATACCATCACAGGCCGGTCTCTTCTCTGCAGTACTGACAACATTCGTGGTCCAAACGTCGCAAAACATGCAGCCAGATTACAACGAGGCATCTGCGCGTCTTCTCTTTGAAATCCTCAAGGTCACTATGTCGAACGGTTCCCAGTCCTCTATTCCCTCCTCCCCTACTGCATTTCTCTCTCCCAGTCCTTCCAACGAGTGGATGAACAGCTTGTGGTTCATGAGTCTGATGTTCAGCCTCATCACTGCCTTGGTTGCCGTTCTGGTCAAACAATGGCTCCACCAATATGTCGCCGTCGTCTCCAACAGCTCTGCACGCGACCGTGCAAGAATCCGACATTTGCGATATGCTGGACTGCAGACGTGACAGGTGCCGATGATCATCGGATTGCTTCCGTTCCTCCTCCAAATATTAGCTTTCGAAGTTTTAGGGTGAGTGAACTTCAACAACTAGGTAGTAGTATTTGGTGGTATTATTTTCTGAAGTTACAGTTTTTGGGTACCTCAGCCTATAGTTCAAAAGGAAGGCTCTCACCATGGGTAGACCTTTTCAAAGCAAGGTAACATTCTTACATTCAAACCTAGACAAAAATTCCCACCCAATTGGAACCTACAGTAAATATTCAATTTGCTGTTTCATTGACCGGTAAATAACTGTATTGGGCAGCACGATTCCGTTTTTGCTATCCTGATCTGGTTAGCGGGCTGTGCTGCTCCACCTCAGAGACATCGCTCAGTCATCTTCGCAAGTGCGTCTCGTTTCTCTTTTGCTGCCTTCCCGTACTCAATTTCTCGTCTTGTCCTCTCTTCCTCCAGTGATCACCACTGCTTTCGTCTCTACCTGCATCGCGGTCGCCATAGCTGACAGGCACGACTCAGAGATCCGCTCCCCTCCTACGACCACTTTCTCGGGCTTTAGCCTCAGTAATTCCCCCGCCGCAGAGCTCTTCCCTTACGCTCCCGTCCCCTCTGTCCAAGATGGAGGCCAAGTTCTACTACTGCCGGCCTGCCCTCTGCCCCGGTCTTAGTCGCTCGCACTAGCACCACTCCGTGGGAGGCGCCCTACTGGCCCGGAGGCGTACCGGAATGTCAAGGAGCTCCGCCCCGTCGGCAACCACGCGCTCAAGGAGGCCTGGGAAGGCAACCTGGCTCTCAAGCTCCACGCCCTTCTGGACTCGATGAAGGTGAAGTGGACTAGCACTGACGTCGTCCGCATCGGGAACAGCGGAGAGTCTTCCGCCCCCGTCATCCTCTGGATCGGCGTGATGCCCGCATCTCTCTCCGGCAATGACGGCGTCGTCGTAGCCTCCAAGTGCCGGGAGCTTCTTGTAGAATCCAATATCGCCGACGTCGACGTTGAGATCCGCGAGTCGGTCGTTACCCGCTCGGCCGGTCCCAAGCTCCTCACGTCCACCTACTCTTCCGACTCCACCGTAGATGTCCGCGAACCTCTTACCACTACGCTCGGTCTCCCCATCTGTGCTCAGTCTACACCTTGGGTTCAGGGTACTGGCGGCTTCTTCATTACTGAGGGCGGGAATACCGAGAGGCTCCTCCTCGTCACCTGCTCGCCACGTCGTCTTTACGCTGGACAAGAACGAGAATAAGCACTTCGAGCGTAAGAACGACAGCCAGCGCCGTTATAACGTCAGGCTCTTCGGCGATGCGGCGTTCAACAAGCACCTCAAATCTATCAAGGCCGAGATCAGAGGCAAGGCAATTATCGCCCAGCATCAGGAGAGACGTATTAGGGCGGTTGAGGGGAAGAACAACCTGGCAGCGAACAAGGAGCGCAAGAAGGCCCAGGCCGAGTTGGACGAGGTGAAGGAGGCGATGGAAGAGCTCAACACCTTTTACCAGAACGTTTCGACTCACTGGGCCACCCCGGAGAGCCGCGTTCTGGGCCATGTCATCCTCTCTCCTCCCATCAGGCGTCGGCAGCAGTGAGGGTTATACTGAGGACTGGGCCGTCATCGAGGTCGACGCCTCCAAGGTCGACGTGAGCAATTTCAACGGCAATGCCATCGACCTCGGTACCCACATCCCAGCCGACGAGTTCACTTGTATGATGTGCCCCAATCCCCGGAATCCCCATTCCTTCGTGTATCCGGACGACCGTCTTCTGAGGCTCAAGGGCACTATTCCGGACGACGAGATGCGTCACCCGACTGCACTCGACCAGAACGACGACCCATGCCTTATGGTGATCAAGCACGGTAACACCACCAACCTGACCGTCGGCCGTGCCAACGACATTTGCTCCTACGCCCGTAACTACTACAACGATGACAAAGCCGAGACTTCCAAAGAATGGGCCATCCTCCCGTTCGACTCCAAGTCCGGCCCCTTCTCGGCCAAGGGCGACTCGGGTTCTGTCATCGTCGACGGCCAAGGGCGCATCGGCGGCCTCCTCACCGGCGGTGCTGGCGCCATGTCTTCCTCAGACATCACCTACGCCACGCCCATCAGCTTCCTCCTCAAGCGCATGCAAGAAAACGGACTCCACAAGCCCAACATCAACCCGGTCCTCACCGCCTAGACGCATTCACCAGATTGACTCCCAGCGTAATTCAGCAATTTATCCTGGAGACGCTGGCGGTCTCTGTACTTGACCCTTGTGACGTACTCGACCTTTTGTGACGAAATGATATTGTGACTTAGTGTGTTTTAACTTACGTGCGATGGACTGAAGCGTGATGTCTAGGTAAGGTCGACTTGGGCACCTAGTACTCTAGAGCTGCGGGGGACTTGTCGTGATTAGCGGCTTCGGATACGACTTCTCTCTTGACAATTTTGCCGCCGTGACTCGCTTATATGGTTTCGTTCTCAAGACTTCATCGCTATGATTTCGCCCATCCGATCTCGACTTGTTCAACTTCGTTCGAAGACTTCGTTCTTAAAACTTCACCCTTGTGACATTGCCAGTATGAGCTTTGCCCTTACCACTTTGCTCATACAACTTCGCTGTAAACACTAAGTTGCTCGGCTCCTGTTCCAAGTCCAACGCTGAACAGGGTCTCTCATCAGTCGTTCGACCATCCTTTTATCCTCGACAACGTCGAACATCTTGTACATTCGACGACGTTGATCAGCGATATCCCTCGAATATGACGCGAGAGTGCTAATGGTCGTAGTTCCAGGTAGGCATCTAGTGATGCTTGTTCCGTTGAACGCAAGGTTAACTCAAACATGGAGGCGCGCCAGTCACCCGCCGCATCGTATATGTTATAAGATGTTAGTTATATCATCAGCTCAACAGGAACAAGACAAAGCCCTAATAAGACAGGTGTAAATGATACAATAATACATATATCCATTCATTTACTCCAATAAGTTACGTGCCCAAGATGGAACCAGCAAGTGCATAGCGAAGAAGAGAAGGCGATAGATCTACCGCCTTACCACCCCGACGCCAAGGCAAACGGGAAGGTGGTCGCGACGTGGTTTGCACTGAGCTCAGAGAAGCTCGTTTGTTAAAATGCATAGGAATGTAGAACAGAAAAATGGACGAGATATATACAAGTAGCAATATCCCACCATACGCTAGCGTGTAGGATTACGGTACATCACATACCAACAGGATTCAAAAAAAAAAAAGTTACGTGCCTAAAAACCATGGATCATCTCGTAGCCATTCAGACTCTTCATCATCAAGATCCCACCCCGATCGCTCAGCAACAAACCTGATGTGCTTCTGGTAAGAAACAGATACAATGACCTGCAAGCGTATCAATAATGGCTCATCATCGCGTATGCGTTGAATACGCTTGAAGACCGAGCCGAAATCATTCGTATGAGGGACCAGCCGCAAGATTTGAAGATTCGGAAGGTACGTCAGCAAAAGCAGAAGTGGTTCCTGTCAAAACGATGAGAATGGCGCAATTCAATGTGCAGAAGGGATACATACCGTGAAGTCCTTATTCCCCTCCACCACAATACCCAAAATACGCAGTTTCACGCATTTGGACACACTCACTACATATCCAGGGATATTGCCAAACACCCAATGGCTGCCCCAACACGACGTCAGCTGGAGAACTTCCGGAGTCCCGGAGTGACGCGGGACTACTTTGCTCAACACTCGCCTCGAGGTGCATTCCCTGTCGGTCTCTACTTCAAACGTTAACTCGGTCATCCCCTTGTTGGAGGCGAGGTAATCAACGACTGTGGAGGGCACACTGTGGCACCTGAGCGTGATGGAGGGAATATATATCCCCCGCTGGGAGAGCTCCGTCCAGAATCCGGCAGAGGTATGATGGAGATCGACATTAGATATCTGGAGTGACCTCAGACCGCGAAGGTGTTGGAAAACGTGAGGGGCGGCGGTGATACTACCTTCCTTCAGCAATAGATGACGAAGCGGTATAGTTCTCGTTGCATGCTTTGGAAACACGCGTTCTATGCCGGAGACGGTAAGACTTGTCCTTCTGTTGTCCCACCGATCAGCCAAATGCAGAAAGACATCAGACAAGTGCTGATTATTCGAAAATACACGGGCGAGCGTCTTCTCGATTGTTGGGGTAGAATTGTTGGAATAGCCAGTCAGAGAGAACTTGTGGATATTTCGAAACTGTGATAAATGGGAGAAGTACGGAAGGGTGAACTCCGGGTGGGTGAGATGAAGATCGAGGGAGGGCTGCTTCATCAACCAATTAAACGTGTCTTCTACAAAGTATGGAGGTACTTTGCGAGAACCGTTGCTGATACTGTGACCGAGGAAAAAATCAGTGGCATGATCTCTCTTGAGGTGTGGCTGAACTTACCACAACGTAAAAGCTCGTAAGTTGGTCAACGACGCGAACGCTCTGTTATATAGCGCGCGAAACTCTGCTATGTCGCTCTTCGTCTGGAGACGTGGATGGGTCGAGGGAGAGTGGTTTTCTGAATTGCTACCCTCAGCCACGCGCCAGTGAGTCGGGGGATGTTGCTCGGAATATGAACCCCACACACAAACTTTTAGCCGATGGATATAGTTCGCAGGCGTGTGGCTGGCGAGATATTTGAGGGCATCTTGATCAGAGTATCTTAAGGGGAGGATGAGATTGATCAAGATGGCTGAGAGCACGGTAGCTCTGAGCACGTCGTTCAGCTGATGGCATACGAAACGCAGGGCTTTCTGGTCGCGTTTGGACAGCTGAAGGCGACTAATGAGATTGGATACTGGTATATGGATAGACAAGCTTACGAAGGATGCGATTTCCTGGAGTAGTTCAGCGGGAAAACTGAGCAGGGGAGCAGGGAAAGGTTTTCCTAGACGCTTCACTCTCCCGAGAGGCGCTCGGAGCTTGGGCTTCAACTTGAACTTGAACTTTAGCTTGGAGAGATGCATTGGTTTACGAACTAAAGACAAACAAAGTCAGAACAAAGTTGAGAAACCAAGGAGAGAGAGAGCCACGTGAATCCCACCTTGGAAAGATAACCAAGACAAATTCGTCCCAGGCTCAATCGTGCTCCCAGTGGCACTTGTTGATAGAGAGCATCCCCAACCAAAACTCGTCGTCCTGTCGCTTTGTGTTGCTCCACCTATTATAATGATCGAAACCTCGAAACCGCAAGCCATGAGGATGCCTCAGCTTTTCCTCCTCATTCTGTTATCGCAAATATCGGCTCTTCCTGTCATGGGCACTCTTTCGCCCACCACCAAGCCTTCCGCGTCGCAAAATCAGTTGCGACCCAAGGATTATACCACCAAATTCCTGGATCCCTTGTCACTTCTGGTAATTAAGACTACCAGCGTGGAGCCCTGTCGTCGCGCGCAAACTGATATCCCGGGGTAGGACCAAAATCGGCGGGCGACAGCATCACCGTTCCTCGAGGGCTATCATATTCCTTCTCAGTATCTCTTTGCTATCGTCATCGTACCCTTCGACAACAGGAAACCAAAAGAACCGTGCAGACGCCACGTCTTCCGATCGCGTTTTCAAGTTGTCACCCTGACCGCTGTTCGAATCTCCCACCTTCATCCTACCCCCACGCAGATTCGACGTGAAATTTCTGCTTATGTCTGATAATTGCTACCCGGGAGGATCGCCACTGGACCGAAGCACGCTGCTCTGCCGACTATGTGCACATCGATCGCGGGACTGGCATGCCAGCCCAAACACGCACCTTTGCCGCCTGTGGAATAAATACGGTCTCCTGATCTCCATTTTTCCTAAAAGGTCCACGCGTAATGTTGCCGATGCCCGATGCCCGAGACTGCAGTCGCGCTAACTATTAACCCGGGACGATGTCTACGACAATCATGCTGCTACACTGATTCACAGAGCATTCATTGCCTCGAAGGAGAGAACATGGCAAGCTTCTTTTCACCTGAAAACCCAAAGACAGAGAGCGAGGCAGCCTTTTCTGCGCTGTCTTCTTGGCTAATGTCACGTTGACTGTTATTTTGACAAGTTGCCTATATGCGTGGTCGGTAATTAATGTCTAGGACCTGGGAGGATCGCATATGAATCGCAGCAGATCGCAGCGCCTAACTCAGTTGCCTGCAAGCGTAGAGCGATCGCACAACTGCCAAGTCGGTGTTACCGCCGATCCTGGAACGAGTACGGTATTCCTCTATCCGGAAATCCACACAGGACGTTGCTCATGCTCAATGCCTGTGGAAACAAGTAGGTCTTGAGACAAATCTGGAACCCTATGTCCTCGCCGAACGTTGTGGAACTGCGCGTAAGAAAGAGGGACGAGACTCGAGAGGATCCGGTCTACTCTATCACCCCAACCAGACCTTGCTACTACGTAGCCATCTCTGTCCCCAGTCTTTCAGTATCGCTCGACCTCTACATCAGCCACAACCCACTGCACCATCCATTAGTAACTATATTCGTCTTTCCTCGATGGCTGTCACCGCCAAATCCTTTCCTCCCCGTTCTTGTGGCAAGCATCTTTCCATTTTATGCGTCCTTGTACGCTTCAGCGACATCGACAGACGCAAATCGAAGGCAAAAAAGTCATTGTCGTGAGCAGATCAAAAGAAGGGTGCAGGTGCCGTTTCTTCGGTGCAGAAAATGCTGGTACTTCACCGTACGCGTTTTCGTCGTTGATGATCTCGCCAGGACATGGGAGGATGAAGGGAGCTAAATATGGGCCTGGCTGATCGGATGGAGTGTTTTGGGCGTATGCTTCTTCGTCCTCGTATCGACCAAGCTTCAGCTTGTTGCGGCACCTAAAGACGAGCTGGCTAAAGGATAGGGCGTTCCTTCGGAGCACAGCACCTCTACCTGTTGCCTGGGTGCATAGATCGAGCGTAGGACCAGGAAACCAGCCTAATCCCCAACCCTTACGTCTCTCGGAACGAAAGAAGTTTCCTGCTCGCCTTTAGTCCAAGTAGTTTCGAGCATAACGACGCCGACGCGGATGGTGAATGTTGACGAACGTGTGTGGCTCCGTGATTTGCCCTGTGTTTATCTGATGGCGTTATGCGCATCAAAGAGGAAAGAGAACCAGGAGTATGATCTCCGTTGACCCTCCTGTGGTCAGAGTGTCATCGTGCTTCGCATGCGAGGATATATCACAACTCCTCTGAACGAGGCCAATCGGAAAAGCTATTTTTCTTGCTCGAAACCTGCGCCGAGGTCGCTTCTTCAGGCTTGGTATCGATCATCTCACCCTCCATCCTCTCAATGAAGCATTTACTGGACTACCTTCACCAACACCTTTCGCCGGCTTTGATGATACTGCGCCTTGTTAATGACGAAAGGTATGAAACTGGCACGAGGACTTACGGATCTGATTTCCTAGACCGGTCTCCGTGCCGTCGATATCAAGAGCAATGGAAAGTCCTTGGCTCAGCTGTGCGGGATGGCCGATGCACTATGGACTGTCAATCTCGATGTTCATCTTCCGGGATCTACAGAGGTCAGGGTTGGTCAAGGTTATGAATCTGTAGGACATGAATTACGGGGCGTACCTCTGGAACCATGTCTTTTCTCCCCGCTGAACACAGGAGGCCGGGACACAAGTATAACAGCTCCACTTGCTACGACAATCGGATATCCTCCTCCCAAGGCTTTGTCGCATGGCCTGTGGCTTCTGTTCTATCCCATCATATTGAATTGAGGAGAAGGGGAGCTGTATTGAGGTCGGTATGCCGGAAGCGCTACATTGGCGAGCATCATGGAGTTCAGAAACTTGGCAACACGAGGCTTCCGTCCACCTGGACCTACAAGTTCAGATGTCTCAGCTAGTCAAGTGCACAGTAAGTACGTACGTGTCGGCCCTTGTACGTTGAATCCTTAGCATGCATACGTCTATCGTTGGTCATTGTTTACAGGTAGACCAGTGTCGCTAAACTTTCCGTGATGAGCATTTCAGGCCAAGAATATTCAGATAATGAGGTGCAATTCTTGCGACGCAGGACATGCTAAGCCAGGACGGCAGGTAGATGATGGAGAGAAGGCAAGAAGATGAGTCAGCGTCAGTGACTTCTACTCCAGCATCAACGATCAACGATCACTACGCTGTGTCTGCAATCATGCGCCTTACCTACTGTAATCTGCCATGGGCTACCTTTTGGAATATCACCAATAATCAACTTTTATGTTACGGAGCAGGTCAATCTACGTCCCTGATTTATACGTGAACAGGCGGTGCCTTTGACGAGTCGGTGTTCACCGCCTTTCAACTTGACAGCAACTATATTTTCCAAAGTGAGTCGTTTGCTGTGGATATCAACTGTACTAACTTGGGCCCCATTGCTTTACTAGTATGGAAGACGCCGGTGAGAATTGTGCAGAATTACCTCCGAATCAACCTTCTGCAACTGGGGGTAATGCTCGTTCAAGAGCTAACTCAGGAGATCATAATGCCCACAGGAACCCTCCAAGCGGGACGTTCTTTGGACTGAACAAGAATCAGCTGCATTCGTGAGGAGTTGGTGCGTTCAATTGGCTTCGACTGTTCTGCCGTGATATTTAAATGGCTTCAGGTGCTACTCCGCGCGACTATAAGGCCCGTTACCCCCTTGATCCTTATGGCCAAGAGATGTCCGGAAATGCTCGAATATGGTCTATCTACCTTGAAGAAGCGGCTGATTTTGATGCCAATATGTTGGCAGAATGGCGGGATACCATCGGTGTCCTACTTGTGTTTGTGCGTCTCGCGTTTCCTTACAAAATATTTCTCTGAAAAGTCTAATACTATCATAGGCCGGTCTTTTCTCTGCGGTACTAACAACATTCGTGGTACAAACGCCGCAAAACATGCAACCAGATTACGGCGAGGCATCAATGCTCCTTCTCTTTGAAATCCTCAAGGCCACTGCATCGAATCGTTCCCAATCCTCTATTCCCTCCTCACCCATCGCCTTCTTTAGTGCCAGTCGTTCCGATGAGTGGATGAACAGCTTGTGGTTCGTGAGTCTGACGTTCAGTCTCATCACTGCCCTCGTCGCCGTTCTGGTCAAACAATGGCTCGACCAATACGTCGCCGTCGTCTCCGACAGCTCTGCGCGCGACCGTGCAAGAATCCGACACATGCGATACGCTGGTCTACAGACGTGGCAGGTGCCGATGATCATCGGCTTGCTTCCGGTCCTCCTTCACATTTCATTGGCATTTTTTTTCGCTGGTCTCGCTATTTTTCTGTTTTCTCTAGGCATGAAAGTGGCGTGGCTAGTATCGACTATTGGTGCAGCAACATATGTGGCCTATATCATTGCCCTAATCCTTCCCTTCATATATCCCTACTGTCCATATAAGGTCCCGTTAACGCTTTACGCCCACCGTCTATATCAACTCGTTAGCAACTGTTTCCTTCCACGTATCATTTTCGCGCCACACTACCCCTTTCCCCACATGTTCCACCACGACAGCTGTTTTCACCTATCCAGGTACCACAAATGGCACCAGGATTTCATCCATTCCCGTCAAAAATGCCGCACTCTGAAGGACATCGAACACAATTATGTTCAGGAATGTGCCCCAAAAGTCGATGCGCAATCGCTGCATTGGCTACACTCCTCCACGTCTAACGCATCGGTGCACCAAAGTGTGCTGCAAGCCATTTCCGGGATGTCGTCTGACGCTACAAGGTATCTCCCAGAAAAATACAGATCCGCATTAGTGGTATCTCTGCACCAGCAGATAGAACGCATGAAACCACTCGTGCCATTTCCTGGTGCCAGAAGCGAAGTGGTTGAACTAGAGCTCTACTGCCGAGCATTATCGCTTCTCTGCGGTCATCTCACAGTCAAATGTTCCAACGGGCAGCTGAAAATGGCTTTGTACTCTATGACAAGCCCCGAGAAGGCGTCGTCTGTTTTTCTTGGAATTCTTCAAGGCCCGCTGCACCATTTCCTCACCTTGCCTTCATTAGTGTGGAAGATACTAGTCGACGTGGCTTTCTCCTCCCCGACCCTCCGCAGTGGTGTTCTGGAATCAGAGCTCGAGCTCATGAAAATCCTTGCAGGGTCCATGACTACTACAGGCGAGAATGAGGATGTCACCACTATCGACAAGCCTACAGAAGAGGTGAAGGAGCACATTCTTGACAAATTATCCGTTTTCTGGAAGTATGATCCCACTCAAAAGCCAGTAGCTACAGACACTTCTCTCCACTTTCGTGCTATGGCTGTATTTATCCCTCAGATACATCAGAGACTGTGCGATTCAGTGTTTGCCTTAGAGCGAAAGCAGATAATCGACACCTTCCAGCCTTTCCTCGACATCATTGAACACACCCAGTACCAGGCCGAAGAATTTAAACCCGTCCTCAACACGCTATACTCCCTTCTTTCCTCCGAGGTTTTTGCCACTGTCGGCGACCTTGAAACACTCGTTCGCAGGATACTCACGGTTCTCGACGCCCACCAATATGTCCAAAACCTAACTCCAAATATACGGTTCCATTCCATCGCTTATCCAAAGCAAGGTAAACTCAACAGTTAGTGACAAAGAAGCATAGGCAGATCACTAGGGATGTACACACAATGGCAGATATTTTATATGGCATAGTCTGACGAAAATATGCCACTTGATCAAATAGTTGTCAAATAGTACACAATATGTACAGGAATATAAGTGGGTTGCTGTATCTAATGAGATCAAACGCATAAATTGAATGGGGGAAGGTATTATCCCTTCCGGAGAGTGGGTACTTCGGGCGAGCGCATTGAACATATTTTCATGATTGCATATGTAAGTTTACACACCAATGTCCCCGTGGGTTTGGAAATTGAAAAATGTCGTAGCTACTGAGGCCTTGAACTTGAATTGGGATTCTAGTGTCTTTCCAAAATTTCTGTGGTGGTGCAGAGGAGTTTTCGTGGGAGAAATTTACTAATATTCGAGGTGCTATGAAAGGTCTAGACCTAATATCTTAAGAAATACCGTGGAGAGATAATTAGAAACTGAGATACATGAACTTCAGAAAGAATTGTTGAGAAGTAATAAGAAGATTGAATTTTAGGAAGATGTCATGGACTTAATAGTGCGTAAAAAATCAGATAGGTGCAGGTGGTCTTTTTACCGGCCACTTATTGTGAGGTTCGAGCTTCTCATGGCACTGACAATCAGTCGCCGTTTGGGTTCTCGCATGGATCCACTTACGTGTTTACCTATTGCAAGCACACCGTAATACCTGAAACACTCCTGTAGACCCGTGATCCTGTAGGTCCGTGAATAAATTTCAGGATTACTAAGGGAAAATATAGATGCCTATATTTGTCGCCCAATGACCCAGGAGATCCAACTTGTAATCCAACTGTCCAAAACCTCCTCAGGATTCGAAGGTGGAGGCCGGACATACACAACGTCGAACCCCACTTTACCGATGTCCACAACTGCATCAGTTATGAGTGTCTCGAGGATTGGACACCTCAACTCGTCGATAAACAGGAGGGCGAAATTGGCCCCTTTGAAGGTGACCTTGCAGACAATAGGTAATATAAAATTAACTAAGATGTTATCTCGAATGTACCGCTCCGTTGAGAGGTAAAGGAACGGACGCCGGATCTGGTGCATCCAATAGTCGCTGTGGGGAAAAATTATCTCTATCTCGTCAACGCTGGGGGGCAACCTACTCGGGGCCCGGATTATTATTGGTTGCTCCCGTAGGTCATCAATGATGAAAGACACCCGACGGAGATGGAGATGAGGGAACAGGAAGGGCCAACTGAGATTAGGATGATTTTTGTGAGACATGGTTACAGTTATCGAACGGCAGTGGGAGGATATGTATTCAGCGATGAGAACAATTTCTTCAGAGTCATCCATGCGAAATAGAGAATGTTTTCCCTTTTCCAGGAAAATAAAATGGAGATAGTAGTCGACATATGCGCGTGAGGGGACGAACATGTCGATGAATGAGATACGGTGGTATGCACGCAGCCAGAACCGGCAGATGAGGGGGAATGTCTTCATCAGATGAAGACGGTCTTGATTGTCCAGCGGAAGGTACCAGCTCTCCGCTATGATGCTTTCGAAGAGTTCGACAGGAAGTCGTGCCATCTTATGATGTCGGGAGCAAGAAAGATACTGACGAAAATGAACTTTGCTATGATGGTGGTAGGAATTGACGCGTCTCAGATATGAGACAGGGAGTTGCCGAGGTTTCATCACTGATAAGACACCGCCTGTAGGTCATCCACTGGCAACTAGGCTTTAATATACGTCAGGGCGCTACCGCTTGAGCATCGGGAGTCCGGGTTATTTTGAAGCAGGACACACTTTAAGCATGCTTCGTTAGTGTAGAATTTATATAGCAGACATGAGTACGCACCTGAAAAAATCTTTAGATGACTGTGATCAACTTTGAAGCACCAGTTCTTACGAACGAAACATGGCGCGAAGTCGGCGTTACCTCTTGTCTTCATCGACGTCGTTGATACGACACGGACTTCCTGTCCCTTTCTTCAAGCTCAGCGGGTACTTTATCCCACTCGATGTCGCAACGGTTGATGTTGTTTTGGGGAAGAAGAGAGCACATCTTTCAACGAATGTCGGCGCTGTTCATGAAGGCTTGGGCGTGTCCTTGGGTGTGATGCTACACGGACGAGGCGGCATCTGCGAGGACGATACTCCTCCAACACAGTTGGGAAGAAGAGGAGGACATTGGAAAGTGGAACGAGGGATGCGTACAGCGCGAATGTGTGATTGGAGGTTATGATGAAGCGGTTTGATGTGGAGATCAGATGGAAGACAGCAGGGAGGCAGCTGGGTCTGTTTCCTTGGCGGATTAGATACGCAGTGAACGTCTATGCCGCAGTTTTGACTTGAAATCGTTCCAATGAATCGTAAACGCGAGATACTGCATGTCTTGTCAAGAATGCCACGACCAGCGTTCGAGGTACAGATAAATGCGACATGTAAGGTTGGATATGACGTAAAACGAACGCATGTCCAGCGTAAACAGCAGCGAATCTTGGCCCCCATGGAAAGAGAGCACGCAGGGAAATGCAACGTTCACCATTATAGATCAGGGTCGTACTTTTGCGAGGTGTGGCCGAGGATGTAAGAAGGTGAAAGTAAACATTATGCAATCGTATGTATTTCATATATGCCGTAGGAGAGACGTGGCTACCGGTGCATCAGATCTGAATGTAACTGAGGGCACTTTGAGGTCTTCGCTGGCAGGGCTTGGGTCCATGGAACTTCGCAGCTGGGGGTGCTTGTCGACGCGTAGCTTTTGAAGGTAACTCTGTTCTATCAAAAGTTCAGGTTAAGACGTTATACACTGCTCAAAGGAGCATTAACGCACGCTTATGCTGCCTTCACTTGCGGTACCCGCCACTGCATTGACGAAAGTCCATTTATCGTGACTTCCTTCCGCGCTCCAGCAACTTCAATCTCCTCCTTCAACGTTGTCCACATACGCCCCCAATAGCATCTGACCCGCTCCCCATTGCTTACAGCGGTTTGCATACAGCTTGACAGTAGCATGTGTTTTGCACGAGAGAAGAGAGTAATTTGGACTTGGTCATAAACCATGGTTTATGGACTTGAAGACGCGTTTATGGCTGGTTTATGGCTATTTCGGCGATCTCGGAGGTCCTTTTGCGCGCTTGAAGTCCCCAAAACACGGTTTATGACCAAGTCCGAGCCTTCTTTCATCATCCACGAAAATGCCCCTGACTGTCAAGCTGTATGCAAACAGCTGTAAAACTGATTATGTCTTTTTTCTGCTGGACAGTTCCTTCGAGAAATCGAAGGAAAACATACGTCCATCGCACTCGAGGACGAGGAGGAGGGGTAGAAGGAGATCTGGAAACACGCCGGGTGGTAAGTTCCCTCATTCCTCGCTGACATTCAGGGGTGTTCACTGTCCCCGCATATCGCGATCTCTCTGATTATCACGATGTCGACGCCTCACTAGGCCTCAAGACCCGGATAAGTTTACACTAAGATGACGTGTCGGCGTTCAGCGAGCAACGTCCTAGGCTGTGGCAGGCAAACAGGTGGCGGGAGTGAAGGGACGCGGGAGGGAGGATGACCAGGAGTGGTAAGCAGGCACCCTCTTTTTAGGTCTACGCGCGTGTGTCCAACCGTCGAGTTGTCCTAGTAGTGTCGATGTCCGAGCCGACATCATGAGCAAAGTCAGTATCTGATGCCGGCTGAAGGGGATGGTGGTGATGATGGAGAATGGAAAAGACAGCAGCAGATGCAGCATTACGGTGTTGCCAATGTAGATGCCCTTGTGTAGCATGGTGTTTTACGCCTCGAATCGCGTGCAACATTCTGGCTGGAGATCCTTTCCTAAAGACATCGATATTGGGCTGGGATTCACAGGCTGAACGACGCCATAAAATTGGGGTATACCGCTTTCCGTTCAATCGAATCCTAGATATTCCGCATCCAGTTCTCCCTGGTTTTCACCGATGACCGTGAAATGCTACCGGTCGGGGTTATCGCCTGCAACAAGTTGTGGTAGCAGAGCCCTGATCTTGCCCTTGTTGCTGAGATACCATAGGCTTGAGAATAGATGGTCCAGGCTCGTTAATCTAAACGACGCGGAGAGGATGGATGTCCAGGGTTGAGTGATTGAGTGGGTAAGATGAATCAGCGACCGCGGCGGCCCGTCGCAAATTGAACCTGCATCGATTTACTCCAAACTTCAGCTTGAGGCCCAGGCTGTTACCAGCTCCACCGTCTCTTGCATTGTCAGTTCGTACTAAGATATCATACCAAGGTAACTACCGACTCGGACCAGCCAAGTATCGTCATGTAACTAATTCAGTACTCGACGCGGCCCCATAGCTTTAGTACACCTCCCCATTCTCAATCATCTCCTGCAATTCATCCCTCTCCTCATCCGTCAAGTCTTGTATCAGCGAGCAAATATCGTGTATCTTCTTTTTTGGGCAGTCACGCGCCAATAGTGTTGTGAAAGGCCGGGCTTCAAGCCTCAAGCCCGGCCCAGCCCAGCCCGGCCCAGCCCTGAAAAGCCCGGCCTGCAAGTAAGGCTTGCTTAAGGCTCGGGCTGAGGCTTTGCTTAAGGAAAGCCTTAAGCCCTAGGCCGAAGCCCTGGGCTGGTGAAGGGGCGAATATCCTTTTGTGGGATTGATTTCTATGAATGTAACATAGCTTAGTATTATCCTGTAGATGAGCTTACCATGTCTTTTCATTAGAATTTGATTGTATGCAATTATTCATCAATTGAAAGCAGTTATGACATCACTGACATATGTTTTCTCCATGATGACAAGACCACTTGAGCAATGATAGCTTCGTGGATGATCAGTGTGGTTCAGTAAATAATATATTAGACTATGTAAAGCTATATCTTAATGAATATTCACATCTAATGAGTCCTGATAGGCAGAAATGTATTATGAGGGATAAGCCCGGGCTTAAGCCTGAGCCCGGCCTGAGCCTTGTAGGGCTTGGGCTCAGGGCTCGGGCTCGTGAATTTGCGAGCCTGAACCTGCTCAAGCCCGGCCCAAGCCTCCAAAGCCCAGCCCAGCCCGGCCCGGCCTTTCACAACACTACGCGCCAAGTGACCGCGTTCTCTGCAGGTGAAGCAGAGACCCCGTCTGCGCATCTCTGCAATACCCATGGGCTCCCCGTACCCTCCATAGCTCGTGTCAGCACCCTTTCGCCGGGTAACCTCCCATCGCCGATCATCATCGAATCGGATAGCCTTCTCCTTCCAAAATCCGAAGGTCACCGGTACCTCCGTCAGATCGATGGCAATATGGATTCTCCGGACAAGGTCACGATTGAGCGCTTGACTGAGCAGCATAATCATAAACTCGTCATGATCCTCCGCTTCATACCCCGCATATCTCCGAGTTAATTCGAAATGGTCACAAAAATCCCGCACACGTGTTTTCCCTTGTCGAAGTGTCCTCAGCTCGAGTCTGGCTTTTTCCTTGAAATGAGGGTCCGTAAAGGCATGGTCGAGATCATGCAAAAAGTCAGAAAAGGTTCCGAACTCGAGTCCGTTAGGGCCTCTATGGGCGGAAATGTAATCCTTAGCCCAGTACATGGCTGACTCTCGCGTATGGTATAGGACAAACAAGATCTTGGATTTGTCGTCGGGAAATTCCTGATAGGTTGCGGCATCCGATTGCAAATACATCATCATGATGCCATCTCGAAATGTGTGGTATTTGGTGCGGTCACCATCGAAAGATTCGGATTTGAAACATTGACTCAGTATATCACTCATTCCGTTACACCTAAAGACTAGGTTAGCTAGACCAACACTGCGACGACTGAAAGAAGCTGCGTACTTTGTAGGTAACAGTGGTGGTGGTGAAAGAAGAGAGGCTGCCTGACATATACATGCGTTGCACACGATTTTGTACCTTGACGTTTACTGCCACCGAGTTGAGTCCCATGATGATGCTCAGTGAGGTGTGGCTGATGATAATGGGTCCTGAGGTGCTTCGCATACGTGATGATATATAGCTGAGATGCTCAAGAGTCTTCAATCTTATTGAGGACTCTCGAAATGATGAATTGGCGTGTCGTCTCGAGTACCTTGCAGCAGCGTGTCAGGGGGCCCGTGGGTGAAGATCAGAATTAGCATATCCATCATATCACGTTGATTGGCACCGAGATATAGGGGGAGATTCAAGTCATCAAGTCGGTACTGGGGGCGCCGCCTATGGACATTGGATACAGGTATCACTGGAGGTTCTATATGTCCAGACAGGACAGTGCTGCAGTATCTTGAGCATCTGGGTGTTCAGGATGTAATGTACTGAGTAGAAGAGACTCTGAACACGCTTCGTTAGTTTTGAATTCGTATATATAGAATGAACATACATAAGCACGCACCTAGAAAAATCTCCCACCAAAGTAGAGCTGCCTGACAAAGGATGCAAAACCCGATCCTATGACCTTCCTGCTCAATCTCCTTCAAGCTGAGACATCTCCTCCCTGTACTCTTGGTTTTCACCGATGACCGTGAAATGCTACCGGTCGGGGTTGTCGTCTGCAACAAGTTGTGGTAGCTGGGTTCTGATCTGGCCCGAGCTGCTGAGATACCATAGGCTTGAGAGTAGATGTTCCATTGCCGGATTCGTTGGAGTACGAGAGCGATAGCGTGGGGTACGGTAGTGGAGTGGTAGTAGACGGAGGAGAGGTCACTAATCGGCAGACTCACGTACACGGGTTCTTCGGTCCGCCGCAACTCTTTCTTTTACTCTCATCATTGTCAAGGAACTCAGCAAAAACTATGCACTTCCTCAGCTTTTGCAACATTCTTGGTGACTTGGTAAGTCTGTCTATGCTATTGAATCACATTGAACTGAAACGAGACAGGCGCAGAAACAGCTCCATGTGAAACTATGCCGTCGTTCAAGTTGTCTTTAGCCACTTCCTGCCATGCCTCCATCGCAAACTCGAGAAGAAGAACTAAAGTACTACCACGAAATCTCCGAACCCATCGACGAAGCAACCTTCGCACACCACAACTCGCTTATCAAGCCCATCCGCCTCTTAAACGCAGACCCCAACCGGGACTACGCCCCTCTCGTCCAGTTCATCCGACGAATCCTAGTCCACCTGACGGTATCATCCAAATACTGCACCGGGACGATAGGGAGCTACACGATGATGTTATGGATCATGAGGCGGACGCCTAAGGGCAAGGTTGCCATGCAGAGCCTGTACCCGAATTCAGGTGATGAGGTACTGTCCTATGTCCTGCCGTACATCCGGGAGACCCCGCCTGCAATCGTATTGGAGGACCGAACCCCGCCTGAATGTTCCTGGGGATCCTGGCGCAACAACGAGATTGTGATTTCCCGCGAGCTTGTCACGACGTACCTCAACCTCGAGGTCAGTTCGAGTTCTCCCCTCTTTACCGTATCTGACAGTTGTTTAGAAAAGCAAAGCTACCCTGGACTCGGATGACGAGCGTTGTCTTGTATTTCTGCAGACAATCATCCTAGTCACCTTTCTCCACGAGCTCACTCACACCCTCATGAACAGGATCTTCATGGGCCGGCTTGGTTCCTTCTTCGAATGCGGAGACAACGTACGCGATATCGGGGAACACCTCGAGAGATCCCTGTTCACTGACTCGGTCTTGTACGTCGAATGGCTCCGGGCTGATTTCGAGGATCCGAATCCGAAGTTCCAGGTGAAGAAGATTCGAAGTATATGTTCGCAGCCAGTTGAAACTGGGGAAGGGTTTCACAGTGTCTGTGAGTGCATTCGACTTTTGGGTTATTAGCCTTTGACTGATTTCTGTTAGTGGTGGAGGACTTGAGGACGATGCTGGATTCTATCGACAGGAGTGAACTCTTTAGCCCAGTGTTTTTACTCCAGGATGCGAAACCTAGCGATATCATCTCTGCTGACAGCGAGCATATACGCCTACGTATCACACCTGAATATTCATTGCCGGTGCTCAATCAGTGGGCGATGCCTCTGCCTGTTACTGAGATAGGTCCGGATTCTATCATCATTGAACCGGCTTGTGGTCGGTGAGAACACGCACAATAACTAGTTCCATGCGGCGCTGAGCAGGGGAGGGTTGCGGTCTGGGAAGGGGAGGCGATGTATCGTAGACTTGCTAAATGGAATGAAATCATGAACAAAAAGGAGAAACTGTTCCCTCTCCTGCCGCAAAAAAGCACGTCTCACATCGCTTTTCCCTCAGAATAAATTGAGTGTATCCAAGAGCCGTTTTGGAAGAACGCGTACGCCGACAGTGAAATATATACATTGAAAGGTACGGCTTAAATGGCTTTATTGCTGACATGAAGAGTACTGGTAAGAAGATTGAACACAATCCGAACTTACGCACACGCATCCCTCCTTCTCGATGACACTGATGCTTGCCGGCTATCGACACGTCGCCTCGAGCCAACTCCACGTGTCTGCTTGTTCGCCGAAGCTCAAGCGCTCATACATCATTTCGGAGCAAAACTCCCACCAACGGCGCCGCTCTCGTGTTCGAAGGACATCGCTTGAGCCCAAAATCTTGTGCTTGGGGCCGCCATTCAAGGAGCGGAGTTGCGTGCAAGAGAAGGGAACGGGATCAGGCTAAGGAGGGATTTAGCGCTTAAGATTGGTCGAGAAAGTGGGAGACTTACCGTCCCCGGTGCATCTGCCGCCGTCTCTTCTGTTCTCCGTCATTACCGCCGTCCCCTTCAATCACTCCTCCGGCCAGTATCCGATACTGACTTTGCTCGCGAGACGACAGTATGTCGTCTCGAAGCAAAATCAGGTTTCCTCTGATCAGAAACTTTGCGCACGGACGTCGGCATCGATGAAGACTCGGGGGTTGGACATGCACACCTAGAGAGGAACGATATCCGCCACCTATGAAGAGGGTGAATGCCTAGGAAGTCGAATGTATGCGAGTAACTTACCATTCCCAACGTCTGTGGTCATCCTCCTTCCCATGTCCCTTCCGAGTCATTCCCGCCACCCGCCAGCCATCGCATGCTAGGCCCTTGCTCGCCGGAAAACGATACGTCGTCTCAGCGCAAAATCCAGGTCTCGAGGGGTCGACGTCGTTATCCAGACGAGGAGGAAATCGGTGGCACCGTGTACTCCCCAAGGCTATCACCTTGCTGACTAGAGCGATCGAGATCTGTGGAGAGAATGAGCACCCCTGAACGTCAACGAGGAGTGAGTGAACATACCATCTCGCGTGTTTCCAGATCTCCTTTTATCCTTCCACCACCTCTCTACACCGTTACAATTCACTGGAACCTCTCGTCACTGTCGAGAACGACAAGCATGCCATGCTGCCCTCCACAAGATGTGTGCGATGCCCGTCATCGTCCCGGGTAAAGTCTAGTCCTTCCGTTTGCAGGAATTCGATGTCATGGTCATCGCTGGCAGGCGGTTAGAGCGTTGCCAATCCAGGATGACGTTGATGAGAATCAGGAAGGAACAGTACACTGCGGAAGGACGATTAGAACAAATGTATCACTCAGTGACTTGTAAACGTACCTTTGACTTCATGTTGGGGCTTTGAAGATGCCTCCCCTACACGCGTACACTGAGCGGCATCAATATAGCATTAAAGTCCTCCTTGTCAGTGTGATTGCGCTCGCCATGGTTTTTTTTCGAAATCGTGGCCTTGATCTTGAGGTCTTGAGGTTGCGGGTGGTAGAAAAGTGAGCTAGCACTAATGGTAGATACAGCCTCAAGCAGGTGCAAAAAACACTTACAGAGCGTCAAGAAGGGAGAAGAAGGGAGGCCATAATCATTGTGAAGAGTCCTGGAGATCGTCGATAGACGAGAAGGAAGAATGGTGGAAAGAGCCAATGGTAGCAGTGAGAGAAAAAGAGCGACTCGGCTGTATCCGAGGCCGGGTGTCATTAATTATAATTAAATTTGGGAATTGACGTCCATCTCGAGTTTGTAGTAAGTGGTTACAATGAGGTTATCCTCTACGAGTGGGCGCGAGATCCTACCATGGAAGATCTTTGGCCGGAATGTCTTTGGCGACTAACACGGTGGACATCAGGAGAGCAATTCCACCAATGGGCTTTTCTCAAACGCGTTCTGGCTATCGTTGTAATTCCGAAGTTGCGGAGTATGCTGGGCTATGATGATGAGGAGTATCTGCCACGGTATGAGTACGGGGCACATACGGATGTAAACCACATCGGTTGCGTGACATTTCTCCATCCAGTTCATCTAGGTGAACCCTTTCCTTTTTATTTATTCGTGTTCCCACCATCTGACAGTGCGATAGTGGCGGACAGCCCGACACAGTGGAATCCTCACAGCTATGGGGTTTCACAACGTAATCCACCTCCTGCGCTCATTGATGCTAGCTTGAGAACCCCCAAATCCCAGGAATTTCTTCATTCTCACCGTCCATCGCAAGAAAACGTAGAAAATGGAAACCATCTTACTGGATCGGCTGAATCGAGTTATATCGAGTGAGAAAGAACAGGGGGTATTGCAAACTAAGATAGTTGCCGAAAAGATGAGGAGTTAGCTTCGTTCATGAATTCTTTCTTCATCAGTTAACTCGCTGCTACTGTTTTGTCGAGAACAAGTGTTGAAGTATATGCGAGTAACGGGACTTCTTCACACCTCGTGAAGATATCATAACTTCAAGCAAAGTGAACCCTGGAAGTAAGATGGTCGCGAAAGGGTGGCCAAAATCAGTCATTGAAAGAATTCCCGTTTCGGCGACCGGCCCGAAACGCGTCAAGATTTTTTGACTTCAACGTTCGACTAGCTATGTCTGCCAATGGATAGACCCTGTATCTACCACATTTTCCTACACTGGATCGGATATCCACACGACTCCTTACAATTTACTGACAACGCCTTGATATTATCTTTTACAGAATGGTGGCACAACACGAGCATACGGCGCCAATGTAGCACAGTAAGCGCTTAGCGCCTTTCCTTCCTTGACAGCTACTACACTTTCTCAAGTAAGTCGTTTGCTATGGATGTCGATTGTACTAATGCCATCTCTGTCAGTATGGCAGGCATCGATGATGTTGGAAAATGCGAGATGATTCTGGCATTCCGGCATGCTGAGTAAGAAATTGGTAAGAGAATGATTGTATAGAAATTACTAGAATAGGCATAGTTTAGTATAAATATGTGAAGTAAATGGACAAACTCCTCACGAGTTTGTAACCCAGAGACTAGAGGTCTTGCAAGCATTGTACTAGGATACAGTCTGAAATACAACAGATGAGAACTCTACAGAAGCACCTCCGAATCAGCCTTCAGTAACTGAAGATCATACTCGTTCAACTGAACCTGAGGCTCAGAGAATGCCTCCAAATGGGACATTCTTTGGAATGAACAGGAATCAGCCATCTTCATGAGGAGTCGGTGTGTTAAATTGGCTTTGACTGTTCCGCTGTGATATTTAAATGGTTCCAGGTGCTACTCCACATGACTATAAAGCACACTACCCTTTTGATCCATATGGCCAAGAGATGTCCTGTAATGCATGGATATGGTCCATCTACCTTGATGAAGTGGCCAATTTTGACGCCAATATGTTGGCAGAGTGGTGGGACACCATTGATATACTCCTTGTTTTTGTGCATCTCAGGTTTCAAATCAGGCTACCAATAGTCTGACTATTATGGTTTTACCCCTATTTTCCTTATCTTATCTTATCCTTATCCATCGGAACCCTGGACCTACCTATCTTATCTCTTGGACCCATGATATTCCGCTGGCACATTCCTTACCCATTTACCCGGCTGCCGTCACCCCAGTTCACGGCTGCCGCCCCCTTATGACCAGTGACCCGCATGCGCCATCACACTTCTCTTGATGGCATCATGCTTCTTAATAGTTAGACGAGAGTCGACCACCAGTTGAGGGCGGTCTATGGGATGTAGCCTATTCAGATGGAGTCCCGTGCAGGTGCAGGTGATATGCGCTCTTTACTCTCATTTGTCGGGAGTACACTTCTTTTAGTGTCCTCCCTCCTCATTTGTTGAAAGACGCACTTCTCATTGCACGCGCCCTTGTAGACACTATTCTTAGTACGAGTCTAACATGTATTTAAGCTAGCCTACGCTGTGGCCTTAGACCCCAGCTTCAGCTAAGGTTATATACTCCTAACTCTTACAAGCTCCTTGCTTTCGCTAATAAGTGACGCCTAACTTCTCGCAATCTACCAATGCCTCTCTAACACTGAATCACCAAACGCGAGTGACAGGATAGAGATCAGCCTTGGCGAAGGTTTGAGTTAGTGCTTAACACTGACAGTATTATAGGCTGGTCTTTTCTCTGCAGTATTAACAACATTCATGGTCCAAACATCGCAAAACATGCAGCCAGATTATAACAAGGCATCTGCATGTCTTCTCTTTGAAATCCTCAAAGTCACTATGTTGAATGGCTCCCAGTCCTCTATTCCCTCCTCACCTACTGCCTTCTTTACTCTCAGCCATTCTGATGAGTGGATGAACAGCTTGTGGTTTGTGAGTCTGACTCTCAGTCTCTGTTTTAGTCAAACAATGGCTCCACCAATACATCATCATCATCTCTGACAGCTCCACACATTGATATGCCATCTACGCATTCACACCTAGATTTTGTGATTTTATAACAATACTATTGCATGTCTATCCTATACTAGTCAGATATCAAGGGCTATAGTTGAGACTTCAGACTGATAGTCAAGTTAGTATGCTACTAGTCAAGTCAGGACTTAGGAATGATACCACTAGTGGGTCAGCCCTACCCACTGACCAGACTAGCACCTCCAAAGCTAGTATGACTTAGTAAAATACGGTCACTAGTAAAGAGTACAGTGGCTAGTGCCCAAACAAGAAGTAAGAACCCACACAGATCTCAACTATTCAGTGGCTAATGGACCAATCTGGGCATGAATGCCTAAGTCAGGATGACTAGTCACACAAGCACTTCTGAAAGGACTTAGAAATGAACCAGTAAAGGCATAACCCTTAGCCCAGATCTGGCTAGTGTGATACAGATCTCATGCGATTGGCACTAGTATAGCCGGGCTGCGCCCCGATCATGATTGAGCAGTTGCTACAGGCATGGTTACCTGACTATTCATATAGCCGTGTCACTAGTGGAGCACTGCTGGGCAAAGGGTGCAGAAACAACCCAATAGCGGAGTCCCTAGACCCGCTATTCGACAGAAAGAACAGGCTAGGCCAACTATTGCATGATTATTCACCATATTTCATGACTAGCCAAGACATCCTTACCAATATTACCCCTAAAGAATCTATTTATATTTATTCTGTACCTGTCTCTGTAGTATATAAGTAGTAGAAGGGGTGGCCTCACAGGCAGGCAAGCCATCCCCATGATTGTGACCTACTAGTCCATATTCTAGTGCCCCAATTAAAGGCTTTTGTGCTTAACCTCGATGAAGTGTCTACTAGTCGCTTAGTCACCTATAGTATTGAATGGATTGAAGTGTCTTAAAGTTACTATTCTGTCTTGGAGTGACTCAGAGCATTTTGAAGTTAGTTAAAGTATTTGTTCTTAGGCCAAGAGTGCCACTAGTCGAGCCTAGGGTGCTGCTAGTCAAGTGTAGATCACTTGTGAGACCCAGTATTTGGCCCAGAGTGCCACTAGTTTTGGAGTATCAGAGTCAGACCAAGCACAGTTGCTCAAACTAAGTCACTATTCACTCAATCATGTCTTAAAACCCCACTAGTGTGAGTATTACATCTTGTGCAGCTCACTAGTACCAAATACAAGTCTTTGAACAACCTTTTCCTGATTTATTGAAGTCTGCAGAGTGCTTCTACCATACTTGAAACACCTGAACTCAATATAATTGGTGATTTGTGTGGAGTGGTTGAGGTTTGGTAGGATAGAGTTCACTATCTATCCACTAGTCTTAGTCGCTCACTGTTACCGAGCACATCAATGTGACTGTGCAAGAATTTAACACATGCGATATGCTGGACTACAGACATGGCAGGTACCCATGATCATTGGGCTGCTTCTGGTCCTCCTTCATGCTTCATTAGACACTCTTTTTTCACTGGCCTTGCTGTTTTCCTCTTCTCTCTGAGAATGAAAGTGGCCTGGCTAGTATCTATCATTGGTGCAGTGACATACATAGCTTATGTTATTGCCCTAATCCTCCTCTTTGTTTATCCCTACTGTACATATAAGGTCCCATTAATGCTTTACATCTATCCACTGTATCAATCCATCATCCCTCTTATTCCACATATCACGCAACACAGTCTGGATACTCTGTATCTGTTTCAGCAGTTTCACCACCACAATGATTTTCACTCATTCATGTCTTGGATAATCCCCAATATCAGGTTACTATGGAGAGAACCTCCTCTGAGTCTGAATGAAATCGAGCATGATCATGTTCAAAAATGTGCTGCTAAAGTGGATGTGCAATTACTGCAATGGTTGCACTCCTCCACATCTAATGCATCAGTGCACCAAAGTGTGCTGCAAGCCTGTTCTGGGATAGCATCTGCTACTTTGGAATGTCTTCTGAAAGAATGCCAATCTGC